TTACAGTGTATTTTTCTCAAACTGAATAAAAAGTGAAATTTTCACGCTATAGTTCCACTGCGCATCGCCACCCTCACGTGTCATTACACATGATGCGGATTCCTATATTCCCGTCATGGGTATAACTTCACAACGGCTGGACCGTTTGGGCTGAGAATTTGCATAACTATAGTTTCCTATTTTTCATAATTTCCGTGTAAATTTCGTTGTATGTTTTAATTATGGATCCTACGCAATCATCGTCTTGTCCCTGAGCTCGGACTTTTGATGTCGCTATTCCTGTTATTGGATTTCTCATTAACGCATGATCCTTTTATTATGGAAATTTGGGAGGATTAAGAGTAGATCCTTTCCTTTCTAATGGGCTATCAAGCTTGTCTCGGTCGTTACTAGTTAATCTTCGCACTTGCTTTTTAGACATTGTCCTCGTTTTGCAGGAGTTTTAGTCATATCTCCGTCGTTTATGGGTAGTTTCCCCTGTAATTACTCTCATTGGTTCCGTTTGGGTGACATCTACATTTCCTATTATAAACACGACTTTGACTTTTGCATTAGTTCCTGAGGAATCTTTGTTCCGTGGTACTTCCATCCTTGCTACGTGTGCGGACGTGGGAAAGTAGTTTCCGTGGAGGTTCTCTGATTATTTTTATAGTCAAATCTTGGTCGATTGTCCTAATTCTTGGTTTAATATTTGCTATAAATTCCCCCGAGAATTCCGTCTCGTTGATGGTAAGCTTGAAGTATTTTTATTATTTTTCTTTCTTTCGATTTATCGTGTATAGTCGTAATAATTCGTAAAAATTCGTAAAATTCGTTAAAATTCAGGTCCTTCTATGTTCTCATATCTACTTGTCGTATGAGGTTTTGTGATTTATCTGGCATATTTCCATAATGGGTTTCCATAGTGTGGCCGTTATTTCTCCTACACCGTGAAGTTGAGAGGCGTGTCGATTGAACTCGACAACGTATTTATTGATGTGGTGCCCGTCCTTCATGTCCAGTGTCATCAGTTGAACCTCGGCGTCGCCCACAGGATCGTGAGGGCCGAAGTTAGTTTGAAGTTCATTAACGAACTCTTGATAGTCATTCATCCATCGCAGACGAAGCGTGGAATTCTGGTCGAATAACAGGTCCGGCTCGAACCAATCGAGGGCCATTCCCTTGAGGTAGGACTGCGCAAATATGACTTTAGCGTGGTCGCTAGCAAAAGCGAGGGGACGGTCCTGGAAATTGAGCTCACATTGGACCAAGAATACTCGGAGTTCTCGGGGATCCTTTCCGTCGAACTGTTCGGGTTCGCGGACCTTGGTCCGGAGAGCAGAAGATGGTCGTCGTCGTCGTCATCCGGTGTGACAAGCCAGACTGGCAATGGCTTGGGCCAATTGTGTAATGGCCACATTGGAGGTGGGTTCGGCATCGTCGGCGGTTGGGACAGTGGGGATGGGAGGATCATCAGGAGGAGGGTCGACGAAGTCGGGGACCTCGGAACCGAGTCCAAAGAAGTGGACAGGATCAATGGGTTGTTCCATGGTGTCTCTGAAGTCGGAGTCTGCAACTGGTGATCGATTCCTAACGGGGCGCATGATCGGAGTCGATGGGAGAGGGGTTTCAAGGTTAGAAAAGCTTCGAAACTCAACTGGGTTTCTCGCCAATCGACTAGGACCAGGCTGAGAAGGTTCTGGGGAAGGTGAAGCGGAGTTGGGAACTAATGTGCATAGTTGCAAACGAGTGCGAAGGACTTTTGGTGCCATACAAGACGTGTACTAGTCAGGGAGTAGTAAAATACTGTCAGAGACCAGATTCGAGACGAAGGAATGTCTCCATAGCGGAGGGCTTCGGCCTCAGCGACTTCTGCCAAGAGCGCTGTGCCTAGTGACACATCCGTGCCCTAACTTACTGACTGGCAATTAGAACCTAGGGGGGTAACTCTAGTTGATTTTACTACTGGGGTGTAACCTATGTACAAGTGGGATATATATATGGTTACAGTGGAGACGGGTCCGCAATTGGCGGAGCCGAACGGAGCGGAGCTAACGGGGTTTAACATTAGCCGACTGAATATTACCGACGAGTCGGTTCGCGGGGTTAGCGGAAAGGCAGGCAATAACCCAGAAACGGAAAGGAGGGATAGGCCCGAAGGTGGGCTCTGCAGGGCAGGCGAGTGTATTGCCCAGCGGAGGCGGGGGTGCGCTAGCGGACGTCGGAGCTGTCCGGAAGTCTTCAGGGCTCCGTACTTAGGGAGGCGTAGGTAATAAATTGAAATGAGGGGGTGGTGACCATCGAGGGGTGCCGAGAGGATTGCGGAATAACGGGGGCTCCGAGGTTAGTGAGGGAGGAGCGGAGTTGGATCGGAGGGATCGGAGGGACCGGAAGTCGATGGCTGGGGATGGATATGACAATAAGGCTCATTGCAGAGCGGTTCCAACATTCATTTGAGACAGTTTCGATGTCAGTCTCTATCAAATCTTGTTTGTGCAGCATGGCTAACAACCCTTCAGTTACTTCAAGTTCTTTGTGTATTATCGTCTCCTCCCTTCTACCTCAAATATGTATGCCTACCCAAGCCTAATACCCCTACTCCACCCGAAATTTCCGCCAATCCAAAATTTTATCCATTTTTCAAAGATGTCATTGGCGCAATTGATGGTACACACCTTCCCTGCAACCCTTCCACAGAAGAGCGCGAAGCATCCCGCAACCGCAAAGGGGGTGTCTCCCAGAACTGCCTGGCAGCATGTTCATTTGATCTCCGTTTCCAATATGTGCTCAGTGGATGGGAAGGGTCAATTGCCGATATGGCAATGTACCGTGATGCACACATGACAGATTTGCCTATCCCAAATGGAAAAATGTATCTTGCAGATGCCGGATTTGGTGCATGCGATACACTTCTAGTTCCTTACCGGAAAGAAAGATATCACTTACAAGAGTTTGGGCAGAGTCAACTTCGGTAAGTCAATTTTCGTGGCCCCACTACCCATCTCAGCTGTCCTACAGACCACAAAACCATCGAGAATTGTACAACCTTCGACATGCTCAACTTCGGAATGTTGTGGAGCGCAATTTTGGAATTGTAAAAAAGCGCTTTGCAATCCTCCAGCATGCACCTTCATATCCAATGGCCATTCAGGCTCGAATTCTTCCTGCACTCTGCTGTCTCCACAACTTCATTCGATTTTACGATGCTGATGAAATCCACACTTTTGGAGTGGCCAGTATTGTTAGAACCGGCGGAAACGGACGACTCCGGAGTGGAATCGGAGACTTAGCGTGGAGGGACCTTGGCCTCAGCGACTCAAGCGGAGCGCTGTGCCATTGCTGTTTGTCCATTTGGTCCTTAATTTCACAGTAGGTGAGCAGGAAGTCTCTTGGGGGCATTTCAGGTCGATTTCGGACTAAACCAAAACGAGTATGTACAAGCGCCGATATATATAATGGAAGGGGCAAAAGCACAAGGAGAACAAAGGGTAACCGAATCGGAACGAAGACGTCCGAACGGGAACAAAGGGTAGAAGGAGCGGAGAGGTACCGAAGGTCATAAGGCAGGACCTGTGATACATCCGAAAGGAGGTAGGGAGGGCGAGGCCCAGAGGGGCAGGAGGATGAGGGGAAGTGGGGATGATGACTAACTGGCTAGAATAGAAAGAAGCAGTAGTCCAAATAGGGATGAGGGAAAAACGCGAGATATACATTACAAGCGGCGAGAGCGCCGAAGGCGATCCGCGAAGCTTGGGGGTTGCGGAGCTTACGGAGGTTACGGAGGCGGGGTTGAAAGTCCGAGGGATATTGGCAATGGTGTTTACGTAGTATGAGGTCACCAATGCAATGGACTAAGACCGAGGTGGAGTCAAAGTCCGAGGTAGGGACTATGACGGAGGCTCGGAGTAAGGTACGAGCAGTGTCCGAGTGCGAAGTACGGAACAGCGGTGGAAGGTCGTAACTTGGCAGAAGGGTGGCGGAGGAGTAACAGAGGGAGGAGAGAGGGGAAAGGTAAGGGAGGAGGAGTGGCGGAAAGAAGAGTAGTCAGGTCCAAAGGTGAGTATCGGAGCGGACGGGGGAAGCGTAGGAGGATGATGGGAGGGTGGAGGTGTTGTGAAGGGGGAGCGGAGCAGTAGGAGGGTGGCGAGAGGGGCGGTGTTCGGTCCGAGATGAGTATCGGAGCGGACGGAGATAGGGTCGGAGAGGTAAGGAGGAGGTGTGTTGCCAGGACCGAGGGTGAGTATCGGAACAGCAGCGGTAGGTTATGACTCCGGAGGTGAAGAGGGTGGAGGTCCGGAAGTCAGGTCGGGGTCGGGTATGCACGGATATGACAGGTATGGACATTACCTCAGGTGATTTTGGGGAACTTCAACATGGTACTATCACTCGGCAGGAAAGCAGTCGGGCAAGTGGAATTCGCGATAGTATAGCTCAAGCAATGTGGATTAGCTACCAACAGCACTTGTCAACTCATTGAAGTCAGTATATATGAATGATGTGAAACAAATACTAGGATTGCCCAATCACTAGAATTTTGGTGCTGCCAGACGGGCTATTTTCTTCCTGACCCAGTTCTTTCGCAAGCTATCACGGTTCAGGCTGAGGTAGATGTCTGCCGCATATGGCTCCTCCTGAAGAACATTGAGCAGGATCGTCAATTCTTCATCATCCAACTCATCCTCAATCTCTTGAGCATGAGTAGCAGCTTGAATTTTCCACTGCGGGGTAGTTGGGATAGTAGAAGACGAGGCAGAGCTGGAAGCAATGAATGCCTTGGTGAAGTCACTCATTGACTCAGCTAGGGCAGTGAAGCCAATTGCGGCATTGGAACGCGGAATTGTATGCTTTTGTTTCGGTAGTGCCTCGAGTTTGACAGCATGTTGAACAAATGAGCTTTTTGATTCAGGATGTGGTGACTGATGAGTTGAAGGGATGGAGGGAAGAGATGAGAGGGAGGGAGATGGCTTGAGAAGATCGGGGTCAATATTGTCCTCAAAGCCAAGATCATGGCGCTTGCGAAGTCATTCAGGGGAGGGGGTACATGACCAATTCTCGGTTTTGTCAGCATCCTACAGACATATATAAGTCATGACCTTGAAAGGAGTGTCAACATACCTTTGGTTCATCAGCAGTGGGTTCAGTGTCCTCGCTTTCAGGCTCCGGCATCTTGGTTGCGCGGAATGCTTGGCGTCCAGTTGCGCACTTAGGATTAATCTCTGCCATCTCATCAAAGAGTGGCCACCCTTTTTGACGGAATGGAGCAGCCAGAGGCCACTCCTAGTAATGTAAATATCATTATTAGCAATTAGTCATCGCAAATAAGAGATATGGGCTAGCAGCTACTTACCGCAACAAAATCAATCCATAATTGCTCCTCTTCCGGTCCTAGATCAGCACCATTTTCATTACTCCAGGGGAAGCCTGACTGTTCCGAGAGCCGTTTGACTGCCCAATATATCTGTTTTAACTGCAGAAAAGGTATAGTCAATACTTTGCTGAGATGCCACAACTAGCAACTCACCTTGCCATATTTGTTCTTGCATGCACTAGGCTTGAAGACTGTCCCACACTGCTCAAGTAAGTGCGCTGAGGCACCATTCCAGACCTTGTCCTTGAAGCCAATATTAGAAGTACCACCTGCGCGCTTAACTTCAAGAAGATGGTGGATGAGCTCTGCCTCATCATGGGACCTCCAAGTAGCCCGCTCAGATGGTGTCTCAGTAGGAGCGGTGGCTGCATGAGTGGGTCCTCCTTTGGGAGGTCGATGTCGTTTGCTGCCGTTGATCGGAGCTTCAGATGTTGTGTTGACATCTGTGTCAATGTGTTTCCGCTTTGGGGGCATAATTCACAAGTCTCAATGTCGCTGCATTCCATTGTAGAATTTATAAAAGGATCTATGATGAAGAAACTGTGTACCGAACAGTCATCAGTTTCTTCTCGTTTCTTGCCGAAACTGAAAGAATCAGGAAGAAAAAGCGAGAAAGAAACACGCAAATAATGAATTAAGAAACTGGAAGAAACGGGTCGAAGAAACCAGTTTCTTCAACCCGAACGAAGCCTAAAGGTAACCTAAGTAAAGGAGAAACCAGACTGTACCAAATAGTAATCCCCGAGTGCACGTGGCAAATCTGGAAGGCCAGATGCCAGAGAGTCATTGACCCCGACCACCCACGAACCACTCTGAGCGAAATCAGAAATGCCCTCCAAGCTGGCCTCAATGACAAACTCCAACAAGATATCACCCTGACAAATCGTAAGAAATACAGCCGAAAGGCCCTACCAGCCAAGCTAGTCCTGCTCACCTGGAGCGGGAACCTCCACGATGAAAGGAAACTGCTGGACAACTGGCTTAACAGCCCCGGGGTTTTAGTGGGTATACCGGACCCCCCATGACCGGGGCCGGGAGTCCCACACCGCGCCGATAACCGGCCAGTGCGCAACGCATTTCCCCACGGTGGCAGACCGGCAGACCACTCTATGGGATCTTATCTCCCTACACAAACCCCAAATACACGACCATGTATTGCGAAAGCTACTGGGGTTCCACCAAAAAATATATATATAATATTGACTCAGAGTGCCCAGAGTGTATGCAATGTCAGCATTGCATACATAATGCTACCGATTCGGGAATGGTCATCGCGAACGTGGACTTCAGGGGTGATAATTCAAGGTTGGCGGTGACAGGAGTTGAGATGGGATGAGCATTACTGAATCCAAGAGTTAAAACGGCTTTCGTGAACGGTTACCATTTTTATGGAATCACCCCCCAGAAGTATCGACTACGGAAATGACAATATCTTGGAAAAAGCTTATATGGGCTAAAACAAGCATCGAGAGCTTGGTATCAAGAAAGCGAAAAAAGAGGAGTTTGGATGAATTGGATTTACCCATTGGGACTCGAACCACACCGTCTTTATACAAAGGCAAGAACAAGAAGTTCTGCATCATCGCCCTATATGTCGACGACCTGTGTAATGGTCCTTGTTAGAACCCGGCGGATGCAGACGACTCCGGAGTGGAATCGGAGACTTAGCGTGGAGGGACCTTGGCCTCAGCAACTCAAGCAGAGCGCTGTGCCATTGCTGTTTGTCCATTTGGTCCTTAATTTCACAGTAGGTGAGCAGGAAGTCTCTAGGGGGCATTTCAGGTCGATTTCGGACTGAACCAAAACGAGTATGTACAAGCGCCGATATATATAATGGAGGGGGCAAAAGCACAAGGAAACAAAGGGAAACCGAATCGGAACAAAGACGTCCGAACGGGAACAAAGGGTAGAAGAAGCGGAGCGGTACCGAAGGTCATAAGGCAGGATGTAAGGGATTAACCTTACTTCACTATAATTCCGATTATAGTGATATTTATATTATGTTGCATCACTATAATTCCCATTATAGTGATGTGGTTATTTCTTTATTTATTTGTGCCGAGATATGTAATTTACATATATATACCTCGGAGTAGTTGTAAAGGCCTGGTAGCCTTTTACCTCTACCCCGTTGAATATACAGCTCATTAAAGCTTATGTTTAGACGGACCTACTGAGGCCTGAGGCGAACAGGGGAACGGAACGTTACCGTCCCCAAAATAGTAAGCAACCTTTCACTGGACCTGTGATACGTCCGAAAGGAGGTAGGGAGGGCGAGGCCCAGAGGGGCAGGAGGATGAGGAGAAGTGGGGATGATGACTAACTGGCTAGAATGGGAAGAAGCAGTAGTCCAAATAGGGATGAGGGGAAAACACGAGAGATACATTACAAGCGGCGAAAGTGCCAAAGGCGATCTGCAAAGCTCGGGGGTTGCGGAGCTTACGGAGGTTACGGAGGCGGGGTTGAAAGTCCGAGGGATATTGGCAATGGTGTTTACGTAGTATGAGGTCACCAATGCAATGGACTAAGACCGAGGTGGAGTCAAAGTCCGAGGTAGGGACTATGACGGAGGCTCGGAGCAAAGGTACGAGCGGTGTCCGAGTACGAAGTACAGGACAGTGGTGGAAGGTCATAACTTGGCGGGAGGTTGGCGGAAGAGTACCAGAGGGAGGAGAGAGGTAAGGGAGAAGGAGTGGTGGAAACGAGAGTTGTCAGGTCCGAAGGTGAGTATCGGAGTGGACGGGGGAAGTGTAGGAGGATGACGGGAGGGCGGAGGTGTTGTGAAGGAGGAGCGGAGTAGGAGGGTGGAGAAGTAGTAGGAGGGTGGCGAGAGGGGCGGTGTTCGGTCCGAGGTGAGTATCGGAGCGGACGGAGATAGGGGAGGAGGAGTAGAGGTGGCATGGGGGGGTAGAAGGAGGTGTGTTGCCAGGACCGAAGGTGAGTATCGGAATGGCAGCGGTAGGGTATGACTCCGGAGGTGAAGGTGGAGGTCCGGAAGTCAGGTCGGGGTCGGGTATGCACGGATATGACAGTCCTCTGCAACGTTGACTTGATTTCGAGCCCTAAGAATCGATGTAAGCGAGGTGGCTTATGTAACTGAGTCACTGATATATAAACCCAAGGACCCTTAGCTAGTGACTATTCTACTAGCTAAGGGGTCCTATATTGGTGACTCCGTTATGCAAGCGGCCTCGCTTACAATCGGACCGAGGTCTGAAGGTCCTTTTAAGCTGCTCCTTGTTCTTGCCTCTGTGTATAAAGATGGCATGGTCCGAGTCGCAACGATTCGTGGTACCAAGCAGTGTTCAACCTGTATTGGCTTTTTCGAGGCTTCCACATGGTGTTGTTGTTTCCGTAGTCGATACTTCCGGGGGGTGGTTCCATAAAAATAGTATGTTTGAGCGGGCGTGAAGGTTTCTTCACAGTCTACTTGGTAGACTGGGCTAAACTCTTTAGCCACAAACCTCGCCGAATACCCAGGAGTCAGTGTCAGGTCGGTTGAGGGCATCGTCATAGGTGTGTGGTATATTTTCATGAGCCACATAAGCATGGTTTTCGCCCTCTTGTTGGACGTTCCTAGGTTCAGATTGCTGATCACTTTGAGTGTAGGAGCTAACGATATATCGTTCGTCATCATCTTGTGTTCGAAGTCGCCACACCCGTCCAGATCGTCGTAGTCCATCCGGTACACCTCTTCTACTGGGTCATTACTCATCCCCTCTATCCTTTCGACAACTTCATCCTTGTCCTCTACGACGCCTGTCGCAGGTTTCTGGTTCGGGGGACCCTTCGAAAATATGAGCATCTCGTGATTCATGAACCTTGCGGGTACTTGAATCATACACGACGAAGGCCTTCTTGCCGATGGCCAACTCGAGATGAATCCCAGTGATCGAACGATTCGAGAACTTGTCTCTGTACTTGTCAAGGACAGCCAATGTGGCTTTGCAACCAAAGGTACGTATCGTGGAGACTGATGGCTTATTTCCCTCAGAATATTGGGAGAGAAGTCATTAGTACACAGGATTTTAAGCTTCTTCCCAGATTGCTGACCCGCATCCACCAGGAAGCCTTTGAACGTTTCTAGGGCATCACTTTTGTTTGGGGTAAATCGAGAATAGTTATCTACGAAGGTGATGAAATAATGGAAGCCTTCTTGGTCTGTGGTTTGCGTTGCATATGTCGGAAAAGACGTGTTTGAGGATTTTGTCCGATTGAGTGAGTGTTTCTTTCAGAATCAACGATGGTGCAGCAGTAGGGGCACTAGCAGCAGTGGCAGAAGTAGAGGGATCAGACGTTTCAATTTTGGATTGACAAAATTCCAGAGTCTCCAATTACCTTGCTTGCAAGGTCACTTCCAAACCCACAATTGCGTGGGAAAAATGTGTTTATATTACTTTTACTTCTCATGTGATTCCCAATAGCATGTGACCATTCAACAAATTGTATTATGTATCATTGTGTTATGGTCATCCCCCTTGCCATCATCGTACCTGAAGTTCTCTGGTGTTTAGTGCATCCCTGGTATAACTCAGTCAAGTAATAACCGGCACCCGATGCCCTCACTGCTTCCCAAGTAGTATTTGCCGGCATATCCAACTTTTCGAAGCATATGTGCTGGAGTCCGCCCACTTCAAGGCTTCGTGCACAGGTCATGTACCAGCCATGGGCTGGCGACAACCCCGGTACTCACTTCACAAATGGCAACATCGACTCTCACTTTACAAATGAGAACTTCGTGACTGCAAGTTCTCCATCTTTGTTGGGTGCCATAGAGCACTTGAGTGACATCCAACCTGATAAGAGGGCGGTAATGAAGCGAAACTCTCGGCCCCCACCGCTTCCCCACGAGTTCCATTTGCAATGTTCAGATTGGTGTTTAGGTTTGATGTCACCAGCATGTCACTTGATAGGCACTGAGAAGAGGACAACATACTCCGCATGGTGGAGGAGATCATAGTGTTTAGAGACTCAGCTCCCCTTCTTAGTAACCGTGTAGAAGGTGGCTCGCCTTCCAAACAACACTTCTCTGGACCACTTTCTCTCTGGTTAAGCACCAAAGGCAGGAGTAAGAGATGGTGCCAACCCTTTATACTTTTTATTGTTTCAGACCATCCTTGATTCAACTCATAGTGCTCATTATGTCCGTTAACTACAAAGAAAATGTCAACTGAGTGGGTGCTTGATGGATGGAGTGTCAAGGAATTAAATGACTAAAGCCAACTCCAATAACTGGCCTTGTGGTCAGCAATTTGTTGAAATTCTTGTTTTCTTGGTACGCTGTGGACCGTCCATTGAGTCTGTCGGACTATACATCTTGCGCACAGGCATTTCCATGAAGGATTGCCCGATGCTTCTACTTTTGGCATCCATGTTGATGAACGCAGTCGAGGATGGCTTAAAAGCCACCTCGCGCAATTTTTCTCTTTCCTCTCTCCTCAGCTCACATCCTTGGAACTGAGGTGAGATTTCTTTTCATCACTTGGAGCAGACTTTAGTCTGACACTTGTACATATTTCCTGGCGCTAATTCGCGACTAGGTAATGACTAATAATATGCGTTCACATCCTTGGAACTGAGCGCTAATTCATGACTAGTTCATAATTCAAATACAATTAATGATGTGCAAGCAAGGTCATGGTTGCTTCACAACCTTTCTAGTCAATCAGAACCTTACAACATAGGTAGTTCTTCCCCGTTGTTCTTGAATTTCTCAATGTTGTGAGTGTCCTTAGCATCACTTGAATTGGCCATGCATGGCTGGGCTCATAGCCTTCGAAAGATAAAGGCTATGATGTGTAAGTTCTGCACCAATATGTACATAGTCAGAGATATGTAGTAAAAAAATAAAAAACTATCGCTCTCACCTCAGACTTGTACACTGAGAAAAGTGATTCCATGATAAAATCAGGTGTGGCATGTGACAGGGGTTTGCGCATAAACCCAATTTAATCTTGTCTTGCCTGCATCATAAATCCCCATTTTTTCACGAATTTGACCAGAATCGTGTTGTAAAATCTTGGTTTGCAGGGGACTTAATCAATTTATCTGTGAAGATTCACGATAGTATCACCAATATTTCGTCCTACTGCCATGACTAATCCGAGACTTTATCACATATTTATGAAGGACATTATCTCATTGGAAGCTCAGCAAGTGCACTATATTACATTTAAGTAAAGGCAGTGTGGAAGAGTGCTTCTAGTATGAGGGCTGGGTTGATGAAGAGTCGGCGGAACAAGAAGATTGGAGGTGAAATGATAGCAATGAGAGAAGTCGAGACTGCAAGCAAAGTGAGCATGATGTTCATTAGACTGGAAGATCCAGAGTTGGTTAGGCATGACAGCAGATGAACAATTGTCACCTTTCTGTCCCAAATCCCTCAGGCTCACACATCTAGCCCTTCCCAGTTTGTCATTTCCTCTCTGACCAGAGCCCCTCATGCTTGCATGTCTGCGCTTTCCCATGACCATCATCACCTCCTTTTGGGCCCAAGCCCCTTGAGTCTGTGGGTCCACCCAGTGCAGCAAAGAGTGCCTAGAAATCATGAGCATCCAATCAAATAGGAAAAATATTGAGTACCTTTTCCAGCTTTGGTATGCATGCGATTGCTGTCAGGTTCCACTCCATTCTCCTCAATGAGAGAGGTGGTTTTCCCCAGAAGAGCGTGCACTATTCGAAGGTCAGCATGTTGAAAAGAGTGTGTGAAAAATTAACTTACGTTTTGGTTGCGGTATTGAGATGAGTGTGTTTACCTGCACTGCAGGTCACTCTGCCTCCCCCATAATTATGTAAAACGTGCCACTTTTGCTTACGTGTTGTATTCCGCATTGTATTACCTGCACAGCCGTCCGGGTGAAATTACGCCATTTCTGCCACTTGTGCTGACGTGTTCATTTTCCATTTAGGTTTCATGACCTTGTGACTTTTATATTTATAACGTACAATTGGTAGACAAATCAAGTGAGATTGGCAAAACCCAACGTGAGCGTCACCTACGAATCTCTGAGGCTTGATTTTGGGCTCTTTTGGTAGAGGAGAATTAGATCTATCCACGTACCGAGTTTAGGGGTGAATGCCCAACTACTTCAGGAGTTAATATGAAGAACTCTGCCCTTCACAATGTCAGCGCTTAGTCCAAGCACACCTGAATGCGCGCCCAGCGCTTACCTGGCCAAAATTCCCCTTACTTGTATCTGCACCCCTACCTGCCTTACTCGTCGTGCTAGGCTGCGTCCGATGACACAGCCACAGCCTGCATCTGCTAAAATACTGTGTCGTACTCATGAATTGGCATGTCAGCCTGCGATGCGGCCCATTCTTGAAGGGATGCAGCAGACACATGCCCAACTGCGCAGCTCTTGGTCCAACCCCCCCACTGCTGCTGCACCCCCGCTTGCCCTGCCACATGGGCGCTTTGGGCAAGGGAAGGAGATTTATTAGTCGATACTATTGACCAATTTTCAGTGCGCTTGTCTTATCCTCATTTGTACACTTGTCCCCCCCCAAGTCGCTGTCCTGATGTCCTCTTTCTGCTCCCCATTTTCCTATTTGTTTCCTATTATCCGGAACACTTCCGCTATTGTCTCCACACACTTGACATAGCCCGATGCCATGATTCGGGATCTCTCCTGAGCATAGAACATCTATGCACTCTTTTTGTGTGGAATAATGATTTAATCATGGTTCACTTTTTTCTGTACAACTGACTAGGGTGTTGAAAAGCAGTGCAGGTCAGCGCGTGCGAAGGCACGCACTCTAGTAGCAGGATTACAGATCAAAAGAAGCTAGACGGTTGATGTAGATGTATGATAAAGTTATCTCTGGTACTGTCATATGCAAGTGTCCATTCAAGGCCTACCCAGATGTTGGTGGAATGGAAGGATTGCGGTTTGGGGCTTGGGGCTTGGGGCTTGGGAGGTGATGACAGCAATATTGATGAGTAACGCGTTTCAGACTGAGTTCGGTGCATCACAACCATTCCAAAGCCTGTTCCAGGCACAGGACTACCCAGCAGGACACTTGGACACATTCTGAGTAGGCAGCGCTACATTGTTGGGGACACTGAGAGGGAGAAAAAGGTTAAGTCCGAATCAGGTGGACTCGGACCAAACAAAAACAAATAATGATCGTGACCGCGCAGCACTCGTTCATTCTGACCACCTGAGTCTAGGGCCATCGGATTTCTTTCGGTCAAGGTCACTAGGATGCTCGGAAAGTCAAGCAGCCATACCCAAACGTCTGGTGTGCACTAACTTAACAGCCACGCGACTTTGCATCTTTGAGTGTTCGCAGCTACCACTTCTGGGAGAACCATAGGGGGTCAAGGACATTTGTACGCCCATTTTAGCCTCAATAGCTAGCTTTTGGGACTCAGAGCTGACTTCGCTTGATTGGGAATGGTCTGCTCCAGCCAGCATTTGGGTTATCCGGGAGCCGATGCACCTTCCGACCGCTTCTGTGCAACTCCATAGCCCGTCAAATCCCTCTGAACTTCGTATGCACATTTGACGGCTCTCTGGGACCATTTAAGGGATCTCAGTTACATGGACTTGGCTCGAACTCAGTATGGATGCCATTTCTCCACATGCTCAACCCCTGCGCTCTGGGCCATGTTTCTTTAGGAGATCGCCTGCTTTCACTGCATCTTTTGGGATGGGCTCTTGAGCATTTAGGACTAGCTTAACTTGCTCTGGATAACGAATTTATTGATTAATTATTGCCACCCGCACGTTAGTTTGGACTTGTATTGTTTCCTATAATTTCATCGCACATTTCATTCGGGCCTTGGAAACGTGCATATGTAGATACTGAATTGAAATCATATTCGGCACTCGAAAATTTGCTGCAACTTTGTCTGAGTGCACACGCGATAAAAATCCTGCTCTATTCGGCCTCCAGAAAGCTGTGGGGGCAGTCCGTGAAATTACGTGATTAAATCGTGCTCCCCTCAGCCCCCACCAAGCCGGAGGTGATGGTCTGTGAAATGACATGATAGTTGACAAAATCCTGCTTCCAATAATCCCGCAGTGGTGTAGGATTTTTCATTCATATTACATGACCTTATCATGGAATCACTTTCCTCAGTGCGTACACGAGTTCTGTTGGTCCTTTTATACATGGGCTACGCCGCTGACGTGTCCACCGCATAAAGGGCGCACAAAGGGTAAAAAGAGGGCGAAGGTTCATGTAAAACCCTCAAACTTCACTTCACCATCAGTTTGTGTCTCAGCAATCGCCACCCGGTACGTCGGAACCGGTTGTTGAAATTCCAACACAACATACAGTGGACAACAGGCACCCGTGGGAACCGATGATCATCGTAACGCCTGTTTCCTCGATTGTGTTCTGAGCAAACCGACCCCCTCTTTGCTGTGCTGCGTCATGATATGTCGTTTCTGTGCCAACTCTTCCAAGGGATTTTGGGAGCGGGGCGTAGCCACCTTCCCCTGATGGTCCGCGACCCAGTCCTAGACCCTTGAGGCGGTGTTGATCCAGTACATCGACGAATTGAACCTTCACGACCATATGAAAAAGCGCCATGGCGACGCGAACCCCAGGCCTTTGCCCGCTAGTACTTCGATCGCGCCCAGTTCGTTCGGAAGCGGCATAGCCTTTGACACTTCTATATTCTGCTGCATCTACCACTAGAACCAATCTAGTGCTCATTGTTACTGGGGTTACAGTAATGGCAGCCGCTGAGGAAGAGTGTCATATTTCGGTCGGTGTCGCGCCTCGGCGAACCATGCGGTCGCCTATCCCATCACTTCTTAGCGTGTCCATAACATTGACAGCAAGTATTCGGGATATGGTTTCACGGTTACGGGATATGATACTTCCGGACCCTGGAATAGAGTCATGAATCCATTTTTGAGCGCGTCTGAGCAGCATTGGGGCGTTGAAGGGCCTGCGTATGTGCCCACCTGATGACTTTGTTTTCGCTATAAGTTCAAGTTAGAAAATAGTCAAGTCCGTCATGGTACAGGTGTGCTGGTGACGGGGGTTACGTATGGTTTCCCGTCAAATCGTTGATTCGCGCGGGGCGCGGTCTCTGCGCTTGAGCTGTGTTGTTACATAGTGGCCCGTCTTCTTCCAGCTGCATGGGCGTATCAATGGCCGCGTAATCTTTGCTCCCACTTAAATTATACTCTGGTACTCCGTCCCAGAGTTTCGCTACCCCCGTGGCGGCGCAGCTTTTCAGCTATTTGCGTTCGGCATATTTCTCCTTATGTTCGGTACCTCCATTTTGCTTGCCTTTGGCGCCTCCATCCTCAGGACTGGAGCAAATCCCATCTTAGCACCTCGGTCTACTTCCGCAACCCCCATGACTTCGAGTGAGGAGCTGGATTTTGCTGTCCCTGCTCAGTTCGCATCCGCAGCGTATTGCGACCCCGTTAAAGTCTCCACATGGTCTTGCGGGTGTAAGAAACGACAATTAATTATTGTTCGGATGTGACTATTTGATGTAATTTCATTCTCTAGCAAACTGTGATGCTCTGCCCGACGTCAAAATATACGCCACAGGAGGCGATGGATCCAGTATCCAGTACTGTGCGTTTCTATGCATGTTCACTCACAGGCAGCACACTACATTCAGCAGTCTAAGATGTTCCCCGCCAACAGGGTACGTTGGCTATGATGGGTGGAATCTTGGGGCCATAGTTGTCGGACACCAGGGAACGAACCTATCTTCATTGGCGGCTGGCCTCACTGATGTGGAACTCTTTCTCGAACCCTTAAATTCGACACTCTTTCCTGGTCTCTCCTCAAGTATCATGGTCCATAGCGGCTTCTCGAACGCCCACTCTCGCTCTGCTCGAGATGTTTTGGCAGGGGTGCAGGCCGCAATGGCCGATACTGGCTGCAAAAACGTCTGGATGGTGGGGCACTCTTTAGGTTGGTACACATCCAACGTCGATCTTTTGGTTCCAGCTGACTTGCATCGATGCAGGAGGGGCCATCGCTCTTCTCGATTCAGTCTATCTTCCTGTTCATCTCCCTTCCAATACGACCTTCTACACCAACACTTTTGGTATGCCTCGCGTTGGTAACCAAGACTTTGCTGATTACGGTGAGTTGAATTATCTCGAGCTCTCTGTAAACTCTTTCATGCCTTTTCACTTTTTGTTAGTTGATGCTAACGTCAAGAACTTCGCTCGTGTCACAAAGTAAGCATCATTCCGATCGAACGACGGCGGTATCGAGGAATGCGTTTCAATAGTAAACTTGATCCTATCTCGATCGTTCCGGGTCAATTCCTAGGCTTCCATCACCCATCTTGCGAAAGGCACATCGTCACTTCTGGCACAGCTGACGGAGACTGGTACAATTGCGATGGGCAGGATAACACCAGCAAGAATTGCTCTGTGGGCGCTGTGGGTGACATTTTAGATGGAAGCATTTCTGAGTGAGCGGTGGTTCATCAATACGAACTATTTCTACCTTGTACTGAAATGGGTTTTTGCAGTCACAGTGGGCCTTACGGGCCAGTCCGTATCGGTTGTTGAGTGACTCGCGCCACATTTGGATTGTTTGTGTAAGACAGTTGCTCGGAACCCGTAAATCGATCTTTGGCTCGTAATCGTCCATCAATAACTACCCGCACGATCCCTTACTAATTGAACATCAATGAACTTTTATTTTTGTTTTATTTTTTGGTGGAGCCTCGCGGTGGGGAGTTCGCATAATGAACCTGTAAAATTACATCGTTTAATGTACTTATGTCGTGTGGCCAAATATTCAATACTTTGGCTATGAGATTGATCCACGCCTCACGAAGATGTCCGAGGGAAAGGGAAGCCATCCTTTAGTATACGCAGCGAGGCCATTGAACAAAACAAATGGGCAAACAAGTAAAGGCTTGCCACTCCTCATCAACTCCACTCGTTCGTCATGAATTATCTAGTTTGATCTACTAATACGGACTTCGACAGCACAACGTAACAGGGGGTTTGAGTCCCTCCTGGATAATCTTCAGGTTCACTACATCTACAAGGCCATGAGCTACCAGTGGAAAGTTCTCTCTCGCAACACAGCTGTGAATGTGCACGCTGGATACTTGTATGGGAGGCATATGGACTAATTATCAATTCCTTTGCTTTTTTGAAAGACGAAGGAAAGGTCTCTATCGGCATCGTAGAAGGAACGGCACAGTAGGGGAAAAGGGGGCGGTGCTTCGTTGGCGTCGAGTTAGTAGGATCTACGATGGATACCCCAACCTATGCTTCAATATTGACTGGTGGAGAAGGAAAAGGGGAAGGGGAGAAAGGGAAAAGCTATAGTGATCCTACGACATCTATATTTGACAGTTTGACTACAGACAATTGGATTTATCTTGGTTCTGCAAAAATTATGGGCTTTACATTATTGTACACCACTGGTAATGGCCGAATTCATCAGTTTACAGAAACCGAAACATTATAAAGGACTTCTCTCACTGAAATGGCCTTCTCATACAACGTTGGTGGTTTCACTGGGTCACAGAGTCGTGCCACTTCCTTTACAGCGACAGTCCAACAAACAGGGGAAGTAGTCTTGATATAAACCTGACCTTCGATAACATGGTTAGAGGTGGATACAAGCCCATCGAAGGATGACTCTTCCTCTTCTGTGGCGGCCGCGTATGAGCTTGCGGAAGTGTGGATCGGTAACACGCAGCACCCACCGAGGTTCCATTCAAATCCTTTCAGTGTCAGCGTTGTTGATTGAACTCCGACTGGGAGAATCCCACATGTCTTGCCCAGGACCGATGAATCCACCGCTATTGTATGCTCCCCCTTGGAAATGATAAGAAACAAGTCCGCCCGGCACATCAGGGGACGCACTTCGTCCAGAACCCAAGCAAGACTGTCGTCGGTGATCGCCATTATTCGGGGGCGAACCCGCCGCTGCTTGTGCAAATACGATAGAGTATGTATCGTTTGATCCAAACGCCCACTCAATCCGCCTAGCAAAATGATATTGTACTGCTTTGGAGGGCGTGAATAGGGATTAATATTGGGGGATTTGACACTAACTATATTGCCACCGGCTAACTCTTCCAGTTGATGCAACGACGCCACACATTTCATGAGGTCAGTAGCGTTCACGTCCTCGTCTTTCTCGACTGGGACATTCTGAGAACATGCTAATGCTATCACCGGTATTTCCCCATTTTCATGGGCAGAGTGCTACCTTTGAGGTGTAGTATAGTTTAACCTCGTCTCGCACAGAGTCCAAGTCACCTTTCACAAGGTCCGGCAGATACCTAGACACCTCTAAGTAAATCAAACAAACATTACTTTCACTTTTAGGACTTACGATGCCCTATCTTGACGGGGCAGAACATCGTAGAGGCGATTTGCTCCTCCGTCCGCACAAGCCTTCCAAGCACCTTAGCCAAAATGGAACCAATTAGTACTATCCAAAAGCCCCATAGGCGTTCATAACACACACTTCGGCCACAAGATGTCAAGGAGGGTCTTTGAGAAAGGTTGATTGAGAATAATAAGGGCCCATGGAGTGGACGAAGTGCTATCGAGGGTGGTTCCCGCCTCGGAAAGGAACGGCACAGACCAAAACTGGTGATTCATGGAACGAATACACTTAATAAGGGCAACACGGCTGTTGTTGAGGAGGATTAATTAGAGTTGAGCCCTTTCTGCTGAATCCCGCCGGGTTGTGTCGTGTGACGAAGGTTCGTGTGACGGCTTTCGTGACGCTGACTCATCAGGTACTCAAATGTCTGCTAGTGCGCGAATATTGGCACAGAAGAAAGAATACGATGCCGTCGAAGGGTTAGAGCACAATGCTCATGCGTTGCGAGAGACGTTCCTTGCTTTCGCGAAGCAACTCAAGTCAGCGCAAGACGGAGCTCAGTGTGAGCTTTTCAACCTATTCTACTTGCATGATGCTGGCGTTATCCTCACTTGGGTCCAATAGCAATCGGAAATGTGCTAGCCAATTGGCCACATATGTTCTCCGTCATAAGCTCCTTTGGTAAAGTTTCGCGTTGCGAAGCTATACTGTAGGAATTCACACCATATTTAAACAGCTCAGGTGCACGAGGCTACAGCGACTGCTTTAGCTTTTAAGGATGCAAATGAACCCACACTAGAGGATCAGCCACCTACTCGATTGGTCCGAGTCATGATTGAGGGCGCTAATGAGGAACCCAGGCCATCGTCGTCAAAATGAACGCAACTGCGGGGAAATTGTGCCACCATTTTTATGAAAGGACTTCAGTCAGATAGTATACCAATTGTAGATTCCTTAACATGCCATCACTTTATAACTTATCACATGTAGAGCTGAAATGTAATGGCTCGGTAACCTCAAGAAACCGTGGAAGGAAGAAACAAAATACTCGGAATCCTCAACCTACTCTCTTTTTTTGTTCCTTCAAGGCTGCGATTCGCTGTGTCGAATCCGTCAGTTTGTTTAATGGAATCGACACAAAATGAATGCGCTCGCACCTGCTTGCGCTCCTCTCGTCTTCTAGCCATTTCCGCTGTCTTCTCTTCCTTGCTCATGCCAGCCATACTTGTCACCGCCGGAGGTGTGGTAGGAACAGGCTCAGGAGGGTCATTCGCCCAGTCTGTGGCGATGGGGACCAAAGGTGACGGTGCCAGTTTGGAAGCTTGGTTTACAGTTGGTGCTGCTGCAGGAGGTAACAGGTTTGTTTTAGGGGTCGGACTAGTGGAGAGATCAGGTGTCGCTTTCGGAGACAGGCTCAGGCGTGCCACGTCAGTTGGAGTTGGCACCTCAGACTCGAGCATATCGCCCCATGCATCTCCTGTGTCAACGGGGGCAGGCGCGCTCTCGAACTCGGCTTTCATAAATAAGAACCGAAGATGAGGAGGATAAAGAACACCAATGAATGCTACTTACTCCAATCATCGGCATCTGCATGGACATCCATGAGATCGTCGTTCCAGGCATCTTTCTTCCCTCTCGCAAGCTCTCTCTCCAGCTCCAGAGGCACGCCTGATGTCGAAGAGGTGCCTGTGACATGCTTACTAGCTCCAAGCTGGAGGGCTTTGGCTTTGATACTGGATGGAGCAGTGGGCCCCGGTGAATTGGTGCTGGTGATACCAGACGGAGCAGATAAAACAGAAGTAGCGGACCCAGATTGGCCATTTTGCAGAGGACTTGCCGATGGTCGACGAGCCCCAGCAATTGCTGATTGCGCCTCTATTCCCGTTAGCTATAGGCGGACAGTTAGAACCGATCGGACACTAGGAAGCAATACTTGCTGTTATGTTCAAGGAGGACATGGCCCATCCAGCAAGAGCAGTGGCTGCGCCGGCAGCCGAGTTGACAAGTGCAGCTTGACCGGTCGGCGGACCCGAATAAGTTGTGTTTGAATTTTGGGGCACGTCTGGGGATATTGCAGATTCGGGCTGTGAGAGTTGAAAGTTTGCCAGTAACAATTGTTGAGATCGAACACACAAACCATAGTCTGAGCATGCGCTTCGAGCTTCTTCAGAAACAATTCCATGGCTTTGAACGCTTGATCACGGACAAGTCTGAGGGAAATGATAAGGTTGTCATGAGATTGGCTGTCTGGTGTTGCCTGAGGAATGCCTTACTTTTCCTTGTCCACAAGCGCGAAGGACACCGCCGGAATGACTTTACCAGCCAAGTCATCCATATCGTAACACTGCATGGTCGCCATTAAGGCCATTACGCCTGCTACTCGGGCATGCACGAAATTGTCCTTTATTGCGCGGGTGAATGCAGGTACAAGGACTTTCTTCTGGGTGTTAACTGCTAACTTAGGAGCAAGACGACCTATCAGGATGCAAGTGTTGGTACGTATGGAAGCCTCAGTGTCTAGCTGTAATTTGGCGAGGTGACGGAGCAATTCGTTATTCAGTATGCGGTCTGATAGCTTGAAACGCTAGGTGAGCAGGTCGTTCAGCAGCAAGTTAATAGAATCTTACATGGGGGGCCAGCGAGCCGATGGAGCGAACGGTTACCTCCCGAATTACAGCAACGGTATCCGAAAAACCAGTTTGCTGAGAATTCACATGAGACCCAAAAATTTGGACTCTGAGTGAGATTACGCACCAGGTGAGGCCATATCTTTTCCACAACCGTTTTTTGGTTCAACTTGTCGACGAACTCAGAAAGATGTTCTAGTAGTGCTACCCTGGTACCTCGGTCAGGAGTTGCAAATAGCTTCACAACCGGGCCGAGAACTATGGAGGAATATTCTTCTGGAGCAACTAGCTTCCCGAGTTGAAGGACTAAAGGGAGGAGGATATTCGCGGAGGCTCCCCCGTGGTCCAGTACTGTGACTAATGATGGAAGCACCTTGTGTGAGGCAAACTCAACAGGAAACGAATCAGCAGACTCCTTCAAGGATCTACAAGTGATATGGAGTGTTGAGAGAGGCGAGTGAAATTGAAGGATCGTCGTACCGTATGAGATTGGCTTTATCCCCTTCGCTACTTAGAGCGAAACCATCCAAGCCTGCACATATTTTCACTAGTTTGTTCTCAGAGAAAAAGCCTGATCCCTCCGCCATCTGTGTACCTGTTCCAATGTCGAGGAATGACTTGGACGACAAGCGTGGCTTAGGTTTTGGACGAGTAGGCGTTTGAATGATGGGAATAGGCTGGAAGGGATTAATCCACGCGACGCAGTTGTTGGGGCGGGGTGGGGAGGAATCGAGGTTGGAGGTAAGGGAAGTGTAGGATTGAAGATGGTATGGATAAACAATCCAAGTTCGTAACTGTCGGTGGCTGAAACAGGAGAACTGGGAAAAGTGAGCTGCATAGGTCATGGAATGAAGTAACCCCGCTAACTCACTCCTTCGTAGAAGACCAACCCCCTTGTTTCACCTCTGGAGCTGTGAACGGCGCCAAATCTGGCAACAGTGACCCATATTGCTAGCACACAATCAGGTCCAGGGAATGAATTTAGCATGAAGCCCCACAACGCACATATAAAACTGCAGCTTCGTCCGATGGATTCGAAAGGAGCTCGAATCCACCGAGCCTCCACTCTCCAGATGGTGAGACGAATATAGAGTCGGTACGAAGGTTTCCATGAGTGGATTGGCAAGAGTCATTTATAAATGCTAGGGCAATCTATTATGAGGCAACTTCATCCTTCATGAAGAATCGGGTGGCGGGAGGAGCAAGTTTGCTCACAGTTATTCGATGCAAACCCCAGATCAGCCATTCCTCTTTTGACGTAGGGGACTTATCCCCCAAGGCAGACAAAGAAACTCCAAGTGGTCTCACTCTTTCGGTCATAATATATATCGTCGTGTCGTTCTCTACGACGCCAATAAACTTGAGTACATCAGGATGTCGGATGGTGCGCAGTTTGCGCAGCGCATTGCGAGCTAGAGGGTAAAAGGACTTCCGGCTCGGCGAATTACCATCGAAGTAAAACACAGATATGGGCGAAGAGCCTTCCTATACCACAGCATCTTGTCGGTTCCACAGCGCGCAAGAATCCGAGCATTGTATAATACGCACTCGAGATATAGCGTCGTACAGAGTCCAGATCGAACGCCCTTCATAATACGAGACTTTTTCCCCAAGAGAAAATGGGAGAGTTATCCCGGACTTCTGCAGCAGAGAGGTGGCAGCTGCTGACCCAAGTGTCCTCAAATATTCCATACTTGACGAACCAAAATATTGGAAGTGGGTAGATTTGAATCCGACGGGCACGCCGCGACGCGCCTGTGGCTCGAAGGTGTCACCATGAGCTACAGCATACGCGTCTTGCCCAGCGTGGAAGCGCTAACGGACCCTCCGAAACCTTTGCCTCATATTTCCCCTTCATTTACTTTGAAACATCTCGGGCAGGAACCTGAAGATCCCATCATTGCACGATTCACTCACTCTCTCGAATCCGGCCACGCTAAAATCATTGATGTTGGTCTCGAGCCCGTTAAGAGGGGAACCCTTCATGAATTTCAGCCTCCAGGTGAGAATATATGGCTTTCTACACCCCAAACAATAGCCAAAGTGAAGGATTCCATTGTATGGTGTTGCAATTTTGCTGACTGCATGGTCGAAAGGATAATGTGCTTTCGTGGGACAGTTTCCAGAATCCACCGACGTCCATAGGGGAAACACCGTACTTGTCGGAGAGCCTGGATGGAACGTTTGTTGCTTCCCGATTTCAGTGAGGAGACCGTGACTGCCGCATTCCTGTCACCTAATTTCTTTGAAGCGTTCAGCCATATATCAAGACCGAGACATCTCATTTTATTCATGTATCTGCAGAAGAATTTCACCGGTGCATGTCTTTGACTTTGTTCGGCAACTCCTCAACCTTGTTCACCTGGGATCGAACAAAGGACGCCTTCAGACCTGCCAGCACCGGGGACGCTATCCAATGCATCCTGACTATTGAAGCTATCGGCGAGGCGTCGGTGTCGAGGTGAGCTTTTCCATCATTTAAAACGATAACGGACAGCTGTTCATTGTACCATTCAGTATTCTAGGACGCTTCCTTTCAATCGGAGCGATGTTAAGACGCGTCGAGGAGGTGGTTCTGAAGCTTCGTGCTGAGTAGGTTGATGTATTTCTAAGGACTTTCCGAGCTCAACGTTTCATAAGATCTCCTGGGAGTGTAGCGGCATCATTTGCTCATGGACTTGCAAACATAATTGAGCACATGCACTCAGTTTCTCTTCCACGCATTCATGCCGTGCATCCAAAACACCTCTTGTCACTGTGGCTTGAGTATGAGGAGCTTGAAGAAGTTTTACTAGCCCTTGCTTCTTTGTGCAATCGGGTATGTGATGCGAATGATCAGATCTGCATGGGACTTACGTTTGGAATGCAGGGACCAGGCCATTCTCCCCCTTTCCCGCCTTTCTTCACTGAGTCAGCCAAGCTTACCTCCAGGATATATAATCATTTAGCGACTCACGTACGCTTGAGCTCTTCTCATGCGATCAGGTGCAATTTGGCGTATCTCCTTACTGTAACATCTCATAGCACCCTCCGCCGAATGGGTGAATCCATCGGCCTGATTGCCACTGATGCTGCTCGGAAAACTGGGAAGGGGATCGACCCTCTCTATGATGATGATGACACTTTACGAACTCATGCTCTTATTGATAATCTCCCTTCATTCATCCCCCCCCAGTCATCGTCCCTCATTGACCGTGCCCGAAGGTCTCTTGAGCTACTCCGAGTTGCAAAGCCTGATCATCCTGCATGTCACAAGGACGATTTGTGGGAAGCATTGTGTGTTGGATGGGTTTGGACTCAAACAGGTCTCGAAGGTCTCATTGTTTCAATGGAGAAACACGTTAAGGACCTCAGTTTTAGAATTGATGACTGGCGTCAGCGCGCAACTAATCCGGACAATCGGTCCTCCGTATCCTCCGTTTTCCATGTCCCTCCCAAGGCCGACGACATCCAAGTTGTCAACCCCCTTATGCCAACAGTGACTAATAGACTCAAGGGCACCTTTGATGGATTCAAACTGTTTGATTTGGAGCCAGGGGCACATTTGGCACAATTCAATTCCTTAGCGCAACGCCCGGGTTCTTCGTACGACAGTTTTATCCATAAATTTCCCGATCAACTCCCATTAGCCGCCCCGACGCTCGAGATGCTTATGGAAGCAACATGTCTGCAGCCACTGCTAGCACACTCAAAAATCTTGTCATCATCACTTCGAGATCTTTTTCTGTCCGACCTCGGCTTCCTCTCTCATGTTGATCTCCTCCATCGCTTCCTTCTGATGGGAGACTCATCCTTTGCTTCCAGATTGCGTCGCGCTTTATTTACTGAGGAGAAGGAAGACGAGGACTCTATTGGACGTGTTCAATCGCGGGGTCGCAGCAAGTCAAGGCGAAGTAAACGCAAAGGTATTTGGGGAGTTGGTCTTAACCCGAACCTCAATGATCGAGGGACCTGGCCGCCTGGAGGCTCTGAGCTTGCATTCTCTCTGCGACGGGTGATTGTAGATACATTGGATGAAGCCAGATTGGAATCTGAGGACGGCGAAAGGAGGACCGGCGGGGGTCGTCTGCGGGATGCGATTTGGAAGGAGGGAGAATGGCGGTTGGGATTTGTGATCCGGCCGGCAGAAGAGGATGATCAGGATGACCCAAGCTGGCTGGATCCGACCAGTGAGTTTGACTAACCCTGCAGGCACACGGTCACTGACCTATCAAAGCTGTGCATGCATTGGATTTTCTGGACATGAATTACAAACCCCCGGAAACGTTGCTGACGTTGTTGAGCCCGGAGCTCTTAGAGAAGTATAAACGCGTGTTCGCTTTCCTACTGAAGCTGTTACGAGGTATGTTGGTCGTAGTTTTATTACCGCTGGTGCCTCGCTTCACATGCCCTTGTAGTGGACACTGTATGCCGTATGCTCTATCGATTTTCCCGCGGCAACACATCCAATCTCTGTAGCCGTCGGGTACCAAGGCTGGCTCTGCACACCTTCGCCTTTCAGGCGCAGTCATTCATCAACTCGTTCGTGGCTTATGTTCAGGATTGTGCAATTCGGACTCACCACGATGCCTTCACTGGGCGTCTATTGAAGCTTGTTCATGGTATCCCAGGCACCCATTCTGGGCATCGGTTGACAGACGATAGCTATGACTCGGATGACGCATCCGATGACTTGTCCGATATATTCTCTGTTTTGGCATACCACCTCAAAACAATGGACGATATATTAGAGGCATGTCTGCTTAAAGCGAGACATAGGACTATTGTTGGGGTGGTAGTGGAAGAATGTCTGCACATTATTCTTAGCTTTGGACAGCTCATCTCCGATGTCGCGGAAGGAAAATTGGAGGCACAAGCTAGTGGGGAACGTGTAATCGGGTTGCAACACGAGTTCCATGAAGCCGTCAGAAGACTGGTAAGAGTGCCTTTTGATGTGGGGATCAAGTGACTTGCAGCTTACTGCATCTTTCGCCTGCAAAAGCTTGAGGGCCTCAAACTGCTCATCGAGCGTGGTCAGGGGAAGCGGGCCACTCAAGTGGGTCTTGACTTAAGCATGGATGGAATCTCCAAGAGAGATCAAGAATTAATCTCACGGTATTCGAATCCAGGAGGCAATGCGGGCGGTTTCCACCAGCTGCTTGTGCGGCTCGACAGTACGGGTTGGTACGCCGCAAATGACCGCTAGGAAGAGATCCCTTGCTTTGTGCATTTCTTTATTTATGTATATATATTATTTGCTACTACAAATGTTTGGGGTAATTCACACAGAATACCTCTCGGCAAGTACGTACTTCGATAACTCTTGCACTGTGAATGATCAATGGCTTGTGCAAAGAAAAACAGGATAGATTGGGTGATGCCATATAACGTGGACCTTAATTAACATCTCATTTATGTTACCATGGAATCGAGGGGAAAAGGATTGTGGCCGGTCAAGCTACAGGTTCTGAGCGAGGGACATTTTCTCTATCACTTTTCCATGCCGATGGCGTCTAGGGCAGGATTTTGAAGCGTGCCCGATGGTGGCTCAGGCCCCAAGTCTCCGCTTGTATTGATCTTTTCGCTTTCAGTCCTCTTTCTTGCTCTCCATCTGGTTTGCATTATTGTGTGAGGGTGGCTGCTGGCTTTTGTTGTTGCAGTAAATATTTTTGAACATGGAATGCAGGATAGCGGCGGGTTGAGAAATAGTTGATTAAGCTCGCGAGCCAGACAGCAAAAAAAGACGGCGTTGAGGCAGCGACAAGGCTGATGAAAGAGCTTTCTTCAGGGCGCTGTCATTCATATGAACTCAAGATCAATGGGACCATTAGTCGTCCCCAGTACGATAGTACTTGTCGGCAGCTCCTCTCGAACCCCCCAATACCAGGATCCTTCTGAATAACCTCTGTTCTCACCAAACCGAAGTTGTGGAGAGCGGCCACCACCTGAAGGGTCATCCTCAAGACCGAGGAGGCCTTGGGAACGGACACAGGAGCATTAGTCGAAAGCAGTTTAAAAACGCCTTCAAATGCACGGTACACCATTGCGTTTATGGGAGCATTCGTAGTCACCGCGCTCAGCGATACCTGGGACTGCAATGGGACGTGCAGGATGCGAGCACCAATTTTCCCGTTAGTGGTTGCAATATCAAGGTCGAAGTATCCTCCTGGCGAAGAGCTGGACTGGTTCGTGGACAGATTCATCGATGTGCTAATGAATCTGGAGGATAGCCACTACTCAAAGAAGAGCATTATTGGAGAAAGATGGTTACGTACCCATTGCTGGTGTGAACACTCAGCTTCGTGGCCTTTTCACTCCCGGGATGATTAAGGAGATTCGCCTCCACATTGATCGGCGCATTGGATGTCTTCAGAGTTAGTGAGTTATGGGCAGTGAAACGTCCATGGACGCGCTCATTGGATGTGTACACAGAAATATTGCGAGCAATAAGGGACTAAACGAAAGGTCTGAAGCTGCATCATCTCTTGTCCCGCGAGACGTACCTCAGAAAATACTCCTGAGTTAGATCCAAGGATAGTGACGGCATCAAACTCCCTTGAGCTTAAGTCTCGCACGAGTGCATGAAATTGGGCAGCGATGTGTCGAGCCGTACAATAGGAGAATATCTTCCAATCGGCACCAGAACCATGACATTGAAGTCGAGCATATGTCGGTCAAAGGGAAGCCATCTCCATCCTTTCCTCGAGGTCTGAAACTGGATGTTAGTTGGATTTGGACTCGGAAATCTATACTCACAAATATGCCAAACCCTCTGGACACCTCATCTCTTTCAAGCAAGCACATGTTAAATGTCGCTAACGCACCCAAATCCCATGACGAAACATTAATCTCGAAAACCACTTGGTTCACCGATTTGGATGGTTTGACCTCGATGAACCCACGGGCATGATCCCCCTCGAAACTAGGTACAGAGTTTCTGGAAGTGGCTGTAGCACATACCGAGCACTTAGCTGGTATGGCCCGATGCCAGGAGGGGGATATGGGTCATCAGTGGCAAACGTTGCAAACGATCCTTGGGGAGGGTGAGCCCCGTTGGCCACCAAGTTGTAGAGACTCTGGTGCGCCGCGTGAAATTCAAAAAGCTCAGCCTGGCACGCGTTTCTACCAAATTTCAACCCATCACTGATCTCTGGTTCTGCAGGTTTGCCCTGCGGAAGCGGTGCAGATTGAGAGTGATTGAACTGCCCGCAAAATAGGACTAACCCATTTACGCAGTAGTTTAACGTGGCGGCCAAATAAAGTCCGAAGAGAAGCCACAAAAGCGCCCAAAGGAGGAGACTAAAATCGACAGTGAGGACTAAATCCACTCAGATGACTCAGTTTGGCGCACCTCATGAACAAAGCAGACAAGAAGCGCCTTCGAGCCCTTCGGCGCACAGAAAAACTATGCTCATTAGGAGGCAAAAGAGGCTCGCCTGGTCCACCTGAAGGGATTGCCTCATACGCAGGGGGTGGACCCATTGGCTGTGGAGGTCCCGATAATCCCGAAACGAGCCAGGGGTCTTTACTCTCGCCTTGCTGTCGCCTTCTGTGATTATCATTGGGAGAAAACTGCGACCTTGGTCGTGTAGAAAATAAGGCGTTACGGGCTACGACTTCGTAATATTATATAGGGCTGCGAGCGAGCTGCGGCTCGGGTCAAGTATCCCCCCACACGTGATGGCGATAAATAGCTGACAGGATATGTCGAGTTAGGAACCCACGGGTATTGCGACAGTGCCCACCACTTCCATGACGGTGCACGATTGTTTTGAGCGCGCAAGGAAGATAGATCGAATTGGCGATAGAATTTAACAATTTGGGCAACACGTGAATCGGAACTGCCCGATAATTGGCTCCCATTCAAAAGTGCATCCCAGCACATCGAAAACACCTAGATCAACCTGACGCGCTTTCGTGATGTCGAACAGTCTTGAGCTTCTGAACCCGAATGCACAAAGCGTGAGGCGCGCTGCTGCGCTCCAAGTCAATACCACAGGCGCGATGGGGCTTGCAACGTCGTGAAAAGCAATCTTGGTACTTGCGCGTCATTCGATCAAGTTTGCCCACACCTCATGTTTTATGTTGAAATGTAGGGCCACGAGGGACAACCAAGATGCTGGTGGATGGTGCGGGTCAGATCAAGTTGACCAAGGTGAACCAGTTATAAGACTTAAATTAAATCATGAGCTGCAATCTGTTATTCTCAGGACGGGAAGGTCTTGTTATCGGAAATGCAAATCCAAGTACGAGGTCATGTTTCCAATCATGCCAGACCATGTTAACATGAAGTGTCTAGAACCCCACAGCAGCGATGATTGCACGTACAGCTGTCGCGCAGGATGATCAAGTTGGCGACGGAACAACGTCTGTTGTCCTTCTCGTGGGCGAGCTTCTGAAGCAAGCGGATCGCTACATATCAGAGGGGGTTCATCCTACCGTCGTCGCAGAGGGGTTCGATATCGCCAAAAAAGAGGCTCTAGCTGTCAGACCGGCAACTTCACCTCTCCAACTCTGCACTAACTTATTTACTCACAGTTTTTGGATACATTCCGTGTCAGAAGAAATCTCGATAGAGCCACTCTAATAAACGTTTCTCATACTTCGCTCGAAACTAAACTTCAGCCTCGTCTGGCCAAGCAGCTCGCCGCGGACGTTGTGGACGCAGTTCTGACCATCAGACCAAAACCTCCCATAACAGGTGTCGAAGCTATCCAGGAACCTATCGATCTCCACATGGTCGAGATTATGAAGATGCAGCACCGGACAGAGCTCGATACGCAACTCGTTCGCGGTCTCGTGTTAGATCATGGCGCTCGGCATCCTGACATGCCCAAACGTGTGGGGAACGCTTACATATTGACGCTGAATGTTTCATTGGAATACGAGAAGACGTGCGTTCCGTGCATCATCTATGACGGCATGAAGTTAATTAGCTTCCGTCTTCAGCGAGGTCAACTCCGGTTTCTTTTACTCAACAGCGGAGCAGAGAGAGAAGCTTGTTGAATCGGAGCGTCGTTTTGTGGACGCAAAGCTAAAAAAGATCGTGGAGCTGAAGAAGCTCGTGTGTGATCAGCCTATTGACGAGACTGGAAAGACAAAATCAAAACCAAAGAATTTTGTTGTCATCAATCAGAAGGGCATCGATCCTCTCTCTTTGGACATCCTTGTGAAGAATGGAATTCTCGCTCTGCGACGTGCGAAGAGGCGGAATATGGAGAGGTACGGTTTTGGAGACCCTTACCTGCAAAACGACTGAAACCGAGAAACTCGATTCAGACTGCAACTTGTGTGTGGTGGTGTCGCGCAGAACTCAGTCGACGACCTTACCCCTGATGTTTTGGGATGGGCGGGGCTTGTCTACGAGCATACTCTGGGCGAAGAGAAATACACCTTCGTGGAGGAAGTAAAGGATCCGAAGAGCGTTACCCTTCTTATCAAGGGTCAGTCCACAGCTCTAGTCCCATTTATGATACGCCTATTCACGTACCTTCCCCCAGGCCCGAATGCTCACACCATGACCCAAATCAATGACGCGTTGAGAGACGGCTTACGGAGTGTGAAGAATGCAATTGAGGATGAGGCATTGATTCCAGGCGCCGGTGCTTTCGAGGTGGCCTGTTCAGCGCACCTTTCGTCGGCTGTTAAAAAAGCTGCCAAGGGGAGGGCCAAGCTTGGTGTACAGGCTTTTGCAGATGCATTATTAATCATCCCGAAAACTCTCGCCGCCAATGGCGGGTTTGATGTTCAGGACTCCATTGTCGCTTTGCAGGTTGGCTAAGCATGTTCAGAAATTTTCAGCGCCCCACCTGACGTGCGTTCCTACTGTAGGATGAGCAAGCAGAAGGCAACGTGGTCGGGCTCAACCTTCAAACTGGGGAACCTTTCGATCCCACAGTAGATGGAATATGGGACAATTACAGGGTCAAGCGTCAGATGCTGCATTCGTGGTCTGTCCTTACATTTCGCTTGTTGATTCTCCGGCATCTTGACTCTTCTCGTTACAGCTCCGTTATTGCTGTCAACTTGCTATCGACGGATGAGATATTAAGAGCGGGTGTCTCAATGACAAGACCAGAGAATCCAGGACCTCAGTGATTATTACTCCTTGTGGGCATATGTACACCATAAGAATACATGAGCGTCGCAATTCCCACGATATGCCACCCAACCGTATTCACTTGAGTGCAACGTGGTGAATCAGTACAACAGCGACGTTACATGAGCCGGCCGCTTAGTCGATCCCCTTGCCGCACAGAACATTGGTTCTCCGTTGATAACTGAGCTGACACTGTATTTACGAATATTTTGTCACAGTGACCGTGGGAATTTACGTCCCTCACGGTCTCCACAACCCTGTCCTGTTCAATCTTCCGCACACTCACCAAGTTTGCTGTTCTAAGAAAGGGTAAGGGTGCGAGATCCGATCTGAAAGGGTTCATTACCAGTGTTGAGCCGATACGAGCCTGTGATCCCGTCGACCCGCTGAGAGCGAGGGCACACCCAAGGCAACGGCCGAACGAGAGACGCGTCCGACCAATCATCGCAGATCCAAGGGAGTTTTGGCTGATTGCATATCATCCCTGAGCCATGCTACACGCGTCCCTTGATGCATCTCCGCTTTACTATGACCCTATTTCTGGAAAATTCACTCCATCCAAGCCGTCAGGGAGAGCGGATTCCGAACGCAACAAAAGCCATGCAATACGTCCAACTCCCCAGCCACGCCGACCAAAACTCCGTGTTGATGAGAAGCCAACACAGCGAAAGCTCCGGAAAACCGAGAAGCGTCATGGAACCGCGTCGCGCCGTCACCGACGTTCAGGCGCTCGACGTCAAGCTCCAGATCCCTCGATTGAACAAATATCGGAGGGAAATTCTGGCCCCCTCCATAGTTCGAAGTTATCTCCTGACAGTCACACTCGTGAATACCAATCTGAGAGGTTGCAGTCCGTTTCTTCCCCGTTTGTCTGCACCGATAACTTGTCTTCCCCTCACCACATTGGAGAGGTATTGGAGAAAGACGACTCACCAATGGATTCTTCAGCATTACCGGCCAATGGTCTACCATCCTCCAGCTCAAGGTCTCGAACCAATACCCACACCAATGCTGCTGGTGCCTCGAATGAAGTTCCTGAGATAGCATATCTTTCTCCTTCACCGTCCTGCAGTGATTTTTCTCATCAACGAGACGCATCATCATCGACTTGTTTCCCTTGTATTCCAGCCATCCTGGATAACATATACCCTTTCGTTAATCTTGATCTGCCTTCGGAAGTTGACCTGAGGCAGTTGCCTGATGATCCAGTGTCTGTTGAACGTATCCTCGTGGAACGAAGGCGGGCAATAAATTGTTTTATCTCTGTTGCCGCAGAGTACAAACGGAAAGGGATGCCAGAGAATGCGGAGCGCGTAGCCGTGGTTGGGTTGAGGCGTAAGTCATCACTATTTCGGACTGTAACACATGGATCGAAGTTGAAACTTCATCTCAGTTTGGGCAAGTAGAGCAAAAGAACACTCATCCCTGGTCGTCCCCATACTGCTGTTTCTGGCTTCCTTGTGGGTTGATACCAGTCCATCTGAAGAGACAGAAAATGCCAAAGTGGCGTATCAAATGCGTGCCATGGCGTATCTAAGGCAATTTGAGGCGCTCGATGGTGATCGGTGGACAAAGTTTCGTGATATAACGATCGGTGAGCCTTGGATGCAGCTCGTGGAATAGAATCATCCTGCCTATCATCTTTGCGTAGCTGATAAAACGTCGAATCTTCATGACCTCGTTACCTCCCTTCCTATCTCCGTTGGCTGCAATAATCCAGAAAATGACATCACTGATGCTAGTCCGATAGGTTCCTCAGAATCACTGTCGGTGTTAACGGCGGAGCTACAGCAGGAACGGTCATCTAAGCGCACGGCAGAGGACCGCTACCACAAGGCTCTGCTATCTCAGAGGCAGCTCGAGGATGTCCTAATTAAGAAAGACAAATTGATAAGGTCATTGGAGGATGAAGTCAACAGGCTGCATGCCCAGTTTATCGAAGCCGGCACATAGGCTGCTTTCTTTCACAATCCTAGGTCCCACACCTTAGTAGCCGCGCATCAGCTTACGATGCCTTGTGATCCACCAATCTCGTTTACTCACTGTATTATTAATTTTCTTTGCAATCCACATTCGCGATTTGACACACTTTACTCGGCCCCCAGTCATCCATCCCTCGAGATAATGTTCATTGCCGCCGGTACGCAGTGTAATTATTACTAGTTAGTTGACTATGCAGTAGCTATTGTTAATGATCTGGCATGACCACCATCGATAATTTATATTTTTCTATTACTAGGGAATGATTAATTGGTCATCTAAAAATGTAAGGAAGGACATCAGAAACACAAGAGCCTCTAACAGGGGAAGCCACTCCACAACTGCTCCGCCGCCTGTGCCATTGTGGCACCCCTGTAGCATGCGGGAAAAATGTAAATAGACGTTGGCTGGAACGCCAAGAAAAAGTTGTATTTCTACTCAATCCACCCAATACCCCCTACCAAGGGATCGTCGATCAGGATGATGAGGTCAACCACTTCAACCTAACATCTAATATCCTTTCGATCTGTCACCGACATCGATCAATGTTTGTCTTCAACCATTTGGATAATGATTCGGAAGACCATGACACTGGTACTTGTGATGCGCTTTGGCCTCCAGCCCGAGGCCGCTTACACGAGCCATGGCCTATTTTATGAAGACCAAGTTCCAGCCATTAATTTACGTCATTTGCACTGGAATCGTACGAAGCGTATTTGTCCCAATCATTGATCGATCTCGAATCGCTATCGCTTACAGGAGTTTCTGAGAGCAAAAGCCGATCGAGTTGGAGGCATCCCTGATCACCGAGATTCTTCCGTGGAGGGAGAACTGATGGGAGGTGTAGATGCCTCGATGCCTCACCAACCCAGCGCCATTGAAACCATTTGTTGGCCACCTCACTTACATTTATGCCGCATCAATGCTGTCGGAGGATGCTACAACGAGGGACAGCATGCTAGCAGTATCTCGTGTTGGACGAAGGGTACCCTACACCAGTAAGAAGAAGCATATTCCTTTTCAAGATATGTCCCAAAGATCCAGGCTGATTGCATAGTATATGGGGGCAGCGGCTGTGCTTATTGGCTTTTGGAGATGAAGCGAGCTCAGAGCTTCCAACGCACAAAGCTAACAAAGATACCTAAGGGATCTTTCTTGCAAGAAAGCGGAACCCGCTGGGAAGTAGCTGAGACTGTACTCAACTGCCTGTATCATCCTCGTAGGTTTGCCTGGTTTGGTATTAGACAAGCAGGGGCTGTGGCAAAATGCGAGCGTACGTCCCATGGGCACAGGGTTTCCGAAACCGGGCAAGATACGCGGCGTATTTGTTCGGTGCAACGACGGATGGTAGCTCGGAGGCCAGAATGACGGCAGCCGTAGAATCGCATTTTGATTATTCAACGCGTTGTCACTGGAAGAACAACCCTCGTAATGAATGGCGCAGAGCATGATGGACAACGGATATCACCCAGTAGGTTCAGTCCAAGCACCGCAGCTTCGCCAGAAAAGGAGAACCGAACTAGCGAACAAATATAATAAAGTGGATTGCCAAATATAATAAGAATCAGGCGGTGCTCCCATTGCCGTTATACATCATCCTGATTCGCCTTCGCGGATTTCCACAAAGCATACAGACGTCGCCTACGAGAATCCTTGCTAGTATCTCTACTCGCAGCGTCAAAGATTGCTTTGAGGACCGACTCTAACAAATCTTTAGGCGGCAAAGCTTTCGAGGACTCATTTCCGTCGGAAAAAAATCCACGCGATTTCCTGACGACGAAGTATAGCGGGGCATCGGCGTCGGCTTCGGACTTGTCCTCAGCCTGGTCTTCATCATCTTCCGATCGGTGGGAGCCTTTCTCCATTCTGGGACGTTTGCGCGCTCGTCTGGGATCAGATGTTGAAGTTGTTGTATACGATGGAGAAGCCTTTCGCAATGCCGACAGTAAGGGCCTAAGAACCCCTTTGTTTATTCTTGCGAAAATAGCATCATTTGATGTTTCGCTAGCCAGTCGGAGGAATGGGTCAATTATCTTTGGCAATGATGGCGCGAGCTCTTCCTGACGTGTTTGAGACATGGATTATCCAAATGTGTGGTGCTTGGGGCTAGGATGTACCTTACCTCTTGTACTGTGAAAAGGACTTTGTTCAATTCTTCAAGATAAATGTCTGCGAGATGGTATGTTAGGCCCTTGGGTACGCCAACATCGTGTGGACTGCAACGAACGGAAATCCTTGGGTAAAGCCATAGCTGTGGTAATAGGGACCGAACTCACTACAATGGCCCTTTGGCCCGGGTTAGTATATCGTTGACTGAGCTACACGGCGATTCCGCCCACTGTTCTCGCATTAGGAGACGGAACGTTGCATTGACGTATCTTCTGATAAGCATATAGAACTTATCTAGCCTGAAATATCCCAATCGACAAGTCGATACAACAAACACAAAATAAACTCAGCTCACCTGTATCGGTCAAGACCATCCCATTCCCGAACCATTGCTTCCCAAAAGCCCCCCAAGAACGCGAAGGATGCATCCAAGGTAGGTATGGCAAGTATGATATTTGAGAGGTCCGTAGCTAGCGCTTGTTGCACTAGTGGCTTATCGGACATCCAGAAACCTAAATGAGTTTCGTCGAAACGATACGTTCGAATAAGAGTGTTGGGCAGAAATTACAATAGAATATGCCTTTCCACAATTTGGCCATGTCCTTATCAGATAGCCGAGCATTCGACTCATGGCAAAGGAAAGCAGTGAGCCCATTTACAGCCTTGTCCCGTGTGGATTTGTCTGAAGGCACTCCTCAGCTGGGTCAAGAATTTCGACGCACATTAGAACAAACCAGACGAAGCAAGATGTTTCCCGAGAGGTGGTGGAGCAGACATATTCGTGGGTTCAGACAGCCAAGCTAACTTGTATTTGCAGCTGTACAAATTTTTTCCTGGAACGTCTGACCTTCACGTGACTGCTCCGGGTGGCGACGTGAGTCGTCCACCGACTCGAAACGACGACCCAACATGAACACAATGGATATTTTCGACTACGAAATTACAAAGCCAAGGACACCCCAACCCCCAGAAGATGGGGGGTCCTCTGCTGCAGGTCTGACCACTATTGATGGAACAGGGGCCCAAACACCCACCCTCAATGAGGAGGTCAATCAAGCGCTGGGCCAACTCAGCCGATTTTGGGGAGGGTTCAGGAGGCAGGCATGTCTCCGAGTACTTGTTGCTAATTTGGCACTTACGCATGTTACATCAGAGTCAGAGCGCGTTCGAGGCTGCGCGCAAGGACTTTGGTACGGTCGTCAGCCAAGCCCGCACCGAGCTCGGCAAGATCGCGACAGAGGTTACCTCAACCTCGACATCTTCCACTATTAGTGCGAATGCAACAGCCAATAGCTCCTCACCAACCCGCGACGTGAAAGGGAAAGGAAAGGAGACAGAGACTATCGATGCGGTCGAGACAGAACCATTAGAGAAAGGGATTGAGCAATCCGAAGCAAGTGTGCCAACGTCCCCCACTTCTTCGAGCATTTTTTCTCGGCTGCAAGCTCAGCTGCCACCAAACCTTCAACCCAATGCAATATCGTCTGCTATCTCTGCTGCTCGCTCACACTCTACCCTTCCCAGCGTCGATTTCAATCAGCTTCGTTCATCCGTCACCGCTAATATCCAGCAAGCACAAACGAATCTAAACTTCAGTGAAGCTGAGAAGCTTGCTGAAAGCTACTTGTCGAAATTGAAGGCGGGTACTGAATCCTTTGCTAAGGATGCGGGAGATTTCTTTAAAGAAGCGGTGAAAGTCGTTCCGCCCGAAGAAGGTGTGAGCACGCATGAGATGCCCATCGTGTCTGGAACAGATGTATGGCTTTTCCCCTCGCCTATTGGCACCACCGGTTGGGGCGCTGGTACGATCCAGAAGTCTGAAGGGACTGGGACACCCCGCGCGTCGACGTCTATTTCCCCACCCGCTCGTTCTCTGGATGCGCGTGGAGGTGCAACACGATCTGAGGCTCTTCTTCGCCTCTTGAAATACGATCCTGATCTCATTAGGCTTGATCCTGCTCAAGATGAGGACATAAGTAGTGTTTTCGAGAAATTTGTGAAGGAGGATGTGGAGAAGAACGGAGGGATATCGGGAGAGACCTACATTGACAAGATCTCTACTGTACTTGCTCCAGGCCCCAATGGTTTATTGGATGCGGATGCGAAAGCTCTCATCGACACTCGGGACGTATTGGGTAGGGCAGACGCTCAATTAATCACACCCCTTACTAACGTGTTCCCGTAGTCCCCTCGGAAATGTCCAACGATGTGTTTTGGACCCGGTATTTCTTCCGGGTGCATCAAGTCACGAAGGAAGAGGAGAAGCGCAAGGCATTACTTGCAGGTGCGTGAATGCGTGCCTGGTTTCTTTGAAAGTGGATCATTAACTTGCTGTAGACGCGGTCCAAGGGGAAGAGTTGTTCAGCTGGGAAGACGACGAAGATGAGCACATTCCCTCTACTCCGCCAGCCTCAAAACCTCCCGCAGACCTTGTGGAGGAAACTGCCAACCCATTGTCTCAAGCTCCGTCTAACCCTGCCGTCAGCTCGTTGGGCACCAGTAGGCGCACCTCGGAAGATAGTTATGATGTGATCGACGGAGCGAGGCTCCAATCGCCTGCGCCGCAGCCCAGCAAGTTGAGTGAGGAACTGGCCTCCAAGACTCCTTCGGCAAGAGCGGGCAACGGCGACTCCGACAGCGATTGGGAATAAATGTTATGGAGTGGAGGCGCGGTTAACCAGTACCAGAGTAGTCTGTACATTAGTATTTAAGCTCTTATTGTAACCTTCAATAGGGAATAGCATTTGACGCCCAGCGCTAAGATTGAGAATTTGACTTTCACATGTGATTCTCCAAAAACTCCTGAGCTGTTACAACGATCTTAACTAATGGAAGCAGGCACATCGACAGCGCCCTCACCCGAAGCGCGTGCGGCTAACAAGCATCGCTTCGAATTTGAGCTGGAATTCGTCCAATCTTTGGCGAACCCTCATTATCTCCAAAGTCTCGCTCAGCAAAACGTTCTCGTTGACCCTTCCTTCGTGTTGTATCTGAAATATTTATTGTACTGGACCGATCCCGAATATGCTCGCTTTGTCGTGTGCGTAAGCGCGGAGGCTGGCATCACATTCGTAACTGAAGAGGACGAACTTCATTGCGCATGTTTTTAGATATCCGCATGCCCTGCATCATTTACAACTGCTTCAGAATGAAAAGTTCCGCGAGGCATTGAAGAATAGTGATACTGCTCAATGGCTGAGCGAGAAACAGTTCGACCATTGGAGAACATGGTACGTGGCTCATATGTTTTCCTTTTACCAATACGCAACTCACTCGCGGTTTCACTCATTGCTTTCCCCCTTCACGATGCGCAGGCGAGCAGGCCCTGTGCCGACGGTCCCACATACGAATTTCCTGCCAAAGTCGTTGACAAATCCCGAATCTGGGACTGCTGCCATCGATCAAAGTGGCACTGTTCAACCAAACGAATCACTTAGTACGAATGCTCAGGCTGGTCCAAGCCATAGTCAAAGTGCTTCTGCAAACCATAATCATACGGCGCTGACGCCTAGCCGGGGAACAACTGCTGGAACGCCACGAAATGCTACCGGTGTTAGAAATCCTACGTCGAATACACCATTGCCTGTAGCGGCGAGTCCTAGAGGTCTATCTGGTAGCCCTTGATAATATGGGAAGAAGGAATCGCATCGGGATGGAATCGAATCACGTCGTCCTTTTATCACGGAGCCAGCCCCTGAGTCTTTGTGCGCGACCCACGACTTGCTTCAGGCCAGAAAATTCATTTTGCTACTCAACAGTGTGGTCTCGTACCAGTTCATTATCACAAGCGAATACTTTGGCACCCGATCATTGGGGCACATTGCTTGATGCTCAGTAAACGCCACATCCTTCGTTCATGGATTCCAGCACCAATTGGGCATGTTCTACATGAGCGTACGCTGTTGACAGCACATCATCACCGCATTGCAAGCAAGGGTGGCTTCTTATTTAACCCCCCAAAGTGGATTTGAGGGTCTCCAATGTCTGCCTAACAGTTTCTGTGCAAAACGCGACGACCCCCCCATGTTTCTTTGATATAGGTATGGCAATCGACTGGGTAACGACCTTAGCTGTCATTACTTAAATACACTGCATCAATATCATGGCGGGTATCATGACGTTCGGATCATAATTTAAACCTTATCGAACAAGGTGGGCTCCAGATGATTCAAATAGGATTTGGGGTGGCTGAAGCCTGACGGTTGATACAGTAGTAGGGACGTGGATGGTGGAGTCTGGGATTTACCGCGCGCCATTCGCAACGAAGCGTTAAGGGAAGGACGGAAATCATTCAGGGAATCTGAGGTCGCCGTGAACACGGGGCATAAGGCCCGCTCTATCCTCTCATGACCGAAATTTTGCACCGAATCACGACTCGAAATGGTAAATCAGCTTCTTGAGCCGGGTAACGAACTCAGTGGTCGACCCAACGCAATGATGAGCCAGGCCTGGGCTTCGAATATCATCGCCTCTTCAGGGGACGCCAATCCCGGCGACGTAGTGGGTAACCAAATTAACGAAACAACATGAAGTCAGCGCAGCGGTAAGAGCGGACGGCTAGCTGTCTCAAGAAGGCGCGCAAATTGCCACAGCAAATATCTGAGCGCGCCAATTTGATATATATGATAGCGCAAGCCCAGACGAGCGTCTGTCGTTTATGTTCCGTCGATCGAGAGTGAAACTGACTCGCACCAAGGCCCGAAACGAAGTGGTGTTTCTGGGGTCATTCTTTTGTTGCCGCTCTGACTTAGGGATGAGGTGAATCGTCATCAATGCAAACATTTAAGTTAACCGCAAGGAGCCAATGCTGTGAAAAAGAAGGCATGAGATTAAATGTCAAATGCATGAGGCGCCGGCATAATGCAGACGATTCGGGATGCTATGCCAAAGGGCCATTACCCTAAACTGGGGCGTGCTGATTACTTGCTCGTCGTCCTTGCGATACGAATCATATTCATGTGCACATAGCTGACGGATCCGACAAAGGCAACAACAGCGGTCCGCGCCCCCCATGTACCACGACGCCACCGTGGCGATCATAGTAGCATCCACCGATGGAAGTAGAATGAAACAAGGGCTAAGGCTCATCCAGAAAGTTCATATGTGAACGCCTTAATGCAAAAACGTGTGAGTAGCAGTACTGTCGGTACTGTGAATGGCTCGTGTGAGGCCAGGGAGTTCCATAAGCTTCGATTCTGGCTCACACTCGGAGAGAGGATCGAAACGGGGGGCAAGTGGCTGAAACCATGGTTGTGGAACTCGTTGCCCCGCAACCTTACCCTAACTAAAACAACCCCGAGTGAATCCCCCTTCCCGTGCCACTAGCGCCTTCGTGGGACATATAAACAGCGACAGTGACTTACTCATCTAGACACATCACAGCAGCCCCTTGAGCGAAATACGCTAAAGAGGCGCGGGATGACTTCTTTTGTGTCTGCCAACCACACTCAACCCGGAAAAGGTTTGCAGACGATGTTTCGATTGACTTGGAGTCTGAAATATTTGTCACTGCCTCATTAATAAATGACGTTTTGCTTCCACCTTGCCACTGACACTGCAAACAACGACGCAACTTGCCACGAATAGCCGCTCACGCCTCTCGATCTCTTGTCCCTAAACGGCCACCACTGTGGGTAGATAAATACTACCAGGGCTGTCCTATGTCACTAACGTTCCACTCCCCTTCAGATCGTCTCGACTCAACCGCTTGAATCGTGCCGACGCTCCAAAACTATCCCGCGATCTCTTCAAAAATATGACGAATGACGCTCAAACCACCGAGCATAACCCCAATACTCCTCGACCGGGTGTCACTCCGCTCTTCACCGATTCGCCTCATGCTCGTTCCAAAACGATTACCACTGCGATAGGCCCTTACACTCACGGTGTACGTCTCACTTTTCCTTCCCTCCTGAAAATGCGAAACCTCGATCTCCCGATCCTTGTCATCTCACGATCATGCCTTCCATTCTGACAATTTTCTATCTATTTACACTTTCTTTAGATCTTAAATCAACACCCCTCTCACCCGGGGTCGTATTCGATCGGAGTTTCATGCGATACAGGTTCACGTCGGACAATGGAAGATGCACATTCTTTCGTTGCAGACTTTGCAGGCGTCCGAGGACAGGGTTATTGGGCTGTCTTCGACGGACATGCGGGGAAACACGCTGCAGAATGGTGTGGCGCTCATTTCCACGAGTACCTCCTCGATGCACTGGCAGAAATGGGGAACGATGCTGCTATTACTAGGGATCAACCGACTGGCGCACCGATTCCAGACGTGCTAAACAAGGCCTTTCATGCTGTTGACGCGGAGTTGAGTCGAATCGCAGAAGAGGGCCAGACACACAGCGGGTGTACAGCTGTTACGGCATTCCTGCGTCTTGAAGATCATAAAGGGTGGCAGCCACCCGAGTTTGTGCGCAAAGCACGGTCGTTGCAGCGAAGGCAAACTCCGGCGATGTCGGCATCAGTCGATTCGGTGACGAGTACAAGTGCTGTCTCGGAAGGTCGGAGCAACAACAGCGGTAGTAGAGTCCGAGATGCGATGAGGGATATTACGGGTAGGGCACCTACGACAGAACCGGCCTCTTCAAGTTCGCTATCAACTACATTAGATGGATCGCCAACCGAACCGACTTCACAACGACGACTCTCATCCATGTCAGTATCTTCATCTTGGTCACAAAAGCGATTGTCGAAATTGTCAATATCGGGGGAAACTGTTGGTGACGAACCTTTGCCTACTTTCGTCGAGGGAAAGAAGAGAGTATTGTATACAGCTAATGCAGGAGATGCGCGTGCGGTGCTCTCGCGGTCTGGAACCGCTGTTAGGCTGACGTACGACCATAAGGGTAGTGATGCGCAGGAGGCGAAGAGGATTAAGGAGGCTGGAGGGTTCGTCATGAACAATCGGGTCAACGGTGAGCAGACTATAATTTTTTTTTGGAGAGTGCCGGGACTAAAATGTGCTCGACTAGGCGTGCTTGCAGTGACGAGAAGTTTGGGAGATTCAGCTATGAAGGAGTTTATCGTTGGCTCGCCATACACAACCGAGACGACCTTGGGAGATGATGACGATCTCCTCATCATTGCTTGTGACGGTGTGCGTGCACTTCACTTCTGCCTGTTTTCGATAAACGAGTACTCATCCTACAGCTTTCATAGTTATGGGACGTCATAGAAGATCAAGCAGCAGTTGACCTCATTCGACCAATCCAGGACCCTCAACTCGCTTCCAAGAGACTTGTGGAATATGCATTATCACATTTCTCAAGTGATAATATCTCAGTGATCGTTGTGAGGTTCCATCCTAGTGCGGAAGAGGGTGTGAATGCCGCCTATACCGCCGTGGGATCGTGATGAAGTATTTCCATGCGTGCACGCGACATGGCATTGGTGGTTGTAAGCGACGACTGTCAGTGTCAGGGTTGGGATTGTGATTGGAAAGACGCTTGTCTGTTATCCTGTGTTTCGCCGCATCGAGGAGTGCGACACCTCGATTTTGTGCCTATCTTACCAACCTCTAGTACTTGAAAGAAACTTGTACAATAGTTTGATTCTCCTTAATACAATCTTACTCCCACTACATTCGGACAGTGATCATAGCATTTCTGCTTGATCCTTGCGTTAATTGACACCCAGAAGACCAAGAATCGATTCGCATCTCAAAAGCATATACCAGTGGATGTATGGCTTCTTTTGGGATTAACTGTAACCGCGATATACGGAGGCCAGGTACAACGTCCAACGTCTCCAAACTCAACAGATGCAAGTAAACAGCGAAAAACCACTCAAATAAGAACATTAATTACAGTGGAATTACAGTGGAACTACCAGGGAACTACTCCTTGCAGCACAGCAGATCCGCGAGCAGAATCTACATGTTCGGAAACACCCATTCGAGCCCAGCGAAAACACACGCCCCGAAGGACGCGACTTAATCTCGAAGAGCGTAAGGAGGGCTCGTTAGTTTCTTCTATGACCTGATTAGCACCTGCAATCGGTATGTTTGAAGTCCGGTGCAAGTGACTCTAAAGACAGGGCATTTGTAAACCAGATGTTATGAAAGTAGTTTTCATTCGGGGAGCGGGCTTATATATGTTTTGGATTTGCTTCCGGTTGGAATTTCATGAATTAGAGTCCTTCGGCGTGTAGCATACGGTAAGGGGAGGAGGGAAAGGTATTGGACTTGAAGATTATTTGAAAGTCGCCCTAGGCGATAAGCATCGAGGTCTGGCCACGAAAAGACTAGCATCAATCGGTGATGATGGGAACGTCCCACATTCTTATATGCGAACAGATATATGCACGGGATCGATGGTTTCTTGATGCCGTGCGAGCGTTCCAGAAGAATTCGTCGGGTAGGCATGGGGTTGTATAACACCACAGCTTCATGGATCAGAGTAGGCAGGTGACCAGCCTCTCTTTAGCGGGAGAAGAGGATCACAGACGACCAAGCCGTTCCGTTCCATCGAAGTTCTCGGAGCCGAGCGTGTGCCATTGTACACGTGATGTTGTGAATCGTCCAAATAATTATCAACAAAATAAGGTTTCTCATCCGGCTGGCGAGACCTTCGCACAAGAACACGACTCTCGTCGACGCGTTGGGGTTGGGCTAGTGGGCGGTCGCAAGGGAGATCTTGCTTTCTACCACTTCTCTCTTCTTTTCTTCTGTTATTTTCTCTAGATGTCTGCGCCAACCACACCACGACGACCAGGTGTCATTCATCGACACCTTGGTGTACAGTCTGCCTTACCTGGTATTGTTCCCCATCACGATAGGTCACCTTCGCTTCGCGATTCAATAATGATGGGTGGAGCGCTAGGTGGTTCTCGTCCTCTTGACTTGGCTGCTACTCGTCCGTCGTTGCTTTTCAAACAATCTCATGCACCGTTAAGAACGCCAGCGCACGGTCCCACCCTCAACATCGCGGATGTAACGGCCACTGCACCAGCGAGAGTTCCTGTACCTAAGCGGCCTCGTGAGGTTGATGATGAATACGATGCTCGTCCATTACCTCTTACACCTCGTGCCAATCGTCGGGCACCAGATTTAGTAGCGGAAAAGCCACAGGCTCCTTGTACGCCTATCCGTGGACAGCGCCAACAAACTTGTGATGGCTCGGCTCGAGCGTCGAAGAAGGCGAAGCTGGAAGATCGTATCAAGGCAGAAGAGAAATTTAGATACAAGTATACCAGGGCCTTTCCTACCTTCAAATTCTACTTTGATTCATTAGATCCTGCTGTCAAATCCTCTTTCTCACAGCGAATATCGGTGCTTGGTGCCGTGAGTGGTTTGTTAATTCTTTGTTCATGGTTTGTGCTGATTACAGGGCTGATCCCAACCAGCGTGTCGAAGATTTCTTCTCTAACTCCGTTACCCATTTCATCACAAACAAATTTGTCCCTTCACTTGATGAAATTGCCGTGCTGGAGAATAAAGAAAATGCTCCAGGATCCTCCCAATTATCACGGGTGGCGTCTCAATCGCGCAACCAAGCTGCCTTGCCATCCACATTACGAAGCCCTATAAAACTCAAATCTACAAAGTTTGATCCTCTTGTTTCGAAAGCTGTCCGTTTCCAGATGAAGATCTGGGATGAAAAGAGTGCGCGGAACACAATTGTTGTTCGGTTTCGCTGTCACTCACTGATGTTCCGACAGAATTTGACAACATACTCAATCGACTCCTCCCTGAAACCGATATTGTCCCTGTTCACCCGAAAAACCCCACTATTACCCACACAGTGTCCCAAACACAGCGAGCCGAGGCCTCGAGGCGACCAACTGCTACTGCCAACAATAATGCGAACACTCTCTCCACTCTTCTTGATGCTGAAAAAGCTTCGGGATTGACTCACGAGCGAGACCCTACCGCTTTACGTCGGGATTATCGTTACTTCGGTAAAGACTCACACTGGCTTCTTGTGGAAGATATGAGCGAGACGCACGCACCTATCATGGTCAAAGAGTATGGCCGATGGAAACCTCATTCGGTCTCTTCAAGACATGGCTTATCGTTTAAACGGGCAAGAGCGCTGTCGCTCGAAGATTTCTCGAAAGAGGCTGAGCCGCCTTGGCCTACTATTCGTGATAAGCCTGGGAAGGCAACGCCTTTGTGGCCCATTGGCCGCTTGGGAGAGTATGAGGAAGAGGTTGATGATAACCAGGATGGAGACGCAATGATGAATTCAGATGGGGAAAACGATGGGTTTATTCAGCTGCAGGTTGCAACCAGTGGGTTGGAAGAGGACGAAGATGAAGAAGAGGAGAATGCCCCTCTGGCTCTTTCACGCTCTGCTCCGGGTGTGCCACCACTCCGCCGAACCGCTTCCATGCATGATCTCGGCCGCTACATATCTCTGAACGATAAGAATCGAGATCCTGATAATGGGAATTTCAATGGAGAATACATTGCTGCGTCTGGGAACAGCGTCCTCATCACTTCCAATGTGAACAGCACCACATCGTTTGCTCAGAATCCCCTTTCCGGTGGGAGTAGTCTCAATGGGGGACAGTTTATTGGTGGCGGTGGGGGATCACGCCAGCTCCATAATAAACGTCTTCATCGACAAGTGTTGACTCATCGCACACTCGCTCAAGCTGTGAATGCTACCGGCTCTGGGGAGGATTCGACAGGGCATCGCATTATCCGGAAGAGCAAGAGCACAAATGCGATGCGGGCGTCGTCGTCGAAGCGAAAGGCTCATTTACCTGCTCGAGATGAGGTCAAGAAACCTGGGTACTGCGAGAATTGTCGTGTGAAGTTCGAGGATTTTAATCTTGTGCGTCTTTGGCTTTACGTTGTCGAATCTGTCGTTGACCCTCATCTTCTTTCTAATTTAGCACGTGGCTAGCAGACGACATCAGAAATTTGCTAACAATGAGGATAATTTCTGCGCTCTGGATGACATTCTCAGTCGAATCACTAGGAAGACCTTGGAAGATGAGGAAGAGGAGCGACGTCAATGGGAGGCTGCTTTGGCGCTTGAGCCACCGACACCAGAAGAGAGCAGGAACTCTGAGCGGCAGGATTTGGATGATGCGGAGGTCTTGATGGAATCGTCTGTTGCAAGGATGCTGGATGTGGCACCTGGGTGCGAGGAGCAGTGGCACGCCTTGTCTCCGAGTCATGGTCGACTAGTGATGGTGTAGGGTTTCATTTTCCCCGTTAAACTGGTTCCGCTAGGGCGCGTTTGTTTTGGTGCCGAGTCGCTGGTCAGCCGTTCAATTTGCCTAGAGATCATTGGGTCCCGCCCCTACTTTTATTCTTCCCAACTTTTGGTTCCTTCACGAACTCATGTACCCGTTTCCATCAACCCAAACTTTCATCATGCATTTTTTATTTTTACTTGCCCACTATGATTACGAACTCCTTGTTCATGCGAGCGCACTACACTAGTATTGCATAACCACCATCCATTTTTACTGTTTCTCATCACCCTATCGTCATTTTTTTCTTTATCATTTTCTATCTGCATTCTGCATACTACTTCGCAATACAATGGCAATAAAGGCATAACAATCCGCTATGTGCGCTTGATCTCGATATTGATCCTTGGCCGAGCTTATCGGGCATTTGGGCGCAACGACACCCAGAAGAAGCTATATTAAATACAGCTTACTTTGGTCCAACCTTCTGACAATTTCTCTGCAAAAGATTAAAAAAAGATTCGTGGCATCGGCAGCGAGAGGGTTCGGCCGTGGTCGTGTTGCAAGTGTCAATGTCAAAATCTATTCCAGCTTACAATCAATCAACGCAACTCGTTCTGCGTCTGAGGTGAAACAGGCGAGGGGACTATACAACCACTCCTAAAGATCAGGTGAAAGGTATAAAAAGGGACTTTCAAAGTTTGAATTTCGCCCTCGCCGCTTTTGCCTCCTCCACCGGCGTGATGCCTCTCTCATCTAGGGAAGCCGCGAGCAACACATCTCTCGCCAAGTCTCGTTTGATGAGGCCCCATACACCCGTCTTAGCTAGTGGTGCCCTTTGTTTGGCTAATGCGTGAGCCGCTTTGAGGACGCTCTGAGTGTTGGGCTCTTCCGAGAGCTGATCCACCATTCCGATTGCGAGTATCTCGGCGGGTGTCCATCTATGGGCTTCGAGACACGTCTTCCGGAGAGCTTCTGAAGTGGGGTGACGAAACTTTAGTATGGCAGCCATGGATGTCGGGAGCGGGGCACCGAATGTTAACTACGTATAGTGCATCATGGTGTAAGAGAAAAATGGTCAAGCATGGGATGTGAAAAGGCTTACTTCATTCATCGAGCACCATGCTTTTCCGCAGGTCATGACTCGATAGTCGGCGCATAAGGCAAGGAGAAAGCCAGCTGCGAATGCGTGGCCATTTATAGCGGCGACGACAGGCACTGGGTTATCAAGCAGCATTTAAGTAATGGTGCTAGCTCGAAAAGAAGGACAACTGACCAGGAAAAGTCAAAAGCCTCCTAAGGAGTGGGTTGAAGATGACTGATAACGATTAGACAAGGGTTGCTCCAAATATGATAATTCGAATAAAACGTACCAGGAAAGAAGCCCCTGTCCTTTGACGTATTCACAAAGTCAAGCCCTAACACCAATAGTTCAATTCAGGCCAGAAATTCTGGAGGCCGGGCCGTGCACACCATTTGAGAAGAACTTGTTCTGGGATTTCTTTCCAACGATTACCAGAGCACCCGGTGCACCATCCTCTGTAGTTCCAGATCTCCAATCTTTCTCGACAAGATCCAAGGCCTTCCCCAACACATCCACAAACTCCGGGGTAATGCGGTTGTCTTGGCCATGATGCAGTTCAAGCTCCCATATTTCACTATCGGGATGGGTAAGAGTAGCGAGCGGGTTTCCGGGGCTCGAGGGAAGGGTGATTGGGTAGGAAGCCATCTTGAGTGTGGGGGGAGTTGCAGAAGCCGGTAAAGAAATTAAAGCGTGAGAAGTAACAGTGTGCACGTGAGTTCCCGGTTATGACATGGCCGGAGTCCAGTACCGTGGAAACAAACTCCAAACGGACGGCAAAAATTGACGCAAGCTGGTCGCTGTCGCCGGACTTTTAGGATATTGATAGCAAGCACGTTCCCGCCCAGAGTCGACTTCATCGTGAACATTGACCAATAGAGGCTGGTAACCTGCTAATAATAGAGGTTGATGACCTGCCTAGTTACTTAGACGAAATTTTAAGGCGCTAAACTCAGACTCGTACAAGAGATCTAATGATTGTACTGTACCTATGGCGCGTTACTTACTTAAACTGCACCAATAAATATATTTAGAATGGTTCTCAAAACGATAAAGGAAAATTTGTTCAATTCTCACCTCAGACTCGTACAAGAGATCTGAGGGGGAGGGAGCAGAAAAAAAGGAAATTTTGCTCTCTTTATACGAATGCGCCAGCGGCGACTACGCCGCATAACAGAGAGAATGGGGATTTGAATTGTGACGATATTAGAAATAATTACTGTAGTCCATCGCCATCAATAATGTTAATGATCTAGCCCTCGGTCTCAGGTCTCAGGTCGCGGATTTAAGAATTTGAGCGATGCTAATAACGGAGCCACTCGGAAATAGAGTCGGAGATGACAAAAATCATTCACTCTGGTGACAACATAACAATTCAATATACCTACCTTGTGTGAGCGAAGGCGCGAAGGGTAGCGTGGCGACGGCCCCGACAGGATGTCGAAGCCTCTTGATTTGAAGCGAGCCGGTAACATGGTAAAAGAAGGAGGAGGGGTGGGGTGGTGATGAAAAATAAAAGGAGGAATCAAAAATCGAAGAAGAGATGGGGGAACGGGCACAGAGAATTACAGGGTTCTTACGAATATAAAGTCGCCAGACCAACGACCTAATGCTTGAATCCTTGACTCTGGAAAACCCAGAGCGGCAAGGTGAATAGCACCTCCAGAGCGAAAAGAATGTCCAGCGAACTCTGTCGGAAGACAACTACGCAATCCTTGAAAAAAACCAAGAACGGGAAGGTAAGGAACCGTCACCTAATTGTCAATAATCATGGCAGCACCAAAATCAAGGCCGGAGCCACCCGACTCTGTAGAACAGTAACTGCTGAACTTGTGCGCATGTTAGTGTGGTGATCGATCCGGGGACAACAACAATGGAGACCATGACATCTCAGCAATCGGTACATTCCTAGCCGCCCTTCAACGAGAGACTACAACAGGATAATTAGTACCTCTCCAACAAAAAAAAAGTACCGCATATTGTCCTACACGCGTGGAGCGGGATTCTACAAGATGAGGTGCGCCTTCCAGAGAACTGGTTTAAGAGCCACAGTGTTTTAGTGGGTATACCTGACCTGCCGAGGCCACAGAGAGCAACATGTTGCCAGTGCGTAACCGGATTTCTCCGAGGTGGCAGTCTCTGAGGCAGCAGACGCGTCGACCCAATCTTACCCCGGAAGGACCAGTCTCTCCATACAAATCTCCAGGGGGTCACTGCCCGCGAAAGCTATGGAGGATTCCACCAAAAAATAATAAGAATAATCATGCATTTGACAGGCGGAACCGATTGTTGTATTCTCCAACACAAAACCATCCTATAAGGGAGATGAGTGTATCACGAGTGTACACCAGGGACATTTAAGTTAGTCGTAGTACTTCTTTAAGTTTCTATCGCCCACAAGAGACCGTTTGTCGGAAAACACTGCGGAAGCGTTGTAACCCGTTACAAGGCGTTGTAACGCCTTTCAACGGCACGTGCCGTTCTAACGCTCTCAACACTGAACTCGATCGTTCCAACGCTTCGAGGCGTTGTAACGCTTTGCCTCCGTTTCAACGCGTTGCAACGGCAACAAGGTAGGGTCAACAAAAAGAGACAACCCCTTGCAAGCCAGGATTGAAGCATACCTTCACTTCATTACATCCCCACACATTATCCTCGATTTTGGTGACTCACATTGCGGAATAGGACCAGAACTAAATATCATTAAATGGTTGGTACAGGTGGGAATTGAACCGAGGAACACTGTGATCATTATAGTAAGTACATTCATAACCGCTACACTACCATGCACTCTCAGCTCCGCGCTGATATGTTGACATAAATTTGTATCAATCATAGGCCTTTTGAGTGTATATGGGCTAAGTTACTTAGTATTCTCAATATGTGTACACCCGCTGTGGGATTGAGGTCTAACTCATTGTGGCTCTCAATGGTGGTGCTATGTGGAGTTAGAATTCGAACGAAGTTGAACGTGATTGTTGTTCATTTTAGCAGTGGTATTGAGGAGAACATGAGTGCAAACACAAATCAGATTTCAGTGAACGAAGTGGCTTAAATAAGAATGTGCGGTGGACATTGAGGGTGGTGGAACATGGAGCGATAAAGGAAGATTCCTATGCTGGACACTGACAGTTGATGGGGGGTGCACTCTGTGTGTGGTCGGAATCGTTGTCCATGCTGTCCCTGAATGACATGTTACGACTCAGCGCCCGGCCTCCCATATGGAACCCCACTGGTTAAAATGACACAGGAAGAGAACGGTGGGGTTGTTGGGGATTTGTCACTTGCTGAAGTGGTCGTTCGCTGTGAGAGTGGCTTGACCGTCAAGTAGGTAGACGTCATCGATGTGAAGCAAGTGAAGGTAATTTGTGGCAATGGATCATGGAACGTGTGTTTGCCTGAGTATGGGGGACTCCCATGTGGCTTGGAAGTACAGGGTATGGAAATGTGAGTGTACAGTTGCTGCAGCCGTGGTTGGCAGTGAAGGGGAAGTGCGTCCATGCGTTTGTGAACAGGGATGTTTACAGCGGGGCTGAGTATTTACAATTTGATTTTTGCATTGAGCGTTGGAACGGACTAGCAAAGTGTTGGAACAAATTAATAAAGCGTTGGAACGGATCAATAAGGCGTTGAAACGCGTTGAGAGCTCTTAACGCGTTAAAACGAAATTCCGTGTTTTCCGACAATTACGCAGCAGAACCACGTGCCGATGTTTGTTTACTTCCGGATGCAAATACCTTCCGATCGCGGCCGTGGCCAACTGCTATAAACAGAGGTTGACAATTCAACAAACCACAACCTCAACCTTAGACGGTCATCGTCTTCAGCCATGATCAGAGCGACGCGCTCATCTTTAGGCAAACGTTCTTCTTCAGCCATTGTCTCCTCGCCTCCTCCTTCACCAGCGCCCCTCAAACGCGCAAAGACAAGCGCGTCTGTGGTAATCCTTCCCGATGGCTCTTATGCCAATAAAGAAAATATTCCTCCAGCACCAGAACCCGTTGAACGCGATGCGTTGACGCGCTCGCCGCGCCTAAGAGTCGCACGTCAAAGCAGTCTTCGTCGTGAAAGTTCTTCAGGTTGGACTCAACTTCAGCATGTCCCAAATATTATACCATTAATGCGTAGATGGGTTCTTTTTAGACGTTCGAATGGATAATATCACGACGCCACCACACACCCCGACTCACTCAGACTCGACTTCGGGTGATGCGGACAGAAGTGACGGCCTTCCACGGATCCCCGCCCCAGTGTTTACTCCGCTGAAAACTCCTTCGCGTGCAATGGGCGCTCTTTCTCTCGCCACACCTCCATCAACACCCCCGCCATCTCTTCATTCTCGTGCACGCGCTTTGCTCCGGTCCACGTCTGACGCGGATGTTGTTGGGCGTGAAACAGAGCGGCAGATTATTTTGGACTTCCTCGGTCCATTTTTAGACCCAACTGCCGGGCCCCGGTCACTTGCTACTAGTCTTTATGCTTCTGGGAAACCTGGCACTGGGAAAACGGCCCTTGTATCTTCCATCTTAGCTTCTATTCCTCCTGATGTTGGGAAATCAGCATACATAAACTGCATGGGTCTCAAGGATCTTTCTTTACTTTGGGAACGCGTTTTGATGGCTCTCGGCGGGTCTGGATCGAGTAAGAGCCGGGCATCATCTTCATCGCTCCAACGTTTGGAATGTGCTCTGGAACGCGAGGGCACCAAATGGTAAGTCAACGTCGTATCACGGATGGATTTGACTAACACATGACAACAGTGTACTCGTACTGGATGAGTTAGATGCATTTGGGCCAGCTGGATTATCTGCCATATTTGCCCTCCCTCACCGTCATGTTTCGACTCTGCGAGTCATCGCCATCTCAAATGACTTGATCCAAAGCACGTCCTTTACCCATCGTCCATCCCTTGCCCTATCATTTCCTGCCTACTCTGCCGCTGACATGCAGGCTATTATTCGTGGCCGCCTCTCAAAGCTCTCTGCGGGGGATGATTCCGATGCGTCTACGCAACTTATCCATCCTCCGGCATTGACCCTGCTGGTCAAAAAAGCTGCAATGCACACCGGTGATATCAGGTATGCGCTGGAGGTGCTTCGTCGTGCCATTGATCTTGCCGCCCAGGAGAAGGCTGCAAAGGCCGACTGCAACGGCCAAGTTGCAATGAAACACATTCTCGATGCGTTTAAGTCCGCCAGCACGTCTAGGGCTAACCCGGTCGCAACCACTTCCGGTCGTAGCCCACTGGATGGGTGTATCGGTGTGCTTGGGTTGCATGCTCGCCTCGCCCTCATTTCTGTTCTGTTGTCGCACCGTCGTTCATCACATAATCTCTCCCTCGAGGATATTTCGCTTTCCAGCGTTATATCTGACCCTTTCGCAACTCCCAAGTCCAAGTCCAAATTACGACGATCTGTGTCTCAATCATCTGACTCTCCAACAAGCCCTTCGAGAGTATATTCATTATATACCCAAATAGTTTCCACCCCTTCATCGAAGTTCGACCCGGTGTCTCGAAGCGAGTTTTCGGATCTCTTGGGCGTTTTGGAGACGTCCTCACTTATATCCCTGCCCGTTACTGCCTTAGCTTCTCCAAGTAAAAGTGGTCGTCGCAGCTCCCGTTCCAGCTTTTGTGCGCCTACGATAGGAGCAGGGCCAGGAGACATATCCCTTTCTGTCGCAGAGGATGAGGTCCTAAGGGCCGTCTTGACAAAGTGCGGGGAAGGAAATGTCTTGGAGCAAGAGATTGGTAGCATATGGGAGAGAGAGTTGAAAAGGATTCAACAGTCCCTCAAACGACGGGGTGAACTTAAGGAAGAGGAGAAGCTGGCTCCTGAAGATTACCTCTCATGATGACCCGCAGGCTGCGCCGACGATCATGGTTCCAATAACTCAACCAAAGTTTCCTCCACTAATCACTTTATATGCCGTTTACAATCGATCTGAACTAATATGCAAAACCAGACTCCCCTCGTTCTATGTCTCGATTTTTTTTCCTCGCCTATGTTTCCAGCTTTCCTCATTCATTCTTCATCGCAATTGTTATCATTATATGTTTACTCGAGTATGGCATATCCCTCGCTTTGTGTCCCTCCACTCCCGTGCTTTTTTGGGGACTTATCCTCGTTGTCGCGTTTGAAAATGTGGTCCTTTTCGTCGACTCTTGAATTTTTTTCTTTAACCTTATTACTTTTGTATTGTTTTAGAGCATGAAAATCAAAATTAGAATGTTGCACTTGGAATCAGCTGGACTTCGCGTTTTTTACTGCAGCAAGCAGCAACTTGTGTTTCAAATCCCTGGGCCGTGGGAAACCTCCCACATTTCGATCCCCGAGTTTCTTTGCGCATATGGCGTTCTTTCCTTTCACAAGGCTGATTGCCCCCTTCGGGGTGGCATACGCATAAAATTGGAACGATACAGAGAAGATTAGCATGGCCCCTGCACAAGGATGACACGCTTTGACCGAGTGGATGCTCTTCGGAGCACAATATTTATTTTTGGTGCCACGATAACTGTAGTTATTGTGAGCATGCATAATCTTCGAGAATTTCAGGTCGTACAGTACATGTACAGCAGCTGTAATTTTTAACGAACACAATGCCTTGGGCATGAGCTATCTATGGCCGTGGGGCTTGGAAGGCGCTGCATTCCACCTGATTTGCGAAGTTCAGCTAAGCGCTGACTATGGGATCCGTGCCCAGGCGCTGTGGTTTCTCTTCTTCCTGAAACCCCGGGCTAATAGACATACCAAGCCAGATGCTGGTCACTCCTCGTTAGAGGTCCAATACACCATGTATGTCGTAGCATCATGAAAAAATAAAATAGAATAAAATAAAATAAAATAAAATAAATATTGTGCTCCGAAGAGCATCCACTCGGTCAAAGCGTGTCATCCTTGTGCAGGGGCCATGCTAATCTTCTCTGTATCGTTCCAATTTTATGCGTATGCCACCCCGAAGGGGGCAATAGGCCTCGTGAAAGGAAAGAACGCCGTATACGCAAAGAAACTCGGGAAACGAAATGTGGGAGGTTTCCCACGGCCCAGAGAATTACGTTGCTCCCACACTTTGTCGATGTCGGGGCTGCTTTAGGCAGGATCCCAGCCTCTACTAAAGCATAGGGCTGCTTGACATTGTCAACATCGCCTGACCATTGTCCCATCACTATTCCCGTTAAACATAGGCTGGTAACCGGCCCAATCACTTCCCCCATCTCGCTGAGATTGGTTCAGTTGTCCGCACAGCCAGCCTCATGGCAGTTACAAATTTTGGAACAATCTAACAAGCAATAGAAAAAACCGAAGCAAAACAAGATGGGGAGAGGAGGTGGGAAGCGTGAAACGGGGAAAGAGAATCTAAGTCCAAGAACCGCGACCACATCTCCTCTAACCACAATGTGTTAGTTATATCTTGTTTATCTTTCATAAATCATGTATTAAACATTTGTCCACCAGCGATAAACTCGCTAGGTGATTACTTTCCAATCTATTTTAGTTCACGTACACCGGGACTGAGCGATAAACTCGCTAGTCCGACATTTCGTCTTATAATGGGAAGGGAGTATCAACCTACTGCGAGGAGTGTGAGCATCAGGCCATACACATTCCTCCATTCCGAAGTCCATTCTAACGGTAACATGCGAAGGATACCGATATTTCATCACGTTATCTCACTGTCTACCTCATCAAAAGGAGAGGGACGCCCTTGAGAAGTTCAAGGGTTTCCTGGCCCGAGGAGAACGACAGTCGGGCAAGAAGCCGAAAGTCCTACGTGCCGATGATGGTGGTGAGTACTTCTCTAACGAATTCACTCAATACCTCAACGCGTCCCAACCCCAACACCCCCCAAGAAAACGGCGTTGCCGAAAGGGTCAGCCGAACCCTCGTCACGATGGTGGTCACGATGCTCGAGAGCGTCAAGTTCCTCGTTGGACGAACGGCTTGGCCCTACGCACCTAGGCATGCTGCACTAGTTAAAAACGTCGTTCCTGTTGTTGCAGCAGCCCGACGCCACACGAGGACAAAGGGGGAGGGGCGCGGCCGCAGGCAAAGCGTTGCCGAGTGGCGAACCTTCCATTGCACAAAGCGTCAGAGGCTCCTGCGAGTCGCACACCAGCCGACCTGGTACCTCAAGAACAACGGACTTAGAGAGGACACCACCGATACCTCAGAAAACTCCCATTCGCGGTGGCGCAAAGCACAGTTCGGCCTCGGCCAGCCAATCCCGTTTGGATACTAAAACTTTGAAGTGCCGTCGGTGCGTCATGCCTCTTTCATTTTTCGTCTGGCAATGACATGAAGTTGGGGCGACTGACATGGCAGAGCTTATCAATGTCGATTTTGCAGGTGTCCAGGAATGCAGGGCGGCCAAAATGATCGGGTTTTTGCACGCGCTCTGCATCTCGGGAAGTGACAGAGTCGTCCTTTCTCTTAACAAAGAAGTTATGTGCCATGCCTTCAAGGCAGTGAAGGATGAGGTAAACAAGAAAGAAACTACCCTGAAATCCAAACTTAATGAGTTGTCAGTGGTGCAAGCTTAACTCTGAGGCACGGAACTAACTCATTGATTGTCGGCCTCATGGCCAAGGCAGAGATCAATATGTACATGCAATCCATTTGTAATTGCCTGCAACTATGCCTTGGAGAAGATCGATGTTGGTGGATTGCCTCAGTACTCTCTTGACAAACAAATCGTCACCACAACCCAACCATAACTGGGTGCCAGGTCAAACCGGATATTGTTCTACTTCAATGGAAATCCTTTCAAGAGAAGACGGAGCGCTCTAACAACTACTTAGGAAGGATCCCAGCCTCTACTGCATGGGACTGTGGTTTCCTTTTGCTGCCACATGGTGGACAAACATAACATTCACATTGCAATATCATATCGATGTCCGGCCCATTCTATCAGGTTGCGTCCGGTTGTTACGACAGCTGTCAACCCAACTCTATCGTGACGAGGAAGGAAAAGAGGCCCGGGCTACACCCGGCTGTTGTAATCTTCACACCGATGCACAAAGCTCCACCATCTTATTTTGAAACGCACCCGTCAATGATGGAATAAACGCCAAGGATTGGTATGTCCCCGGTCTGTAAACGAATGCAACGGCCGTGAATAATATATAGCTCGAGTTAATCTTCTATGCCGCCAACGATTGGACCCCCAATCAGCGCCTTTCCACATCCAAGGCTTCGTTCCGTGAAGTCGTCCACCCAAATTGGACCATACAGATGACTCCATCGACTAGTAGTGGTGTCACCCATCGTCAACGCAATCCACCTATCATGATCCGCCTCTTGTATCGTAGTAACCTTACGATTCACCAGGGACTCGGTGCGACTCAAGTGCGTTGCCAACTGTTCGGGATCTCTCTGTGCAGCAGGAACGGTAAAGATCGGAGTTGATCCGCCGCCTGTTAAGTGGGCAGCAACAGATGCGAGGGCGTCTAAGCGTTCGGTACCATCAGGCTGGGCGGGACGTGGTGGAGTAACGTTTGTTGTGGGTTGTCGTTGATTTTCCATGGAAGCGTCCGAGAGGGAATGGTGAGCACGGGTACTGGGGGAAGTGTCATTATTAGATCGAAACGCGTTTCTTTGGAATTCAGAGAATATATCGACATTGGCAACAGGAGAAGCGGGCTTTGGTGCGGGTTCTTGGTACGTGTTTTGCTGAATGCAATTTTCGATGGAGAAGAGACGAAGAGACGAAGGGACTTCCAAATAAGAGCGCGGCATATGGGGGGGATGCAACATTTTGCGGAAGGTGGTCGCGTCTCCCATCATCAGATTCTTGTAACCAGGTGTCTCGATAACTTCGATGGGCTCCTGTACATCCCTTCGAGGAAGTGGAGCTCTAAATCGCGGCTCTGGGATAATGAGGGTTTGTGCAGCTCCTAAGATGTCGGGGGAATGGAGAGGGAGGGAAGTAAAGAGACGATGGGCCGGGTCACTACAAATTTCCGGTTCACTGAAAAACAAGCGTTTGTTCTCGTAAAATGTCTAAAAGAAGGATGGGTAGTTGACATGCAAGGTATACGTGGAGAACATACATATTTCTGGATAATCGATTCGAGTGCCTGAACAAGAACATCCCATGTGAAGAGTTCCAGGTCTTTCCTCCTAAATGACCCGGGTGACTGGATGGTCGTCGTTACGGGGATCGGGTGAAAGGCTTCGAGTACCTTCCAGATACGAAGTTTCTCCTCAATAGAGAAATGAAAATCGAGAAGGAATTCTGCAAGATCGATCATATCTGCAGAGGTGATGAAGTAGGCATCTTTGAGGCAAGGTTTTTCATGGTAGGAAAGATGATTGGGGCGGGGAGGATGAAAGATGCTGCAGACAAGGCCCCGGTCATCTTGCACGTCGTCGTCTCCCAGCATAGGCGTAACGGGCTCTGAAGAAAGGAAGATCATACTGCCTTCGATTTTCCGGCGGAATCGGATTTGACGTCGGCCAAGCGACTGCTCGAAACAAGACCTTAAGACAGTACGCGAGCGAGGTTGCCATGATCGATGAGCTCGAAACAGTACAGATGCCACTCACCAGCCCGACTTCAAGGAGCTTATATCTCCTTCGATAACTAATTTTGTCACCATGTTCCCACACGCGTTATCGGTAAGTTTCACTCGAGATGCAGGAGCGCTTTGTGGTTCGGTAGACTTGGAAAGGCGCTTAGGGGAAGGTTCACAGGCAGTGTCATTCCCCTCAGCCCCGCGACAATTCACCCGCTTTGGACAGCGCTTTTGCGGCGCTCCTTCTTGGCTTGGACCTTGGAGTAGAAAATTAAATAATCAGATGTTGCACCAACGGGAAGTCATTTATAACACCCACTTTCGTAGAGTTGATCCATATCAAAGATTCCAATGTCGACCCTATCCACTTCCAAGCCGTCCAGCGCTGCACAGATGGTCAGCTTGACACGACTAGCTGGATGCCTGCTGGAATCGGGGACGAGTGCTCTGAGCTCAACCGTGTCGTTGTCCACCGGGGCCACCACAGTCTTCACTGGCTTCCCATCGAACAGGAGACGAAGAGAAGCGAGGCGTTCCGATCCTGTTCCCATGCTCTTTAGAAGATGGTATCTTAGACGGACGTGGAATAAACCGCCCAATAACCCATATTCTAAAACAGTGATACAGCGGTTTGAAGACTCTGCACGTACGTGCTTGCTCGCAGTAGGTTTACAGGTAGATTCATTATAGGATCGACGCTGACGTGGGGTGACCGGAGAAGGCAACGAGGGTGACAATGGATTCATAGCAGGCATGACCGTCATGCACAAGCCTTGTCTTTGAGGGCAGCTGGCAGACCTGAAGGAAAAGAAGAGGCTGATTGGAGTCGCCGCGGTCTCGGAATCAACACCTCCACAGCGAAGAACACCGAGAAACAAGACAATGTCCAGGATTTTCGGTTAGCCTACGCGAAGTGGCAGACTAAGGGGAATTAGGGCCAGTCAGCTACCTGAGTTCCTCATCATTCAACTCGGCTCTGACAATAATTTGGAAAGGAGCTTTTCGGTGGGCGGTGCCTAAAGGAGTGACACATTTGACTACATCGTGTCATAGTGCATTGATGATTTAATTGCCTGCCTTTTTAGGTATATCACGTGGGCTAAAGTATTGCATCATGGCCAGCATTGGGTCCCACCTTTACGATCGTTTTGATGCTTACCCCTTCGAGTCAGACGAAAAGTTTCAGGCACGTTGAGTTGTTCGGCTTTGGGATATGACCTTTGTTTCTAAGTCCAATATGTAGTAGAACGGGCTCACTACCATTCTGCACTCTAAGCCAGGTCTCTCAGAGCATGAGCTGTTCAATCTGATAGGGAGAGCAAAGGCTTTCTACTACTCCAAGGAGTTGCGTAGGATACCCTTAGGCTTCTCCTGAGATCTTATTTTGCTAATACAGGGTGTCGGGCGAAACTGTCGACTGGGATGAATATCTAAAGCACAAACGAACCCAATCCGTCCCAACCCCATCTGAACCCCCGACGGACGCCTCCACAGGGGTATCCAAGGCCCAGAAGCTACTGCTCAATCCACAGAGCAGTGGAGATTGCTAGATAATGCGTCTGCAATCCCGAATGGGGCCCCAACGCCGATCAGTTTCAATGAACTGGCGGATCTGATCACAAACAATCAAACCCATCTAATACCAAACAACGAGGCTGTTCCAAATATTCTGAGCGTGGGTTTTCCTTAGCGAGGGGACCCTCGTGCTCCGCTGACGCTATTAACGTTTCAGGAAGAAACGCCGACCGTTTCGAAGGTCCCAGTTAGGAGGAAACCTTGGGAGACCGTAGCTAGTTCAGATTAACATCAGTTGGCTACCGAAGTAGCCGAAGTAGCATGCTGTAGGGACAACAGGGAACAATGCGTCGGCATGGCGTGGCAAGACTAGACATCTGAAACAAATTGACCTGTATATCATGGTACCAAAATACACAACAAGGGTTAGTGTACACGATACAATATATGTTACTTGCACAACACCAGATATAGCAAACTTAGCAGAACGCGTGGAAGGATTTGGAACAACTATAATTCGTTCGAGGGTATTGCGAAGCGCTTTACAATCTCTCCGTTTTGGAGTATGTAACCGTTGCGCTTGAAGAGCTTCGACTTGGTGAAGAAGGACACGTCATGGATTTCGAGATCCCTTGCCTGTGAGGGGGAATGAAGTTCAGGCATTTGACAGTAAAAAAAGAACTAGAGAACCTACCCGTTCTTCAAACTCAGCAATCTTGACGCTGACACTTGAAGGTGCTTCGTATTTTTGTGCCTGATATGCACGAGCTTTCTCCTTGACAATCTGTCCCAGAAGGTACGATAACAATTCCTCACGATCTTGCTCAAGAGTAATGTACTTCCTGAGGGACTACAGAGATACGGTCAGGACCATGTGATTGGATGCAGGCCTACAGAACACTCACCCGCTCCAGGGTTTTCTTGATTGACATTTTCTGTGCGTTAACGAAGCTATTGACCGTAACCTTGATCGCAAGGTTGATATCGTCTGCACGAACATATTCACGCAAGTGCATCTTCGCACTCGCCTCCGCCATGCGGATGGTGCTCTCCAAGTGTCGAACTGTGATTGGGAATGATCCAGTAGCGAGGGACTCCTTGCGAAGGTGAGCATAGAGATGGGACAACTTCTGGATGTCGATATCGTGAAGCTTCGGTCGAACTTTGTCGCGGGCATACATAATATATTTTCTGAGTAAATTCTGATCGATTAACTGGACATGACAATACACTCGAGGTCAGTTCTGTGAGAAGGAGACGCACAAGCATCACTTACATCCTGATCAACACTCGTCCCAACGTCCATTTCATCCTCGGGTCGGAATTGGGGATGACTTCTTAGGTGACTTCCGACAACAAACCTCGCTAACATCTCGTCTTTGACGGGGTCAACCGTATCTTTGACAACGCAAAGGACGTCGAAGCGGGACAGAATCGGCTCAGTAAGTTCGACATTTTGAGAGAAGGGGACAGTAGGATTGTAGCGACCCCTGACCGGATTAGCCGCTGCGATGACGGCACATCGAGCCTGTAGAGTCGTTACAATACCAGCCTTAGAGATGGAAATAGATTGCTGTTCCATAGCCTCGTGAATACTCGTTCGATCCGCATCGTTCATCTTGTCAAACTCATCAATAAGGCAAGTCCCTTTGTCAGCAAGAACAAGGGCACCGCCTTCGAGAGTCCATTCGCGAGTGACAGGATCCTTTCGAACGCTAGCTGTGAGACCAACAGCACTAGCCCCTTGACCTGTGGCGAAAACTGCACGATGTACTGTCTTCTCAACATACTTGAGGAACTGCGACTTTGCAGTGCCAGGATCACCAAGTAGCAACACGTTGATATCCCCACGTAGACGATGCTTCTTGTTGATGTCCTTGGGTAATCCGCCGAATAAACTGAGAGCGATAGCAGTCTTGACGTCGTTATGCCCATAGATTGAAGGTGCAATGGACTTGATTATTCGCTTGGCAATTCGCTCATCCTTTGAGAGCTGCCTGATCTTGGCTTCATCATCTTCAGTCAGGCGAAAGGCAGCGAACATATCCTCTTTCTTGTTGATGTGATTCGCCTCGATGATAGTTGAGAATACCGGGAACCCATTTTTGACGTTGAGCGCGGCATCAAAATTGTTCCTGTATACTCCAGTAACCTCCTGGAAGGAAGAGAATCAGTCATACCCCAACAGCAGTATTACAGGCGAACCGCTGACAATTTCGTCACCAGGTTTCGCGGAATCGATGAGATCCCAAAGCAAGATCACTTCGCGGTGTCGGGGAAGTCGTCCCGCAGGAACTGACCCGGGAGACTCTTGCAGTGTCATCTTCTGGTAATTTCTGTACACTGTCTGAGATATCTGTTAACAGCGTGTGCATGGGAGTGCATCCTATAAAGGTACCTGTTCTGAGTTAAGACTGAAAGGTCCCTTGCTTTCACAGTTCGGACATGTCTCAACCTTAACCTCCTTGTTTGCGTCTTGATAGAATGGCCCAAGAACACCACCGCACTTATTGCAGTCAAACTTGACGTATTTGAGCTGGGGGAATACACCCGTCCGGCGAGTAACGACCCCAGAGACGCGGACTAGGGTGTTGAGATGATTTCTTCTCAAATCGCGTAGGGTTGAGATGGTTGGCAAGTTGGTAATACGGACATGAATCTCGGAATGAATTCGTTCATATGATGGATAGTGAAGAAGGATGATGTCCAAAGCGATTGCATCGAAAATCTCGAGCATTTCGGCGGGACAATTTCCAAGAAAATAGGCAAGAATAGGCTTTGAATCACTTAGATGGACGAAAGACACTTCAAGTGACTCGGAGTTTACTGTGAAAGGGATTGAGACGACAAGAAGTGAGAAAAGGATTCCTACGCACTTTCGCCCAGAACCCTGATACGCTCTCCGTAAACACTCTTCCCAGATTCGTCATCAACATATGTAAGTAGGAAGCGACGGAACTGATTTTCGAGGGCTTTTCTAACGCGGGGAGTCGTGATCCACTCGCCGAGAGAGTTCGCCTTGATATCTGAAAGCTCCTCGACTGGTAACTCATCTGCCTCATCCATACCCTCCGCATCATCGACATTCCTCCGCTCGTCGTAAATCTTGCGCGCACGGATTTTAACACCAGCAGGGATGATTCCTCCCATGGTTCCATCCTCCTCTTCTTCTTCATCGCTTTCGATAAAACCCAGACGACGGCGCCGCGTTGCGGCTCTACCCACCCTTCCAGCAATACCGCGGTCTCGCCGCGCCATTTCGGCTTCGGCAGCTCGTCGTTGCTCTATTGTCATGTCCTCGTACTCCCCTTCATCATCAATGTCAGCGCCCCCATATGTCTCATCGAGACCGCGTTGTAAATCGGCCACATCACTACAGTTACGTCCCAGAGTACAGATGATTAATAGCCACGAAAATTTTGCGGGGGAGGTGTCCATACTCATCAAAGTTATCCCCAAAAAGATCCTCGCCCTCATTGTCGTCGTCGTTTTCCAGCGCCAAGTCTCCAGGTATCTCTGCATCCACATTCCCATCGAGAGGATCTGCATCGTCTTCAGAAAAGGGCAACGGAGAAGAAGGTGGCAAAGTGGATTCGGGTGAAGAGTCTCGACGACTGTTTGATGGGCCCGCGCCGCGTGTGCTTGCCCTCAAAGGGGATGAAAATATATCCTCAGAGTTCGTAAGCGATCTCGCACGCTTTCTGACGCGTCGAGTAGGCGTTACTGACGCGCTAGGAGGTGAGGACATCTTTTAGATGGCACCGCAAGTTTGTGCGAATAAATTTCTAATTTTGGACAACAATTCAATTTCCTTCGGAACGAGCCAGCAATCTCGACGAATGCACAACAACTAGGGAAGTACTAAGGTAACGACCAACATATATACGGAATGGAAAGAAGAGTGTCAACTAGATCGTTGGACCAGCTGCTTTCACCTCATCTGACGCGTCGTGCTCAAACATCCTGAATGCTCGATTAAAGAGGCGTGCAAGCTTGACACGTTCCCTCTCAAACGCATCCTCGTCGTCCCATGCCTTGCTAGGATCGAGGACTTGATTTGGCACACCAGGGACTGCAGTTGGGATGGTGAGGTTGAAAACATCGTAGTTGTGCCACCCTGACAGCTCCTCCGGCTGTCCTGACGTGAAAGGTGATACAAGTGCACCACCATGTATCGCGTCTATGATAGCTCGTGTATGCCCAAGGGGTATACGTGACCCGGTACCGTATTTGCCACCAACCCATCCAGTGTTGATGAGCCAGCACGCCGTCTTGTGTTTCCGCATCTTGTCGGCAAGCATGGATGCATAGCGTATGGGCTGGGAGAATGTCAATATAACATCCTATTAAAGGTAAGAGCACGGAAAACTTGCATGTAAGGTTATAAATGGTGCGCTGTAGCATGTGGAAAAAGTGGGAATCGGGTCCATAATTCCTTCCTCCGTTCCAGGCGTTTTTCTGATGGACAAAATAAATACTACGTATGGGTAGAGACGCTTATCAATCACTTACGACGTATACCCAGCCAAGAAATGGTAGCTGGCCTGCTCCGGAGACAGAGAGCTTACGGGAGGAAGTATTCCATATGCATCGCATGTCAGCATTATGATGTTTTTTGGGTGGCTTGACGTCATGCAGGGAATACGAGCATTGGGAATAAAGTCGATAGGATATGCAGCCCGTGTGTTCTCCGTTATGGAAGTATCGTCAAAATCTGGATATCGTTCTTCTGGGTCATAGACCACATTTTCCAAAACCGTCCCGAATCGCACGGCGTCATATATCTGTGGCTCCTTGGATGGCGAAAGGTTCGCACACTTGGCGTAACAACCCCCCTCGATATTGAAGACACCATCATCAGACCACACGTGTTCATCATCCCCAATTAGCTGCCGTTTCGGGTCAGCGGACAGTGTCCTATCAAAAATTAAGTCCTCGTCACAAGCGCCTGCCTTATCACGCACGTCTTCCCTGTTCCCGACAATCCAAAAAACAGAGTAACATCCTCACTTTCTATGCCGACATTGGCTGCAGCGTGGATCGACAGCTGGCCGAACTTAGCAGGCTGCACGTAATGCTTGATAAGGAGATGTGTCAGATATAGAAATTGGCTTTGGCTTAACAATGCTCATTACCATTACACTAAAGACACCCTTCTTCATTTCGCCGGCTAGCGAGGCGATCAACAAGCTTATTCGCGGTGCAAGAATGAACAATCTTACCGTATTCCGTTCCAAGAATGACCATCTCCATGCGTTTAAAATTAATCGAAACGGACGTCTGGGATGTCATTCCGTTTGTGAATCTATTAGCAGGGAACTGTCCCGCATTGTATATGATAAAGTCAGGTTCGCCAAAATCCCGCAGTTCATCGGCAGTCGGTCGTATCAACATATTGCGCATAAATAGTGCGTGGTACGCCCGGGCGCAAATGACGCGCACTTTGATACGATACTTGGGATCCCACTGAAACAACCCCAACCCTGAATGAGCGACGGCGACAAAGGAGCGGCACATCGACTTAGACACTCACCCCCGCGAACCCGTCAAACACGTAGATGTCCCCTCGTGTGTTTAAATAATCGATTGCCCGCTCACGGTTGATTTCGAACGAATGCTCATCCATCTTTATATTTACTGGACCCCACCAAATGTCGTTTCTGGATGTCTCTTCGTAAACAATTCTCTTGTCCCCGGGGCTACGGCCAGTTTTTATGCCACTATAATTCTATGGGCCGCAAAAGGGCATGACGCAAGTTGACGAAAAGGTGGAAGAGCTGTGCTTACTATGAGGGCTCCGGTAGCGGAGAGGACGGCTCCCTCGTTGTGGAGAGCTTCCTCATATAGTTTAGCAGGGGGCAAATTGCGTCGAATGGCACATCGGTCGAGGTCGATACCAGCCTCGCTGTAGAACTCAAGTTCCCGACCCATCACTGGATGACGGAGGGCGCCGAGTGAGATCATCGCGGGTGAGAAAGTGAGCGATATAGCAATGTAGGCATCATAAACTTACACGAGGTCTGCGACTGATCGACAGAGGGCCCATTTGTCCAAACGTAAGGTGTGATATGAGGAGTCGTATGACTCTGGTTGGCAGGCATTGAGGCAGAGGGTTGGGATCCGCCTGTTTCAGGGTTCGGTGATACAAAATTATGGGGAAATGGGCGCCTTGGACTACTGGCCAAGACTGGAGAGCCGAACGAGGCAACAGAGCGGCGATTGACTTGACGGGTCAATGCGCAAGGAGGGGTGAGTTTAATAAGGCGGCGAAGAAAACGTGACGAGTTGGTTGTGAATGCCAGCTTGCCGACGATATCGCAATCACTTGGGAACCTTGGTGTGCCTGGGCCAGCTCACGTTCTTCGATGTGTCTCTCGGCCACAATCCTTGAGACGGCTCACTGTGGATGAGCAATGTGGCCGCAGCACGCTCTCACATTGATTCCATTCAGCATGACCAGCGGACTCAATATGGAAAAACTCTCGTCAGTGCTCCCATCGCTAGCCCAGCCTCGCTTCGTGCATGGCAGCGAGAACACTGGGTTTTTTTGATTGGTGCATTGTCCTGTTGGAGAGGTTCATTTCCTGGGTTGGCAGCGATTCCAGCTTCTGGAGAAATTTCAGCATTCGTTGGTAATTTTAATTAGTGATTAACCATACCAACGTGTTGCATTGTCCCTCCCCTCCTAAAGTTCCCCAGAAAAGAAATCCGCAATTATCACTGGCCTCCTCATGCCATGCGTAGAACATGCCCATTATATTTAGGATGCTGCCACCGGGAGGCACGCCTGAGATAAGATGATTTGCCTGGCGAAGTCTCGAACCACCTAAGGGTCTATCAAGAGTAACCTTATGAGGGACACGAGGCTTCCCTCTGTCAAAGTGATTCAGATACACTGATATCAGCATGTAACTGTTGCCTTAACAAGCCAAAGCCTCCTTAGTTTGGACGTTGACGCTGAAATGAGTTGGTTGTTCAACGTGCCAAATAGGCTTTAGCAGACCCAATGTCAGAGTTTGAGGTGCTGAACTTCCTCGCCACGGACCCTGAGCTGGCTCCCAACCGCATCAAGCTCGCCGAATAGGATAACAGTTATTTGAGATCCCCGGTGGACTCTCAACTTCGTCGCACGCGCGGCGCGTGTGGCCCATGAGATAGTGATAGAGAAGGTTCGTAATATGCCCGCAAAAACTGATGTTTGCACCTTTTTTTGCACCCGCCGGCTTTCCCCCAAAAAACCCTGACGTTTTAAATACCCCTGCACTTCCCCCCCCCTCCTGCCGAATAATACGTCCTCCCCCCTGCCATTTACAAGTCCGTGCTCTCTAGTACACCATATCCTCCGTCATGGCGCCCCCATACGCCACGGAGTCCAACATCCCGCTGCTTGGCGGCCTCGACATAGTACACCACCTCATCCACTTTCTTGAGGTTGTGGACGTGGTTATGCTGATGATGGTAGGTATCCAGAGCCCTCTTGAGCGTTCCGCTAGCTCCATCTGGCTCGTTCCTCATAGACATCAAAGCTTTTCTTTGGATGGATTTACAATTCACGCTGCGCCTGGCTCAAGTTAGTCGACGCCCTCATAAGCCACGAAGGCATTCCCCCATACTCTTTTAATACACAATCCATGACTACGGAGGAGTTGCGTCTCTGTGCCACCCGTTCCTTGCGCCTCCGACATGCCCTGGCAGGCAATCATGGGGCCCGCCTCACAGTCATTTGCAAGTTCCAATATCCTCGCCGAGGCCCCATTTTATTTTTCCCGGGCGGGAGATACTTTGTTTCCATGTCCACTGGTGACGGGGACGGAAGTATCGAAATTTGGGACATTCAAAAAGTTTTGGGGCAAACCGCTGACCCAGTGGCCAGGTTCCACCCTGGACATTCAAACACCCCCCACTCAAGACTTGGGTTCTCTTACCAATATCACCCAGACGAACAACGCCTCGTGCTCCTGTATTGTTATCACAGCAACCACGATGTGTACGTTCAAACCTCTATTCCCCTCTCCCAACATTTATTCTGATTCGTATCTAGCATCTACCGCATCTTGTTCATCGACTGGCAGAGTCACGAACCTTCCATCGTATCAGGCCCGCATCTACGCATGGACGAACTCTTTGAATTGGACCAATCCGAAGCAATGCCTCAGGCGCATTCTCTTGAGAGAGAGATTGTCTGCATCTGGTACAGAGAGATCATTTGCCTGTGGAATTGGTTTGAAAACACTTGGGCTTGGCTCCGGATTAGCGATTACATTCCAGTACGCTATTCTTACCAAGCCTCGCTCACCGACCACTTATCCCTGCCTTCATAGACCCCTCAAATGTCACTCCCTTACCATGGGACGATTCTCTCGGGACAAATATGCCTATTTCCGCAGATGGTCCGGTGGTTTGCCAAAATCGACATCCCGGCTCTTCGTCCGGTGCCTGATGGCCCATACCCTGTTGAATACATGCAACATGTTCGTCTCTGGACCGGAGGGAACCCTCCGACTCTACTTCCCGGACGACTGAATCTACATCACCAAGATCCTTGGTGTAGACGTGTTTTCAGACACCTTGTCATCAATGTTGGTGGGGACGAAGAAGTCCATGGACCTCACATCGAGATCGAAATTTCTGGGTTTTTCCCAAATGGCGCGCGCACGAGACTTATTAGCCAGGTACATTCGTCGTACCCTTTTGGCATTGCAGGGGGTTTTCGAAAACACTGTTCGAATGTGAATGGCTGTGCCGCTATTGAAGCCGTATCATACAATACTCCGAACGATGCGCTTGTTTCGACAGCCACCGTAAAGCAGTGGGTTACCGACTATGAGGTCGGTGACCAATCCCAGGTTCATTTGCTGGCCGCGCCTTGTAAGGTGTCGGGCCATGCTTTGCTCCGCCAGGCTCAAGCCATCGGAAGCGACGAATTAATATTGGTTCATTTCGAGTGATCTTTACTTCCTTTAAGTGACCGTTTTTTGGGGGTTGCGATCAGTACATGTTCCAGTGATCTTTGTTCATGAATATATGTACCCGCATATGAAACCTCAGTTTTATGCACTACTTATGCTCTTCATCTCCATTAACGTAGAGAAACATTACACACCCCAAACTACACCGAGCCGGTCAAGAGCTCGATCTACCGCACCGTAAAAACCCATGAATCCCCCGTTGAGTGTTGGGGAGTACATATCCATTATCGTTGTGTCGTCCGCGGTTCCAATGGATGATCGCCGACCCCATGTCGTGCGGACCTCGAAGTAGGAGATACCGTGGTGAACGATCCTTCCATCAACGAGAAAAGTCCCCGGACACATTCGGATGTGGTAAATCCGTTCTCCTTCAGCGAACTCAATGACGAGGCCAAAATCCGCGGCGTACTGTCCCCAGTGAGCGATGTCATGAGTCCCTTCGCCGGGGCGGCCTGGGAAGGCCACTACGCATCCGATTAATATGCGCTTGCCTGCCTTCATATTCATCAAATAGAGCTCGAGTCGTTTCGGCCATGGATGCACTTCCGTGTTCCATAGCGATCTATCCTCGAATTCCAAGACATCGTTAAAGTTCATCACGCCAAAGTACCCTGCTATTCCAAGTGAACGGGTGAACCTATAACCCGAATATTTCTTCCGATGGTCCCATGATAGCATGAATACCCGTTCACTATTGAGCATGTGGCGGAGATCCTCTCTTGTGGCGAGATGAGGGGTGGTGGCCCGCTTATCGCCTGGATGAAGGGAGACTGGGTCCCGGGGCCCGTCGGCGGGCTCAGAGCCCTGAAGCCGTTCTACCATCGCCTTGTGCACGTCGGCTTTGGAGGCAAACCTGGAACGATGAAAAACGATCAGTTAAGATTCACAGTCAAGAACCATGGATTGTTCCCACTGGCTACGCTCAACATCTTCCTCGATTACTTCCAGGCCATCCAACACTTTCCGTACGTCCCCTGGACGTTGCTCCTCCTGAGGCCCCGGGCCGATTGGACGACTGAGAGTTATTGTCGCGTTTTTGCTCAATTGTCGTTGACCCCACTTCGAATGGAATAGCATGAATAAAATGGATGAAGGAGCACATAGGGTACCTACTTTCGCTTTCTCTCTCTTCTTTTGGGCATCCTTTGCCTTCTGTGCCGCCGCCTTCTGTCTCAATCTTTCACTTACACGGGAGCCACCCAAAGCCCCATCTTTAAATTCTACGCATCCTACATAAAACGAGTCACGAAACTGGTGCTGAGATCCAGGAGAGGAAAAGACTTGTTTCACTCACGTTTCGGGCTCCGCTGTTGCGCAACATCATCGGAAGGATTGATTAATGCGGCACGTCGGGCAAGTCGAGCCTGCTGGTATGCTGAATATGGAAAAGGTATATATGATCATGAACGAGGGGCATGCTGTAACTAGAGGACTACTAGCCATTGTTGAAAAGTGGCGGTATGGGAAAGGTTGGAAGGCCAGCCATCATGGCATCTGTGCGAAAGCCTCCTCCCATCTCTGATGCTGTTGTGTTTCAGATAATATGGCTGAGAGCAGTGTATATGGAGGGGCAAAGGATGAAAGGGAGTGGCGAGTGGTACTTATACATCTTAATGTTATGTCAAGAGCCACTGGGAGGTAAGGTGGCTATGCTTCCGTTTTGCTTGTTGTCAGGTCTCCCTTTTGCCGCCTTTTGCGCCACCCGGATGCTTTGGGATTTAGACATTGGGCCACCACACAAACGGTCATCAACACTACCCTGCATTGAATGCTGAGCAGATAGAACGGACATATCCCCTATATTTGGCCCAAGGTTCTACAGATACTACATTCGTGAAACATCATCCGAGCACGACTTTAGGTCACATTTCTCGGCAATCCACTGCTAATGCGCCATCAACGGGATGGGATGGGGTATTTTCTGTGTTACGATAGTCAGCACTGCAACCTTGCCATCAATAGAGATGTCATGATTGATTCCTGCTTTCGTGATTCAGTTCCACGCAAACAACACGATAGGAAGGACGCCTGACCTTGGGAACCTGGTTGTAACAACCCATTCACCCATCCCACCGTCGTGGTGTACCTCAAAAGGCCAAAAGTAGTCGGGCCGGAGGTGGCTGCGGAAACGATTTGATCTCTCCCCTGTCCAGGCGGTAAATTCGACACATACTCAAGATTCCAACCCCGAGATGAAAAAACGTACCAAATCATATCCGTTCGGAACAATATCATGATGGTCACTTGAATTCTTTTCAACAGATGCTGCTAGGAAAAACGCGTTGGTTGTCACTTGTTGCCAGAACCTGAAGTGATTCCCTCCTGCACAAGTGCTATGTCTGAGAAAGAAGAATCGCATAAATAGTGTCACCACTTACCAGTCAAACTCTCCAGGCAAGTGCCAAGCAAAGGGTTCATGTAATCCGCACGAATGACTGCCGTCTCATTCACCCATCCTCGACCGTCGCCTAAATTCGCTGTTTGCGGATTACCGATATGAAAGCCTAAGCATTCTTTCGCAAATCCGATGGAACTGACCCAATCCATTGTTAGCCGCCACAAAAATGGGGGACTAGTTTCCGTACTTTGCCCATTGGATCAGACCCGAATTTGAAAGGACTTCGGGGGCCGACAGTCCTGAGATAATTATCTAAGGAATGATGCGATCTCAGTCCGCCTCGGCAAGACGAATAGTAATGAAGGATAACTGACGTTCAATGGCTCGCCTTTTCCAGCTGAGGAATCAAGCTGACTGCCACCATTGCTCGCTGGTGGGATGTACGCTACCAGATTTTGGCGCGCGAAATCTTGAGGGTCCTGAGGGACCTGGGCATAGGAAAACCGAAGTAGAGTTATTGCCACCGTGGCGGCAAAAAACTTGACAGCGACCATTGCAGCTATTGACGAAGTGACCTAAGAAGGACGTCAGCAGCCCACCTCCTTGCGTTCAGGCTTAAATAAGTGCAACAGCGCCAATTGGTGGAGAAGACTCTCCGGACCCCTATGTGAAATTACCAGAGGAGTCTATACCCCGTCATTCATATATCACACGCAACCGCATAAGGCCCTTCAAAACGAGATACAGCCCACTGACAGGGGGTAACGACTCGTGTGCACCTATAGATGGTCATTGATCAAGGGGGGTTTCGAACGTTTGATCACACTAAATTGATCCTCCATGTGACTCAAACTGCTGGGCTGCTTTCAGAGTACGCTTCTTGGGGCTTGCGAGAGGACCTTGACTCTATATGATGCCATTGAACCATATCCAGCAAGGGGAGAACTTTACATGTACCTTGGCCATACGACAGCATGTATTTCATTAGGGGGCATGCATGCCCCCCTTGGAGCCCCTCTGGCTGGCCGATCGGAGGAGCAACATCCCCCTCCGTGTGTGTTAGTATATCAATATTGAGTTGTGGATGACGCCCCCCCCCGCCTTCCTTCGTGACTTCCCTACAATTATCCACCGCTTGCTGATTTACAACGCCATGCCCACATTTTGCTACGCAGACACTCAAAAATGTCCCCCTCTTACATACATAAGATCCGTGGGAAAAGCTATTATGTAAATCAGGCACATCATTATATTCGTGCAAGGGTATGTAACGGAGGTAGCCTGGTTGACATATCAACCACGTCCGGTCGTTACGCTGTGGGGTTTGAGGACATAGGAGTTCGCCGACGGGACATGCCACAGGTCTCCATCTGAACGTGCACAGGCAATTATGAACCGCAAGTAAGCTTGGCTATCATGAGCTGTGAGATCAACAGGGCTGAAGTTCGGCGCACCCAAGCCCCCGCTTCGGAGAGCTTGGCAATCACGCTGTCTGCCGTGAGACTGAGGCCGTGTTATTCCCGCTCCGGAGTGGCGGGTCCTTGATCGTTCCAGGTTCCCTATATATTTGGTTGTGTAAAAAACCAGACGGGTCAGCCCCAAAAAAGGGACCACATTCGCCACATTCAAAAAATGCACATTCACCGTATGGAAATCCAAAATCGTCGATTGCAACTGCGTTCCCGGAACGCGAGAGAATAGCGGGAACTGCCACGAAAGAGGGCCTGCCATGTTTGTCGACTGCAAGTCGACTAGCAAACGTACGTGTCTCATCACTTCCGGTGTCCCACCAGCATTCATGGGATTCTGTCTTTCAAGTGTTGGACGTAGCAGTTCGTTTCCATGATAGCAGGAATGGCATCCTGCCGTTCATGAGTATCTTATTAATGTACGACGAAACAACAAACATGGCTGGTTGGCCCGCTTCCAAGAATTCCGATTGGACATCCTTACAACGGCTGGCAGAATCCGAGCACCTATGACGAATGGTTTCGTCGTCGGGCATGACGTTTAAGCATTCCCCGGGCTTGCTTGATGACTCTTCTTTGAGTTGAATACTTATTCGTATGTCCCAAAGTGGAAGGAGTGCCAATCCGCCGCCCCGACGACATGGAGTATGTTGCTCCGGGTGACCATATACTCTCCTCTTGGTCATGATCTGGTGGCAGGATGCCCTCCGGGGCGTACAGTCACGAGCCGGGAGCTTCAACCCGTGCCTTGCAAATGGTCATGAGCAGCCAGGTGGCTTCCGTGGCCTGAGGAAGTAACAAGTGTTGTTATAGCTCTTATATGCCTGCCGCACTCCGCTTTTGACAGAAAGCTCGGGATTTCCCTTATCACAGGTGCGCACTCTAGCTTTAATATCGACATGCAACACATTCAGCGACCCTCACTTATTCCGACGTATCGACCGAGGGACTCATCCGACACCAACTAGCGGGTTGAGCATGCGGATGACTGTAAGGAAGGCCTGACTTGCGGAGGCTGCACTAACTACAGCGCATTCTAGAGCTTAGACAATACTTCTTGTCATTTTCTATGTAGGCCCCATTACATTATTCCATAAATCATATTGACGGTGCACATCCCCCAGTGTCCTTGCCTCACGTCCTAATTCGAAGCTAAAGAGAGTGAGAAGCGCCGCCAGTCTCTTTATCAATCCGCGAGGCCTGATGCTTGGCGCGATCTAATATCTGGGGTCTTAGCTCCAACGATCCCATCCATCCCTTTGTAGATCATCAGATGGCACCTGACACGGACAGGACAGTCCAACGTGCGTAATAATGGCCACTATGCGCACCGGTATGGCGCACCCTTACTCTTCTATGAATGCTTGATAAGCAATGCTAGGGCTGGAATTGTCTGCCTATCTCTTATCTCCAAGGCATTCCACGAATTGGATAGAAACCGCTATCATCTTATGCCAATGAGAACCCTGCCAAGTGCCGGTTGAATGCGTAATAGCAATCAAACCATCCGAACGACTGTTACCCAACCCACCTCCATCAGGCCCCCCCCGCGAATGTTTGCGAGTTTGTAGCCCTTACGCGTCGGTTGGACAACCAATAGAAAGGTGGCGGAGAGATGCACGTCAGAACGGCGTGCTGATTCAACGAACGTATGTCTCAGGAAAGAGAAGTTCGGGACAATAATCTACATGGATTGGCTCATGGCATGCTGCCAGAGTATGGTCTGGAACATCAACTCTAGAGGCTCTCAGGGCCTAGCACCGTCTGACTGGCAGCCACTATGTTCAATGGGCTGTGCTCAACAGTTAATGTATCGTGCTTTGCCCAGCACAAACAGGTAATGCGCTGCCATGGCCGAAACAGATATCAAATCATCTGAATGAGTAGAATAGCGCTGGGGAATCCTGGCCAATTTAAGAACGGGTTCACCACGGGGACCAGTTAGGAACATTAATAAGCACCTCTCCCATGCATGTTGTGTGTGCCCCCCCCCCTTGTCATTGGCCCAGCCACACCCGCTGGCAACCCCCTTTTCAAGTTTAGAGACACCGAGTCGGCCTAGACGGCCTGCTTCAGCTGTTACGTTAAATGGAACTTTTGTGGAGCTACACCCATTTTTTCACCTTCTTGTGGAAAGATTCGCCGCACCAGCACCCTAGTTCTTGCCGGGTCACCAAACGCTATTGGATAGATAACACTAGAGTTGATTTATTTCCTGCCAGCGCCATAGATCCCAAGGGGACATGCGCCTGATAATGAAGGACTACAATGATGGATGAGCCATCCTGGTGTGCTCCAGACCATTGCAGTTACTTGCTCTGCCATCGATCGAGATGTTATGATCAATTCCCGTGCGTTCACTCTCGTATTGCACTAAAACCTGCGAGAACTAACCTGCGAGCCACGTTTTAGCCGTTCTGGTTTGGTAGTTTACCCCACTGGCATTTGTTATTTGGGTCTGGTCTCGATCCTGTCAACAAAATTGTAGTGATTGCTCTCGGATGGTATGATCGGGAACGTACCTCATTAAATCGTTCGGCGCGATGGCATGCATTCCCCCTTTCCGTTCCTTGACTGACGCTGCAAGGAAGTACATGGCAGTTGTCAATCGTAAAATGATTTCCGCCCGTAACGCTTTCTAATTAACAAGATCCCAAGCCATTGTCTTCGTAGCGTATCGGAGTGCTGCAACCTCATTTGCCTATCACCAAGGTTGGATTTCCGATGTGAATCCCAGACTTTCAGTCAAAAAAGTTATCAACTAGAAGGGTAGATGAGCCGTTCCAAACTGGCTCCTTAACGGGAATGAACTTTGTCCTTAACTCGATCCCAGAATTGGACAAGACTCCGGGAGAAGATAAAGCGGAACTGATTGCCTGAGCTCAGGTGTCATTCCAGCCACCTTAACTAAACAGACATTGAGTGGTCCACCGAGCTGTGACCCACCGCTATCTGCTGAAACGCCGTATGTTCGAAATGGTTCATCTAAAAGTTGTACCATCGATGAAAAACGCAGCAGAGCCACAGTGGATCAAGCTATAGTGGCGGAGCTCATAGCAAAACGGACGGAAGATTGAGGATACTGCCAGGAACCAGTGATCTGCTGATTAACTCTGAAATAATCGTTTCCTTTCATCTTGGAAGCCATCAGTTCAGGATGCCTAGAAGACGATGCCGCTCCTCAGGGCAACTTATCCCTATGACGGCACCAAGGTAAAACTGTATGCACAAATGGCCTATTGATGAAACAGTAGCGAGACTTCTCCGGATAGACCATCAAGCCTGCATTGTATTGCTGGTGGCATCTAAAATCGCTCATGGTATTCGAACCCGTATGGTTAAAAGGTCTAGCTTGTTTCCACGAATCATTCAACGTCCCATCATTTCAACCATGTGGAAAGAGGCTTGATCACAAGATCACTGCAACTTCTCGCAGCACAGAAAGATGGGAATGCGTCGGTGTTAATATTCTACCTCTGCTACGTTCGTGGACTTCGCAAGTTGACAATCTGAGACAGGCGAGAGAAGCCCTTGAGAGTGATTAGGGTCTTCTGTCACTGAATGGAACAGGGGGCGCACTCAGTTTTGTCGCGACGCTGCTTTGGCTTATGTCTGGAAGCTTTCAATGAGCGATGATCGTGAGGACTACGACCAAGCCATCGATGGCAATACCATGATTGATCCCTGAAATATTTCCGAGCTAACATTCATTTTGATGCTATAGTGTGGTACGAAGAGACTCACCAGCGCTTCCCACAGGCAAGAGTCCTGAAACATACTCGGCGGACGTGGTGTATGACCTTTGTGGTGAGTTGCCTTGGAAGTGGATGCGTTGACGATTCGATCCCGTCCCTGTGAAACGGATCAGAGATGAATGACCATTGAGGAGACGTAGAGAATCAGGGAATGGAGCCCACGTCGTCGTATCCATTCGCTGCGATAGTATGCCGTTCGCTAGGGGATTTTTCGACAGATGCCGCAAGGAAGATAGCGCCCGTGGTCGATTGCTGCCAAAACCTGAAATGATCGCCACCTTTTCAAGGCTGATTAGTGTACTGCGCCGAACTTGCGAGGTTTGGGCGAGCCGCACCTGTGAGGCTCTCGAGACAGGATCCAACGTTATACCCAATGCCAAAATCATACCTGATGACCGCCGTCTCAGTTACCCAACCTTGTCCATCCCCCAAGTTGGCCGTCTGAGGATCACCAATATGGAAGCCGAGACATTCCTTGGAGAAATGTATCGAGCTATGGCAATGAAATTCAGCACAAACATGGCAACTATTAAAAAACTAAGGGACTGTACTTTGCCCACTCTTCCACTCCAACTGTGCTCAAGACGTGAGGGGAAGATAGTGCAGATATGATAATCTAAGTTACGGACAAAAACATGAGATTAATGGATGACCTGGGCCCTAGAAATTTACATACGTTGAGAGGTTCACCAGAGCGGGTTAATTGGCTTCCTCCATGATTTACGGGAGCCTCGTATGACACCACGCGTTTGGTAACAGCGGCACAAACGGACACCAGCGAGGCAAGAACCGAGAAATAACGCATTTTCCCCCAAATCCAGGCAGCTACCGTTGCCTGCACAGGAGTTCAAACTCGTGGAAGTTGGGACTGCATGTCTCGGATTATTATGCGGGGCTAAATGAGGAACTGAACAAGATGAGGATCCAAGATCCACCGGAATTTACGGTACACGCCGGGGCAGGGTCCTCACAGAGGGGTCTAAAGAAGCCCGGGATACGCGAAATGAAACCTCGAGCTGGGTCTTAAAACCTCTCTGGGAACCACCTATTCTCGGCATGTTCATGGCATTGTGCTAGATAATCGATTCAAATACACCCTTTGCTTGGAATCTGTGAGGGACCTTAACGTCGGCAGAGGCCGGCGATTGAGTTCAGGTGGTTAAGGGACTCACGAAATCTTAGGGTAATCGAAAGTCGCTGAACCAAAGTCGAACTCGATATTACACTAGGGGTGTAAGTACAAGATCTCTGCTTTTCCTATCTACTAAGGTTCTAGCTTATATACGGTTCTCTACGCTTATGTAAGCTTATCGCTTACAGTCGCCCTCCTGCGACGTTGGCGACTCGCATCTACGAATTAGGGATTAGTCGTTAGAAGCCGTATATAATACTAAAGACAAAGGGAACAATAAAAATAAATTCAGAACCTGCACTTACGACGAAGTCTAGTCGTTCTTTGGAGCTGAAGAGCTCGCCTCAGCCGCTCCTTCGGTGGTGTCGACCGAGTGTTCCGTCTGTAGCGTTGCCATTGAGAGGTCATTCATATGGCCGATAGTGCTCGAAAGTGAAGGGGATGCCGGCGTTACAAAGTTTGGGGGGGCAACCGATGGCACATATTCCGCGTTCACAAAGAGATTGTTGGGGTCGATTGGCGCGTTGTCTGTGTTTGCGAATGGGTAGGGAGTCGGGGTTGGAGTTGGGGTTCCACCACTAGGTCCCGCGTTGTCGGTGTGTCGTTCAGTAGGCCTCGTCCCAACATTACGGTATTTGTTTCGTCCGCGAACACCGCGTCTGGTGTAAGGACCTCCGCGGTGGGGAGGCACCCGCTCTCGGCCGTGGTAGGGAGATGTGGGAGGGGGCGGTGGACGCGTGAACCTGCTAGGGGAACCGATGACCGTGCCAGAATTCAAGATGGCTTGCGCTTCTAGATAGGGAGCATGGAGCGCATGAGACTCAATCGCGTTCAGAATCACGTCCGTGAGGTTGTTAGCCTCCACCCATTCCGTCCAAAAGTTCGGTTCGGGGCCAGTAATCGTGCCACCAGACTCTATCATAGCAAGATGGCGGCATACTGCTGCATAGTCCTTTGATTCCATGCCGGGCACTATCGTGAATCTGGGTTTTACTTTTGCAGTGAATCCTCTCCTAGGCGGGATGATGGTGTGCGAGTGTGGATTGAACATCGTGGCGTGTCCGTGGTCAGGGAGGGTGGATTTGGGGGGGTTGGTCGAGCTACAAGCGAGACCTATCGATATTGCCGCAATGGATAGTCCTTTTATATGTTCAGTTACGTCTGATATTGGGGTAGTTTCCTGTCGCAATTTCGTAATGTTGCTTACCCCTAAGACATCTAAGTAATCATTCAAAGGCGCCTTTCCGCGCAGTAGGCTCCAAGGCTCCCAACTTGTGGAACCATTTGACCATTGAACGAAGAATTTCGCGTGTTTTCCTTGACCGTCATGCTTTATAACGCGTCGTAGTAATGTGTCGTCCGAGGCGCCGATTCCTATATACTCATCGACTTTTCGGTTGGGGAATAGAATATCATCGTTAGGAATGTGTGGTCGTAGCAGCTTAGAGTGAAATACGGGGTGTATACCTCGTTTTCTGAGTTCGTCGGGTAGCTCAAGCTCAAAGCTTGTGTTCGGCGAAGCTTCTCTAGATATCCGCATTGGGCCAATGTATTTCATCGATAATTTTCTCGATTTTCCCTTCCCTAAGTTCAAGTTTTCCGTTGACAAGTAAACCATGTCATTGACTTTGAACGGTGTTTGCTTACGATGTTTGTTAGCTATCACTGTTTGATTACTTCGTGCATCAATGAGAGCATCGTGCGCGTCCAGAGTCATTGCCGTGATTTTGCGCGCTACGGCCCGAACACCTGGATAAGGGGACTCTCGCGAGATGAGGATCGGGTTTGGTTGCCGTATTCCATTCAATTCGAAAGGTGTATATCCTGTGCTATCCGATGTTGACATGTTTATTGCCAGTTCTATGACCGGGAGTTTGGACGCCCAATCCTTTTGATGACCTGATATTGCTTGTCTCAACATTTGAGACAGGGTCCGGTGAGCGCGTTCCGTGGCGCCGTCCGTTTCTGGGTGGTATGCACTGGACAATCGTAGTTCCACACCTATCAGCTTGTGTAGCTCAGTCCAAAATGTCGACGTGAATAGGCTGTCTCTGTCGCTTACAATGCGTAGGGGAAGGCCGTGTAATTTGTAAATGGTATCGAAAAATACTTCGGCCATATCCCGGGCTGTATAGGTCTGCAGCGTTGGTACTAGGTGAACCATGCCGCTAAAATGATCAATGATTGTACAGATCATATCAAATGCGCCATGTCGGGTTTTCGAGAGTGGCAACGGGCCTAGGAAATCAATTCCCACAGATTCCCAAGGTTGTGATGGGATCGGTAAGGTTTTCAGGAGGCCGAATGGTGCCGTTGTACGAGATTTTGTCGTTGCGCAAACTGGGCAAGACAGACAGAATTTACGTGCGTCCCGCAAAATGTTTTTCCACCAGACATGACGACGAAGGTAGATCGTCGTTTTCTCAGGACCTAAGTGAGCTAGAATGGAATGTGCATGAGAGATGACAATCTCACGTAGCGATCGCGCACCATATGATACGTTCGGTATGCAGAGTACAGTGAATTGACCATTATTCATGAATATCAGCATCTTTCCTTCCGCGTCCTTGGCGACTGAGAAATTAGGGAAATATAGTGGGTTGTCGATAATCCTCGCGAAGAACGGGTCTGAATAGTACTTATCGGTAATAAAATCCGGTAGCACAAGGCCTGGCTCGGAGTCTGATACCAATGTTATGAGTCCTGGAGGTGTCTCAGCGTACTCGGACTGCAATTCCGAATGGACTTGGTTTGAGGTAGAACCCGTTGCTTGGGTATCCTCATCTGTGGTGCTTTTTCGCATGTGGGCGGGTATTTTGATTTTGATTTTCAAAGCCTCCTGGGGTTGCTCTTCTAAGGCTTCTTGTGTGACGGGTGATGGTTCTGGTTCGTCATCCTGAGAGCCTAGGGTCGCGGGTTTCTTTCCGGTTCTCTTCTTCCTAGGTGGTTTGGGTGGACGAATACGCAACCTGCGTGGTTCGGAGACTGCAGGGCCTGTGATTAGTGTGGCTGTGTACACTCTATCCGTCGTTGTTCCAGCATCATTGTCCTCCATAGTCTCTGACACGAATTCAGAGGGGGCACGTAATGTCCCCAGTGACTCATCACTGTATATTCGTGATAGGGAATCTGAGAATGAATTTTGTTCACCGGGTAGATAGTTGATTGAAAAGTCAAAATCACTCAATGCATCCAGCCAGCGAGCTTGACGCTGCGATAAATTCCGTTGTGATTTCAGGAATTCCAACGGCTTGTGATCTGTGAACAGTCTGAACTTACAGCCTAACAATTGGTCGCGAAAGCGCTTTAGTGACTCAATAATAGCCAATAATTCTCGCTCATGGACAGGGTAATTTTGTTGCGTCGGAGTGAACTTCCCGGACCAGAAACACGCAATCTGGGCTGTTTCCAGGTTGTCCCCTTGACTTAAGACACCACCTGCTCCTGTTAATGAGGCGTCTGTAACTAGGTTGATTGCCGGAGCATTTTCTGAGTAGTCCAGAGGTTTTCTATGGTGATCACGGAAATTCTGGACAATTTCCTTAATTTGCTCGAATGCCCGTTGATGGGTCTCATCCCATTTCCAAACTTTCTTGGCACTAGTTAATGGTGTCAGTACACCCATGGGGATCCTAATTCCTTTGCAGTTGGGTGCTAGGTATCCTACCGCTCCCAAGAACCCGTGTAGGAGCGATGCGTTCGTGGGGATTTTCCAATTCTGTACGCAATTTACTTTGTTTGGGTCCATTTTGATGCCGTTCCTGTCAATCACATGACCTAAGATTTTTAGTTCGTCGGCAAAGAATTGTAATTTATCTGGTGTTGACAAGTAGAATTTCTCTTTTTCCAGTAACCGGAAAACTGTTCGGCAATGTCCGATGTGTTCACTGATTGAATTGGAATAGATTATTATGTCATCCAGATACGGGTCTACCCATTTCCCTATGTATGGGCCAAACATGTGACACATGGTCATCTGCCATGTTGCGGCAGCGTTCTTGTCTCCTTGGCACATGACCCGACTCTTCATCACACCGTCCGGAGTGATTATTAAATTCTTTACCTCGTCCGCGGGGTCAACTCTCATTTGTTCATAGGCATCTCGTCCATCTACTATAGACACAAATTTATGCCGAGCTACTCTATCTAGTATAGCTCTTATGTCTGGGAGTGGAGATGACATCGGGACCGTGTTTTCATTAATCTCGCGCTTGTCTATCACTGTGCGGATGCGGATTTCCCCGTTGGGTCCTGGTTTTTTCTTGAGTACCAGTAATGGCATTCCGTTTGTTCCGTTGTAGTAGACCCATCGGCCTGATTTCAACATGACATCGCGCTTTTTCTCCCATAATGCGCGCAGTGGTTCCGGGCACATTGCCCGTCTGAATCTGTAAATCTTGTTTTCATCCTTTAGTGGGATTCTGTGATTAATATCACGTAAAGGTGGTAGGGGTGTTTCATCGAAAGGCTTACATAGGTGGGCTGCTTCCTCTCTAAGCATCTGCCTCAGTTTCTCTAAGTCGCGGTCAATCAGCACGGAAGTCACGGATGGTATCACCACCGAGTCTTCCTTCCTAAGGGGTAGTGGATTTGCGGATCCGATCCGTAGTCGCGGTGGGTTAAGTCCAAGTAGCACGGAATGTTGGTATAGGAAAGGGGTACCTAAAATGACATCGTAGTCATGAATGTTCATCACATCAAACCGCTTTGTACAGTTAATGTCTTCGTATTTGAACGAAACCGATGCCTCCAGTTGGACGTTGACCCTTGAGCCTGTAACTGCCAGTTGAACGGGGAGGATGGTTGATAGTTTTGTCGTTGGGATTTTGAGTTGGTCTACGCATGTAGTGGAAATGAAATCAGCCAGTGAACCAGAGTCTATGAGGGTTCGGCAAATATGACCGTTAACTTGTGCTTTAATCACCATTCCCTTCGGTAGGATGCGTGTAACATCTTTGGGAGTGGCAGTTGTGCGCTCAAGACCGTCAGTTAGTTTTGCACCCTCCTTTCGGAGTTTGTCCCCTCTAGATTTAGCAGCATTAGCTTCAATATAATCCACTTTGCTCATCATCGATAAGCTTATTGCATAGATGTTTCCTGAGCAATCTCCCTCTATCAAACTTTCTAGTTCGTTTATGTTCACAGAGCGCGCGCTCACGCTCGGGGTCTCTTTAGTTACTGGGCAGTCCTTCGCTAAGTGTCCTGATTGTTTACAGTTGAAGCATAGGCCCTTGGCCCTTAGCTCATCACTTTCTTCTTTCGATAGTTTCGTTCTTGAGGATCTGCTCCTGCGCCCTCCAGACCTTTTGTCACCGTCTTTTTCTTTTTTCTCTTCACCCTGCCTAGCGGGCTTGTTATCTTTTTCGGATTTCTTGTTTTCTTTCTCAGGTGGGCGCTTGTCCTTTCCACGTTCGCCTTGTCGGTTCTGGTTTCTTTTGCGATTCTCTTCATACCTGACCATTTTCTTGGCTCTTTCGGCATTCATGGCGATCGCTTTTAAATCATCTATGTTCCCAGTGTCAGGACTAAATCCATAATCTAATAATTTGATGCGATAGTATTGATCCAGTCCGTTGAACACCCGTTGCACAAATTGCCTATCCGTGATGTCGCTTATTCTGTTTCTGATGCGGTCCATTTCCCTGACATATTCCTGAACCGAGGAATCACGTTGCATCCAACGTTCGAAACGATCTCGTTGAATTTGTCGGAATTCTGGTGGGAAACATTCATCAAACAGTGCTTTGACGGCTGATTTGAGAGTCCAATCTCGCGGAGTCAGAGCGATAGTTGATACGAACCATGTTGCGGCCTTGCCACACAACATGTGTTGGAGGTGTTTGACCTCATCTCGTCTGTGTACTTTGTTTAGTTCAAAATAAGTTCTTACTCCTGCCAGCCAAACTTCGAACTTATCGTAGTTGGCTTCACCGTTATACGGGTCTGGTCCTTTGACCTTGACATGCGGGCTTCGGTGTTTATCCTTCTTCAGTAGGGCCAGGAGGAGGCTGGACTCGTTCCTTAGGCTTAGTCTGTTCAACTTGCCTAGTTTTAGAAGGTCCGAGTCGTTGGAGTGTATCGTACTAGTTCTTATTGATGGGTTCGATGACGAAGAACTTCCGTCGCTGCTGTCATCGGAAGGGTCTGACAGGGTCAATTGTTTGGCTAGGAAAGAGGAAGGGGGAACAAATGTTGAAGCTCTAGGTACTTTCAACGTCGTATAGTTTTGAACGTCCGCTTCGGTCTTGGACTTCCCTTCGGACTTGTCCCTTCTAGGTGTCATCGATTTACGTTTAAGGGCCTTGTGTTTGGCCAGTCTGTGAGACGCTAGTCCGTTGACGATAGTCTCGGAGTCAGCATGTTTCTCAAATAGTTTACGGACTTGAGTGGATAACTCATCTGAGTCCTTGTTGTCGTCGTAGTCATTGATGCCCATTGATTGTACGGGTGGTGGGGTGGGCGAACGTATCTCACGTCCTTTTCCTTTCTCTGTTGATGTGGACGCGCGAGGTGTTTGTGTTTCCGTGGCTGAGTATAGTCGAGCGCTTCCAGCGTCAGAACGGGTATCAGTCCATAGATCTGGCGTTCGCGGTTCAGGTTCGTATTTGATTACCTGTTCTCTAAAGCGAAGTATCTTGTTAAGAGCCTCATCGGGCATCGCGAGTACGTCCGATAGTGAGAGTGTTTTCGCGTTGAGTTGGGCAAAGGGATCGAAAGAGGGTGGACTCTGGGGAACGGGTGGTTCTGGTTCGCCACGGTACCTTGTATGTAGATTGGAGTCACTCACAATGGACATATTTTCTTCTCCGCTCGAGGTATCGCTAGCTTCAGTGCTGCGAGCATCTTTCGCGAGACGGAGGTCCTCCATATAGTAACGAGAGGACGTTACAGGGCTTGTACCTGTAACCGCTATTCCCGCGCTCTCCATGGGGCTGGTCCCCAGAGCAGCCGGATCTACGCGTCGTTTCTCTACGGGGCTGGTCCCCGGAGCTGCTAATACCGCGCTCTCGACAGGGTTGGTTCCTGGAGCTGCTGGGTATGCGCTCTGATTCTCTACAGGGTTGTACCCCGGAGCCGCTGGTGCTGCGCTCTCCACGGGACTAATTCCCGGAGCTGCTAGCCCCGCGCTTTTCAAAGTTGGAAAGCTACTCACCAGATATGTCTCATATCCTTCGTTCTTGTTAGCTTGTCCTACGTCTAGATCGAGTCCTTTTGTCGTAACTAGATCGTCCTGTTCACTAGGTATCTTGAGAGACAGCTCGGTATTCTCTACCGACAGGCTCCCATCGTGCACAATAGGTTGGTTAGTAACCGGTTCTGGCGCCAAAGCGTCTACTGAGGTTGATCGGCCACGTCGGCTCACCAGTGGGACGTAGCCTCGACCACTCCTCAGGTTCATCATCGCGTTGCAACTAAAGTCGTGAGAGGTGGGTAAAGCTTAAGGTGGCCGGCCTTAAGCTCGGGATTCGGAAGTGAGGGTTAGATCGGTTTAGATCGGTGTAGATCGAGAGTGTGTAGGTAGCGAAAAAATGTGAGGGACCTTAACGTCGGCAGAGGCCGGCGATTGAGTTCAGGTGGTTAAGGGACTCACGAAATCTTAGGGTAATCGAAAGTCGCTGAACCAAAGTCGAACTCGATATTACACTAGGGGTGTAAGTACAAGATCTCTGCTTTTCCTATCTACTAAGGTTCTAGCTTATATACGGTTCTCTACGCTTATGTAAGCTTATCGCTTACAGAATCGTCCGCATCAACACTTTGACGAGACTTGTGTGCCCCGGGTCACGGCGATTGTGCCTTTTAATTTCTCTCACGCCATTTCCGCTGACGGCTCTTCGCATGCTGATCTATCCTCTGGGTTTATTGTTCTTTACTTCGATAAGTTATCTTATTTTTCCCCTCTCGCGTCCGCTGTACGCTCCGGCCTCCGTGCTTTTCTTTTTCCTTTCTCGCGCCCGCGGTTGCGCTTCGGCATCCGTGCCTTCTTTCCTTTGCTTCGCGTCCGCTGTGCGCTTCGGCTTTCGTACCTTCCCTATTATTGTACGGCATCCGCTGTATGCCTTCATTTCAGCCTCGTATCCTGTCTGCTTTGTAGTCCTATCGTGTTCGAACCCTTTTCAGATATTTGGACAGAAAACTTCATGGCGTCCGATAGGAGGATCCCAGTCCTCGGCGAGCTGCCCCTTGTTAGCTCGGTGACTGTGGGATACATGGAACGCGAGGAATCCTCAAACAAAGTGAAGAGGATATTGCAAAGAATGCAGCGACTTCTTCCTTTGGACGCTCCTATTAACCGAGTGAACGAGTTGCAAGAGGGTGTGTATCGTTCAATTTGATGGATCCTCATGACACGAACAGTAGAGGGAGACACTGCCGCTCTCAAACTTGGCTAATCTGGTCAGCTCTGGGGATTATTACACATCGGCTTCGTGACTGCTCAATAAGAGGGTTGAACGCTCCAAATTCGCGCAAACGCTGCGAGATTGTTGGCTTCCAGTAGCAACGCCGATTGTCGGAGAGCCCTATGACTCCGATCCACCTATCAACTACCAATTGATGCTGTGGACGCAATGGGAAGGACTTGCACATCGAAGAGCCGATGCTAAAGGTGTTGCGATATCGTTAAGGTGCCAGTAGCCAAGTATAGCATCCAGGGAGCCAAACTCTGTTAGAATGTACGAGCATTTACATTCCAAGTCGATCGTAATTTCTGCAATATTTGGGATTCTTTGAATGATTTAGGATCGTATCAGCAAAACTTATGCAGAGATGTTGTCTTGGTAGCACTCACAATCTTGTTGGCTGCTACATACAAATGTACAGTTGGTGCGATCCACATCTCGACGGAAATGACCCTGAGGCCTGAGACACTTTGGGCCCTAGAATGAGTAGAATTGCTGATATTAGCATAGTAAACATTTTTTGATACATCGCTCTGACCTTTTTTTTTTGGTGGAACCTGCCCTCATACTTAATCGCGACGTGGGAGGGTTAGGGTTGAGGGCGACAGTGGCCTCTGGGCGGTTAGTCTCGGCGTTGCGTCGGAACTACACCAATGGGGAAATGCGTTTACGCACTGCCAGTGTGGGACTCGCCCATCACGGGGAATCGGGAACACCCACTATAACTCCCGTGCTCTTTAGCCACCCGTGTTGGCTGGGGGGCTGCCATAACATTGCCTCTTCCTTTCTACCTGAGTATTGTAGCTCAAGGGCCGTCAACTCTTGCTTCAGTTGTGCAGCGCCTTGCTGTCTATCCCTGCTGGAGACGTTTGACACTGAGTGTAACATTAAGTGAAGCGACGAACTTACGTTGAAGTTTGAGCCAGGACTGCCATCCAGACTTGGCATTGACAGCTGGATGGTAGCGTCGGAGGTTTTCATCACCTCCTGCAGTGTTTTTCTGCACTTCTGCGCACATGCTGCAGCGCTCGTTTCAGAAAATACTGGTTTGTGCATTGAGAAAACCTGCGATCCTAATAGCATGGAACAAAGAACATACTTTCACACTGAATGTCGTTCGTGACGCTAGCGTCATCGAGTATATCGCCAACGGAGTCCTGCTTCGCGGGATTTGAGTGCCCCCATAGGGTTTCTATGAAGCTCCCAATAAACGGTGGAAAAGGCTTGAGGATACAGTCTTTAGTAGTGGAGCCTCCTTGCAATTTTTGTGCAAATGAGCCTTCAGCCTGTAAGAACTCGTTTGTGCAGAAGTTTGCAGCAAGGACGGTTAATCCATCGGCATTGCTATCAACATCTAAGGACGATATTGGCATGTTAGACGTGTTTTCGGACATATCTTCCAATGGTGGCGTCCAATGGATGGGGGATTTCTCAATCAGAAATTTCAAAATCCTGACTTTGCATCCGAGAGATTGGCCTAAGGCAAGCAAGGAAGTGAGTCGTTCTATCTCGTTTACCCACCATTGCGCGTCCTCTGAGTTGGTTCACCCAAAGTTTCACGAAAGCGTGACCTACGCGGCCAGTGTGACATGCATTTTAGTATTTTGCGCTTGCTGTAACTGCTGTAAGGCGGGCGGTGTCTACCGGAATCCCGTTTATCGCATTTCAGCTATGAAGACTCCGCTGCACCATGCTACGATGTTAAATCGATGGAGTTTCAATGCGTATTTCACATCAATCCGGGACGATCACTGGATTTGGATTCAGGAGGTACATACATCCATTGCCCCAAGCAGAATCGGGTGTCAATCGACTGGACTGCATGTGCTGAACGGGCACAAACACCGTGGAACCGGTGGCTGTGCCAATTTTCCCGTTTAGACATAGTTAACAGGCACCCGAGGATCCAGTCCACCCCCAGATAATATCACATCATGAATGGATGTTTCCCTCTTGTACGCATGGTGTATAGAGTGAGGGAAGCCGCACTGGGGGCCGCGGGATACCAAGACAGAATTCACACACACACAGTGACACACCCGTTTTACCCCTCACGAGACCACAACTGTGTCGGTCCGAGACACAGTCCGAAGAACACTGAACAGTGGCCGACACGACAAGGAGAAAGACGGCATCAGTGTTTGGTGGCAGATTGGAGAGACGACCACGACTCTGCTTGTGTGTTTGGTTGAAAGAAAAAGGAGGGACAGGTTCAATTTTAACAGACCCTGGAATACCTGGCTCTTGCCTCTGGACTGTAAGACCTCCAGAAGGGTCATCCAATCTGCACGGTGAATGACCACGCCAGCAAGTGACGCCACTGATTCGGCACCCATGCAGAAGTCGAGAGCTGTGCCTCTGCAGACCAGAGAGCGCATCCAAAGAGTATGCCTGCGATTGAAGCTCAGACAACTGGGCAAGGAACCCAGGGTATCCCCGAATGGCCAAGAAATCTCGAGCGACTGAAAGGATTCCCGAGGATCTCATAAAGCCGACTGCAAAACGTTCAGTGATGATTCCCTCATGTGGCCGCACTGCCGCGTCAGAATGAAGCAACAAGATCACAATATGGTTCAAGGACCTCTGCGCACAGGCAACGCAACGGATGCATGGCATCTCGTTTTCTGTAGCTTTCGCTGCGTAACATCGTTGCATAGGGGTTTATATGTGCTATGTAAAGTCCTGTGACCCTAGGGGTCTCACTCGTTCTTGAGATGTGCATGATCATCGCAGTGAAAACGTTGGGAAACACGCAAAATCGGGAAAGTAGCTTGAAACCATCAGAGATGACATAACGACGGTTACGAAGAGTCACATACAGCACACCCCGGGATTCCCGCGAGCTTGCAGCGATCCCGGTGAACAAATGAGAGGTTAATGCCGCAGTCAGGTAGCCAATTTAACCAGGCTCGCCTGAGCGCCTAATTTGTTGCACGTTTGCGATAGCTACGTATTTCTTCCGGACAGCGATTCCTGCTCTTTGTCTGGACCACTGGCTTAAAAAAAAGGTTTGACTTTAAGACGCCCGGGGTTCGAAATACAACCCTCATGTGCTTGATATGAAAAGTGGAGTTCATGGGCTATATGGAATATTGTGCGCTAATAGAGGGCGCCGGAGCTATCTAAACGAATAGCGGCTGGTGCAACAGTCTAGACGGATTATGCGGATTATGCGGCGTCTGCCTGGGGCCAAGGCATGCAAAGAGCTGGAATTGTGATATTTATGGTTAACACATAGGCGACCTTGCTGAAAATGTCACAGCAACGATAACTATGCATCTGAGATCAAGGAGGACGTCGTCTTCATAAGGTTGGAAGCGCCAGCAGGACGTTTCCAGAAGGATAGGTGCGGGGCAAAACACCAAGATGAATGTATTCCGGTGTTCAAAATATTGCCGCAGTTGCCCCGCAAATTGAATACCCCATTTCGATGACCGATGCTGTGAGAAAGAAGGTCATTTGCTCGCACACGTTGAGAATTGACGCGTACACGGAGCCCAAGATGCTCTCGCAAAACCAGAATAGCGCTCCATGCCATAGGTCAATCAAGAGGTTATGCCAAGGAGCCTCGGATCGGAGAATCTTGCTGGAAGTGGTGAAGTGAAGCAGGGAAGCATACAGTTAGGGTTGTTTCCTTATATAACATTTGGGAGTCCTGAACGCTTCTCCCTTGTTGGGTGCCTCAGTGGCAGTACTTCGCAAGACTCGTACCGTCACCGGAACGGACTAAAGTTGCTTTCAACGGGCGTGGCCGATACAGAGTAGTTCGGACCGCCAGGAACTACCATATTGCACGCCCTGCCCGAAACCAATTCAGCAATTGGCAGCACCAGCACTGGCGACTGTTTCGACATAGCCTTTCCGGAGATTCGCAGCGTCCCGAGGAAGCCCTGAGAGCTACAACTGAGATAATCGCAGCGATAACGCCAACTGCGGGTGAGTAAGCAAGACTCTCCACGGAAATTTCGCCCCGGCCACCTGTGCGAACCGAAGAAATGTAATGTTCGTATTCTTCATCAGAGCGATGGCGAAATGCACACCATATTCAATTCCATCAACGATGAAATTACACACGAGATCAGGAAACTAATAGTTATCGAATATTCTTGCTTCTTGAATGGTCGCTCATTTGTTTGCTCCCAAAAGCAATTCGCGGGATTCGCAAACAATATCCGACACTAGTGTGAGAAGCCAGTTATCGCATGGCATGGAGTGAGGTGTCGGCTGACTATTTCCACCCGTAACCTCGGGCATTGGTCATGGTCAGCCTTGTATTCCCGGCATACGCAGACAGTCCCTCGGCATCGGATAGGGAGCATAGTAGTGGACAGAACTATGTTTAATCTGGCTAGTATCTGAGAAGGTTGAGGGTAGCACCCGTGAAGCGTCAAGAAGACACGCAAATGTCAACGCCTCAGAACCAGGCTCCGGCCCAAAACTTTGAGCAGAGAATGGCTGATGCCGAGATAGCTTAGCGCAGGGGACGGCCCTACACTAATTGAAGACGTTATTGCGAAAAGAGCTAGTTGTGTTCCAGTTCACTATTGAAGTAGGGAATACATACATAGACCCGGAGCGGTCCGCCCGTCCCCACATTTTCCCCTCCATCCTCGCTATTCGTCCTTGGACGGCCGTCATTTGGCGGCTGGAGGCGCCGGAACTCACAGCACAACTGTCCACCACCGTCCGTTATATTCTTCTGGTCGTTGGGAAGGCTTCTCTTTGCAATCCCGCCAGCACACTATCAAATCGATCCGACCCCGCAATTCCTAAGCGCGCCGCCTTCTTGCCCTGACGAGCTAAAGAAAGTTTAAGGTTACTTCAACATGTCCATGTCACCACGATCATCCAACAGTGATGGCGGGCCGCCGCCGAACAAGAGAAAACGCTCGTACGCTGGCACCAACAGCGCTGGATATGACAATTCGAGGGCGAACAATGAAGAACAGCCAAGAAATGGTATCCGCTATAACAATCCTCCTCCGCCTTCCTCACAACCAATGAACCACGTCCCAAAGCGTATGTTCTGAACATGCTCAGTCCTCCCAATACTTGTTTATGATTATGTTGCTGCTTTATTTTGGTGTCAAGGGGGATCAAGGGCTTGTACGAATTGTAAGTTGCTCTGTCCGATTACAAGCACCTGATTAACTGGTCCTACAAATACTTAGGCCGTCGCGGTAAAAACCGTTGCGAGTTTGAAGGAGAAGTATGATTCTCACTGTTGACATGTTATAGGTTTTTAACCAATTCCCCTCCCACATCCTAGGGCCCATGCAGGAGATGCAAACTCGCAAATTTGCCATGCATATTCGAAAAACCAGAGAGGAAACCTACTTTGCCACCCACAACCAGTATCGCCGTTGAGTGCGAAATTTCGGATCCCTTCGATTGACTGAGGATCGCTGACCTCTTTTGATGGCGTGTTCACGCATTTCCATTCATAGAAGAGTATCAAATCTTGAAAATCAATTCATGAGCATGCAGAGCCAGATTATTGCCATGCAGTCAACTCTTGATCGCATCCTCAGCACCATTCAAGGGGGTATCACCCTTCCAGCTATCAGTCACTCTCCCACCCACTATGTCAGCAACAGTAATGGCCATTCGCACAACGATTGTGCACACATTGAGCGTCTGTATAGTCCTGCCTTGCCTAATTCTTCCCTCATCCCATCTTCAGCCACCCGTAGCACCACTGGTCTCGATTCACGGCAGCTCTTCCAGGAGGAAAGTCACCTGAGAGGGTCTGTCGAGAACGGGTATGCGGTTCCAAACAGACAACAGAATTTCCCTCCTCTCCCCGGCTTTGCCCCTCCTGTAAGTATGAACACCGGGTTTAGGGGGTGCGTGGAGCATTAATATAAGACCCCTCAACCCCTCAGCCCCACAAATATGCAACGTACGGCATCGTCCCCAGTACGACACCTTCATCAGAAGACGAATCGGAAGACACTTTACCGAGAGCATCTTTGAATGCCCCTATCGAAGCGCTTCAAGGTATTCATACTCTGGACTTAAGTTCGAAGCGCCATCAAAATCACTATTTTTCCGGGATAGGGTTAGCGAATGCTGCAGCGGAGGTAGCTGCAGCTTCATCTTTATCTTCATCAAGGGCTCCCAAGCTACTGAGCCGAAAACGGGTAGAACCAATTCCACGCAATGCATTCCCAAGCGTGGTCGACAAGGTTGACCGGAATGATTTTGATTTGTGATATGCCTTGATCTTGTCCATTCTTACAGGGCCTAGTCTCGGAGACGGAAGCTCGCGAACTATATCACATGTGAGCTCGCCACGATGTCAGCATGCTTTTGAACTTCTAATTAGTTTCTGGCTCCGCAGCTTCTTTTCTGGCTGTCATCTATTCATTCCTCTTTTCGACCCATCATACGACACCTTCGAGTCGTTACGGTCGCGCACCCCATTCTGTTTTGATTCTATCCTGGCGGTTGCATCCAAAATCCGAGCAGGAAATGGTCAGCCAACCCAAACCCACTACCATTGTCTTGAGAACGCCCAAGGTATCGCAAGAAGCACTCTGTTTGGACCTATAGTACGGAAGGAGGCTGTCCAAGGTGTGCATTTGATGCCAGTCTCTTATTCCTTAGCTAATTCCCATGCCCCTAGCAATGCTTTTATTGGCTGCCTGGAGCCCTTCTGGATGGCTTCCTGGTGGTCATGCCATTCGCATGGCACTCGACCTTGGTCTTCATCGTGCCTTGGAGAAGCTTGCTGATAGTAATGCGAACGCATTGTCGAACGCAGCCGATCCCAATGTGCCCATTAAGAAGCGTAGTGAGGACGAAGAGAGAGATCTTGTTGTTTCCGCCAGGATTTGGCTCTGCTTATATTGGTTTGATCATCAGTGAGCCGTAATCCCAATTGTACTGATCTTGCCTCTTAACCACTTCGGCAGAATGAGCTTGGGCACCGGGCGCCCTGTGATTTTACGTGGCGGAAACAGTGTCAAGTATTGTGGGATCCTGCTAACTCATCCGATGGCTAGCCCGACAGATGTCAGATTGATCTCGCAAATTGAACTGATAGCCCAGAAGAGTTCGTGCTTCGGTGTGGAGTAGCCTGATTCAATGCACCACTAATATGCTCTCTTGTAAAGGTCAAATACATGAAACCCTGCTCTCTATGAATGGTCAGGTCGATAATTCGACATTGGCGTTCGTTCGCCGTGCCAGCATTGCTCTGGACAAATGGTGGGAAGAATGTGATGAACTTCACCGTATGTCGGTCTGGCCGGAAACCTTCCATGGCACTCATTCCGTTTTCATCCAGGTACGACAATGGACCCGGAGTCGCTTCTTCGCAAAATTCTCGCTGGGGATCTGCATTACGCCAAGTTGTGGCTCATTTGCGTGATTCTCCGGGGAGCATCGTGGGACAAGATGAGCTACGAACAGCGTGATCTCGCTTTCCAAGCTAAGGAGGCGGCTTCCGACTGCTTGAACACGTTCCTCGGATCTCCAGCGTATCGGTGGGACGGTCTGCGCCTGATTTATGTCCTTCATCGCTGACTTTGTTCAACAGTGCAGCTCTTAGATATGCGGTGCATGACAGCCTCGTGACAGCCGCGTTCTCTGGACTCTTCCTGCTGAAGATGGCCAATCTCTTCCCCCGAGAGGTGGATCTTTCGGGTATTATTGTTCAAGTGGAGCAGCTCGCGCAACTTTTTACCGAGGTTGCGGCTGAAAGGTCAGGCGAATCATTGGTCTTTGAGAGCCTGACATGTTGCTCATGTTTCACAGATACGCTCTTACCCTACGTCTCATGATAGCTAATCTACGACGGAAAGTAGGCTTAGCGACCGGTCAACAAACCCCCGTCCATCAGGAGCACGACCTTGCTGCTGTTGCATCCAGTGGCATATCTCTAGATCATAGTCATTTCGCCGAACACACGGCGAGTAATGATGAACTAGGTACCGTTCCTGCACAGGCTTCCTTACCCCCAGTCAGGCTACAAGATTTAACCTCTTCATACGCGAGCGATATGATGTTCAGCACTGCAACTATTCCGATGTGGTTACAAGAGACGGTGCGTGAATGCCTGTGTGCAAAAGTTTTCTTAGTCCTTATTAGCGGTGTTTCTCAGAGCCTCACCGACCTCAGTTTGCCTGTCAACGGCTCGGACGGAATATTTCTGCCCATAGGGTTCTCAAATCAGTGGCCTGGAGATGCGCGAACCTATCAGGCTTACTGAGATACGCTTGACGCCGGGCTACGTGGTGGAAGCTTCAAATATCCCTTGACCAGATTCGGTTCTGTCTGCTTGACCATGCTCCTAGAAGACACATTCTTGTCTGAAAGTAATTCACACATGATTCGAATATCTTTCTTTTTCGTCGTCGGGTTTTTTTTTTTTTGGTGAAGTCATTTTATGTTCCGGTAGACTCATGCACTGCATCGATATGTCGACGAGAATATCACAGCCTGTCTGTTATCACGGATCCCAGTTAAGGGAACATGCGCGCTTGGCGATACAGTCATATGTACTCAACATTGAAAATTGGAAAGAGCTCTAAGCGCTCACACTGAAAGATATATGAAGGTTCGTGGTAAGTGGGAGTTAATCAGCCCCATCAGATTCCTCTTCTTGTTCCTGAAGAGCCTAAATGCCAGTGTGGTCAGACGGAGATGACACATATGCATGGAGACCTGCCTTTACGAGAGCTTCCGTTTGCTTTAGGAAATGCTGACGCCCATTGGGCTTCGAGCCTTTCTGATACCAGTATATGATAGCTTGGTCTGATACACAGTCGGCGTTATACAAAACCTGATCCGTGTCGCGGGTTTACCAAAGAAACGGGAAAGGGGTGACGACAGGGACGAACTTTTAATATTTGGGGGAATGCTTTAAGGGCTTTGGTATCTTCATGGCAATACACTTGGATTACGTTGATTAGTGCTATTTGGGACTTTGAATTTGTAGAAGAGAAGGGCTCGATGATAGGGGCTAGTTGCTTTTAATATAGGGTGTTAGGAGGAGTGCTTCGAAGGAAAGCTTGACATACAGTTAGCTCTCGTCCAGCCACGGCCTCAACCGGTTCCGTGCGCGAAGTCCAGTCGCAGTAACTCATGAGCCCCGTCCAGATGCATTGAATGAAGTCGTTCTCGCTGAGAGCAGTCGACTTTTGATGATCTTTAAGGTAATTGATGACCTTGAGAATCCAGATTCGATGAAATCATAAGTTGTCGCCGATATTGAAGGGAACCTACGGCACTGTGGGGCTCTTCCTGTTCTAACATTTCTTTCATCTCCTTGATGATGGTCTCTTTGGTGAGGGCGTTCTGCTTCTTCACATAAGAATCCGCGATTTGGGCCAAACCTGCTTCCCTAAAGTATGAGTCAAGCACCTTAGGTGAGCGCTTGTTTGCGGGGAAGAAGAGAAGGATGTCTTTGATGTTTCCCTTTCTCAGGAGTGCGTTCACTTGTTCCACACTCAGATTTTGGTTCACAAACCACACCCGAAAAATTGCCGTCACAACAGTGAGGGAGACATCTAGTAGAAATAGTTGAAGCCGGCGGAGGGCAGCATCATCCGATGCAACCCACCATCCTTAACCAGATGATCCTTTGTAAGGCTCTGCAAGCAAGCTGATGTGACCATCGATTGCGCGATCAAGAGCGCTGTCGCAACGGCGAGCTTTTCCCTCTGAACTGGGTTCCACTTATATATGTATTGTAACAGATTTGGAAGAGACCGCTCTTCCAGTGGTTTCTGAAGATACTTGTATCTGAAAGCGACGATCGAGTTAGCAGAAGTCGTGAATGAGCGAGACGACATCAAAAAGTAGTACATGCCTTCTAATGAGACTGCTAAGCACGTTAACATAGTTCCTTATCTCTTCGACCTCCAGCGGCTCCTTAGCGTTGACAATTGAGAAGGGTGAGACAGGCGCTGCATCGTCGACGAAATTTCCACCCGGTTGGAGTAGACCACCAAAAAAAAGAATTTCGAAGAGAGAATCTGAATACTTGAGAAATTCGAGAGTAGAACTGGCGTTAGCTAATTTTGTGCTGAAAGCTTCGAAATCGCCAGGCTGTGTGGTATCGAGATGTTTATAGAGTTGATCGCGAAATACTGCGAGATCGGAGATAAGCTCCATCAACCGTAATCATGCTGGATGTCGCTACGGCTATCTGACCTTGCGGTTCGTGTTTAGCTTGAGCCTTGATAGCGCCTTTCTTAGCTTTGATTCGCACCCCTTGGAGGCTTGGTTTGGTGTTGGGTTGCTGAGACTACATGAGGATTGGATTAGGGAGAAATGCCCGTATTTTTTAAAAGAACATATCCAACCCATACCATACACTGGGGGGAAAGAGCGTTCGAAGGTCGACCTGGCTCTCAAGAGTCGTACACGGGTTGGAGAAGAATGCGCGCTGACAGATCAATTAAATCGGGCAGCTCCTGAAAATTAATGGGCGGGGCAGGGCACGTGAGCTCTGCTTGTCAAACGTCGTGGAGTGCGAAGCTCAGTTTGAGACATATTTCCGCTCGTCATTGCCCTAATGCCCTCAAAGCCTGTCGCCCTTACCGACTCTAGCTTTAGCCATAAAGCTCGGAACATGTTCTCTCGCTCACCTTCTTTGTCGAAAACACCGTCAATAACACGGAGATTTCTCTCTGGCTCCAGGGATTTGGGAAACGAAACTTCCCTCGCCCTCAAGTATCAATACGAAGCTGACAGGCTTCACGAGAGGGGGGATTGGGAGGGGGCCATCGATAAGTATCAGCAATGCACGAAGTATGCCCCCGAAAATGGCTATTTATGGACCAGCATGCAAGTTCTCCCATCTTCGTGGCTTTGTCAGTGAATTAACGTCAGGGAGCTTTGTTTGCACCTTCGTTGAATTATAGGGCTTCGTGCTACCTACACATGCAGCGGTGAGCCACCTGGCGTGTCGCCGTGGGCAGCGCTTGTCTTGACCTTTCGATTCCTCAGGTACAACGATGCCATCACCAGTGCTCGGAAAGCGATCAATATAAATTCACTTAATGCCAAAGCATGGAGTCAAGTCGCCGAAGCGTACGGAAGGTTGGTTCTTTCATTCGAATCAGCCGGTTCGGAACATCTCATTACCTATGCCTCAAGGCTCGAACAATGGAACAGCGCGTTCGAAGCCTACGACCATGCGATATCGTTATTGAAATCACAACAGCCCCCCGATGACAAGCTGCGGGGTGAGGTGCAGTTGAGCTACAGCGAGGCAAAGAAACGTGCTAAACATGTATGTGAGCAGTGTGGCTGTTTCAAATCTTAGACTCCGTTCGGGCCGCGATCTGATGCATGCTTCTACTCTGTTTTCATTTTGCACTCTGTAGCGGGGGGAGGACGCCTCGAGGCAACTTGTAAGCGCACCGACTGGTCAACAGTCGTGGGAATTGGCTGCATCAATCGCAGCTCAATTCAAATCATTGCCCCGATCACAGCAAGAGGAGACCAGTACAAGCGCAGTAATTTTCTGACTTCCTCAAACTAATTTCAATCTCATATTTACCCGTTTTCTTCCCAGTACGTTATTTTAGAAGCCCATGAAGTATGTCTAATCGCTATCTGGTTCCATGTTGCAAAACGCTCGATCTGAATCACACCTTATGTAGGAATTCAAAAAGGGCTACTCCCTTATCCAGGAAATAAAGGAGGTACCACTGCCTGGGGGAGGTACTGGGATATCAGGGAATCCCCAGGTGGGCACACCTGTTACCCTTGAGTGCTATTTGTCTTGAACTTTCACCAGGCTATTGCCTACATGACTAATGGCATTGTACGTGACGATCGATGTTTTTATATGGAAGACAGTGAGACGTTTTTGAGGCAATTGGCAGCTCAAGGTGCGTACGCCAGTCGTCTTAACGTCTCAGGTCTGAAGCCGAATGTGTTGTTGACAGCACAATTCGAGATTATTCGGTCTGACGCGTGGGATCTGAGTGCGACAGATGAAACAGTGATCAGAGAGGCGAAAGGGCGCCAAGTAGCCCGGGGATGGGACGATGTGCGTCCAGCATTAAGTACAACAGTCAGGTCAGCTGTGTGTTATTCCCGCCACTAATGTGTGGGGAATGCTCATTTCAGACTCCCTACAGAGTGTGGATTTTGAATGCTCACATATCGCAAGGTCTTGCCCAGTATGGTCAGGCTGTGGGGCTATATAAGCGCGCTCTAGCCGTTCTTGACTGGGGACGGAAGGAGTGGGCTGATGCAAACCGGAAGGAGCGGGGGGCTATTTTTGACTCGACTTTTGTTCGCGGGGTCAGGGTTCTGTACGTTCAAACTCTGGTCAAAGTGAGCACATTTTGTCCCATTCAAGCTGTCTACGAAATATGATTGATGATTGGATCAGGCGTACGAGCAAACTATGAGCGATAAATCCCATCCTTACAACCTTCGTGAAATTATGGAGGTTGCTGATCGAATACAAGCCGATTGTCGGGATCGCCCAGTCAAGAAGATCCTGTCGTCCGGCAAGCCCGCCTCCATCGTGTTTATACAGTCATATCAACGATATCCAGAGGGAAAGGCACGGTTGTGCAAAGCATATTATTACCTTCAACAGGGGAGGAGGGCGATTCTGGATGGTGGCGACCGAGCAGATGCCTACCGAGATCTACGGCTAAGTGCAAATGAATATCGGAATGCCAAGGAGTACTTCCCGAGGGATGATGAGTATTATTCTAGTGAGCTATTCGCTGTCTCGGCCTATTTCCAGCTCTCACCCAGCCCCCATTCGTTCAGTTTGTCTCGCCAATGCCCTTGAAGCATTGTTCATGAGCAAGACCCCGCTTGTTGAAACTTCCGCAATCATCACTGAGCTTCGCTCTGCCTGGGCAGTGTCACTAAAAATTTGGGGCCAGTCCTCTTATGCTACAGGGGGCGGCAGAGCCAAGATCGAGCGCCTATTCCAATTTCAAGACAATGCCTTAAAAGCTGTCGCTGATGGGGCCGGCGCAATCGGGGATCGGATTGTCCCTGGCCGCCTTGGGAATAGGATCCTTTGAGCCAACAAGAATTATCTACATAAACGGATTCGGCCTTTTTTCCTGCTTTGCTTATTCTGGTTTTGTTATATATAGCTTGGTTTGGCTGCGATTGCAGACCATGGGTGTCATGTTGGCTGGATTTGCTTAAGATACCCTTTACCCTAATTCAATGCCAGTCTCTGAAGTCCTTTGGTTGTCATATCGCACGCAGGATGATCTAACGACAGACCACGTTGGAAATTAAAACCGTTACGGAAACGATGAAAAGTGTATTTGATTAGTTTGACCTCTGAAGGGGTTCTCTGTTCACGGTAAAAGTCTGTGTTAGCAGTGGTATCCCGAACCATGGCGTGGAGCACTCACGTTCGTATTTCCCAAATGTCCTCACTACTTCTACCAACCCTTCTAGATGCCCACCATTCGGCACGATGCTGTATCCATGACTCCCTTCTTTCCTCCGGTGTCTGTGCCTTCAAAGTCCAACAGAATTTGACGTCTTCCCATTTCTGTTTACAATCGTTCATCTCCCCGAATCTGTATAGGGCTCTTATCTGAGAGTTGAGCACTTTGCAATTGTTAATGGCTTCTGGAGGGGTTTAAAGGATAGCATACTGTTGCAATGAGTGAAAGTCTCAAGGAGCTTCATGCAGCTGGGGATGTCATCGACTGTGGGGTGAAGTTTTCGTAGTCTTTCGACTTCTTGCTTCATGGCCGCTTCATAATCTCTTCCCTGGGGTGCGCCAGAACTTTGACTTGGGAGCTGGGTCCCTCGTGAGGCATGAATGGAATGGGTAAGTCTGTGGGAAAACTTTTTTATGGATGGGTCACGTTTTGATACAAAATTCAATTCCTCCGATCCTCGTAACCGAATCAATCGACCACGTTCTGCTACTCTGCCTCAACAACCACAGCTCCAAATTATGGGACATCGCGAAAGCCATGTGCGAAAAGATGGCCCACAAATCTTTACTCATCATACATCATGGCGGCCCCCCTTATCAAGCTAGACAAAAGATGACCAAGGCAAGACCCTCAGGGCGGCCACGAGATTCCACACCATACTGATGCTCGAGTGCGGGCAGATATGAGACTGAGATGCAAACGGGTAACCCCCCTGAATGGAACCCCCCACACATAACCGTCAAAGAAGCGCTCCAAAGCTTCAGGCCTCCCTCATATAGAGGCTGGTATCCCTACCTCAGCGACAAACTGAGTCAAGACATAACTCTGACAAACGCTAAGAAATACAAGAACAAAGCCCTCCCAAGAATTTAGCCTTGAGCGCCTGGAGCGGCGGCCTACAAAACGAATCGGATTGGCTGAACAGCACCGGGGTTTTGGCCGGTACACCCGACCCTCCGGGGTCACGGGAGAACGATAAGTGTAGGATTAATGCATGCATTTCTCCGCAGTGGCAATCCCAAGGCCCCAGTTACCGTCCGACACCAGTACAACCCAATTGTATTGCGAAAGCACAGGGTGTTCCCACTGGAAAAAGGGAGAAAAGAACAAGAAAACGTGTACATATGAAAAGCATTCCATTGCATAAAAACGTTCCCACGGGTCTAAACGTTGCACGGGACTTTCCGAGTGCATTTGACGAGTCTTGTGACTGTTTTTTTTTTTCAAGCGGATTAATTCATTTCCTCGTCATTTGACGCCACCCCTGCGGGTTCGCGAACTTAAAGCGTCTTCCAGCCTTTTTCCTCCCACTTGTAGTGCATGCCCTCCTGCGACGAGTGAGCAGAGGATACATGATTCCATTTGTCTTGACTCTAACGTCCCATTGTTTTCAGCTACATCTCTGATCAAGTTTTTTCGCTCCGAGGTTTCTGAAGCAATTTCGAATCGAACGTTGCAAGATGTTCATTTCGTCGGCTTTTCGCTTTTACAAGACGCCTGGTGCTTTCAGGAACGTTCGAGGATTTGCGACGATCTCCTCTTCACATGTCCCCGCTGCTTTGCACCTAAAGACGGGACAGTCATTCATGGGGAAGTCGTTCGGTGCCCCCATCAGCATTTTCGGCGAGACCGTGTTCTCGACATCCATCACTTCCTGTATGTCCTTCATTCCCATTAAGTAGAGTAAAACACTAAGAAAACTTTCAATTCCCCAGATACCGAATCCATGACCGATCCCTCGTATCGGCATCAGATTCTGGTTTTCACAACACCAATGATTGGGAATTATGGAGTCCCTAAAAACGAGGCTCCGTACGAAGCTCCGGATGTGGGGGTTGTTTTGGAGTCACAGGGCGTCCAATGTGCCGCTGTTGTCATTCAGGATCTTGCTGATCAGTTCTCGCACTACCAAGCGGCAGAATCGTTAGATGACTGGTGCAAGAAGCACAATGTGCCTGGCATCACCGGTGTGGACACTCGCGCCATCACTACGCTCCTCCGTGATCAGGGTACGACTCTTGGACGAGTTGCTGTTGGCAATGACGCATTTTTACCCCCTCCCACCGAGTCTGAGTACTGGGATCCCACTACACAGAACCTCGTTGCTCAAGTTTCCACGAGAGAACCTTACACTTTCAACCCTGGTGGATCCGTGAAGATTGCAGTTCTGGACTTCGGCTCCAAAGCCAACATTCTGCGATCCCTGGTGAAGCGAGATGCGTCCGTCACGGTTCTCCCTTGGGATTTCGATTTCAACACTGTTCGAGACCACTTTGATGGTTTATTCCTGACCAATGGCCCCGGAGACCCAACGCACTGCATGGGGGCTGTCATGAACGTGCGCAGGACATTGAAAGAATGGCACAAACCGGTTTTCGGTATTGTATGGGCCATCAAATAATTGGTCTCGCGGCAGGATTAAAAGCGTATCGCATGCGGTTTGGAAATCGTGGTCATAACCAACCTGTGTTGGCGCTGGCTAGTTCCGGGTCTATCAAGGCTGGTAGGGTTTACGTGACGAGTCAGAACCACCAATACGCTCTTGAACTTACGGATCCGTTCCCTTCGGGATGGGAACCGTTCTTTATCAATTGCAATGACTCATCTGTTGAGGGCATCAAATCCACGATCTCTTCTGGCAAGCGTGTCTGGGGTGTTCAGTTTCATCCCGAGAGCGCTGGTGGCCCGCTCGACACCATTGAGGTACGAAAAGTTTGCATCTGTGCGCACAAGAGTCGCTTATTTCAGTTGAAATTGGGCTTTTTACAGATGTTCACTGACTTCATCGATGAGTGTAAGGAGGTGAAGAAGTCTTCTTTCACATCTCAAGAGCCTTTTATGCCCGCCATACCCAAGGAAATGTTGCGCACTCCTATTGCTGCTACTGCTTGATGACCAAAAGTAGCTTCATCATTTCAACAAAATGTACTTAATGTGTGTCTCGAAAATAGTCGTGTTTTGACAACTCGTGGCCGCGAGATGTGAGCGTAAAGTGATAGCGGAAGCAAATCTTGCCGTTGATTCGTTTCGAGCCGCGGTTGGCCGTGCTGCATGGACGCCCTCCTGGAAGTGAATGTCTTCTGGGATGACAGAATCTGCATTTGCATCGTCCATCCAGAAGAGGCCCAAGCATTGCCATCGCGCCCAATCGGTGGAACAGATAAGCTCACTCCATCAAATCCACGGTTCCATGTCGCGCCGTCCGGCAAATCTGGGCTGGGGATGTTTGCGTCGCTTTCGGGAGGGTACGACACTGGCGACCTTATATGGGAAGAGCGTCCAATCGTCATAATGCCCAATGAGAGCCCGAAGGGATCTTCGGCCAGGTTTGGAAGAAACTCCCTGCGCGCGAGAGGGGCTGTATCATGGACCTAAGAAACGCCCATATGCCAGACGTGGACCCATTCGAGGGAAGATTACGAACCAATTTTATAGGGATTGAACTTGCACCGAATATGAGCCCTTCCTATCGGGGTTTGTTCCCTGTAATCTCTCGAGCAAACCATAGCTGCGCATCCAACGCGACGTACCAATTTCATAATGGCTCCTTCGCTCTCGAGTTGCGAGCTGCCCGTCGAATTGAATCTGGCGAGGAGATTCATATTCAGTACATAGACGTGCTGCAGCCGAGGGGAGAAAGGAAAAGGCTGCTTCGGGAGCTGTACATGTTTGATTGTCAATGTCCATCGTGTGGATTACCAGAGGGCTCGATCGAAGGGGAGGATAGTGATAGGCGGAGGGAGCTGATTCGGACTTGGGCTCAGACCCGAGCTTCATTGAATGACTGGCTATACGACACATCGCTAGAGAAAGATTTGATAGAGCGGGAATCTAAGGAGTTGTTGGGGTTAATATCACAAGAGGGGCTCGAAGCCATGCAGCGGTATGCGCTCGATATGCTGTGCGCATCGCTGGCGTCTCTTGCAAGGGAACAAGGCTTGCTAGAGTGGGCGAGGAAGGCTAGAAAAGCAGCGAAAATTGGGGGGGATGAGCACCCGATGGTGTTGTATTATGGAGAAATAATTCAGGATCCAAAATCGTCTCATTTGTGGGACGCTCGACGCAAACTAGGGGATGACGAAGCGAACTTATGGGACTAGTTGTTATTTCTGGACACTTAAGCTACAGTCGGCAGGAGCTTGCTCGCAAGAGCGGCCGAGAGTCGGGGGAATAGGAGGCCAATGATCACTACCTGGAATCTCCTGACCCTTTCAAGACTGGTGCATGCACCCGAGTTGATCCTCAACTACCTTGGCGGCCTGTAGTTAAATGGATTGGGATTTGAGCCCTTCCAATCCAAGACCATCATATTGTTTTCCAGAGCTTCGGACCGTTCCCGTTTGCCCTTTTCGAGCGATTGCGGGGACATCAGTCCTCCGGAAGCAAAAGCATTCGTCTCCTCCCTGCCTCGTGAACACCTGTGACGATTCTCGAACGAATTGCAGCACATACCGTCGAAGGAATTCCCTTATCATACGATGATGAGTACCCATGCCCCTGCGGTTGATGACTTTGTCGATCGTGTGCTCGACGTGATAAACTGCGAGCCCGTTGAAACAGACAACTTCCTTCGTTCAGTTTTTTCCCAGTTCGGTGACGTGTCAGTCGCACATTTCGCTAAAATCCTCTCCAAACTTGTTGTTGGATACTTTGCTTATTTCTGTGTACAGGGAATTTATTGTAAGGTGGAGCAGCGCCGGTTTAAAGCACCACGCTTTCGTGGGTTTCCGAGATCCTCAACCTGTTGCTGTGGTTGTGCACAAACAGCTTCCTCAAGCTCTTTCAAGAGGCTGGCGTCTTTCGCGCCTTAATCCAGACTTAAGAGAGAGAGTAGCTAGTATGGTTCCCCCCGGGACTGACACGTCCCCCGGAATTCACCCCCCTCCTCCAAACGACTCTTTGGTTTCTCCGAGGCTTAGCAACCAAGATAGAATTAGATCTCATAGTCGTAGCCAGCTGCCAGTGAATGGCTGGCAACCCGGCCCTCACTCTGAAGGACGGGCTGCGCCGAGGTCCAATTGGGACCGCGACCCAGTTCGTAGAAGCTTCCCTTCCCCAGGTGATGTGCCCCCCTATGGCAGAACCATGCCTCCTCCCAGTGAATATGATCTTTATGACGTTGGCCCCGTGATGAGCGGACCACCGCTGGATTTGGACCCTATAAGAGGTGTACATCATGGTGATCACAGAGTACGTGGTCGGTTCGAACGTAATCGCTCCTTGTCGCCCCCTCCAGGCTGGGGTGGTCCAGCCACCCCTGACTGGGACCTTGCTAGGCCACTGTCACCCCGTTTGCGTGGCAGAAATCGGTCTCCCCAGAGGCTTTCATCCCATTCTATTCCTGGCCCTCCTCCCAGGCCGCCTTTTCCCCATGATCCTCGTGATCATGGTTTGCATGTTGCCGAGAAAGGTCCCGCACCGGGTCCCTTCTACAATCCCGAACACGATCGTTGGCCCCGACGTCCTCCTTCACCTCAATGGATTGTACCCGGCCCCGGCGCCTTTGGCATTCCGAAGCGCGCGCGGTCCATGTCTCGTGAACGCCCATCCCACCCTAATCGACAGCCTCGTACGAGCGACGTTCGTATGAGCACTGAGAAGGATAGGCATCGCAAGCACCAGCGTGAGGCTAGTCAAACCCATCTCAAGTCCTCTAATGATACGGCCGCCGATACTTCAGTCCCACGTGGGCGCTCTGTTTCTCCTGTGGGGCAGCGTGGTGTTTGGCCTCCTGCGGATGCGCTTGGGCAATCTGTGGACCCCAGGCAACCACTTAATAACAAGTCGTCAGTCACAACAGTATCATCCCCGACCCCTCTGTCCGCTTCGGCAGAGTCTTTCTCGACCGCTCCCGTCCGTGATAGCACAAGCTCAGTGTCAACCATCCCTGCAGCTGTTGAAGCGACTCCAATACAGCTTGGTCCTGCAGAAACAGCTGTTGATTTGATGATGTCTCCCGGTTTCGAGCTGCCTTCTCACCCTGCTTCTCTCACCGAGAGGATGAAGCAGGAAAAGGCCCCGATGGAGGCTTACATGGGTCTTGCCCAGGAATATGCCAAACACGACGTGAATCTCGCTGAATGGGTATGTCTGTCGCCATCTCGATTTACTATTGCTTAGATGTTGTCTCTACTTAGGTTGCTATGACAGGAATTGAATGTGAGTTCTGCTCGGTCGTGAAAGCTCTGGAGCTGAGGATTGACATTCTTGCTTATGGTTTAGCTTCCTCTCCAATCAAACCACTGTTGCTTCTCATGGCTCACCTACAGACTACGCGGGCGAGGCGTTTGGTCCCAAACTCTGCACAAGCCAATGCTTGTCTCAGCAAGGCAGCTGAGTGGCTTAGCAAAGCCCATGCCATGGAGGGTGACCATCCCGGCACTCCACAGGGCAGTGGTGAAGGGCTTGAATGGTTTCGAAAAATTGCCGCCACCAATCAGCTTGTGGCAGACTCGTTCACTCCTCAGAGTGGTGTGATTACTGCTGGCGGTGGTGGTGATGCTGACGATGCTGGAGATCAACCTGTCGCGACACCCACGGCTGATGCGAGTGAGGGTCCAAATAATAGTACGCCAATGCGAAATGGCACTGCGCCTGCTGCTGCTTCTGAGCAGCTGTCTGTGCGGCTTGCTGAAGCTCAGACAGCTCACCAGCATGTACTTTCGCAGCTTAAAACAGAGCAGACTGCGAGAGCTCGTCTGCAAGAGCATGTTGTTCATCTTGAACAGCTGTTAAAGGCTGCTGAAGCACAACTTGCGGAAAAAGAACTGACTCGTGAAGCGTCTATGCCCCGAGCAGAGACCGAATCTGAAGCTCTTCTTCGTGCTAAGGAGGAGAAGGCTCGTCTTTTGACGATCGTCAGCGAGGAACGAATGGCGAAGAGAAAAGCGGAGGATGCAGAACAAGAGGAACGCACCATTCGAAGGAAGCTCGAGGATCAACTTTGGGTCTTGGGAGGGACTCAGGCGTGACGTGATGTCGTGGCGTCAGCCACGACGCGCATTTAATTACTGTGAACACCGAACCATTTGCATTTCTTTTCTCTCATTTCCTCTTCATAATTAACAACTGAGACTGTCGCTTCGATGATTGTTGCGCGACTCCGATTCTGCGCTGCGGTGTCCTCATGGATGCACGCACCTCCAGTTCCACCCTCATACCATAGGTAGCTACATGTCCTAAGATACTGTCAAAGTATGCTTTTTCGTTCGCATATGCGGAGACGTCCTGTCACTTACTGCTGGCTTGTGGTCACGAGTCCGCTCTACTAGTGAGCTTAATCCGGCGCTGCAAAGCACAGAAGAATAACCAGCGAAGCGTGCGCTGTTGTGCCATACCGCGTCAGAGTATTGGAACCCTGTACTTGCGGAGTTCCAGAGATGACATTAGACAGAGTGATTAACCGTACAAAGTAATTAGTGTACATATTTTCGCCAGTCCAAAGGAAATAGTTAGAGAATGAACTCAAATTGTGCCATTCATGCTTGTACGCTAGGGCAATGCATGACTAAGACTAAGAACTGTATTTCAAAAATGGGGTATCTGGGTGCATCGTTCCGTCACGTCTATCTGGTTTTCGGAGCCTTGGAACGGAGATGCTCAACAAACTCGATCAAAAATCTATAAATATTTGGGTCGCCCATTCGAATCAAAAGGTGAACCAAGAGGATGCATGCACTTACTTGACCTGTTCGTAGGTTTCGATAGCTTTTAAACTTCTTCGAACGCGAACGCAACCAACTGCGATTTCCACCATTGCGAGAGCGTCACGGCGAACATACCCTGGTGGTGGTGCGTCGGCACTTATGATGGGACCACATAAACCTAACTTGATGCTCCAACAGCATGCGAACAACCCTGCCTATAAAATGAAAAGTCAGACGTAGTCACTGAAGAAAGGATAGTGTAGTGGGGCTACTTACCCTTCCAACCCCACCACGACAATGAGTCAGGACATTCAAACCGCGAAGAGTATAGTTCCTGATGATTTTCTCGATCTGTTCATCAAGATACGCGGGATTGAGTGGGCAAAGGCCCTCCGGCATAGGGATACGAAGAACGTCAAGCCCCAGGCAGAGGCTGATTGATAATATAAATCCCAAGGTACACCAAGAAACTCCAATTCATCGTCATCAAGGCAACAAACGATGCAACATACGCCCAAACTCTTCATCCGAGTTAGGTCAACTGCCAAATCGCGGCAAATCGCCTGTCGTCCAGTTTTGTGTTCACCTGTCGACACCATTCTGAGTTCAACGCTGCCACGACATGGGTTAATTGTGGAGGCGCACCGTTCAGTCTGACTTTCTTTCCTGGACAAGAAGAGATCAGCAAATTGCCCAGTTCCCTGGTAGCGATTGACATTGTGCGTCTATGTTCAGCGCGTCCAGCCAAAGAGCGGGCTAACGCGACTGGCCCAGATGGCAGCATCATCGACATGCGACCTGGATGGCTTGCGGTGTTTGTGATGGGTGATTCGGCTGCACCAGCTCTGAACGCATTAGGAAGAACGGCATTCCAAGCTTGTTGAAAGAAAGTGCTGGGACTCTGCATCATTGAGGAAATTGAAAGCTCCGGAACAGCCTGCTTTGAAACGTGCTGAAGCTGATTGAGTGTAGTCAATGTAATGGTGGTTGCATTTGTAGAATGTGCAGTGGACTGGTTCATTAGGTACGCGAGCAGCGTCTCTCCAGGTGGAAGTGTAAATATGATAGGCTTGGAGAAAGGATTTGCAGTCAGTTTCTGAGCGACTTGGGGGAGAAGCTCCCATGGTATTAATGTGGCAACACTTAAGGGGGGGGGGTTCGGAAATGTAAAGACCAAATCAAGAACAACAACGTTCCGTCATGCTCACTTAATTGGATGCGTGAATGAAGTCTTGGGTGTTGAGAGGTCCGTCACGTCTGACAGATCCTGCGATGCACGCCTTGGCCCAGAAATCGATTGCCCCAAGCATGGCTGTGCATGGGAAATCACCTGCCTGGAAGTCAACGATAACTTGGTTTCAAGAAAACCTGGCACAGCAGCTAGATGATCCAAGGAATCGGACGAAGGTATTGTCTCGGGTTCAAGAGATTTATAAGGAAGTGGAGGCGTTTCTACCTCCGCGCTACGCGGCTTGCGGTCAACTGAAATCAAGGGTGACCGCAGACTTTGGGACGGAGTAACGGCGTGAGCATTTTCAGGGTCAGGTTTAACCTGCGAGGCGGAGTAGAACACTCTGTTTGACATCATGCTAGCCTGTTTCTCGCGCAAGAGCTTGACGTGGCTTGGGAATTGGATACTCAGAGGAATATATCCACAAATACGAGCTACAGCGCGAAGAGAGATGTGTAAGTATGGGATGTGCGGAGGGATTTAACGACGGACCGGGATTGGAGCCGAGTTTGGAACGGTTGTATTCGCTATGATGGTGATAACTCGCGATTGGAGCGAGCTGCGGAACGACGCCGTGACGGGATTGTCGTTAACGCGCACGCCCGGTACGTACAAAATTCACTCACTATAGGTTCCAGCATAACATCCTCCTGGGATGGTCTAGGAGCGACTCTCTGCTCAAACTCGGCTTCAGCGAGTGCTATGAGTTGGGCAAGACGAGATGAACCGAAGTCCTCGATTGGTTTCGCAGTAAAAGCACTGGTATCAGCAGGGAAATTGTTATTGGCCGCGCCAGCTGCGGCATAAAGGGTCTGCGCCATAGGACATAGGTCACTGCCAGCTTAACTCCAGAATGGCAGTGTCCACGCTCGGAAAGTACCGATCACATCATCGGCCTCGAGAACGGTAGTTATATTTCCGGGCGCAATGTCTACTTTGTCTTGCCCCCCGATCCGTTTGCGTGTCTCCTTGCACGGCTGATCTGCTAGTTCCTTAAAGCAACCCCGTGATGCGCGCTTAGGCTAATAATTTAATATTTGTTGACATGGCTTTTTGATTTTATGAAACCGGCCTAATTAAACTGTCATGCAGTTGATAGCCCAGGAGAATAACAACCCTGTTAGGGCACGACTGGGGTTGCTCATGTTCGTTGGTTCAGTGTGTTGTCAATGAGGGATACTTAGGCTCAGGAGGAATCTCTGCTATGCAATTTTCACGATTCATGATATTTGTCGAGCAGTCGAGACTTTTTTCTCTACCCTTCATTGCATATTGTCCAAATATTAAATCTTACATTATGGCTTAAGTTCTTTTCATACGCAGTCTTAAGAAATCTCTACACAGATCAGCATGGCGAATGCGATTGCTGTCCGAGACCACGAGATGTTGTGTTGCTACAATTTCGTCCACCAAAGGCAGTCCCAGGCGAAGCGGAGGTTCACCAGCATCATCAGACTTACTGGGGTCACTTTAAAGTCCATGTTGACGAGTAATACCACCAGTCCGCACGGAGTCTTTAAATTTACAAAGCAGGTCACGTGTCATCAACAACCCTGTTGCCCGTCATCTTTCACGTCGTCGTCGACGCTTCCAACTCTTTTCACCCTTCTTTCCCCAACCTCACGCGCTCCTTTCGACCCTGGCATCGGTCAACGACAGTTCCTGTCATTTTTCTTCGGGATTCCTTCACTCTACTAGACGGACAAGTGCGATTTCATCAATCCACTTAGCTTTGTCAACGAGTAACACTCTCTTGTTAGCTCTTGTCCTTTTGACGACATTTATAAGGATCTCTCCCATATCTCCGCATGCCTGGAAACCAGACAGTCTATACCCGCCCTGAATTTGTCGACTCGCAAGTACCATTGCCGACAACTCGCCCACCCCCAATGCGAACGCCAACGAATCATGCGAGTCTACGGAGAGGAAAAACCCTCACCAGGCCAGAGCGGAGTGTTCGGCCTCCGCCCCTCATAAATCCCCCCACAGCCCTGCCTTCTGGCGCAACTCTCCCGCCAGTTATCAGCTCAACTTCCGACGGCTTTGATACCTGGACGTTCTTTAGCCATCTCGTCACATTTTGGGCACCATCAGTGTTGCTATCAAGTTTGGGTGGCATGCGTGATAAGGCGACACGTCAAGCATGGCGTGAAAAGGTTGCGCTTTGTCTCATTGCGCTCTTGCTCGGCGGAGCTGTCGGCTTTGCAACAGTCGGTTTAGATCGAGTTTTATGCCCAACGATCTCGCAATCCAACCCAACAAAGTTCACTCGCATTGGTAGTACGCCCGGAACCCTCGGAATACTCGGGAACGAGTATAATGCCAGCAATGCACAATCAACGATCGGAGTCGACTTCCTTAAAATGTCGCAATCATTCCCTGGCCAGGACATCACCAGTTATTTCGCCCGTACATCCGCTAATTTTCCTGCCTGTAATGGGCTTTCCTTTAAGGCTGCAACCGGTCCTCCTTGTCCGAACGGCAACAGCTCATGTCCTCTGGGTCCATTAACATCTGGCACCGTTGCTTCCTATAAACTTACAAACACTACAAAACGTATCGGCTACGGCTGGGATCAGGTTGCTAATCTTACCAACTTTTTCGTGCTTGATGGCAATGTTCTTAATATGCAACCTTACATGGCCGCTCACAAATCCCCCATATCAGACGATCCCGTGGACACCGCGATCAAGGCCGTCCTTCTCGATGGAAGGACTGGGTCTGGAAAGGATGGTACGCGCACATTTTACCGCACGAGAGAGCTTCAAGATGCTGTCCCATGCCTCGTCCAGCGCTATAATGCCGGGAATATTGATAAGATAACACCCGGCTGTTTCATCAGCAACCTTATGCTCTATGCCGGTTTAATCGTCATTTTGGGGTTGGTAATGGCGCGCTTCGTCATGGCATGTATTTTCAGTTGGTTCATAAGCGCAAAATTAGTCCAGCCGCCGAAGAACCTGGCACGAACCGTCATTAGCCCTTCCGTACTTCCAGAAGGAGCAAATGTGTCGTTAGACAATGCGAATGGCACTGCTCCTTGGGCTAACAAGGGCGTAGGCCAACGCAAACCTGGGGCTAAAATTCAAAAGAACCAAGCATTGAGTCCTTCACCATCATCTACAACCCTTGTCCCGAATGGCAACCATGCTGGTGTATCTCCAACAATCAGCATGGCACAGATTGGACAAGAACTGTTCTGTGTTTGCCTTGTGACATGTTATTCAGAAGGCGAGGCTTCTTTGCGGACGACGCTAGATTCCATATCGAACACCAATTACAGTGATAACCGGAAATTGTTGTTTGTCGTTGCTGATGGAATGATCACCGGAGCTGGTGAGAAGCGGAGCACCCCCGACATTTGTGTTTCTCTTCTCGATGCGGATCCTCGATTCGGCACACCCACTCCGATGAGCTATATTGCAGTTGCTTCAGGTGCGAAGGCCCACAACCGGGCAATGGTCTATGCGGGGCATTACAGTGCGTTGTTTCATTCTTTCTACAATCTTCCAATATTCATCATCCCTCCCTAGCTGTATCTGGTCGTCGCACCCCAACGGTTATCCTAGTCAAGTGTGGCACTGATTCTGAAGCAGTGAAAGACAAAAAGCCTGGTAACCGAGGGAAGCGTGACGGGCAGCTCATCCTCATGAACTTCTTCTCTCGAATAACCTATAATGACCGCATGACTCCCCTGGATTTCGACTTGTTCCGCAAAATTCACACTTTGATGGGCGTCACTCCGGATTACTTCGAAGCATGCTTGATGGTAAGAAACTACGGCGGTGTCCGCAGATTATCGTCTCGCTGACGTATCGTGCTTTCAGGTGGACGCTGATACGAAAGTATACCCGGATTCTTTGAGGTTACTCGTTAACACTCTACATCACGACAATCTGGTTATGGGCGTGTGTGGGGAAACCCGGATAGCCAACAAACGGCAATCATGGGTGACCGCCATCCAGGTGTACGAGTACTTCATCTCGCATCATATGGCCAAGGCATTCGAGTCTGTTTTCGGTGGTGTAACCTGTTTACCAGGTTGCTTTTCAATGTATCGGTTGAAGGCCCGGAAGGCAAATGATGACGACTGGATTCCCTTGATTGTGCATCCGGATATAATTCGGGAGTATAGTCAGAGTGAAGTTCATACCTTGCACCAAAAGAATTTGCTGCTTCTTGGCGAGGATCGTTTCCTGACAACGGTTCTACTCCGAACATTCCCCAACCGCAAGATGATGTTCTGCCCTCAAGCAAAATGTCGGACTGTTGCCCCTGATACATTCTCCGTCTTGCTGTCCCAGCGTCGGCGATGGATCAACTCTACAATACATAATCTCATGGAACTTGTAAAGGTTCGGAATCTGTGCGGGACATTCTGCTTCAGTATGCAGTTTGTTGTTTTTATGGACCTTCTGGGAACTGTTGTTTTGCCAGTTGCCATTTGCCTCACATACGTCCTCATCGTCAGCATGGCGACGCATCCCCCAGACACATTCTCCAAAGCCATCCCGCTACTGCTCCTCGTTGCTGTCATCGGCCTTCCTGGCGTCCTCATTCTCATCACGACATTCAAGATCGTCTATGTCTTCTGGATGTTCATCTACCTTGCAGCCCTCCCGATATGGAATTTTGTCCTGCCCGTGTACGCATTCTGGCACTTTGATGACTTCTCGTGGGGTCAAACCAGGTCCGTCATTTTTCGGCGACAACTCCGATATGCCCATCATACTGACATTACCATTTCAGAAAAGTAGCTGGTGAAGGTAAGGATCAAGGTCACGGTGCTGACGGCACCGTTTCCGCTGCAAATGCTGTTCCCCTGAGAAGATGGGAGGACTGGGAAAGATCACGGCTGAAGAAGCTCAAACGCGAGGAAAGACGTAGACGCGAATTAGCCAAAAATTATCCTGGTGGCTTTCATGACAATGGCGAGTTCCTACGCGCTACACGGGAAGAGTTCATGCCGTCATTTTACGAAGGTTCGGACACCACTTCCATTGCGTCGTCCGCGGAGGAAGACAAATGGGGTGCTCAAATTGGTGCCTACAACGAGAACCACTCTTCCTTTCCATTACCTCCTCAAACACTTCTGGCTCCTGAGACCGAAGTCATTCAAAATGCAGAGACTGTTGGCATGGACGAGCTCGAAGCAATACTGGATCAAGGTTTTGATACTCGACCATCTCCAACCTCCAGTACTGCGGATAATTTTCACCCATACACCCATCGCCTCCCACCGAATCAGAAGATCACGCGCCTCCAACTTGCAGAACACTCACGCTCACCTGATGGCTATGGTCCAGTACCAACCGTCTATGGTGACATTCCACCACGGGCACCGAGGGCCCGAGCCATTTCACCTGTTTCCGCGAATCCGCTTCATGGCATCTCTTCTGCACTTGGCCACGAAATTTCACATGTGCGGAGGAGAAGTAACGGGGAAACTCCGATAGTGACTGATTATGGGCCGCTGGGGCCACTCGGGTCACCACCAACACGACCACGGAGAATTTGAGTGCCGAACCGCGCAATGGACATTATCTCGATGCATGCCCGGTTCTTTAGCTGGATTCTCTCTGACACCCCATATTTCATCTAATACCTTTATGGTGATGTCAACCAAGCTTTTCCACGTTCCTTAGGCTTCGCGCGGTTTTTCACTATTCAGTCCCGTTGTTCCTAACCTTATCCTGCATTTTGTTTGACACAACATAGTATATCATACAATACATCACCTAGACATGAAGCCTCGTGGTAAGGGTAACTTGGTCATTCCAATGCTCAGGGAAGCCAGAGAATATCTACACTGCTTCCAAAGATATCTGGGTTTCCAAGCAATAGACAAACGTGACAAATCCTTCCTGTAATCCAGCACGAGCGGTTGAAGGGAGAAGGTAATACGTCCCTCTTGTCAGATGGGATGAAGTTATCACCACCCCCGATGTTGCTGCGGAGTACCCGCCACTTGAAAGAACGGGTGCAGGGATGTTGGAGGGAAAGACAGATGGGTTGCTTGCAAAAATAGCAATATTAATTGGAGTCCGCGAGTTGTGGTTAGACCTCTGAAGACGTATTCTGAGGAAAAATTTAACCCGCATCCGAGGATCATTGGAGATTGCGCTGCTCACATAATCGTTGAGGACTCCGGTAGGACGAGCTTAAAACCAGGATTCTTGTGATATGACCCCTGCGAAGGAGGACCAGCAGCGGAACTGCCCACCCTTCAAACAAACTTACTCCCGAGGCACCCCATCTGATTGGTTTGTGCTACTCACCAGTTGCCCTTGATGGACTTAGAGAACATCCCGGCGCCTTCCGTGGGTTTTGGTCGCATATCAAACCTCTTAGAGCATTCGACGGAGAGGGTGAAATCTGTCCTAACTTGGGGATCGAAGCCAGATACAATTATCGCATAACGACCGCCTAGTGAAGTGAGAAAGGGTTGAGCTGTTGTACAATAGGGAGTATAATCGGAGGTGCCAACACGAACTTTTGAGCGTCCCCCTAGCAAATGCAAATCCATAATTATAGGGCCCGGAGTCGAGGATAATATCCCCCATTGTCACGCTAAGTATGGGGATGATCTCAACATTCCCGCCTTCAATTCATGGGAACATCATTCATACTCGGTTACTCTACCATCCCTCTCTGGATTCCAAACGAGTATGACGTTTAAGGGCGCATCCTTGGACCCCCAAGACGGAGAATTAGCTCCGCCGACGCAGGGCTGAATCCTTGATATCTATTTCGTACTGAGGGTTGTTCATGAAAGAAGGATATGTCGAGTTACCCCCGGACGTCTTCGCGGATAGAGAGTTGGATGTCTGCAATGGAAAATAAAATACAGAAGGTCCATCCGGGGAATGATTCCAACTCACTTGCTTGGTGAAAGGGAGTTCAAGGGGTCCACGGTCGAGTTTCACTTGTTTTGGAGAGTAAATGGTCAGGGAGAATGCAGTTTCTTTCGTTGGGTCGGTATGTAACGATGCTGTTAGCGTTGATGCACCATGTCCAACAGAGAACCTGGACTGCAATGAGTTTCAGTAAACTTGGATCGAGGTTCATTGTGTGATGGGATACCAGGATGTGCGGGCTGTCGGAGTACGGCAGTTCCTGGTTTGAACTTAGCAGTATTCATGTGTTTAGAGATCACTGGTACCTTGGTGGTGTTGCACAGTGACCCTGATAGGCTGGACGAATGATGAAGACCAATGAAAGATTCTTTCTTGGTCGTATTTGTGACATGCCGAGTTAAAAGGCACCATACTTCGCACTCTTCATCTTGGCCAGATGTCGGAGAGCCCAACCGCAGCTGAAACTGGACATTCACTACAGCAGCTTTCGACCGTGAACGGGAGTGCAACAACCGCGTAGCACTCACTAGTTCCGTTTATGATCACATCCTTACTCCGCCACATCCTGCATACAATGAGACGAGGGAGAACAGTAAGTGAATTGACCCTTTTTAACCTTGAAGTGCTTACCCATGGAAACTATTTTGGCACAGAAATTGAGCTGGATCCCAGTTCAGATATAGAGATTCGAAGTTTCCGCACACGGCATCCCACTCCAGTACATCGATATTAGCTTGTTGAACGCAATCATATGACCTGTTCCCGATATCAGCAGGGTTAAAGAGCTTACCTGAGGGCCTTCATTCGAGAGTCGAGATAACGCGCTCCAAGAGTTGAGCACATGCACGGTACGCATACCGTCATGCTCCTGAAGGTCTTTTTGGTGGGGATTACACGAGTCTCGCATTGTGGAGCCTAGGCAACCATACCAATTATCGCGTACGCATGATCGCGAATGAAATGGGAAGGCGGTTGATCGTTTGTACCGAGTGTCATAACACATTGTCCTAGCCATGGAAAGTGAACATCGATCGGCAGCATGGGCCTCCCTTTTCATACCTTGATCAAACGCCCTCCTCACTTGATGCCACATAAACTCCGGCGGAAAGACGGACTGGGAATGCGTGTGAGTGGATCAGTCTAACCTACGTAATGCTTCCCCGACCAAGCTACCTCTTGAATCTGATTACCTCCGGGATCCATCGCGTTAGCGCGCTGGGAGAGTGTAAATACTGAAAAATAACTGAAAGAAACAAATAACCGCACTATACATCAATGGAGGAATCCCTGTTTTAATCGTTTAAGATCGTGAAATTAATGCTACAGGGGGGAGTGACTAGACACTTACGATCCAGGAAAATCGTAGCCCCCGTTCAATTTCATGTACTGAGGGAAATATTAGCGACGGGTCGAAGATAAGTGAGCATGATTCTTCCATCATGAATATTCTTACCGCCTTTTCAATCAGGCTGGGGAGGAAGATGATCGCTTCGTGGGTAGACAGGCATGCAAGCGAGTTGTCCGCAACACAAGGCAATCTGTCATCAATCTCTGCGAGGATATTCAACGGGGCATCTGGGTACGCGGTTGCAGTTTGCCTACCAATCTGGCAAGTGTGAGACTGAGACTATACGCACAGATACATGACTCCGAATTTTCCTCCAACATACCTTTCTCTGGATTCCATTGCATTGAAATCGAATTTGATACTTCCCCGAAGAACTAATAATAGGTGTACCATCTCCATTTTGAGGGTGCAGGCATGATATGCCGAGCTTGATTTCCCAGACTTTCAGCCGCGCTAGGCGCAATAAGCAATCATTACACCGACCTTCGATCGGAACTTGGAATGATGATTCAAGCAAACGGCGAGACCCGCGACCAGCGAACAGTCTGTGATAACGCTCTGGTGTAACTGATCGGCACGTAAGTCATCAGAGTATATCACAGGGTGTTCGGTGAGATCGCATGGCCTCCTCCATGCATTTACATGCCGGGATTGTTCTGCAGACAGAGGTGGAAGCCCTTCAGGATCCCTGATACCATCGCGGTGAGAAGGCTTGTATCAGATTCACTGGGGTGACACGCACAGGAATGCCTCATGAGACGCTGGCGCCACCCAATCAGTCCACGCCCTGACCCGTCTCCCATTGATTTGGGACGAAATATCCAATACAAGGTTTTGCGATTCTTTCACAATAATAAACTCAAGCTAGGTCATAAAATCGTGCAAATCCCTCCCACCTGGCGAGAATGGCGTGAGTGAAATGGATGCCACTTCTCTGGATTTCTTAGTCTGCTCAGCCATTTGCAGACAATGGGATGCTCGCAATTTGTAACTATCCCTTGCCCTCCCGGCGCCAGTAATGCCAGACAACTGGAGAAAGGAGTCCGCCGCTCGGAGGTATGACTCAAAAGCCGAATCGTAGTCCATCATTCGCTCTTGCCGAGTGGCTAGCATTATATGCGCCTGAATTACACATTAGAAAGGCTATAACAAATCAATGTGGGCTTAGTTCCAACCTCCGCTTGCTCCTTCGTAATGCCCATGGTGAACGTAAAGAGAGGACAACGCGTGACGTGACGTGTCCGGTACCGCATACGTCACGCTCTGTCACGCTCTTCCCACCGCTGTGGCCGACGCCACACAAAGCCATATTATTTGGCGGGCCCCCTTGTATATAGCCGCCCAAATTTCCTCTTCCAACACAGATCCAAATCCTCTCATTATTCAATGTTTGACGGACTTACTCAAATTATTTATCAGAACGATCTCCGTTTCGTCCTTCTTTGTAACGAATTTGAAGGTTCCTGGTGCATCGAACTCGGTCTGGTCTTCGGAGAAGAGCGAAGATGGTGGAAGCATGTCCCCAGAAAGGGCGCGACTCAGACGCAGGCTAGGGTCATGATAAATCCTATGTTACACTCCTGCTGATTATCTGTAACGGTTCAGGTACATACAGACGATATAGTGACCGGTATTATAGCAGGAGAGCTCTTCGTGGCTGGGTGGAATGGGAGCCATAGTGATTCACTCGTAGTAAGAAATTCTCTCATCACATGCTAGCATACAATCGCTCAAACATTCTTAGCTCTCCATTCTTCCTTCGGGCCCCAGGCCTATAAATCTGACACTCGAGGAGTATTCTCGAGAGGAATCAAAATCAAAGGCAGAAGAACTCCTCTTCCAAGTACGTCATGGAAACCCTTGAGTAAAACCCGATGGTTAATGTTGTTACCCAGATTGCCGTCAAAGCTGGCAGACACGGTTGCAGATTATGGCATGTGGATTCGGACGGGACTAAGCGGGAGAATGTGCAAGGTACACACTAAATTTTGAGACATGTCGCTTGGAGTGATACGATGCCGTTACAGCCGAAGAAGTCGTAAAACTCAGGGCGGAAGCTGCGAAAACTGAGGTGAGATCTCATTCGTAGGCCGGCATAGCTTGAGCTAACTGGTGGGACGCTGAAAGGAAACACTCTCCATCTATAAGGATCAGGTCAAGAGACTTGAAGGAGACCTACTTCGATATGGGCCGCCACCAAGTAAGTCTGTCGCAGTAGGTATTCAACCTCCATTCAGGCCCATTCTTTTGCTAGAACAATCCAACGTGAAGAAACTCGTTCAAATGCCGAAACGAGTGACAAAAGGGAAATCTGGTCTAGTTCGTATGGATTTTACCTCCGGGTCTGATGACGGGGCAGCCCCGGTGCCTCAGAAGAGAGTTGCACCTTCGACCTCTCCAAAAGTTTCACCGGACAGCAAGCGAGCGAGGGCCGGACCATCTCGAAAGACCCAGGCGTCTAAGGACTTCGAGACAGATACTGATTAGTTTTCTAATTTTTTAGTACATAACTCAAGACTATCCTCGTATTTATTGTGTCCGTCCCGATATGTATAATACTTAGAAGCTTGGTCTTCTTGCAGAGAATTACATCGCGCGTAATCGCGGAAAAAGTCATTCAAGGACCCTTCCAGCAGACGCTGGTGTCCTATGTTCAAGGTGACTCGTGCGCACTGCCTGTCAACTTATGACAACGCATCAAGTCACATGATTGGTTTCAACCAACCTGTGGCGGAGTTGGCCGGGCTCGTCTATTGTTTCTTTTTTTTTTGGTGGAACCTTATAATTATACTTTTTGGCCCCGCTATTTGAGGGGGGCTTATGGTTTTCGTCATATCGGTATTTACACCTTAGGTTCCGGATGGTGCGTGCTCCTTCGACGATGAGTAGCCTGGTGGTGCCTCTGTTGGAACCCCAGTGGTGAGCCTCTGGGTTGTAAGGGGGGGGGGGCTGCCATGACCTCAATCATGTTTAGGTTCCTTTTCCTTTTCGTCGGCAGATGTTTAGGATTACCTCCCAGATCGCTCTACTTCTGTTGAGTTCGCACTCAAATATTTTAGTATGTGGTTCATCGTTTCGGGCTCTCCGCAGTCCGGGCTATTCTCATCCAATAGGTTCTGCACTTATGGGCCCCCATAAAGAGTTTCCATAGGAAGCTTCTGGTGGCCGGTTGGGTAATCTCACCCTTTTTTTTTGTTATTGCCGCCCAAATTCTGTTGTTTGTGGGACTGCGATTCTTCATTTATTGTTTCATTAATAATGTTTCTTCGTTCCGCAGTTAAATTCTGCGCTTGGCTTTGAGATCTGGCTATTTTAGACTCCGGTGCATGTTATCCGTCTCTTGCAACTTTCACTTGGGGGACACCGCGATTAATTGTGGTCTGTGATCATTGAAGCTAAATTTTCCTTTAGTAGAGGCTAGGATCTTGCCCAGTATATACCCGTTCAACGTCGCGGCACGCGGACCCCGGGGTATACACAACCGGGTTTCGCAAAGTGTTCTCAGAGAAGGACTCGTTCAGTTAACACCTATCGCGATCCTCAGCAGCTTTCATGGAGCCGCTTTCTCTCGCTTCGAGACCCACCTATTCTGCAATACTTAATTTTTTGGCGGAACAACTGCACTACCAAAATAATACACAAGGGGTGGCGATACTGAAAAAGTGCGAGTATCGTGAGCGCATGGAGCGGTCAGGATAGAATATCATTTATGAGTCAGGGCCATGAGGAAGATGAAGGACTATGTCGCCTCCAACTATTCCTATAAGAGAGCGGATTTCGGACAAGCACTCGACGTCGGATCGGGTTCCTCGCTCGGAAGAAGTCTCAGACTCGCTTCCGCGTCATGTCCATTTAAAGCGTATATGCTCAAGTTACCCGAAAGTCGATCCGATCAGCGCACACGGAGACAAAGTAAATTGATGCTGGAGCGAAGAAGCCGCGTGCATTTCCATCCTCCGGATTTTTGGTTTGTCTTCCCCTACACATGTCAGAGCGCCGCTCGTCGCGCCCTCCATGATAGGTGGACCATACAATAACCAGGTTCTCATGAAAGTGGAGGGTTGGAGGTCTGACGCTCAATGGTCAACTCGCTGTCTGACATATATATGTATTTTACCAATATCAGAGTGCAATTAATGCCATCCGATCGGTCCTAAGCTCCATCCTGAACGACACAACAGTACCAGTAGTCTTAGGAACCCAGACCACGTGCGAGCATTAGTACTTAGATGACAGCCCAGCCCCTTGGGGCCTTGTGTCGTGTCGTGATGCCAACACAAGCCTTCCAAGGCTATTAGGCATTGGTGGCGTTCTGTAGGCCACCCAAGAAGCCAGGGAAAAAACAGCTTGGGGGCGGTGCAGGGAGGGCTCGCTCAAGATGGCCTTGTGATAAAGGATGTCTGAGTGATCAACGAGCAGGATACGGTGGCAATCGAGATACACGAGCAGGTGCAAGGAATAGATATCATAATAGATGTCCTTAACTGACCCGTAGTTTCCAGCGGAGGGAATGAGTCTTTCCAGTGCCACCTCTGCAGAGATGTCTCGCATTTCGTATTGCTCCTTGGATTTATGTGGTAAACGGTAGACCCGAGTCGAATCGGTGTTCGGAATGCGCGTGACTCCCCGATACCTATGTATCAGCGAACATACAATGTAGAGGTTTCCACCACTGGAAATATGTATATACTCCACTATAGAGGCTGGGGGTCCTGGGAGTGACGGTGACTCCCACGGTGTAAGCGATAAGCTTACATAAGCGTAGAGAACCGTATATAAGCTGGAACCTCGGTATATAGAAAAAGCAGAGATCTTGTATTTTACACCCTCTAGTGTAATATCGAGTTCGACTTTGGTTCAGCGACTTTCGATTACCCTAAGATTTCGTGAGTCCCTTAACCGCCTGAACTCAATCGCCGGCCTCTGCCGACGTTAAGGTCCCTCACACACGGTCACCCACACATTTGGGCTCTGGACTCCTTGTGCCCGCTGAGATGTCATTCACGAGATCCCTCTTGTCCCGACGGGTATGCGCCCCGAGAACTTATGGGATGAGACCCAGAAGCACTCGTTCCTACACTTACATTCTCACCTCTCGACCCGAACCTTCGGTTGCGCTCATCACCCTCAACCGGCCCAAGGCCCTGAATGCTCTCAGCTCAGCGCTTATGACTGAGCTCAATCAAGCATTGGGAGAAGCCGATACTAGCAAAGAAGTTGGAGCTATCGTTATCACCGGCTCCCAGACAGCGTTTGCTGGTTTGTTGTTCCGCTCGCGTTGTATCTTACGATGACCACAAATGTATGGGCACGCTCTCGTCTAGCCGGCGCAGATATAAAAGAGATGAAGGATCTGGAATTCTCAACAGCTTACTCAACGGACTTCATCGCTGACTGGGCACGTCTTACACAAATTAAGAAGCCTATTATTGCGGCTGTCAGTGGTTACGCGGTGCGCCCAACATCCGTTGGTCTCATTCTAGGCCACTCAACCCCTCAACAATGTTTTTTTTTTTTTTTTTTGGAAAAAAAAAATAGCTTGGAGGCGGCTGCGAGCTAGCTATGATGTGCGATATCATAATTGCCTCTCCGACTGCCGTTTTCGGGCAACCTGAAATCAAACTGGGAACGATTCCAGGTTCTGGAGGAACTCAGCGTCTTGCGCGCGTCATTGGGAAATCCAAGGCAATGGAGATCGTCCTTACTGGAAGGACATTTAGCGCTGCAGAGGCAGAGAAATGGGGTTTAGTTAGTAAGATTACCAGCGAGGAGGAAGGTGCTGTTGTCACCGAAAGTGTAAAAATGGCCAAGCAGATTTCGGAGTATGGAGCGTTGGCTGTAAAGGCGGGGAAGGAGCTTGTGAACGCTGGTAAGCTGGTCCTACTTCGTCAGGTGCTTGGTTGATCGTGTAATGATGAGAACAGCGTATGAGCTCAGTCTTCAAGAAGGAATACGGCTAGAGAGACGAGTATTCCATAGCCTGTTTTCGACGGGGGATCAGAAAGAAGGCGCGTCGATTCAGTTGCAGGAATTTCTAAGGTTTATCTTTTTTCTAGGTATGCGCGCCTTCGCAGAGAAACGAAAATCGCAATTCAAGGGAGAATAATGCCTGGATCCTTTGAACGCTACCTAGCCACCGTGAAGGCAATATTTCGATGTACTCGCATTACCTTGCTTGCAAGGTCACTTCCAAATCCACAATTGTGTAGGAAAAATATGTTCATATTACCCATCATACGTTTCACAAACCGATGCTCAGTTTGCGTGGTCCATTGGTCCCATCTCCCAATTCAATCACCTGACAGTCATCAGTGCCCTTTCTTGAAGCCACCGCGAAGCAGCAGAAGAGGACCTGGATGGTGAAGCCATGAGATGAACAAGGCGAAAAGAGAAGCGGCTGTGGTGGGTCAAAGTCGGAGAAGGAAATAATATGTGCCTGCTGTTCGTTAGCCGTTCGTCCGGAGAAAAAGAGCTTTGACCAAAGTCACAATTGTGATTATTTGGCTACCGGTACGGTGTGCTAGTCGGTGTTGGTGTCGGTGTGTAAATTGATGCAGTAAATTCAAAGTAAATGCTGAGGCTGGGACATACACTTTACATGATGGAGACTGACCGCACGTCCGCATTACACATAAACCAAACCACCTGCCCCATGTTCTCTCACCTGGGACATACTCAAGACACGAGCTCATAGGTGCCCTAACCCAATGTATCCCTGTTGTGCCTCTGCGATATTCTGGGTCTACCTGATTACCAATGATTGTTTGCTGCTTTGGGTGATGCGGCAACAAAAGCCACAACGAGGAGTTCCGACTCTATTGTAAAAGCAGACACGGACGAGTTACCCTGGGGTATAAATAAGATGGCCATCGCTGACACAGACTTCAAGTTTGAACCATTGGTCCTCAACGATTCCTGTCATCATGCGAGCACAATCGTGTACGAGTCTGAGTAAAAATAACCCCATCATTTTCGAGAACGGCGACATTTACAGTGTAACTTGTGGCTGCGAGCAATCGCTTCAATGTCAATACTGCGGAATAGCCCGTGTTCGTTCCTAGTGCAACCATAGGGACTATATGGAGCTCCGTTGCTTGCACAGTGCCAGATCCGCAGTGTAGGACTTAGACTTTATATCCGAAAGCACAATGCGATCACAGGAAGAAATTAATGGAACAAACACTGTTCGTGTTTGACCACTAAACGACAGGCTGAGCATATGAGAATGAGTCAGTTGTTGGGCAGGATTCGATCACCGTGGAGGGACAACTGGCACAACGTCCCTTCCCCGTTTCCAACATTACACAAACGAAGCTTGTAAAGGCGTAAGTGAGGACCTGGTAGAAAATGTGGCCTGAACTTTGTCTGTGTCTTCACCTGGATGAAAGTATTAGATGGGGGGGGGACTGGCATGGCACTAAATTCTGTTATTTCTTGCCTTTTTTCTTTTCAAGTAGTCACTGCTGGCGACGGGAAAGAAATTTGGTGAGCTGGATGCCGGACCGAGATTCCATGCACGTGACACGGGTATTGCCTATATAAGCCTCGACATTTTGCTTTCGACAATACTACATATCGATGTCTTCAGAGTCGCAGCTACAAGTTAAGGCTTCCCTCTGCCACCTTGCTTGGGTAACTAGGCGAGTATATTTGGGGGGGAGGTTGATAAACTGTGACCAAGATTGAAGATGGACCCATTTTCGCTTTCTTTGCTAGCTCCTTATGGTGCTATGATCGTGGAAATGATAGTAGTGAGGTCTACATGTCTGCGTCTTTCCTGTATCTTGTGGTATCATTTATAAATAATGCATTGATTCTTTGCTTGCCACCGTCCAACTGCACGACGAACATGTCCGTGTCCTCAAGTGACCCTCGTAGATGATGTCTGGGTAGATTGGAACATGAATCGAAGAATGCTATTCGCTAGGTGACTTGGAGTGAATGGGTGCCAGTGAAGACATGCGTATCGAGTTGAAGGGGTTACGGGTGCTTTTGTAGGTGTAGGCGCGCATAGTCTTGCTTTTTTTTCCCTCCACAACTTTCAATCAAATTGGGCGCGTTTGTGGCCCAGAGGCTGCTTAAGTAATCCTGGCCTTGCTCGGGCACATGCACGTTTTCCTAAAACGGAAAAACCATCAAGAAGCTCCCGAATGCGACTGTCCCTCACTTTTTGCAACCAAAGGCGTTTCTGCATGCTCTGAACCACACTAACACAACGTGCAGGCATTGTACTGAGTATTGCAGCCTACTTTTCTCTTTAGCCTTCTTCCCCTGCACCGTTCGGGCATCTATTTTGAATTTCCCACCACAATTTACAGGTAGTAGCAACCGTTAGTAAGATGCAGAGCTCATCCCCTGCACGGCACGACGTGCTTTGGAGCGCCAAAGGGCCTCGCTCACCTCTCACAGGCGCCTCTCACAATTCTCAACGTGTTGAGCATCCCCCTCCGTCTCCACGGCGTTCCGCTTCTCGCTCCACCCTCGAGGATAGAACTCAATGGGGAGAGTCATTTTGGATAACGATTATCGATCCCCAGGTATGTCTTCACAGGTATTTGAATGGAATTGTTGCCACCGTCTGACTTCCAACTTGATCGGCAGACCCAGGCACAATTCTATGCGTGCCCCGCAACCGGAGAGGCCTGCTGGGATCCTCCTGCTGGCCATTTCGTGTATGTCTATACCATCTTTTCCATTGTCATCTGACCGTTCTTCCTCATGTGTTCTGTTTAGTATGCCCCCAAATAACGACGGCGAATGGTGGGAGCTCGAAGACGAGACTCGTGGAGTACCTTATTATTATCACACCAAATCAGGGGAAACGCAATGGACTAAGCCCGAGGGATTTATAATACCTCTCGGGATTATTCAAGTAAGTATTTTGCTGTAACTGCTTTTTCAGTTCCAATTTTACATCTTCCCTAGACTACCACTGCTTTAGGGCGGCGCTTCTCCCAGAATGCCCGAAAAAGTGCCACCGAGAATCAGGAATCGAGCAATGGTCGTCCGTCCAATCGTCGATCCTACTCAGCTAATCATCAGAGTGCAAAAGCTCGAGAGAATGGAAGGGATTTTACGGCACATAGACATTTTGAGGATAGAAGACGGTCTGCGACGTCAAGCGTATTGAGTAGTCCTCGCTCTGCAACTTTTGGTCAGAGTCGTAGTCTCTATACCATTCCATCAGCCTCCAACAGTGAAAAGACAGATCCACAGGATGGGAGCACACCCGATCTCCTGGAGAACACTCACAACGACGATATGAAACGTCAGATGAGGATGTCTACGTCCGCGAATTTTTCCTCGCGAACATCTTCCACCCCCACCAAAGGACCCGCATCGGGATCACGGACGAACCAAATTATGGACCTCAACTCTCAGAGCCTAGCAGGCGCCGTTGAACTACTTGTCGCCACTAAGGGGGAGGGGGAAATATCACGCTCGTCCTCTTCAGCGGACTCGGCGAAGGATAAGCGATCGGTCTTTTCGAAGTTTCTAGGGAATGGGACAAATCTCTGACTCTCAATGGTGCTGTGGGCTCGCCCCCATCACCACGAGGACCGGGGCGGGGCGGTGGGGACAAGAATGTTTTCATTGCGCCTCAGCCACCGAGACGTCGGACGAAATCAAACGCTGCGATGGACAGGAAGATTCAGCCAAAAGCTAGCAATGGGAAGTTCATCACTTCGCCTATCCTAGACAAAGGTGACTTCAGTCCTGTTTGGACTGGTTAATGCGCATACGATGATGGTGATTGTTGCAGACTCAACGAAACGAATGAATCCTGCCGCTATGAATGACAATAAGCCTGTGTACGTGCCTCCAGGTGGTATCAAGCGGATGAGTACGGGGTACGTTGCCTCGGGTCAGCTGTGGTGATTAGCCAGCTGTCAAACTATTTTCCCTTCCATAGCGATCATAGAACCCTTCCGAGGGAACTCGCGGAAGATATCCAGCAGTTTGTGGTTTCAGAATTTGCCAAAACGTACTTTGCAACGCATCGCACCGGGTTGATTTTCCGACGAAAAGTCCCGGTCGAACAGATGATGTCATGGCAGAAGGTAGGCCATGTTGTCCTAATGATGCTTCGAACGGGCATGACTGATCCGAATACTCTTATTCGTATCAGGCACCACTGTCCGCGCCTTTACTAGTCCTGAATCGCACGCTGCACAAAGATGCTGTGAGAATTTTTAAAATTGTACAGCGCATAATGGGCGACCGTGCCACGGGAAACCAGTGGGAGTTCACTCGGATGGGCCCGGTTATACAAGTGCGACTACATCACCAGGGACACTGAGTATCCTAGAGGAAGAACGTTGGTTACTCAGCCAAGGGATTCTTCATGGGGAGCTACGGGATGAGATATATTGTCAAGTCTTAAAGCAGTTATCCGGTAACCCCAGTCCGTGAGTTTCCCCAGTCCACTGCTGATTCGCTGATTTCTCTGATTTCTCGTTAATCACTACAAGCGAGAGCATTTTCATGGCTGGCAGTTTCTTTGCGTCTTGCTGGTCACTTTCCCACCTTCCAAGAATCTTGAGGCGTATGTACGCTCTTTCATGCAAGAGAGGCTAACTCAGAAAGCAGGCCGCATCGATATTATGGCCAAATATTGCATTGGTCGTCTCGAGGTCATTGCCAAACGGAGCCCGCGGGGAAGGCTCCAACTTGTGCCGAAATTGAGACTGCTTCGGATGCGGCCTTCAATCCTTCCACGTTCGGCGAGTCCCTAGAATCTATCTTCCGGTTACAACACCGGATATATCCAGGAGCTAAGGTGCCTATTATCCTTCCCTTCCTCGCGGATGGCATTATTGCCTTGGGCGGCCTTGCTACTGAAGGCACTTGGCGAATTTCCGGAGACGCAGACTCTGTGTCGGAGCTCAAGGTTCGCATTGACAAAGGACACTACAACCTAGAAGGTAAAGAGCAGCATGGTCTTTCCTCACCTAGCAACACTCATTTAGGATCACATTAGGGATCAACGATTGTCATGTTCCTGCATCACTCCTTAAACTCTGGCTTCGAGAACTCCAGGACCCTCTCATACCGGAGGAAATGTACAATGAATGTCTTGAATGTGCCTCAGATCCTGAGAAGACGATCAATATCGTGAAGCGACTTCCAACGATCAATAAGCGCGTCCTTCTGTTCATCATCAGTCTTCTCCAGCTGTTCCTTCAAGAAAATATCCAAGCCATCACAAAAATGAATTCTGTGAATCTAGCACTCGTTATGAGCCCCAATCTCCTCCGATGCAACTCCGATTTAATGATGACTGTCTTCACCAATACCCAGTAAGTCAGAAATGCCACTTACTATCGATCGTCATTGAGAACGTTCCTTTGTTTCTGAATAGGCACGAGCATTCCTTCGTTCACACCCTTCTGCTGCATCTAAAGCCGCATCGCGTCGACCCAGACTACATACCCAAACACGGTCTTGCCCGCTAATAGCGGGATGCTCGGCATGGTCAGCTTTAAATGCTTTCGTTTACTTTTGCTGTCCACAATTCCACTATCTCCATTCGTAACCCCGATTAATTTATGAGTTTGCTCCATCTTGCTTTCTTGTGTACATCACGTTTACGGTAGATTCTTTGGTCTTTTCATTGATGAGTTGATACCCACATAATGTAGTCAAATGCGTTTTGGAGGATAGTACAGTAATAATGATTATGCATGGAAGTACCAATATTAATTATTTTCTCTGCATATCAATATCCCTACTAAGGATCTATGTCATGCATGAGATTACACGAGCTCTAGCTTGTCTTCTTCTGCCATTTTATAAAGTGTTGGTCGGGGTCGAGGTCCCCTATATGGGCCTTTCTTAAATTCGGGTGACCTCATTCCGACATTCTGGCCATCTTGCAACGAGGCAGGCTGAACATCCTCGGATTCTATCAGCTCATCCATCCGATCCAAGTACAGCAAGAGCACCGGGTCGTTAGCTGCTATACTGGGTTGATCCAACGTTTCTGGCCCGAGTGTCGTTAGCCCAGTTTGCATCGCTTCTTTACGTATGCGTTTGGCAAGATTTCGAGTGTGATTGTCGGGGAAAACGCCATTATTTTTCATCTCCTGTAATGCTTCGACGACACCATGAACGTCTTTGAAACATGTCCAGAGTGTACTGATGAGTTCATTGTAGGTGGTTGTTGTACACCGAAGACGTAGGAGTGGATACTGTGACGTCTAGCGTAGGCGAACACAGAGAGTGAGAGGTGGGGATCGTGGAATTTGTCACGGAAGGTAGCGATGAGTGTGCTTAGAAGGTGGGGGTACGTGGATATGCGTGTTAGCTCGTCTGCTTCTGGAGCTTTGGGGAGTGGTGATGTTGGGGACGTGAGAGAGGGGCTGATAGTGGTTTCGGACTCGTTCTTCTTGCTCCAAGATTCTTTGTCCGTGAAGGGAAGAAGGCCATTTGTAGTGAAGACCTTTTCCATCGCCCAGTCTAGTAGAGCTTTATCTGTCTCAATGACGTCCATCTCAGCGCGAAGCCTCTCAACTATATTGTCGACGTTCGTAACGTCATGGTGCCGTTTTGATCGACGCTTTAGCTTCCCGTAAAGGGTATGCACGGATGGGGGCTCCATATCACCCGGTTTTCGCCCAATGCCGACGCCAGAGAGAGGATCATTTTTCTTCACTGAAGATGAATTTAGGCGACCTTTTCGTGAAGCAAATATTTGGTCGAAAAGTTCCGTGAAAATATTTGATTCCTCTCGTGTCATTGCTTGTCGACGGATGGCTGGCCGACCCATCGGTCCCACTACAGGTTTGTTGAAATGTGTGGGCCTCCGAACTGGGAGTGGTGCAACGTCGCTCAAGCTTATGTCGTCTATCAGATTATCCCAAACGCTCCGGCCATTTTCGCTGCCCCGAGTAGTCGCTCCAAGTGTACTCGATACGTTGATCGATGGTTCTTTAGGGTGAGAAGAGGGATCAGCTTGGGTGGAGTATTGTCTCCACCCTTTGAGCCTGGGCCTCAAAGGACGTGCCCCCAATGTTCCAGTAACAAATGGCTCAACAGAACCAGAAAAGGCACTACGAACGGTATGACTGCCATGGTGGACTGCAGGATTAAGTCGTTGCGCACGCCACACATCGCCAAATACATAATCCCAGAGTTCGATTAGAACGCCTCGTTGGAGCTCTTTTGATCTCAGTCTCGGAACTGTCGCAGCCGTTGTCATGGCCGTACTTCAAGAGCTGCGAGGAAGGGTGAACATGGTCATTCGAGCTGGGATCCTGCCTATGAAGTGTGACCAACATACTTAACGAAGGCCTCGACAAGGCGGTGGACAAAAATGTCCTCTTTGCTCCCGCAGTGGGAGCAGCCAACATCGGGAGACTTGTGGTCCTTTGGAGCGAGAGCTGAAGTCACGCCAGTGACGGCCTAGCTATAATAAACTCTCACGGTGAGAGCGCCAGGCGCTTCTTTGGTTCCGCAACTGGGATCTTGCAGGATGGGGCCCGGAGAAACAATTACACTTCTAGGGACTTGGTAGTGCGGGGGAGCTTCTTGGTGATCGCTAGGAAATGCGTGAAATTCGCTGTTAGTAAATACCTTGGCCGTCTATTTGACCAGTGAGGACAAATTCTGAGGGTCCGACTCCTTCCTCAATTCGCACGCGAGCTCGCCTCTCTCCTTCCTAAACTTTGGTTGGGGATCTTCCCAGATACAGGGTCCAACTTGCCTCAAGCTATGGCGATACGTCACCACCGTGATTTCCCACAAATCGATCCTTGATCAGACCCGATCGTCCTGGCGCCCAACGGTGGGCTAACGGTGGGCTACGGTGCGTAAAGCCAGGCTAAGTATCAGGATGCCGGTATTTCAGGGTACTTGAAGGCCGATGGTAAGTTACATTTGTCACCACTTCCTGCTTCGGCATGTCAGAATTGTTAAACAGATCGCCGCGTTTCCAACCCGTCTTGTTCCGCCGATCCCATCGCCCATTGAACAGTCCTAAAGCATTTGGCTCTGGTACTGGGCACATCCTGGTACCGTACCGCAGTCTCACCCGGTGACTGCACCTAAAAGGTCATGAGAATCGTCACGGGACATCGGGGCCTAACACTTAAAGCTCCCCCCACCAAGGCCTGAAGCCTACGATAACCTTCAAGTTAATCCTTGCCAGCAATCCCAACTAGAAAGCACTAGTCCCGCATCTCAGCATGACGATCATTTTTGCCTCGTCTTCCGAAACCACCGGGGTCGTCCCGACCTATAAACAGCCTTATTTACATGTGTCATCCGCCGAGGCCATGCTTCTCGAAGACAAGCACAGTGCTCACAAGTGCGATTTTTGCTCTATTGGGTTATTCTACAGCGGGGAACTTATACCTTCATTTAATAGCTATCATCCTCTGCCCGTGGTCTTGGATTCAGCGTCTGGAGCCAAGTGAGTCGCCGATCAAGCTGCAACTTTGATCGCTTTATACTAATAAAATATCCCCAGAGTATGGGATCCTGAGGGGAAAGAATACATTGACATGCTGTCGGCGTATTCGTATGTATCGTTTCTCCATGATCAAGCACTTGCCCTCAATTGTCGGTTTCCCTCTAGCGCCGTGAACCAGGTATGAATTAATTGGAGCGTGCTTCAAGAAAGGACTTAAAAACCCCACTAGGGCCACTGCCACCCCAGGATAGTGTCCACATTGATAACGCAAGCTCAAAAGCTTACGTTATCTTCGCGAGCTTTCCACAACTCCGTGTTTGGACAGTTCGCGAAACAAGTGACTACCTTGTTTGGGTACGATATGGTCAGTAATTACCCCCATATCACGATAGTATAGCCCGATCACCGTCGATCTGACGTCTGTTCCTCCTGATCAGGTCCTCCCCATGAATACGGGTGCGGAGGCCGTTGAAACGGTAAGTTTGGTTAGTTTAGCTTGGTCACACGACCTCACCGTCTTTGCTGTCTCCAGTCCCTTAAGTTAGCCCGCAAGTGGGCTTATGCAAAGAAAGGCGTTCCAGAAGGTAAGGCGATGATCCTAAGTGCTCAAGGAAATTTTCATGGACGCACAATCGGTGTGGTACGCTCGTGAATTTCTACGTTATTGGTTCGCTACGACAAATTACTCTCTTGAGCAGATTTCAATGAGCACCGATCCAGAGAGTCGAACTGGCTTCGGTCCTTTCCTTGAGGGTGTCGGATCTGTTATCCGATTACCAGATGACCAGCTCCACCAAATCCGCTACAACAACATTCCGGACCTCGAGGTTGCGCTTAACGCGCATGGGGAGAATATTGCTGCATTTCTGGTGGAGCCCATCCAGGGTGAAGCAGGGTATGTTTCACCTCATTGCTATACCCCGCCAATGCCATTCACTCTCGCGATGGTGCAGGGTCGTGGTTCCGGATGCCGGATATTTATCAAAGGTGCAGGATATTTGTAAGAAGCACAACGTACTCTTGATTTGCGACGAAATTCAAACGGTTAGTGTCTCCTTACTGCCACCTCCCAGGCTCAATCTCCAGTTTCATGCAGGGTCTCGGCCGCACTGGCAAGATGTTGTGCTGTGATCATGATAATGTCAAACCAGACATGGTCTTGCTTGGGAAGGCTCTATCTGGCGGAGGTAATCCAGACTCACAAATTGATTCTTATGAGCGATATTCATTTACATTGATTCAGTATACCCCGTATCCTGCGTTCTAGCTAATCAGGATATCATGTTATGCATTAATCCCGGGGAGCATGGCAGTACGTATGGAGGGTAGGTTTGGTTTTATCCCATCTCTTGCACCGTCTTCTGATATTTTGCCCCGCCCAGTAACCCGCTCGGATGTGCCGTGGCTATGACAGCTCTCAACGTCCTCATCGACGAGAAGCTCAGCAAACGTGCTGAGCGTCTAGGCGAAGTCTTTCGCCAAACCGTCAGATCCTTCCACTCTCCGCATGTCCAACTCGTTCGTGGAAAGGGGCTGTTCAATGCCATTGTAATTGACGAAAGCAAGAGCCTGAAGAAGCGCACTGCTTGGCAGCTGTGCTTACTGATGAAGGACCGTGGTGTGTTGGCTAAGCCAACGCACCAGAACATGTAAGTCAAGTACACATCTACGATTCTTCGGGCTAATGTTGGATTCTCAGTATTCGCTTCTCCCCCCCTCTTGTTATATCTGAGGCCGATCTGCACAAGGCTCTCGACGTCATTAAGCAGTGCTTACATGACTTTGACATCGTATGTTGAAACTTGATCTACTGTCCGGGATTCCTGACTACTTATGGGTACAGATTGAGCGCATCCCAGGTGACAAATCTGGTCACCATGAACGTGTCCCCCAGGACGATTAAGTGCTACGGCTTGAGCGCCAGCTTTCGACGGTTATACCATAGCGCAGTGACAATGCGGTTTGTTCCACCTTCGGACACCTTGTCTTCGTCTCATACCTGTTCACGAACGCACGACCCGTTCCTTTTCATTAATGTACCATTTGCACTCTACATGCTTAGCTCTTGATCTCAACGTGTTACTGTACGCAGGTATTTCGCTGTCCAATATATCCGCAATTCCTTCACCCGTCGTACCTTGGTGCTGATCGCCCGTCGACACTTTGACGTCCTCCTACTAATGCAGTGAAAGTCCTCAATGCTTCGAATGTTTGATTTGGTGATCCTCCGTTTCCTGGTGGTAAACTTCGCCGAATTCTGCCATGAGAGGGAGAGGCATCACGTCGAAGCGTAATATCCCATTCGTTGGGAGAGGGTCCGGACGTGGCCGCAGCTGATGAAGTTCCGAATTCCTCATCAGACCTAAGGGTTGAGGTTGCCTTCTTCATATTCAATATGAAATCATAGGGGTCGGTTGTGTTGGGATTCGATACTTCAATATAGGATGGGAGTTTCGTCCATTCGGGGCCGCATTGACTCTGTCGGCGGAGTGTGATGTTGACATAGGACGCGGAGAACCCATTGTGAGTTGAAGGAAGACAAATATTCATACAAATAGGCTGACCGACAAAATTTGTACCGGAAGAATATGTTCTATATCGTTCAAGCCTGCAGATGAAGAATATGCAGGGTCAGTCACGTCCACATTTGAAGTGCCGACTGTGATGCTAATTCGGAGACGATGCTCGATTTGGAAGACGAAGTGGGGGCGGTGATCAAAGCTGAAGCGAAGCGACGACGACGGACCAGGGATAGGAACGGAGTATTTGAGATCCCATGGTCCATTCGGTGACTTGAGCTGATCTGAGAGTTTGTGATCGACTGGGTGGTGAGCGTTAGCACCTTTGGGGTCAGAGTATTTGCGCAGAGTATTTAATGTCTCATCGGAAGAAGAGGGTGGGATAGGCAGAAGTGGTATATGCCTGTTCTTTTGCCTCAAGGTGAACAGGGTGTGCGTGGCTTTCTCGCGATCTTGCACGGTGCCGTCCTGGGTTTGGAATAACACTGTAATTGATTTGGTAGGATTAGAAACCGGTACAATACGTCTCCTTAGGGATTCACCTATTTCTGTTCAGTAGACATGAGACAATGAGCGCTGGATAACAAAGGGTGGACCGACCTTCCAGGACAACTAATATTTGATGTATAGCAAGCTGTCTCAGGGGAATCAAGAATATATAAAGCGGCATATATCCTCCAATCATGAAGTGGCGATTGCCCACACATAGATTAAGCCTTAGATGATCTTTCCAGTTGTATTCCAACAGCTCGCCTTCGCCGGATTCATTCGTCAACAATGTATCGACTTCTGGGAGAAGGACAATCTGTAGAGGACAAGACGCCGTTGCCGTTGGTATGAACAGCCCAGGGCGACGAATCTCGACTTTCAACTGAAAGCTACATCGCGCCCGGCCGGCAACTCGAATAGTTGGCGCAGTGTCATGAGGTAGGGCAAATCCGAATGGGCATTTGAACTTCCCTATCGAGAAATATTAATCGTTCATTCGAAGGACACGCTATCTGTAGGTCGGTCACCTGGGGGGATGAGAGTGCTAGTTGCATTGGAATTGTTATTGTCGTGAACGGGCAAAGCCGAAGCCGATCGTGCCCAGCCTTTGAACAGCCGAGACACAACAGTACCTCGGTCCTGCCGGCTGGGCAACACACCGGATCTGGACCTGCGACCTTCGACACTGCTCTTCTGCTGAAGGGCTTGTACTTTATCGGAGAGAAGCAAATCTTGAGATGATACTACTGCTTTCTCCTCGTGGAACTTGTTGAACGTCGGAGGTATGCCGCCTGGCCATTCGACTCCTAAGGGAAATCAAAGGCAGAGGACCGGTTATGCGATTGCCGAATAGACAGGTGGTTTCGCGCGCACTCCATTTGCAAATCAAGCTGGCGGAAATGGAAGTGATAGGTGTAGGCTCAGAAACCTCTTCGGTAGTGCACCAATATTGCTTCAACGAAGGCAGCGACAACAGATAGTGGCGCATGTACCTAGTTCTAGAAGACCTCGAATGAGAATTGGAGTTGAAGTTGCTCTTGTCTTTCGAGTAAACACTATTGGCTCCCCGGCGCGGACAACCACGCGCATGACGGAACGAGCTGGTGAAAGGGACGAAGCAAGCAGAGCGCTTGTTCTATGAATGTTTTGTCTTTGTTCGATAGTGGTATGAACCATATGTTCGGCGACTTTCATAAGCCTCTGAGATGTTAATAACTGATTAACATGAATTATGTACAAGGGCGGAACTACATATCTCAGTCCTACTACGTTAAACAGGAATGTAACATTTTTTTTATCCCGGAACAGGGGTCGCATTGGGGTGGGTTTATCGTGTGTTATAAAAACTAAGGTTTCGAAGGGGTTTGCTGCTTGGACAGCGTTATAGAACGGGTACGAGATTTCCTTGAACCAGATGGCAGTATCGAAAACCCTTTTGGAGGTTGGCGATCAACTGGAGCAAGCGCGGCTGGGACAGGTAGTACGGACGATTCCCCTATTGCACTATTTTGAATGTTGGAAGTGGATGCAGCGATCGATTTGGAACGCGCACGAGACACCACTTTAAACATGAAGCTGGGCGAATCCCCTTTGACATCCTGTTGCTCCCAAATCTCCTGCGATAGAGCGGTTGTGCCAATCTCGGAGTCTGTATCTCGTTGGCATTGTTCCCTAACAGCTTCAGTCCCTCCGAATGTATCTTCCCATGCGTCCCACTCGCAGTCACTCTGAGATTCCCAGATCTCCTTCTCGCGCTGGGAAGCATATACACCGTCTGGGGGTTGTAAGGGTCCGAAGGCTAGGCTAAGCGCGGGGTGAATCCTGATCAAGTGCTTTCCAGCACTATAAGCATTCATCACGAGCCTGTTGCGATATTGGTAGATGGTGGAGCCCGCGTTCTCTTGTGAGGTTATTGATGGGTCAATCGGTTCCGAAGGCACGTCCTGTGAAGTATAATTCATCCTAATCCCGGGATCAAAACTCGCTCCACGTCGATAGTCATTCAGCCGAGCAATGTAAAACAGGGTCCGAAATAGGTTCGAATGGCCTGCCAATCTGATGAGAAGAGTCTGCGCATCACTGTTACAAAGAAAGGTACTCAACAGTGTTGGTCCGGTAGGTTAACAGAGAGCAGGCGCTCCCTAACCTCTCGGGAGGCTCCGCCAGTATGTGGCTCCAGAAATTTGATAGATAGAAAGTGTCCAGGTTGACCGGGGAATGGGATCAACGTTGGACTGTGTGAATCACGCTCTGATATCCAAGACGTTCAGCTATATTGCAACGGTGAAACGATTTTTAATAACCTTGTATAGATATCAATTCACTCAAGTTGAAGGTGTCCAGTGGGTTTTGCGACTGGGAACGATGCGATTGTTATCAGCTTACTTTTATGCGCAAGCGAAAACTCACAGCCCGATGCTTCCAAATCCGCAACACACTATCACTAAGGGTCAACCAGCTGTGATGCGCAATAGGATAAGCCTTGGCAATAAATGCTGTGGGAAGAAAATCACGCACCATGATTTCCATTTTGTTGTCGAACCTGATGTGCCTCCGGTGCGAGCATCTTCGTTAAATGAACCAAAGCTCAGGATGTGTCGCAGTGACGATGAGGAGGAATGGGGTAATAATCGAGGTTTACGCGAATCCTGCTGTGTAGGACCTGGTAAAGGGGAGAATGGCGCCGCAACAGTGGCATCCGAGACACTGGTGACGCCTTCTACTAAACTCGAAAATGTGGAGTCATTGCCTTTGCTCCGTTCTGGTCCTTGTTCAAATATATTCCATGGCGAAGGACTCGATTGCACTTGAGGATGAGTGGTTTCTGCTGGATGTTGAAAAGATAATCCTTCCTTCACGGATGCTCGTCTCGATCCAGGGGATGGTGTGGAGGATTTCAAGTTGAGTGACGACCTTGACGATTTGAGAGTGAGTGAACGATGGACTTGTGTATGATCATTCATCATATCACTGGAACCCTTTCGGGAGAGCCCCACTCGCTTCCCTTTCCCCTTGTCTTTGGCTCTGTATGCCAAGCAATCAAAGTACGGTTGTATGTAGCGTTCGCGCGACAGGAACACATAATGACCTCGACGATGCAACTACGCGGATCATCACTTAATGAACCTCGCTTGCGAAAAACAGCCCGACAGACCTCAAGGAGCTCCCCTGGCTGAATGTCGTAATGATACACACGCTCCACCTCGTTAAGCTGGCACTGCATCGAAAAGCTGTATACAGTCCACTGATTGGATCTTTGTTCCTCTAGCTGCTCGGATGACAAAGCTAGGATGTCGGCCACCAATGATTCTGGCGCGGTTCCCTTTTTAGGAATTGAGGATGAAGGCCCCGCTTGGAGTCCTGGAACAAGGTAGTAATGATTCGGCAGAGCGGGTGGCCACATGGCATCTTACCTGCGTGTGAAGTTATAGCGGACGGATATGCAGGATTTCTGAAGTATACGCGCATTGCGGTTTCATCAAGAGTCCTTTCATTGGAACCCATCGAAAGGGACCCTTTTAATGGCGCAAAACCACGATCAGGGGTGCGTGACGGTCAGAAATTGGGGACACTGGGCTATCTATCGGAGATTCCAGTTCATGGTCATTTGCAGACGTCCAATCATAGTCTGGGTCGTCAGCAAAGACAAGAGAGCCAGATTCGTCTGAGTCTTCGAGTACGGGGGAGGCAGGAGGAACTGCCATGGATGAATATTGCCGATGTGGCGAAGTGGAGAAATCGTGGGCGAATGAAATTGCTCTCGGGGAAGGTTGCGAAGAAGAGGGCTGGGAGGAAGTCGGAGATTTGGGAGGAACAGTGATGATGGATATTTTTCCACGTTGGGAAGCGTTTGAGGGAGAACGGCTTGGCTTTTTGATAGGCACCTGGACTTTGAGATTGGGAGGTACGCGAACTGGACTGCCGCCCTTGTGTGATTCTTGTTCAGTGGCCTGTGCGACGGTGAACCCCGGTGGACGTGGAGCAGGAGGCCCTAATGCTTTAGATAACAAATGGATTTTGAGCTCCGGTATTGACCAGGATCTTGTGTCTTCATTAGGATACGATATTTGAGATGCATGAACTGATGCGAGATACTTGCTTGTCTATATGCGTTGTGAAAAATTGATCCATTGGCACTGATTGCAATAACGCCTGACATTAAACAGCGGCAGAAACCCAGAGGGTCAGGTGAACTGACCTATGCGACAGCTGATAAAAAATTTCCCTGACGTCCTAGGCGTCTCTGCCGGTGCCGATGTGCTTGACATGGTGCTGATCATAAATTGACAGTCAGGAATTGCACGTGTGCGTGGGAATGTGGCGTAGAAGGATTTTCACGTACTGTTCAGCGACTTGGACGATAAGGCATTTTAGGGACTAACCAGCTGAATGCCGATCCATGCCGGTCAGGATAATAATTCGTTTTCCGGCACGTTGAGTGAGGTGTATAATTTACCTTGGGCTTGATCTCGCCGATCACCCCAAGTTCATCGAGATCATCAAAAACGGCATCAAAAGCCCACTCACCACCAACTCAACCTGTTAATTCAGCCTCACGCGTTTTTCCTCCGGATCGTCGTTCGTCTTACTAACTCAAACGCTCAGCCCAACATCTGATTGCCGTTGCTTTCTCGGTGGTAGGCCTAACTTCATCATTCCGTCGCAATCGGCTTCGTTACAGACCTAGCTCAACGAGATGGGGGAATCAAAATAGGCCGGCCGTAAACAATTTTCTATTTTGGCTTACATCAGGAAGTCAACACCCCGTCAGCACGCCCACGGGACTGAATAAGTGGATGTGCTGAAAATTTTTGTTCAACAATTTGATTCATCTCCACGTCAGTGCTATCCCTTGGAAAACCAACTGACACTTCGGTTCGTACGTCCACTTACTGATACTGTAGTCGTGCCTTTTATAGGCTCGCACAAATGTCGTCAAAGCGTCCATGAATATGGCCCTCCACCAGCCCCCCCAAACATTTTTGTGACGTCTTTCTAGAGCAGATGGAAAGCCAGGCATTGGTTTCCATGCGTTTCAAATGACTAATGCCCCGGTTTCCGGTATATAGTAGTGGAGCATGAGGGCCATGTTTGTTCCTTGCGCTAAGTTTTGACATCTTTCGCAACATATTCTGGACCCAAGGCATAGTTGCTGATATTGTGTACGAACTGTTCACGCCTTCTTCTCCCACTGGAAGTGGCGCCATTGAGATCACGATCTAACTCGGGAGTCGCAACTCACTTGCCGCGGCATCTCAACGGTCCAATGGCCAGCTGTAATGCGGGGCCTATTAGCTACCCTTACGATGCATCAGGCAAAGCGTGCCCATTGCTGGGCGGTCTGGGTATACACATTCTACCTTCTTGTCATCTCGCGGTTCCTGAATATCCAGCTAGATAATCTTTATGATGGAACCAGCGTGCGATTTTGGGGTTTCCTCCCTGTCACGAACTATACGATCACAGCTTGTCCGCGGACATCAACCATTTCTGGACCTGTGACATTCAGGTCGTGAACCGATCGTGTTGCTGAAAAAATACGTAAATACTAGTCACAGGGCTCTCGCAACATTTGTACACATGAAAACCTATTGTTGTTTGTGTGTGCCGAGATAAGTGTAGGGCTGGCATGCCATTTTGTCCGTTTGTCCGTCAGTCGATTACTGGAGCTTAACAGCCGCTTTCGCTTTCTTGGAAGCTTGGACGGACCTGTATTTTCCCATCCATTTATGCATCAATATATCTCATTTTCAGAAGCATGTTGTGATGTTGTGATTTGTTGTGGTCGGGGTGCACGCACTTCTACTTGCCCCACACTCCAGTGTAGGCGAAGCAGGTTTGCTGGCCTCATTCCGAATCCTTACTCTTCATTCCGCGTGTCGTTTGGCTCCAAGTGCTGGGGAGTGTGTCATATCTTTCAATTGCGAGCCTAACGAGGCTCCTCCCAGTCTATCATGTCAAGCTTGTCTGTCCTCGTGGATGGGCTAGAGCTCCCATCAAACCCAAACTTTTCTCTTGGCTCCACTAGCGAATCTGCCTCGAACTCCTTCCAATCCGGGGATATTTCGGCTTCTGGAACGAGTCTTCCCTCGTCTGCTCCCATTGCTACGCCTTCACCTGAATCAACCCCCAATCCCGGTGCTCGTCGGATATTTAGCCGCGACGCCCCCGATCTCGAAATGCCAGGCCGACCTCGAGCCATTCGTCGCAACGCGAGAGGTGCCTCCGAAGATGAGGTGGGAGCTATGACGCCCCTTGTAGGAAGTCCTTTGAAGAACGGTGCTTCTTTCATTGAGGAGAATACTCCTTTAGCGACCCGCAAAGGCAGGTCGCAGACGGTTGCTTTACGACCTAAAACGACCGGCCTTCTGTCGCTTCGCGAGCAGGAAAAGGTTGGAAATTTCGAGTCTGTAGCAGTGCACGCTGACCATCGCAGACTCGTGAATTAGCTTGTTCAAGAGAAAGACAAGGAAATTTTCGATCTCAAAATGAAACTGTATCATACAGAGGAGAAGCTCTCCCAGAAAGTTCCCGAGGACATCAATATCATTCTCAAGCAGAATGTAACGGTCAAATCAAAGAACCAATCATTGCAGCTGGAAATCAAGGAACTAAAAAAAGCCATGAAAAATCTGGATCGCCGAAATCAGGAGCTTATAGTAGATCGTGACAAATTTCTCGAGGAGCTTGAATTGCAAAACATAACCCACGAGGATGAAATAGCTCATCTGAAAGAGCAGATAATCACATCCCAACCCTCATCGTCCAACACTGACCCACAAAATGCGGAGCTAGAAGAGCTGAACAATCAGCTTCAATCAGACCTCGACGAGTTGCGTTCGTTGCTGCAAGATAATGACAACGAGCTTCGTCGATTGCGCGAAGAGCTGGAGCGCAGCAGGGCTAGTAACCGGTCATCTTCGTCGACCTCAAGGGATCATCAGTCTCGCCTTGAGAAGCGCATTGCGGAGTACGGGCAGGAGAATGCCGAACTTCTCGCTAAACTTGAAGAATACGCATTCATCTTGGAGGAGAAAGAGCAGATTATTGGTGAACTTGATGACAAGGTTTCTTCGCTCGAGATAGACAACGAACGATTGGACCTCGAATGTCAGCGCTTGGCGCAAGAGAGAAGTGAAAGCCGTGCTGAGATCTATGAGCGGCGCTTGCGGGAAGAGGATGTTGAGGATGTGGGTTTCGATCTCTGATATCAGCCTGCAATTAACTGATGTACTACTGCAGGGACAAAACGCGCTTCGGGATGACTTGGCGGCAACGAGTATTGCTTTGGAGCAGAAGGAAAATGAGCTTGAGGCTAAACATGAAGAACTCGTCTCCTTCGTCGAGGCTCTGGAGCATCGGACGCAGGAGGTGGAAGATTGGAAAGCTGAAGTTTCCGAGGAAAGATCCAGAGCGGATGAATTGCAGAGTGTGCGTCCGCCCCTATGATCTTTTGGACCATCCTGATCATTCTTGACACAGGCGTTGGCCGAACGTGAAGTTGCAGTTAAGGAGCTCGAGCTGCGGGTGAATGAGCTTGAGGCTACTCAGAGCGAGTTGCACGAGAAGTTCGAGGTAGCTCTAGCTCATCTCGAACAGGAAAGCCAGGTTAAAGATGCTGAGCTTCATCGTCTGGAAGTTGTGTTGGATGAAAAGCAGGCAGACATTGAGAGTGGAAATGCCGAAATTGATCATCTCAATCGTCGGGTTTTTGACTTGGAGGAGGAATTGGACCGGGTGGCTGAGCAATCCCGCCGAGACTTCGAGGAAGCATTGAATCGTGCTCAGCTAAGCGAAGAAATCTCCAACAGTCTGAAAGAGGTGTGTAAATGTTCAAGGGTATTGCTCGTAACCTGATTAATTTCGTTCTCCAGAAACTTACGCAGGCGAAGGCAGAGCTCAATCGACTCAGTGATCTTCAAGAACGGCTTGAGGAGACGAACAGACACCTCCGGTCTCGTGAAGAAGAACTCTTTGGTCGTGCCGAAGATGCGCTCCGGTCGTCGGAAAGCGAGCGTCAAGCCCGGTCTAAGGCAGAACACGACCTGCGAGACTTTGGCAATAAGCTCCTTGAAGCCGAGGATGAAATCAAAGCTCTCAGGCGTGAATTGGGCGAAGTAGAACGGAATGCCAATCATCAGCTTGATGAGAAGGAGGAAGTAAGCAAAGTGCCAGTATATCTCCATCCGTTGCTGACCAACTTTCAGGTCCTTGCTCAAGCTCGCAGTACTCTCAAGTCTGTTCGGACACTGCTGGAGCAGCGAGAATCGGATCTTGCGGCTGTTCAGACTGCCCTGCGTGACCTCGAGTCTGAGAAGCGCAAACTGGGGGAAAGTCATACCACGGATCGCTTTTCATTGGAGTTGGAGCTTGATCGCCTCAGGAGGGACCTTTCTCGTTGTGAAGATGAGCTAACACGTTCAAGAGACGATTTAAGAGATAAGGAACAATTCCGACGCGATCGGGATGCAACCATTGACAAGTTGGTAAGTTTCGTCCACATTACGGTCGGCGTGGCTAAGGGTATGCGATAGCATGCCGAAATCCGTGATTTGTCGAGCTCGCTCGCTTCTCAAACACAGGCACGTCTTAATCTCGGAGAGAAACTGGACACTACCCAAGCTGCACGTATTGGATCCCTTAATCCGCACCTTCCTGTCTTGCTGATCCTCCCGATAGGCGGCGAAGCAGACGGACCTGGATCTCGTTGCGGCCAAGTCTCGCGTAGCAGATCTGGAGCAGAAGTTGAACAAAGATCAACGCTCTATTATTGCAACTGAGAATCAATTCAGAGACCAATTGACGGAGCGCAATACGCTTTTGCTGACGATTTATCAATACATGGACAAGATACTTGGCGTAGACAAGACACCGGTCAGTATAACTCGCCTACTTGTCATCCACATTGTCGCTCAGTAGCTGTCCAGAAGAAGGGCACTTCCGCCGAGACAAAACCTTTTACTAATTTCGCAATATTCCATGACAACATCATCTCGCGCTTGAAGTCATTAAGCCAGATCCAAACTGACGTCCAAAAGCGCGTGAAGGAGGCCGAGACGCGCTTGACGGAGAGGACCAAGTATGTAGTCCCAACCTGGAATTGGCCCCGCCTTACCCATCATCAAACAGTGAACTCAGGAAACAACTCGACCATCGGTGGAAGCAGGTCGACCGTTTTGAATCTCGTGTCCAAAGTCTGAGCGATGCCAAGCAAGGCTGGCGTCGTAAGTACAATGCCAAAGAAGGCGAGCTGGAATCTTTGAAGGTGAGGATCCTCTGGCAATAGCCGGATCGTAGCCCTGTATCATTGAGTATCCATAGAGTCAAAATATCGAGCTGGGCAGCCAGATATCTGCTCTTAAACGAGCACCGAGGGGGACGAATGATACGGAGATCCGTGCCGCCAACGCGCGGGCAGCTGAAGCTGATCGCCGCGCCGCTGCGGCAGAGTCAAGGCGGAACCAGGACCAGGACAGGATATCAGATCTTCTTGAGCGAGAATTGAAATGGGAGGCTCGCGTTCGTGAATATGAACGGATGCTCAAGGAAGCTAGGGAGGCGCTCAAGAGAGAGAAGCAAGGCGGAAAGGAAAATGTTGCTCAGCACGAGAGACAGATGGCGTAAGTACCCATGTCCCGCATAGCCAGTCTATTCTTATTCACTCGGTGGTAGTGCGTTAAGGGAACAAATCGCCAAGATGGAGAAGCGGTTCGGTGTGCTCAGAGACATGAAGGACATGATGGACGACGCCGCCAAACCCACAAGAGGGAAGGATTAGTGGGCATATTTCTATAAGCCTGGGTTCGGGACGTTTTCTCGCTCTTCATACTGTAAAACATCACTTAGTTGTATAGTACACGCATTGACCCAATAATGACGATATAACATTCATTGTTCCTGAATGCCAGACTTCAAAATGTCCCAGGTGGCATTGTGGCGCATGAGGGGTTAGTCAGATAGGGCCGCCCGCCTTTATATCCGTCTCGTAGGTGTGGTTGCAGAACCGGGCTGAGCAGATTTGAGTCTTAATCCTGCAATCGGAGTTCGAGGTGACAGATCGACGTCGTCAAAGTATTCCGAAAGCTGTGTCTCCCAACCGCTGAGACGCGACGAGCTCTTATGTTCCACGTTATTATGCACAAGCTCACTCCTGCCCTCATTAACATCCGGAACAGGGGGAGCTCGAGGTGTCCGAAAATGATCCTCATGGTGTTCTTCGTACTCGCTCTCACTTGGATAATCTGAATGATAATCCGAGTGATAATCCGAGTGAACGTCGTCAGTGTAGTGGTGCGAATACGGCTCATCATCTTTATCGGTGCCATGATCCAGCACCGTTCGATTGGAGATGTGGGGCCCGCTGCTTAGATGCAGTGGCGAGGGCTTTGGAATGCTGGAGCCGAGGATTGGAACGGGTGACTCAGCGGCGGATGTGAGAGGGGACGGCGGTTCTGGATTCACAACAGCGAGAACCCGGCTTCGCATCTGCATCTGGTGATCAGAGTCACGGTCGAACGTCCCGAATGATTTCTCTGAGCCCGTGGGAGATACCATCGAGTGGATTCTTTCGAGCGAGTCGGTGCCAGGTGGAGGCTTGCGTGGGATATTGAACGTTGGTAGAACAGTATTATGAGGGAGGTGCTTGCGGATCCTCAAGAACATCATGACAGTTACGAATCCTGGGTAAAGGGTATAAGTTGCCTGGAGCGACTAAGAATTAGATATACTTGTACCTGACAGCATAAACAACGAGTCCGCGAATACCACCCAGGAAATGGAACGGATCGAGAGCTACTTTGAACAAACCTGGATATAGCTATTGGCATGAAGAAAATCCCATATGATACCGGCAACCTGGAAACGAAGAAATGAGATGTTATCAATTGAGAGAAAAGCATTGATGGACTGGTATGTAAGAACTTGCCAGATCATCTGCAGTGCGACAGTTGTCATGTAGGTGTCTACATGATCCCGGACCTCCTGTAGCTTCCAGGCTTTGGCTCCGCTGATCCAACGGAATCTGACGCGCCACCCCTCCACGATGATATTTCCACGGAGACGGAAATAAGTCAAGGTATGGAGAAGGAGTGTTGTGAAAGCTGAAAAGAACATCTGGGGCCGTGCTATTGAGCTTTTTTTTTTTTACAAGCGGCTGCAACTGAAAAAAAAAAAAACTGACCCAGAAAAACTCAAGCCCTATTCGGGCACCTCCATACTTGTCAGATATCCAACACCAATACCCTAAGAAAGCGTGTAAAATGAGAGGACGGTGACATGATATCACGTAAAATATTTGCAAACCGGCAATAGTGAAATATGGACCGAATTCTTGCTTTTGAATCACCGCAGGTCCAGCTATGGATATAGCTCCGACTGCACACCATATGGACAACGTCACCAATGTTGAGAGGAGACGTTGCGGTGTGTGGCGCAAGAAGAGCAGGTTGAAAATGTGTAAAGAAATTACCTGACGGTTTGCATTAGATTTCCCATAATGATGGGTAGCGCGAGGGCCTCACCAAGTTCCACAAGGCTGTAGCAACATTTCCCACCTAGAAGAAATGGTCATATTACTTGGGGGATCAGAGGACACAATAATTACATTCTTCATGATCCCTTGAGTTATACACAAGGGGTCGTCGGAGGTAATTCCATGGTCTGCAACCCATTTAATGTTCAAAAATGAGCCTTCCGTGCCGAAAAAGAGCTCAGTTGAATGCTTATATCACGGCCTAGTACCAAGGGTTCTAAGGACGTACCCACAGCGATTATGGTATGTGCAATCACGAAGGAGACAAAATAGCTTAACATGAAGTGAGTGAAATGTACCCATGGATATCTGTTATAACGCACATGCCAAGATGAGACTGCATAAATAGAGTGTCTGCCGTGGAGACATTCCCAGCTCTGAATCTTATCACCTGGGAATGCACGACTTATGAGCAATAGTAATAACGAGTTTCAAGATCCAAACGTACTGCCAGAGAAATAAAGAAAAAAATAGCAGCAACGAGCGATACTCCAGACGCAGCAATGATGATCTTGCGCAAATCATGAATCACTGGCAACCCACAACCAGTTGTAGGGTACTAAGGAGACTCACGATGACTCCCGTCTCCTCGCCTGGGTAGTACTCCGCTCGCAGGAAAGCGGGACTGTTGATGGTGTAGAACATATATCGGACGCCCCCAGCCTGAGAAGTTGTGCAGACTTTGCAGAGTTCAGGAAAGCAAAAGAAATACGCGCTCAGCGCGACAGCAAGGACCAGCTCGCGAGGATTACAAAAGAGGAAAGGTGAGGTCCCCAGAAGACATCAAGGAGGAAGGAGAGAGAGGAGAGATAAACCACCCGGTCTTGGATCGGGTTGTCACCCCTCTCCCATCATGATTCTTTGATCGTGCATTGTGCATTGTTCCAAGCATGGCACTGCAATCGCCATCAGGAAAGCGATTCCAGAAAACCAAAGAAACCGATCCGTGATTCTTGCGGGCTATTGTTATGTCACATTGATGCCAAGTCGAGAGTGGAGTGGAGCCCAATGGTCATTCAAAAGGCTGCAATTCAAATTTTCTCCAGCCTTGATTCCAATTTAATATTCCTGAGCCAGCACAGCATGACTCGGTTTAGTCTTGAAATACTTACCCTCAACTCGCGAACAAGTCATCCCTAATCTTCAATCCAGATGGCTTCCCCACCGTTGTCCCTTATCGCCAGATTCGGGCATCATATGACAACGAAACTATAACTGTCTATCAAGCATATTCAGATGAAATAGGCAAAGCAGCAGTGGAACATCAAAAATTATCCGCGTCACCAGCTTTCCATTATCATCGTATGACTTGGATCAAACCAAGTTGGTGCTGGATGATGTTCGTCACGGTCTGGCTTGTTCATTCACAACGGCACAACCCCTTTCACTGACCTTCTCATCAACCTTGAACCCTTCTTGGCAGGTACCGTTCGGGGTACTCCACTAAAGATCCACGTCAAACATGCATCCTTGCTATAAAAATGCACCACAAAGATTTCCACCATCTCCTCTCCCTTGCATGTGTTGCGCATCACACAAAACTCTCTGATGCAGACCGACAAAAAACGGCCTGTCCGAGTCCAATGGGACCCTGAACGAACACCAACCCTTGGCGTTCTTCCCTATCGGAGCATACAAATTGGGATTGGGAGACAGGTTAGCGAGATGTGGGTAAATGAGATGATTGTCGGTATTGAGGATGTTACGAATCAGCAAAGGCACTGAAGGACGCCATTGAGAAGGAGCCAGATTTGGAATTGGATGAATTGATTAAGAAAGGGTTAATGCCCGTGGAAAGGCCTTATCAGGTGTCAGAGGACTTTGTAATATTCTAGAGACGGATTCAGCAGAAAACATATTTGATGAATTTATGCATGCATAACTTCGCCACGCAAGTCTGCAAATGGTGCGATTAGCCCACCAGACCTTGAAGATTGCACCTCAGATACTAACACTGCTAGCTGAATGGTCACAGTGGAGATAGAGCAAGTTCACTCGAAAACAATGAATACTTTATGCAGAAAGTCAACTGCAATGTGAGTATCGCAATGCAGATCAGCATCCTAGGGGAGGATGACTATCATCGCTTAGAATGAGGTCCTTATGGCTAGCCGATCACAGGGGGCTGGCTGGTACACCCAGAAAACCTCAGATGGACCAGAGTTGCTCGAAGAGACGTTTTTTTGGGGGGAACCATACTGATTATCTCTTGATTGAGGAAGATGCTAGCCCGAAATGCCCGATAGAACCCAAGGAAGCTGCCCACCCAGGAGATTAGAGGCCGCGAAATCCAATGATTGTATGATGGTCGATATCCGGCATCTGATGACCACATTGAACTTGGAAAGACCTAAGCCAATACGCTTCTTACCTTCATTATTACTTTAATTCCCCTTCCCCTGGAATGAAAACAAAGAAGAGTGCACTTAATTTGGCATTCAGTGATTGACTCTGTCGGAGATGCAAACCCTGCACGAACATTCCACAGAGATGGAAACGACCTCAATAGATGTTCTAGTTCGGTGAACTGGAGGCAGTAAGGACTTTGGGATGGAGAGCGACAAGTGTTGGTCTCGATGATGCCGATACATCAAGTAGCTCGTGGAATCTCAGATAGAGTAAAGTGATATGCACATGCACACGGCATCATGTAAAGCAGCCGTCACGGAAATCGCGACCAGAAGCTTATTGTAATGATGTATGGTGTTGTCGTGGTCGTGCTTATTATGTTCATCTGCTCCTGCTTGCGTGCTCCATACCTGAGGCTGAATCGTGCCTGCTAGAAGCCCTGCTATATGCTCAGCTACCATTGCTGTCAGAGTACTACCTGGAATATCATGTACCCACAATCGAGCATACGTGAATGCCTCCACAGTGGATCTTTCGCCTGATCTTTCCGCCATCGCAGTGGTCCGCCAGAACCAAGCCACAACACAACCTCAGGGCTGTGACCGGATTACGTCATTCCAATGAGGTGGCGCGTCCGGGCCCCGAGGATATGAATGTGATTGAATAGGATTCACACCATCCAGGAAAAGAAATTGCTTCATCACTCAGGTACCAACGAGGAGATGCCGAATGTAGGTCACGGCATCCCTCATGACAAGCGCTTAGCTGTCTTACCGGAATATGGTCATAGAGGGTGACTCTACCCGATATGAATATGGGTTGTTCTGCCAAACGCCAAAATCCTTTTCCTTGGCTCCCTGACCATTGACCTGCTGTTTCCCCCTCCAAAAGAGGTTTCCCTCCGTGATGGTTATCTCGACGGCTGACAAGAGCCAAGGGTGTCGATCCTAGTAGGTCGAAAGCCACTGGCGTCATGGCCGATTGCGCTGATTTGCTTCAAGCAAAAAACTCCTCACCCCCTCCACTTGCATATCAAAGCGCACCATGGTAAGTGAACGTATGAGAGCCAAAACGGGCTCTTTCTCCCTTGCTAATCGCCTCTTTCATTGCTGGGCGCCTACTAACGACTTCGGCGGCCATTGACTATGCACACGCGCGACAATCACTAGGTATCTACGTGTGCCCTTCACAATGGCAAACCCTCCCCTACCCACCGGAACGATGGACGACGCGAAACTCATCCCCCATGCTAATGCCTCCTGGCTCTCAGTACTTACCTTTGATTGGATGACACCCATCCTCAATCTAGGTTATGCCCGTCCTCTTGAAACAGTTGATCTTTGGCGCCTTCCTGATTCGTACAGTGCGGAAGTGTATGCTGATCGGATACTAGAGTCATTTCAGAGAAGACATGAAGCTGCAGAAGAATACAATGCTCGTCTGGCCAGCGGTGAAATTAAGCCTGGGTGGGGGAGGAAGATTTGGTGGAAACTCAGAGGAAATGCGGAGAAGCGGGAAAAGCATGGAGAGAAAAGTATGGAAAGAAGAAGGCTAGTTTAGCTTTGGCCATGAATGATGCCGTCAAAGGGTATTTCTGGTTGGCAGGTACGTCGAGTCCTCGATGTCTTGGCGCAAGTGATGTATACTCATCTTGTTGTATTCAGGACTTCTCAAAGTCATCGCTGACACGGCGCAGATAACAAGTCCCTTGGTGGTCAAGGTAAGCCTCAGTGCTTTCGGTGTATGATCCAGACCTTGCGCCGACCACAGTGCCCTTACCACAGGCAATCATCCGATTCGCAACAGAGTCATATGTATCACACAAAGTCAACCCTTCTGCTCACACCCCATCCGTCGGCCGGGGCATCGGCCTCTCCTTCACTCTCTTCATCATGCAAGTCATCTCCTCGCTTGGCTTGAACCACTCCTTCCATCGCTCTTTAGCAACAGGTCTGCTCCTTCGCGCAGGTCTCATCACTGCTATATACAGGCGTTCCCTTCGGTTCACTACTCGTGCCAGATCCAATCTTCCAAGTGGAAAGATTGTCAATCACATATCCACGGACGTTTCCCGAATCGATTTTTGCTGTGGGTTTTTCCATATGAGTTGGACGGCTCCCATCCAGTTGGCAATATGCCTTGCGCTGTTGTTGGCTAATTTGGGAGTGAGCAGCCTTGCTGGTTTTGGATTCTTCATATTGGCGACGCCGATCCAGACGTTGGTGATGAAGAAGCTGTTAGTCCTTCGGAAGCCAGTATGAGGTGGACGGATAAGAGAGCGAAATTGTTGCAGGAGTTGTTAAGTACGATGAGAGTCATCAAGTTCTTTGCCTGGGAAGTGAGTTCAATTGTCGGAAAAAATTGCGTGCAGAATGACCTCCCGTCATTCATTACTATGACTACAGATCCCTTTCCTGGAACGAATCAACGAGTATCGGACGAACGAACTTCGTTATATCCGTAATCTGTTGGTTTTCCGAGCATCGACGTATGCCATGGCCTTCTCTCTCCCTGTCCTCAGCGCTGTCTTTTCATTCGTAGCTTACTCCCTTTCAGGCCACAAGCTTCAACCAGATATCGTCTTCACATCTCTTTCGCTCTTTCAACTACTTCGCATACCACTCATGGTTTTACGTGCGTTCCCTCCCCCCTTTCTCTTTCTCCATGCATATGAGAGTTCTTACATTTCATTTTCCTTAGCGATGTCTCTCGGCGGCATCGCAGATGCTTCCAACGCCATTAGTCGTTTGCATGACGTCTTCACTGCTGAGCTCCTCACGGAGACGAATCGCATTGATCCCGATTTGCTCGTTGCTGTCCGTGTGTCGGGCGCCAGCTTTACGTGGGATGGCGCCCCGCCTTCAGACGATGATAAGGTCGGTAAGAAGAAGAAGGCGGGACCCCCTGGAGACAATCGGCCTGGTCATGGTAAGGAACCGGAGGCGAAAGACGGAGAGGAGGAGGGGAAAGCATCGGAAGAAGCGGTGTTCAAGCTTCAGAAAGTCGATTTTGAAGTTCCTCGGGGTCAACTCTGTGCGATAGTTGGTCCTGTGGGTAGTGGGAAGAGTTCGCTCTTACAAGGTTTGTTGGGGGAGATGAGGTGCACGGAAGGGGTCGTAACTTTTGGAGGCACTACCTCGTATGCTCCACAGACTGCCTGGATCCAGAGCGCGTCCATCCGGGATAATATCCTGTTCGGACGGGAGTTCGATGAGGAGAGATATTGGAAAGTCGTTCATGATGCGGGATTGATGGCGGATTTAGATATGCTTCCCCAGGGGGATCTTACCGAAGTTGGAGAAAAGGGTATTTCGCTGTGAGTTGGGGGTTATGTTGGTTGGTACATGTGCAAAAGCGTACTGATTATTATTTTGGATTTACATTACAGGTCTGGTGGCCAGAAGCAACGAGTCAATATTGCTCGAACACTGTACTGCTCATCCGATATCGTATGTTTAGATGATCCTTTCAGTGCACTGGACGCACACGTTGGGAAGCACGTTTTCGAGAATGCTGTGCTCGGATCCTTGGCTAAGAAAACTAGATTGCTGGTTACACATGCCCTCCACTTCCGTATGTACCTCTTGTCGACCCCCCTCACGGTTTATGCTTTACTAATCATGTGTGTGTGTGTGGTCGATCCACCTGCCTGTGGGGTTGGGCTCTACTTTCATAGTGCCACGCTGCGACTACATCATCACCATGCTTGATGGCCGTATTGCTGAACGGGGGACGTATGAAGAACTCATGGCCAAGAACGGAGCCTTTGCCAAGTTCGTTGCGGAGTTTGGAGGGAAAGAAGGGGAGTCCAAGGAAGATAGTGGCGAAATTACGGTTGTTGAAGGAGATGAGGATGAGACTGCTGCTCTGGCGGAGAAGAAGCGTAAGGAAATGAGTGCAGGACCATCTTTGATGCAGCCTGAGGAAAGGGCTGTCGGCGCTGTTGACGGGAGGGTTTACGCAGGTTATCTGAGGTACGTTGCATCTTTCACGCCTCTCTTCTAAAAAAGATCTCTAATTGTAGTTCATCTATTAGAGCCGCACATGGTTTCATCTTCGTTCCGCTTCTTTTACTTGTTTTGTTGTTCGTGCAAGGTTCTCAGGTGATGAGCACTTATTGGTGGGTCTCTCTTCTTTTCTTTTTACGTCCGGGTTCATGGTAAAATTGTTGACATGATGGTTTATCTGAAAGGCTTGTGTATTGGCAAGAAAGGCACGGTTTCACCATTCCCTGTCCCCCCCGAGTTTCGTTTTGTTGAATTAGCATCCATCCCAGGAAGTGGCCGTATCCTCAAGGATTTTATATGGGTGTCTATGCCGGTATTTTCCACACCTATCATCGATGTTGTCTATGTGTCGACTTATATATCATGACATAGGTCTTGGATTTATGCAGGCTGCCACATTATTCTCCCTGGGAGTCGTCTTCGCTTTGATGACTTTCTATTCCAGCGTCCGGTTACACCGGGTGAATTCTTAATTTCTGAATCTCTGGCTTACTCTCGTACTGATTAGCCACGCCAGGGAGCAATTGAAAGAATCATGCAGGCTCCGATGTCGTTCTTTGAGTCAGTCAATGTAAACGCCACACATGTCTGAATATGTTCACTGATACCTTTTATCTTTATGTAGTACGACCGTAAGTTATTTGCCAAACCCAACGCTTCTTTCTCTTGTTCACACAGGTCTTTTTAGCCGCTTGGACGCATCATGAATCGCTTTTCCAAAGATATTGACACGCTCGATAGTACGTGAAGAATGAAGCGGTGTCGGGTGGGTGGGTGACACTGACATTCTGTTACAGACCAGCTTAGCGAGGCCCTACGATTTTGTTTTATCACTCTGACACAGATTATAGGAGCCGTTATTCTTCTAGCTATTCTTTTGCCTTGGTTAGTTATCTACAATTTCCATCGCATCAATTTTATAATTGATGAGCTACGGCTCAACAGGTTTCTTCTCCCCGTGTTCTTCATCACTGCCGTCTACTGGTTCACAGGTTTATTTTACCGAAGTAGTGCGAGAGAGTTAAAGGTACGAAAATTGTTGTTGACCATGCAGAATCCGTCAGTTTTAATGGCACGGATTTGTAGCGTCTTGAGGCCATCCTCCGATCAACGCTCTACTCGCACTTCTCTGAAAGCTTGTTCGGACTGGCCACGATCCGTGCCTTTGGAGAAAGTGAACGATTCCTGAGCGAGAACACGGACCGAATGGACAAGGAGAACCGGTATGCCCGCTGTCAAATATTCCTATACCCAAACTCCTCTCTGAATGGTCGCGTCTCTTTAAGGGCATACTGGCTGACGATCACCAACCAGCGATGGTTGTCGATTCGCCTGGATTTCCTTGGGGCACTCCTCACCCTCAGTGTCGCACTTCTGACAGTAGGGTCCCGTTCCTCCATATCACCATCACAGACTGGTGTCTCCCTTTCCTATATCCTTCTGGTTCAGCAGAGTTTTTCGTGGCTCGTTCGTCAGACGGCAGAAGTTGAAAATAACATGAAGTAAGTGTTAATTTACTACGCCTTCCAACTTGAAACTGACGTCGTCTTCATCAGCTCTGTAGAGCGTGTATTGCACTATGCTAATGAGCTCGAGCAGGAAGCGCCCCATTTTATTGAAGCAACGAAGCCTTTGCCGGAATGGCCCTCTCGCGGAGAAATAAAGTTCAAGGACGTTGTGATGTACGTACTGTGGTTGTTCCGTGCCTGTGTACCGCTAACTGTGGAGTTCGGTTGTGAATGTATAGGAGCTACCGTCCTGGACTGCCGCCCGTCCTGAAGGGACTATCGCTCAACGTCAAGGAGGGCGAACATGTCGGAATCGTCGGAAGGACAGGCGCTGGGAAATCAACCATCATGGCGACGTTGTACCGTCTCGTTGAGCTCACCTCTGGTACGATCACCATTGACGACGTAGACATCTCTACGCTTGGTTTATCAGAACTGAGAAGCAAGATTGCCAGTGAGTTTATTGTTTACTTCTCGCGTTGAAGTGGTTCGCCATTTGCTGAGGATTTACCCTTCCCCAGTCATTCCGCAAGACCCGACTTTGTTCTCTGGAACTCTTCGATCCAACCTTGATCCCTTTGGATTATATGAGGATGCCAGATTATGGGATGCTCTGAAACGTGCACAATTGGTCGCTACCAATGAGATCAAGTCAGATAAGGAGAAGCCGAGTGTTGAAGATGATGACGCTGAACCTGGCGTGTCCACTTCTCAAGAGAAGGGCGTTATGCAACGTTTCACTCTAGACACTCCCATTGATGACGGAGGAACGAACATATCCGTCGGACAACGGTCACTCGTGAGCTTGGCTCGTGCTTTAGTTAAGGATAGCAAGATTGTCCTCTTGGACGAAGCGACAGGTGAGGATAACCGATTTGTTCTTTATGTAAGCGTCCTTGTATCTCAACTGACCCTCTTTTTTTTTTTTCTTCTTCTCTCAGCCTCCGTTGATTATGAGACGGACACGAAGATTCAAGATACAATCGCGAGCGAATTCTCAGATCGCACGCTGCTCTGCATCGCTCATCGCATCAAGTTCGTTTATCGTCTTTCTTTCTCCTCCCACCCACTCTCTCCTGTCGTTCAACTTCCTGTTTAACGCGACTCATTCCCCCCTTAGAACTATTATCGGATATGATCGAATTTGCGTAATGGACGCCGGGCAGATCGCCGAGCTCGATACCCCACTGAACCTTTTCAATCAGCCCAACTCTATCTTTCGCTCGATGTGTGACCGATCGGGTATTATCATCGATGATGTCCGGATTGCAAGGAAGGAGTGGGCAATGTTGCGTAGACTCGATTGTTTTATGACTGAAGAATGACAGGCATGGTCGTCGGAGGAAGTTGTGATCGTTTTTTGATCATAGCCTAATGAGTTTGACGGACTGGCACAAAACTGCATATCCTCCTATTCTTCACGTTGGGGGGTCATTTCCTTGAGAATGTGACTCCTTTCTTCGCTAAGGATTTCAGGTAGAGCTGATGTGTTGAATGACATAGAGTATACATTCAAACAATTTCACTTATATAAAGAAAGCAGCCTAGCTAACCAGCTATGTGTGAGTGGCCTATAGAGGGGGCGTCTGTCATGTCGTGTAGGGAATGGATGCTTGAAGAAAGTCTTAATGCACAATTACATTGGTGGGATCGATCCTTAGGCGGGTCACCAGCCTCTATTGGAATAGATGGGATCCTCAGACATGATGTGAGTGCGTGTTGGCCATGGCTAAATTAATAGGTTCACTCCTGCATTGTGTGGCCTCCATATTCTGAGGCTGAACCGCACCTGCGATAGGTATCGGAGCCCCAACTAACATGACTATCATCTGCCCGGAACATCATGTACCCCTAATTGCGCATACGTGAATGCCTCCACAGTCGTCTCGCTCGCCATCGTAGTGGTTGGAAAATACCAAACCGCAGCATACTTCAGCTGGCTGCGAGCAGAAGTGGACTTGATGTGATGGGAGCCATATCCTAATCTCATGCAACGCATGGCGCGTGCGGGCCCGAGGATATGAATGAATGAATGAATTGGATTCATTCATCCAGAAAAGGAAGGTACCGTCTCAAACGAGACACCGATGACAGCGTTGGTGTTCCACCGGAATATGGTGCTAGAGGGAGAAGACCAATGGCTCCACACGATATGAATATTGGTGCTGTCTCTCCCTTCCCTTCGGAAGAGGCTTTCCTCCATGAGCATGGCCATGCCGACGGCTGACAAGAACGGGGCACTCGAGGGAGTCGATCCTGGTGAGTCGGAAGCCACTGGCTTCATAGCCGATTGCACTGACATGCTTCAAGCAAAAAACCCCTCACTTACATATCAAAGCGCACCATGGTGAGTGAGCGTATGAGAGCCAAAACGGGCTCTTTCTCCCTTGCTCATATCGATGTCAGTGCTCTTGCTAACCGCCTCTTCCATTGTGGGTGCCCGCTAATGGCCTCCTCGGCCATTGGCTGTGCACACGCGCGACAATCACTAGGCATCTGCGTGTGCCCTTCACAATGGCAAACCCTCCCCTACCCACCGGAACGATGGACGATGCGAAACTCATCCCCCAGGCTAATGCATCCTGGTTCTCAGCGCTTACCTTCGATTGGATAACACCCATCCTCAATCTAGGTTATTCCCGTCCTCTTGAAACAGTTGATCTCTGGCGCCTGCCCGATTCGTACGGTGCGGAAGTTTATGCTGATCGGATACTAGAGTCATTTCAGAGAAGACATGAAGCTGCAGAGAATACAATGCCCATCTGGCCAGCGGTGAAATTAAGCCTGGGTGGGGGAGGAAGGTTTGGTGGAAACTCAGGGGAAATGCGGAGAAGAGGGAAAGGGCATGGAGAGAAAAGTATGGAAAGAAGAAGGCTAGTTTAGCTTTGGCTATGAATGATGCCGTCAAGGGGTATTTCTGGTTTGCAGGCGCGTCGAGTCCTCGATGTCTTGGCGCAAGTGATACTCATCTTGCTGTATTCAGGACTTCTCAAAGTCATCGCCGACACGGCGCAGATAACAAGTCCCTTGGTGGTTAAGGTGAGCCTCGGTGCTTTCGACGTGTGACCCAGACCTTGCGCCGACCACACTGTCCTTGCCACAGGCAATCATCCGATTCGCAACAGAGTCATATGTATCACACAAAGTCAACCCTTCTGCACACACCCCACCTGTCGGCCGAGGCATCGGCCTCTCCTTCACTCTCTTCATCATGCAAGTCATCTCCTCGCTTTGCTTGAACCACTCCTTCCATCGCTCTTTTGCAACAGGCCTGCTCCTTCGCGCAGGTCTCATCACTGCCATTTACAGGCGTTCCCTTCGGTTCACTACTCGTGCCAGATCCAATCTTCCAAGTGGAAAGATTGTCAATCACATATCCACGGACGTTTCCCGAATCGATTTTTGCTGTGGGTTTTTCCATATGAGTTGGACGGCTCCCATCCAGTTGGCAATATGCCTTGCGCTGTTGTTGGCTAATTTGGGAGTGAGCAGCCTTGCTGGTTTTGGATTCTTCATATTGGCGACGCCGATCCAGACGCTGGTGATGAAGAAGCTGTTAGTCCTTCGGAAAGCCAGTATGAGGTGGACGGATAAGAGAGCGAAATTGTTGCAGGAGTTGTTAAGTACGATGAGAGTCATCAAGTTCTTTGCCTGGGAGGTGAGTGGAATTGTCGAAAAATTGTGTGCAGAATAGCTTCCTGTCATTCATTACTATGACTGCAGATCCCTTTCCTGGAACGAATCAACGAGTATCGGACGAATGAACTCCGTTATATCCGTAATCTTTTGATTTTCCGAGCATCGACATATGCCATAGCCTTCTCTCTCCCTGTCCTCAGCGCTGTCTTTTCGTTCGTAGCTTACTCCCTTTCAGGCCACAGGCTTCAACCAGATATCGTCTTCACGTCTCTTTCGCTCTTTCAGTTACTTCGCTTACCACTCATGGTTTTACGTGCGTTCCCTCCCCTTTTCTCCATACATATTAAAGTTTTTATATTCAATTTCTCTTAGCGATGTCTCTCGGCGGCATCGCAGATGCTTCCAACGCCATTAGTCGTTTGCATGACGTCTTTACTGCCGAGCTCCTCACGGAGACGAATCGCATTGATCCCGATTTGCTCGTTGCTGTCCGTGTGTCGGGCGCCAGCTTTACGTGGGATGGTGCCCCGCCTTCAAGCGATGGTAAGGCCGGTAAGAAGAAGGCGGGACTTCCCAGTGGGGACAACCGGGCTTGTCACGGTAAGGAATCGGAGGCGAAAGACGGAGAGAAGAAGAGGAAAGCATTGGAAGAAGCGGTGTTCAAGCTTCGGAGTGTCGATTTTGAGATTCCCCGTGGTCAACTCTGTGCGATAGTTGGTCCTGTGGGTAGTGGGAAGAGTTCGCTTTTACAGGGTTTGTTGGGGGAGATGAGGTGCACGGAAGGGGTCGTAACTTTTGGAGGCACTACCTCATATGCTCCACAAACTGCCTGGATCCAGAGTGCGTCCATCCGGAATAATATTCTGTTTGGACGGGAGTTCGATGAGGAGAGGTATTGGAAAGTTGTTCATGATGCCGGATTGATGGCGGATTTAGATATACTTCCCCAGGGAGATCTTATGGAAGTTGGAGAAAAGGGTATTTCGCTGTGAGTTGGGGTATGTTGGTTGTACATGTGCAAAGCTTACTGATTATTATTTTGGATTTACAGGTCTGTTGGCCAGAAGCAACGAGTCAATATTGCTCGAACACTGTACTGCTCATCCGATATCGTGTGCCTAGATGATCCTTTCAGTGCACTGGATGTACACGTTGGGAAGCACGTTTTCGAGAATGCTGTGCTCGGATCCTTGGCTAAGAAAACCAGATTGCTGGTTACACATGCCCTCCACTTCCGTATGTACCTCATGTCGACCCCTCACGGTGTATGCTTTACTGATCATGTGTGGTTGATCCACCCGCCTGGGCTCTACTTTCATAGTGCCACGCTGCGACTATATCATCACCATGCTTGATGGCCGTATTGCTGAACGGGGGACATATGAAGAACTTATGGCCAAGAATGGAACTTTTGCCAAGTTCGTTGCGGAGTTTGGAGGGAAAGAAGGAGAGTCCAAGGAAGATAGGGGCGAAATTACGGTTGATGAAGGCGATGAGACTGCTGCTCTGGCGAAGAAGCGTAAGGAAATCAATGCAGGACCATCTTTGATGCAGCCTGAAGAAAGGGCTGTCGGTGCTGTTGGCAGGAGGGTTTACGCAGGTTATCTGCGGTACGTTGCATCTTTTGCATCTCTGAAGGATCTCTAATTGTAGTTCATCTATTAGAGCTGCACATGGTGTTATCTTCGTTCCGCTTCTTTTTCTTGTTTTGTTGTTCGTGCAAGGTTCTCAGGTGATGAGCACTTATTGGTGGGTCTCTTCTTTACGTCGGGTCATGGAAAATTGCATGTTGAAATAATAGTTATCCGACAGGCTTGTGTATTGGCAAGAAAGGCACAGTTGCACCATTCCCTAACCCGAGTTTCGTTTGTTGAAAAAGCATCTCAGGAAGTGGCCGTATCCTCAAGGATTTTATATGGGTGTCTATGCAGGTATGTTGCACCTATTATCGATATGTCCATGTGTCGACCTATATCATGACATAGGTCTTGGATTTATGCAGGCTGCCACATTATTCTCCCTGGGAGTCGTCTTCGCTCTGATGACTTTCTATTCCAGCGTCCGATTACACCAGGTAAATTCATAGTTTCTTGAATCTCTGGCTTACTCGTACTGACTAGCACGCCAGGGAGCAATTGAAAGAATCATGCAGGCTCCGATGTCATTCTTTGAGTCAGTCAATGTAAACGCCACACATTTCTGCATATTCACTGATGCCTTTTATCTTTATGTAGTACGACCGTAAGTCATTGCCAATCCAACGCTTGTTGCTGTTGTTCACAGGTCTTTTAGCCGCTTGGACGCATCATGAATCGCCTTTCCAAAGATATTGACACACTCGATAGTACGTGGAGAGTGGAGCGTCGCATGGATAAGTGACACTGACATTCTGTTACAGACCAGCTCAGCGGGGCCTTACGATTTTTTTTTATCACTCTGACACAGATCATAGGAGCTGTTGTTCTACTAGCTATTCTTTTGCCTTGGTTAGTTATCTACAATTTCCATCGCATCAATCCACAATTGATGAGCTTCGGCTCAACAGGTTTCTTCTCCCCGTGTTCTTCATCACTACCGTCTACTGGTTCACGGGTTTATTTTACCGAAGTAGTGCGAGAGAGTTAAAGGCACGAAAATTGTTGGACCATGCAGAATCTGTCAGTTTAACGGGCACGGATTTGTAGCGTCTTGAGGCAATCCTCCGATCAGCGCTCTATTCCCACTTTTCTGAAAGCTTGTTCGGACTGGCCACGATCCGTGCTTTTGGAGAAAGCGAACGATTCCTGAGTGAGAACACGGACCGAATGGACAAGGAGAACCGGTATGCTCACTATCAAATATTCCTTTACCGAACTCCTCTCTGAACAGTCGCATCTCTTTAAGGGCACACTGGTTGACAATCACCAACCAGCGATGGTTGTCGATCCGCCTGGATTTCCTTGGGGCACTCCTGACCCTCAATGTCGCACTTCTGACAGTAGGGTCCCGTCTCTCCTTATCACCATCACAGACTGGTGTCTCCCTTTCCTATATCCTTCTGGTTCAGCAGAGTTTTTCGTGGCTCGTTCGTCAGATGACAGAAGTTGAAAACAACTTGAAGTTAGTGGTTCTCATTTCTTGCACGTATTAATTTACCTCTTCCAACTTAAAATTGACCTCATCTTCATCAGCTCTGTAGAGCGTGTATTGCACTATGCTAATGAGCTCGAGCAGGAAGCGCCCCATTTTATTGCGCAACGAAGCCTTTGCCGGAATGGCCCTCTCGCGGAGAAATAGAGTTCAAGGACGTTGTGATGTACGTACTGTGATTGTTCCGTGCTTGTGTGCCGCCAACTGTGGAGTTTGGTTGTGAATGTATAGGAGCTACCGTCCTGGATTGCCGCCCGTCCTGAAGGGACTGTCGCTCAACGTCAAGTCAGGCGAACATGTCGGAATTGTCGGAAGGACAGGCGCTGGGAAATCCACCATCATGGCGACGTTGTACCGTCTCGTTGAGCTCACCTCTGGTACGATCACCATCGACGACGTAGACATCTCTACGCTTGGTTTATCAGAACTGAGAAGCAAGATTGCCAGTGAGTTTATTTTATTGTTTACTTCTCGCGTTGAAGTGGTTCGCCATTTGCTGAGGATTTTCCCTTCCCCAGTCATTCCGCAAGACCCGAATTTGTTCTCTGGAACTCTTCGATCCAATCTTGATCCCTTTGGATTATATGAGGATGCCAGATTATGGGATGCTCTGAAACGTGCACAATTGGTCGCCACCAATGAGATCAAGTCAGATAAGGAGAAGCCGAGTGTTGAAGATGATGACGCTGAACCTGGCGTGTCCACTTGCCAAGAGAAGGGCGTTATGCAACGTTTCACTCTAGACACTCCCATTGATGACGAGGGAACGAACATATCCGTCGGACAACGGTCACTGGTGAGCTTGGCTCGTGCTTTAGTCAAGGACAGCAAGATTGTCCTCTTGGACGAAGCGACAGGTGAGGATAACCAATTTGTTCTTTATGTAAGCGTCCTTGTATCTCAACTGATCCTCTTTTTTTTTTTTCTTCTCTCAGCCTCCGTTGATTATGAGACGGACACGAAGATTCAAGATACAATCGCGAGCGAATTCTCAGATCGCACGCTGCTCTGCATCGCTCATCGCATCAAGTTCGTTTATCGTCTTTCTTTCTCCCTCCCACCACTCTCTCCTGTCGTTCAACTTCCTGTTTAACGCGACTCATTTCCCCCCTAGAACTATTATCGGATATGATCGAATTTGTGTAATGGACGCCGGGCAGATCGCCGAGCTCGATACCCCACTGAACCTTTTCAATCAGCCCAACTCTATCTTTCGTTCGATGTGTGACCGATCGGGTATTATCATCGATGATGTCCGGATTGCAAGGAAGGAGTGGGGCAATGTTGCATAGACTCGATTGTTTATGACCGAGATGACAGGTATGGCCGTCGGAGGAAGTTGAAAGTTGTGACCATGACTTGATGAGTTTGACGGACTGCTGCGAAACTGCACATCCTCCTATTCTTCAATTCCTTGGTATGCTCATTGGGGGAACATTTCCTTGAGAATGTGACCCCTTTCTTCGCTAAGAATTTCAGATAGAACTAACATGTGTAATGACATAGAGTATACGTTCAAACACATTTGGAATTTCGCTTATGTATATAAAGAAAGTTGGGTATACTACATCATGAGAAGCGACGGTGGGGTAGTAATGATACCGTGCCAGCTGATGATCAAGGGAATTAAGACAGAGAAGTGTATTCGTGGCACGACCGACGTCACGGTCTACAGCTGATCGGGAGCAATATGTAGTAAACGTCGGATTCGAGTAGCCATTGGAACTTTGGCCTCCTTTTGACGACCCTAGAAGTAGAGCGTTGGATAAAACATCTTCAGATAGGAACGAATAGCAATGCACCATGGAGTCAAGTCCTGCTTTTGCGTGTTCGCGTTCTTGCGATGCCGAGGCCGGATCAGCGAGAGTGGCCTATTTAGAACGAACGCGTTGGTACGTAGACAGGGGTGTTGTCCAATGGATGGACGGAATATAACTCGCCTTGTAGGATTCCGCTGTCCGATCGGGTGCCACTTTCTGTTTGACTTTCTCCACTGGTCGAGTAGTAGATTGATCGGTCTTGTGATTCGAACCAAAAGCCATTGTTATAGTCAATTGCCACTGGCGTTTGGTTCAAAAAGAGGCAAGGAAATGTAAAGCGTTGGCGTATCGTGGGTCAACTCTGAGATGATCAGCCCTTCTTCACAGTGAGGGCATCTTTTATAGCTTTGTGCTAATCAAGTGGAAGAGCCACTGAAGTCATAATAATAATTGGTAAACAGTGTGATCACCATCATCGCAGTGGAGCATTGGATAAGCAATAGGTGTGGAGAGTGGCAAGTCGAGCGTTGGATATAGCCGAAAAAGTGAGCAGATTGCATGGGAACATGCACCAACAATCAGCGAAAGAAGGACATTGGATTAAGACCTCGGATCCGTCAGCGGAAGCATATCTCTGGATTGGGATTGACGCGGGGGACATCATCACTGTATGCGATACGGGGCCGATCCAAATACAACACAACAATCATGTGATGAGCTCATTGAGCTGTGGATTCCATTTCCTGTCGTTGCCCCTCCTCGCCAGACACCCCTAGATCCAGAAGTGGAAGAAATGAAAGGGGTCAATCTCCCCACTTGACTTACATGGCTTTCGTATGTTTTCTGCCTGCGGTCCTATTAAATTGCGCCAGTGGAGTCATTGGCAGCAGAGTCACTGGGATGCTTCCTTCTTAACTTCCAGAAATTCTAGTTCTTCGCCTCCGAAACGCCTTTATCACACTGAACCTCCCTTCTGCCTTGTCTGTGCTCGCACCTAGACCCGCCTTCATCTAGGGAAAAATCAGTGATCGTCCGATGCCGCGTCGTCGTCGTCATCATCATCATCATGCCCCACGACAACACGTAGTCGAAGTTCCACATTCCGGCCTCGTCTACGTTCCTTCACACCGTCGTTCTGGTACTGTCCGAAGCAGCCGCTCACATTCAGTTGCGCCGGCTAGATATATAAACTATTCGCCTACGTATCACGCTAGCACGCCGTACTATGATGATGGGGGAAGTCACTACTACGTATGTGGATCTCATCACGCCATCTCGATACCCCTATGAAGCTAATGCCATGCGAACATAGTATAAGCAGAGGTCTAGCATTGGCAGTTTCTTTCGTGCACTTTTTTGCTGCGGTGGGAGTCGCCACCGTTATCACTACTCGGATCCGTATCGAAGCAGGACTAGACGTCGTTATGGGAGGCCAGGGGATCCCGGAGTAACCTACACTGTGTAGATGACGTCATGTATTGCTTGGACAATGCAGAATGGTGAGCTACAGCCTTGGGATCTCATTCTGGTCGCACTCACATAAATGCGGTACAGAATAGCCTGTTTGGACGCTCCTTGCTGCTGATACATACGCGCACGCGCAATTGACTTCTGTTTCGAGGGTCAACGACGTGCCGTCAAACGTACGACTACTCTGAGAGTGATAATGTGGCAGATGATACCTATGTACAGTAGTTCTCCAAGGACATTACTTTCGGACAGACTCAGATCGCTGCCAACTGACGGAAATAGTCTGTAGGCAGGAGGAGTGAGATATCGAAGGTTCCTATGCAGGTGCCAGTGTGACTTCAACCCACAAAAGCACATACGTACGTGTAAGCACCTTTCTGAGTTGCTGCGATGGATAAAATATTGAGGAGGGCTACTACCTGCATAAGCGCATCCACGGCCACAGGACTTGGAAAGCACCGCATCCCGTCTGATCTGCGAAGTCAAGCCGAGTGCCGCTTAGTTAGTACCGTGGTAGGGGACTACATGGGAATCCTGAGTGCTGTGGTTCTATTTCTCATTTTTATTTTATTTTCAACATCATTGTACCACCCCGCTGCTAAACTCCAACTGATAGGAATAGTCTGTAGGCAGGAGTAAGGGAAGATCCCTATGCGAAAGGTCCTTACATGTATGTGCCTTTGTGGGTTGAGGTCACCTTGTGTGCGACGGACGGGTACGGGTGTTTGGTCACACTGTGGAGTTGTTCGGTTTACTGCGATGGATAAGGTATTGGGCTGCTATCTAGAGAGATACTACTTGTATAGTGATGCCCTGAGATCCAAATTATCTACGGCCATAGGACTCGGGAAGCACCGCATCCCGTCCGATCTGCGAAGTTAAGCCGAGTGCCGCTTAGTTAGTACCATGGTAGGGGACTACATGGGAATCCTAAGTGCCGTAGTTTTTTTTCCCTAGTCTTATTTTTCTCTTTTGATGTTCACTATTCAGATCTCCCTCGAACACAAACAGTAGAACAATTTACGCTCCCGCGACCACGAATCTCTAGCGCCTGGCTCAGTGGTGTGCACGTGATGGCATTTCAGATTAATTGATTTGTTTGTACCGTCGTTCCAATATCCGTGTATCAGCATACCATCCGATCAGGGTTCTTCAGAGTCCGGAAGCGCGATGGTCAGTGTTTGAGTGTTTTGCCTTCCCTCCAGAACTCTCGTGTGGGTACTAAAAAATCCCCGAAGTCGCGCCATAGATTTGTTCGCAACTTGGACATTTCGGAGGAGCTGCTGGCCGATCCTGTCTCGTCCGATGAATATGATGACGCACCCGAAAGCTATCCTGGGATTACGCCTGAACAGAAAGCGCAGATGGATTCGGGTCTAGTTCATGTGCGCTCGCTCCTGGGTCCCGAAATTCTGGTCTCAGATCGGCACATACGGGAAGCGCTTTGGGATAGTTATTTCGATGTTGATGGGACCGTCGACTGGTTTCTAACGAAACATGAGGAAGATAGGGTGGAAGCGGAACGTCAAGAGAAGGAGAAGCAGAAAGGTGAATATTTTTCTTTTCTTCCTTGTTTCAACCCCTTTCCCTCTTCTGCCTTTTTCGATCGCTTCTGAACAAATCGGATATCGCGCCGTCGTCGATGAACAGCACTGGTACGGGAAGCTCCCCCATTATCCGCCCTTCAACGTTTGTCACTTGCTAGCCGGGATAATCGTGCGAACAAAGATAAGGTCTCCCTGGCGTCCCTCGCTCGGAAGACGCAGTCTTCTGCAGTGTCCTCTCCTCTGTCGAACCCTTTGCCTACACCTAAAACGTCCCTTCAATCCCTTGCTGCAATATCCAAGCGACCTATTCCTAGTCCTTCAGCCAGTCGGTCGCCGACGTCATCATTGCCCTCTCTCTTGGCGCAGAAGTCTGCCGTCTCTTCTCTTGCTTCCCAGGCGCCTGTATTCAGCACTTCTTCCGTCCCCGCAGCCCGTCAATCAAAGCTCGCTCAGAAAGTTTTAAAGTCTCAGGCAGCGAGCAAAAGTATCATCTACCAACCCCCCCTGTCTCATACTTCGCCGAGTGTGAATGTTGTTGCGGAGGAAGGAGTTGAGATTGAGTCCTCACCGGCGGTGAAGCACGAGTTAAATGTGTTTTCGATCACATCGTCTTCTGGAGATGGGGCTGAGCTACAGGCCTTTAATGGTTGCGCTGCTGTCTCGATATCAGAGTTTGCGTCGATCTTGGTGCAATCGCCGCTTTGGTCCCACCTTGCTACTCCTCCCCACAAGTTAAATCCTTCAAATTCCAGCGATTCCTCCCAGTTGCGCGGCACATTCATGTTCAATTCTCCCAGTCCTGACGATATCGTAATGTCGAAGCGAGCTGGGACGAAATTGGCCTGGAATAAATGAATTATTACTTCAGCGAGTCTTCTATGAGATTTCCGACATATTTATTCCTGTAAGTTTGCTTTCTCGAGTTGTATTTTACCCCCGCCACAATGAAGAATTGCTTTTTATGCAGTCATCCCAACACCATCTTTTCAACGCTGTTTCACATCCACAATATGGACCACTTGGCTGATTTATTTCATTAGCAAGAGCAAAAGCTGCGAAAGCTGCGAAGAAGTCTACAGCTCCTTCATCTTCTCCATTTAAGAAGCCCTCTCCCCAATCCCGCATACTCAGCGGACAGAGTACGACTATTCGTTTTGGTTCAATGCCACCATCTTCTACATCGAGTCCTCGTCCATCACGACCTCCAAGCGAAGGACCGTCTAGCCCTCGCCCATCCTCGCCCAACACCTCGGGAATCTCCCAAGATGTATCGGAGTTATCGTTAACGTTCCCTTCATCCCCTAATGTCAACGAGGAGCCCGTTGCTCTTACGTACACCCAGATGAAGCTCATTGAAGAAGCACGGCAAGCAATGAGATCCGCTGGAAAAGTATCTGCCAGTATGATTGTGATCGGTATGGGCACTTTTTTCGCTGCTACGTGGTGGATTGATATCCGGACTCGTTCTCTTCAGGTCATGTCGATGCTGGGAAATCAACGCTTATGGGCCGGATGCTGTACGAACTAGGACGACTCGAGGAGAAGCAACGCATCGCGAACGAAAGAGCAAGTGATAAGATGGGCAAATCAAGTTTTTCTTGGGCATGGGGTCTTGATGCCCTGGGGGAAGAACGAGAGCGGTTAGTTGTTCAATGGTAGTTGTTAAGATTGTTGACCTAGTATTTCCTTTCCAATTGATAGAGGTGTCACGATGGATATAACGCAAACGACGCTTCCGTTCCCAAAGTCAACTTGACTATCCTTGATGCTCCTGGTCACCGGGATTTCGTTCCGAACCTGATTTCAGGCGCTTCGCAAGCGGATACTGCTCTCTTAGTTGTCGGTGCTGCCATCGGTGAATTTGAGGCTGGTTTCCAGGGGGGCGGGCAAACTAGAGAACATGTGCTCCTTGTTCGGAGTCTTGGCGTTTCGTCCCTCATCGTTGCCATCAATAAGCTTGATCTGGTGAGGATCGCTATAGACTAGGTGGAAAGTATAGTTGCTGAGGAACCCATATCTTCTGTAGGTTGACTGGTCGCAAAGTCGCTTCGAGGAAATATGCAATGCCCTTCGGCCCTTCCTAACTCAGTCTGGGTTCCAGTTACCAAAGGTCGCATTCGTCCCGTGTGCTGCTATGAAAGGAGTCAACTTGACCGAAAACAACAACGGAAGCCTCAAAGCATGGCACGAAGGTCAAACGTTAGCAGAAATTCTAGGTATGATCCTTTAGATTATTCTGCGGCCGGAGATCCTGCTTCTAAGGCTGATGTCCACGATGAAGATCGAATTACCCCACCGTCTCGGGATATTGAAGGGCCGATACGCTTCCCAGTCTCGAATGTCTTCCGAGGTGGTATAGGCAGCATTTCTGCGGGTTTGGGTGTGTCTGGACGTCTTTGCACCGGTGTACTCCAGGTGGGCGAGAAGCTGCGTGTTCTGCCCGGTGACGAAACTGCAACCGTTCGAAGTGCGTTATACGCCACCCATCTCTTTATTCTGGAAGTTTTTGCCTTGTCTGATTACTGCCTACCTGAGTAGAAATAGAAGTCGATGAAGAATCGCAGCCTTGGGTAGCAGCTGGGACGAATGCGACTTTGTATCTATCTGGTATAGAGTGGATAAACATTGGGTTCGGCACGATTCCATTCACACTCCACACCGAGCGCCGCTCCTCACCCCCTTTCTAGGATCGGTAGTATTCTATGTCCCAGCTCCAGTTTGGTGCCTCTGGTTTCCAACTTCGTTGCACAAATAATCGTTTTTGACATATCGCTCCCAATCACCCCTGGAACAACTGTGTGTGGTTTCCTTTCTTTAGTTTGCGTTTGAAAACGAGCTTTTTTTTTTGCTCACAATTCGTATTTGCTAGATCGAGCTTTTCCACCAATCCAGAGATATGCCTGCCACAATCACGAAACTCATCGAAACCATCGATCGTGCAACGGGAGTTGTCATTAAAACGCGACCGCGAGTGATCACCAAGAACGCGTCTGCCAAAGTGCAGATCAGTTTGAAAGCGACATCGGTGCTTAAACAGCCAGTGGTACCATTAGAATTATTCGTAACGAATAAAGAGTTGGGGCGGGTTTTACTGCGCCGCGCAGGCGAGACCATCGCAGCTGGTTCGTCACTTTCTGCTCCGCTCTTTCACCGAACTGACAGCTATTGCGATGTTCTGAAGGTATAGTCATAGAAATAACACCCTAATCAGAGCGTGATTCGTTTCGACGCGTAGCCAGATGTTGGAAAACTATTGTGTTGATGTCTAGCTTCCTTGAAATGTATGCCAAAAGAATTGGACAGGAATCGATTGCAATCTGGTACTATGGATATAACAGTAGAGTGGGGATAAATGAAAGAAACAATAGCAATGTGGAAGTACTCAAGCAATGATGTGGATGAAGGGGATCAAATCAACCAAATTGAAGAAACTAGGAGGGTAAGCGAGGTATCCAAGTAAAAACAGACAAGAGAGAGGTGGACGCAATTGTCTAACAGTATTAGAGTGGCTGCACTTTCATTTTTTGGATGAGAACGCATCCTTAATCTTCTGGAAGAAGCTATCAAAAAGATGTCCTTGTCAGCCACTGAGCGGCGGAAGTTATCGCGACAATACAGGTACCTTCGTCGCTTCTCCCGAGGCGGCACAGACTCAGACCCATTCCTAGTCACAGACGAAGCAGTGCTCATGGAGGGGAAGCGATGCTTTTTCGGTGAGGAAGCACTAGCTGGAGAATTATGTGAAGCTCCGTCTGTCACAGGTTTCGACGAGGTGTCCGTAGCTTTAAAAGTTTCGATGGGTGCAGGCTTCACTGGCCTGCTGGCTTCTTCCATGCGTTCTGTTGCAGGTGTCGCACTTCCCTTCGTTATCTCTGGCAACTCTTCTACCGATTTAGTTCCAGGCTGTGGCGTTTGAGCAGGTTGCGGATCTCCCTCTGTTGTCAGATTTGGTGCGATCGGGTTGGCTCCAGTAGTGGTTGGTTCGGGCTGGCCAACGCGCGCAGGCTGAGCAGCAAGGATCTCGGGTGCTACAGGAATGGAGGCTTTCGGTTCAGGAGTCTTGACCTTCTCGGACGCAGGTACGGCTGCGGGGCGGGTGGACACCATCAATGGACTAGCGAATATTGGGAGTTGGCATGCAGTCACTAACCTTCACTCGGAACCTTATGTTCAATCTCCTTGATCACATCTAATGAGCCCTGCAAACGGATCGGAGGTAAATATGCCATGACGAAGATGGAGGGACTTTGAAGATAGTTATGAACCTTCGGGCTTTCACCGGAAGTTGTGGCGGTAGGGGCAAAACCGCCCAAACTCTTCAAAGCAGCACCCACATTAACTGTGAAAGATCCGAGGACTGAAGTAGGCGCAGGAACGGGGCACCTTCTCCAACATCCGACAGACGATCGTTCGCCGGGTCGTATGCTGGATGCGTCGTCTGAGCAGGCTCTGATGAGATGCCGTCACCAAGAGCAGCGAAAAACAAGAGATCAAACATCAGAACACGTTTGAAGTATGAGGGAAGTGGGTGCGTCTACAGACCTATGGGGGAAGTGCCATCTGCATTTCCATTCAAACGCTCGCGTGACGTGGGGGCACCTTTGACTACGAGACCTAGAACAATATATGAATGCTTTGCCTTGATCGAAATTGATGTGACGTACTTTCCGAGGTCGACGCCAAACCGGCATCAGGAATACCAATGCTCTCAGATGTAAAGGCACGCGCGACACCCTTCGCACCTCCCACAGAGTTGGCAATGACATCTGGAATGGTTGCTGGAGTTTCCTCTGCTAGAGCTTTGAGAGGTTGGCAGGATCGGCTCTTTGTTGTGTTGGCTCAGCCGGAGGCCTAGATTCTGCATCAGGCACGCCGCCGTTTGCGATTGATACCGGCGTCTCAACTGGCTTAGCCATCGTCCTCAGGACATTGTTCGTGATATAATCTGAACCAGTTTCCGACGGAAGATCATCACGAATTCGCCATTCGCCATCCACCACAAACCTGAAGGATTTTACTATATTGTCATTTGCATCACAACATAGACGGAACACTAACTTATATCGGACAACGGCATCGTAGGGGACTTTCGCTGCAGCGAGACGTTGAGCACACGCGAATGGGAGTGGAGATGCATCGAACCTGTCCCAGTGAATGAGTCCCCATACTTGACAAGACGTATCGACTGTTTCCACTGGAAAATAATGAGTACGTTGCACAAGGGCAGACCAGAGAGGCATCTAGGCAATCGGCTCACATCATCGAATTCACCGGTGAGAATAACATTATTTGCTGAACCAGTCCTAGAAGTCGAAAATAGATGCATTAACGTCCAAATAACACTGGGACAAAACGCTGACCATGCGAATGTTTCCTCATACAGCGACATCCCTCGACTCAGGACGCGGAACAAGCCAGAACCGATTTGCATCCGACCATTGAATCATTCGATCCCGTTCCTTCATGGATGGGAGCGACAAAGGACTGGAGACTTTTGCGGGTGAGCGCTCATAAATGGCATGTCGTGTGATGTTTGACATATTCCCCTTCTTAGATCCGCGGCTAAGTCGAAAGTACCAGCAGGAACAAGCGGTGAAGCCAGTTCAGCATCCTCGCCTGGCAAGGCTTCTTGCCAAGTTGACGTTGTAGCCGTTGCTGAGCCACCAGTTTCCACACCATCCTCCTCCACACTCATCAAGTCTGTAATCTCACCCTCGGATTCCCATACTGCACTTTCCCTAGTTCGCAGCACACTCGCTGCCAATCAATCCTACCAGAAATCTCTCGACTCTCTTGCGCAGTCCCTTCGGAGTGAGCTTGCACGTTCGGAGAAACTCCTTGGAGAAGTGGAGCGGAATGCCACCTCAAAAGGTATCGGTTCCGTACTAAGGACATGGCCGAAAGAGCATGTAGTTCTCATCAGGGAAGGATGGGTCCGAATGAAGACAATCATTGGGAGGAAACAAATATTTGCAGACGTGAGTCCTTATAAATATCGCCGCATAGAAACATGACGCCCATTTGGGCATATCTATAGGATTCGCCTTTCCATGACGATGTGATTAGGCATAAACGGTATAGGAATTTGACGACTCCCAAACCATGTGGGTCTCTGAAGATCTCATTTCTTTCGATTTCTTGGACAACTCACTTCCGTGTCCTGTGTGATTTAGTTACTCCCAAAGAACGCTCCTCACTGATGTCTACGGTTCGTAACGAGAATATGCGACTCTGTACCCGCGAGCTTGCATCAAAGTAGGCCCATTGATATTCGCCTCGGGAATGGCATGTGTTCATAGCTTTGTCCTGTCTGGACTTATAGTGGTGCTACAGATGCTCTTGATAATTGCCAGCTACCGATCTTGAACGAACGCACGATGGGTTGGATTGGGACAGAATTGCCTCTCAGGTTCGTTCATTCATGGGCGTCTCCAGCACTCAGTGTGAAGAATGGCAATTTCTGGGCCTAACACCTTTTTATAGATCCAGCGGAATTATTATTCGAGCAACGAACAGCTCAAGAATGTAAAGTCCAGTGGATGGTAGTGGATCGTCCGGAATCGGCCAATGCCACAGACCTATCATGGGACGACGAGGAAGATGCCAAATTACGATCCTTGGTTGGCGACAAAGACTACAAGCAAGGGGAGGTAGACTGGGTGGTAGTTGCAACAGAGCTAGGGGTACGTCTATTTGGATTTATATCAAATCGTAGCCGTTTTGACATTGTTCCTCATTAGGGAAACAGATTACCCATTCATTGCCTCAGTAGGTTTCTCTGTCTGGAAGGCCTCGCGCTTCCACAGCCAAAGAAAGGCAATACTTCCTCTCAGCGTCCAGGTGCTGGATTGCCTCGTGAAAAGGAGCAATGGACAGCTAAAGAAGATGCCGAGCTCCTCGATGCGGTGTACGATCTAGGGGCGGGTAAATGGCGTGCAAGTGAGTAACATTCTGGGTTGTGAAATGTTACGAGCAATGTTGCTGACGATGGCTGAATCAATCCCTTTTCACATCCACAATGTAGGGAGCGCTATACAAGGACGACTATTGCTGGGATAAACGGTGGAAGGTGGACATCCGAGGTGCGCACCACTTATGTTGTTGCCTTTGACAGCATTCTTGAGTATTAAATCATTTCCCCTCAGGAGGATAGAAGGCTTCGACAAGCTGTGGTCGAGGGAGGAATTAAGGACTGGAATGTCGTTGCCGATGTTGTTGGCACTCGTAGTGGCCAGCAGGTAACAAATGCATATTACCAATGAATAACTGTTCATGGAAGTCCTCATCCATTTCCCCCCATTCAGTGTCAACGCCGGTGGGGGATTCTTGAGAAGTTGCCGAACATTTCTGTGCCGGACAATTCGAACGATGTGCCTGAATCAAGTGCGACGCCCCTACGGAGGTTTAAACGGACAAAGAAAGCCCTCGTGATGGAGATGGAGACAGTAATGCCAAAGATGACGTCGGCCCCAACACTCCCGATCCAGCTTCCGATACGACCACGTCTGCAAAAACTCGCTCAACCAAGCGAGGAAGACGACAACGGAAGCCCCCGACTGCATCAAATTCCCCGTCTACTTCTGCCAATGCAATGGACGGCGTGCAGGAAGTAACGTCAGCCCGCTCAGATCATGAAGGTGCAGAGCAAGGTGCAGAGGAAACCCCACGTCCAGTAACACCCAGACCAAAACCCAAACCGAGGACCAGGGAAAACATCAGCCAAGATGCAACAAATGTTGAAGTGTAACAGACGTGCGGATTTTGCCATGGACACCTTCGGCGCGCGTTGCGTCTCAAGCTCCTTGGCACACAATCTGGTGTACTTTTTGTTCATAGTGCCTACAGATTGCCATGAAGTTTGCTACAACTTTCAATCCAATAGCCTGACAAGAGCGGATGGATTCTCGGACAGGCGAGGGAAGTACTTAGATACATGTGGGAGACTGTCGATGATGGTCCCGATAGAAGTCCGATAAACATAATGATGGTTTTATCATGGGGGTAGGGTGCGTTTTATGTAATTGGGGTGGTTCCGTGAAAGAGAGGATCAAGTGTGCTTCAATGCAGCTGCTTTACCAGTCCTGAAAAGCCAGACCCCTTTTTTTGTCATCCCTTCATACTTTTCCGCGTACAGTGGCTTGACAACACCGATCTTGAATTACAAGTGCTCCAATGTGGCTACATACACATTCCCACAATATCAGAGCGATTCTGGAGCGAAGAATATAATTGCTAGGTATCCAGCAAAACACTAAACAACTTGGCTGATGTCAATGACGATCGGGGCTCTCATCTTGCCTTGGGTCACCCATCGGGTTCCATCTTTGCTAGCTTGCGGAAGGTAAGGTGCGTTGCTATACGGCGTTCGATCACCATACCAGGCTTCTTCATTAATGTATCGGGTCTGCCAAAGAGGACTGTAACTTGGTGGGATGATGAATTCGATTCTTCCATTGAACCAGACTTTGCTGTCTTTAATCAATGGAACTCTTCCCGCTGCTGAAGAATATACTTCATCGCACATGCCTTTGTCCTTCACGCTAGGCGAGAGGTCATAAAAGGTACACTTCAGCCAGGACTCATCCGACTTGTGCCCTGAATCTGACTCCGAATTTTGTGCATGAGTTACGTTCCCATCCAAGGACGAAGGAGTGACGGACTCGGGAAGTACAGGCTCAGGGATGAGATGCGAGCAGGTGGGAACAATACCGGTATTGAGGATCCAAGTCGCGGAATCTGGTATGTGATATTGAGTGATTAACTCGCCTGAATCTGTTGACCAGACGAAAGCGTGGTTCTTATCGTATGCACCAACATATCGATCTTTAGGCGAGAATCCAAGCGTGTGGCGTTGAGGAGTGGAAGGCACGGAAGGTGTGAAAGGAGCACATGAAGGTGATACAAGAGGCTGAATAGATGGGTCACCTGTAACGTGCAGGAGCGTCATGCTCTTGTGCCAATCGTCATCAAGACTCGTTGGGGCTCGTATGATGATGGATCCACTATGAGATATCGTAGTCACAGCAGGGGAATGACCGCAGGGGAGTGTACCAAGGTTTACTGATTGCGTATCATGGTTGAGGATGTTGATCCTTCCGTTCCTATCCTCAGTCACTATCTTGTGATTGCCATGACAGAATTCAATCCAGACTGGGGGATCGGGCGTGCTGCATTGAAACCGAGAAACCGTCTTCTGATGATGGATGTTGGCAACCTCGATAACACCGCTGCCAAAACCAAGTGCGATGAAACAGCCATCTTGGGAGAGTGTCGTACAAGTCACGATGCCGTTGCGAACATCGTGCTGGGCGAACTCGGCATTGTAATCATTATTTATTCTGTATCGGTGGGGCTTACTGCGCAGTTCATTCAGCCCCTCCTCCATCATCCGTCGAGCTTGGAGTGCATCCTCACTTAGCGGAATTAAGTTTCCAGAAAACTCGCCAGAGATGCTGAAGACCCGAATAGGATCTGAGAGATGGCCATACATTTCATGAAAGGGTGATGACGACGGAGTGAGTGGAAGACCAGATCGATAGACTTGCCAGGGACAGCGCTCAGTTTTAGAATACGCCTTGTAGTAGCATGCATCCATAGCCCCGAACGTGAGCTGATATGATTTATGATCCTATGGAATGCAGGTGATGTCAAAACTCGAGTCCTCTGAATACAAGTGGTTCGGGCTCACTACGAACCGGGTCCACTCACGTGGCACGGATGCTATGCCAGACTGCATCGTAATATATGAGAGTACATTCTGCGTAAGCAAGTCATTAAATTCTTTTTGTAATTCATTCGGCTCTTGCGAGAACACTAGTGAGGGGTCCAAGTGATCGAGGAAGTATCGGATTGCATATTCAACGTGTTTGCCACCAGATCGCTTCCTCCTAAAACCTTCCCACTTCCTTTTATCTCCCAAAGGAAGCTGGGTGGGAATGCTGAACTCATTCTGCCTGCTGATGTCATTCACAAGTCGAAGAAATCGTAATCCGAGGAAGTACCCCTTCACATCACGAATGAAGAAGACTTGATCGCTTTCCTCGCCAATGGGATCACCTGTAATGAATTCCTTCATGGTCGTGTGGTAGAAAGAAATTGTCCTTGCATTGTTTGAGGGAAGGTCAATTACTGAGCTGATGGGTTTTAGTGTTGCAATGAGGTCATCCCTAGTCATTCCTAGAAGCTCCGACATCGACTTGACATTAAGTGAGTAGTCCACAGCAACAAGTGCTCCGACTACTTCACGGTAATTCTTGGCGACGTGGGGACGAAGGCATGGAGAATGGGACATATAGGCTCGCCGTAGTATGCGCAGGTACTCCGAGTTGAGATCGCTTGGTACTTCTCTCAGATTGCGGAAGTAGTCGAACTCCAACTTGAGAGAAGAACCACTTTGGGTCTGAATGCGCACCTCACGTATCCGAATCGAGGCAATGACAGGTAATCCACGGCAGGCCGAAGCGAAAACCTCGAGATCTCCCGTTGATGGTTTCCATGGCGATTTCCTGATACAGTCCTGGAACCCTTCCTCTACCATGCAATAGATGGTGTGGAAAGTCTCCCCCCCTGCAATCTTATCGACATTTTCGCATGGAATCAGAAGGCCCTGTTCCTGCGCATGGTCCCAAGCCGAGACAACTTGGGACTCGGGGCGACAACTAACTAGAATAGCGAACGTTGGAGGGAGCTCATTAAGCAAGAGTACGAGCTTCATCAGTGACTCGAGTTCTTCTGGATCCCCGCATTCATCGAGTCCATCCAAGACGATAACAAAACGGTCATTTCCTGAAGTCAAGATATCTTTGAGTCCACTCATCGGGTCAATAACCCAGGCTTTCATCTGCCTTTCTACAGTAGAACCCCGAATATTTTTCAATGAACCGGGCTGCCGAAGTTGCCTGATGAGCGCGCATTTGTACTCAATGTTGAATGCTGCAAGTTGAAGAGCAAGAGTTGAGGGAAACCGTTCGATCGAATCTAGTCCTTTTCCCTTCTGATTCTTATCCCAGAAGAAAGAAGCCGCCAGGATGCCTTTGTCATCAAGGGCAGAAGCGGTGCTTATGGATATCGCGGTCTTTCCTGTCCCTGGGGAGCCGCGTAACCAGACAAATCGGTTCTTGGGTTCCTTGAGATGATCAAGTATCGAACTACGGATTTTGTCACGCGTAGTTGGGAGGCATTCTGATTTGCTGTTCACGGAGAAATATTCAGCTTCCGTTCTAGGGAGTTTCCCGAGTTCATCTGAAAAAATATTGCTGAGCGAGAAGGTCTAGAATCAAACGAGCAGAACGGACAATCCACCGACGATTGAATTGTGTTAAGAAGGTTTAAGGTTGTTGCTACGGTCTGCAGAACAGATTTTAGTTAGTCAAAAATTACCAGTACGAATACGGATGTGACGAACAGCAAAACGGAAAAGCGCATTACTAATACACGCCTTCACGCCATTGATGCTTTGTGTGATAGTGCCCGCCGAGATTATCCTCTTCCACGGCGTTCGACTCTCAAGCGACCGGATCTCCCTGACTTGCTCTTCCAAGGCCCTGTCAACAGTGTCTAAGACCGAAATGAATGACCATAGGACAACATGCACGTACAAGTGGAATTCTTCAAGTAGAGGAATGACCTCTGGAGGGATCTGTCCGGTCCATAGTTGGAGCGGCCGTAACATGGTGGCGTAAGCATTGTGCACCTCATCGTTCAATCCTTTGAGGGCTTCATTGTTGCTGCCAACAGACTAAAATGAAGTATCAGCTACGTCTTGTCATCTATTGAAAAATCATGCCCGAACCTCGTAAACTTGGAGCAACACCAGGAGTAAGTCCGGAATGTAACCCAGGAATGGGATCGGGGAAAGCTTGAGAGCGGGGGCCGCAGCTTGGAGAATGAGCCTGGTGACGCCAATAATGGATTTTTTTCCGTCCCCAGCCCAACTGGTTGATGCTGGCCCCGATAAAGGAGGTACGGGTAAGTCTATACTGGTGTGTGATAGTTGTGTGCGGGGTTTCACGCTGTTGTCGTGGGGGGTCGAAATGGCGGGTGCTGCACAAAGGTCTTCAATGGTCCCTGGTAAGGAGGCGGATCGAGGTCGCTCCGAATAACCAGGGGATGACCGGGCGGAAGTAGTGGGAAAAGACCCTTCAGAAAGAGGTGTGCTTAAATGATTGAGATGATCGCAATTAGAATGAGGTCCCCGGGACGGCGCATTCAGACGCTTCAGGGAGGGCAAATCCCGAGAACTATCAGAATATTGCAATGCAGGTGCAACCCATGGGAGCCCTAGATAAGATCCCACCGGTTCATCATGCCAATTATTGTCGCGGGCTTGGAGAGCCTGCGAACTGAGATTAAGTCGTGGCTCCTCCCAAAACGGTGTGCTTGTATGTTGTTGGAAAAGCGAATCCCGAGAATCGCCAGAAGATTGCAATGCAGGAACCTGGGGGGGCTCGGGATAAGATGCTGCGGATTCCTTATCACGAATATTATCATGGGTTGGGAGAGTCCACGAGCTGGAAAAATGGACCTGGGGGACTTGGAGCAACGAAGCCGAAGCATGCAACCGCGGATCACTGTAAGATGGCTTGGGAAGTGCAATGACACGTTTCTGGAAGGACTTCAAGACCCGTGAATCGCTGGAAGCTCCCAATGTGGACGTGGTCTGAGAAGGCTCAAGGTGGGAGGCTGGAGAACTATCACACCGATCATAAGGTATGTGGGTTTGAGATGTCTGGGGACTAGTAAGATAGTTCCGGGAGAGTTGCAGCGATGAATTCACGTTGTAAGATGACTGCGGATCATTACAAGATGGGTCAGGTGCAGGAGGCCTTGCCCTGTAATGTTGTGAGACGAAGGATAATTTCCTTTTGTGAGACATGAAACGGCCAACGCGGTCAACGCAAGCGTCAAGGAGAGGGGAGGTTGGAAAGCCTCCTTGCCGCGCGCACGGGATATATATGGAAATGCCTTGTTTGGGAGTCAGAGCATTCAAACTTGGTTACTTCACGCATTCTCTCGTTCCGCGCATCCACTCTCTGTTGGGATCTTTACTGGATAAGGGTGAAGTCGTACGCACGCCATTCAACAAACTGACCCTAACGGACGATACACTTTCACCATTGCTGTATTTAGTAATTGTACAGAGGGAGCGGCTTCCGGAAACCCCCAAGCACATATGTAGCGTATCATGAACACCCCCAAACGCAAAATTTGGGCGAAAGACAACGTGAGCTGAAAACAAAGCGTCCTTATGTCCAGCTCCCCAGATACATCATAGCAACTGCAAGCCCAAGCACAGGGGCAGCCCTCCATCTTTATCGATTCCACAACCGCAAAGCCGTTCCGGGATGGATCACAGTGTCCGGAGTGAGCTTCTTAAGGACCACCCAAATGAGTATGCTAGATGCAACACGTGCAGATCCAGCAAGAGCGTTAGACTTTTAAATCTTCAGATCCCACATGTTTGCCCGCCTCGGGGCACAGGCACTATGGCAAGCAATCACCAAGGGAAGCCACAAGCAGTGACGTCATTCACACCCGAAGGGCGAGCCTAGATGTCTTTTGCTAATCACATTTGCTATACAGACATTTGTGCATGGATGCTCAAGGAATGAGCCAGTGTACTTCGTTCATAATAACCACATTGCCTTTCGGCTGATGAGGTCCCTGCCGACGAGAGAAACCACGACATACTCTGTCGGTAGACAACAGATCCAAAAACTGAGGCTGATAGCGCACACAGTCCCTGATATGGACATAAATTTCGGCCAGTCCGAGCTACTTGTCGCTGATGGCGACAAATTTATGGTATATCGGTGAGGAGGATGCCTACAGACTCGTACCCAGTCATCGTCGCTCTATGGACGCGCGCTGCGAACACGGGATTTCGAAAATTGATAGTTTAGTGTGCCTGTGGATTCCTTGCATGCTGTTTTTCGACCTCCAGCACTCTCTGAACAGTCAAACTTGCGATTGGAAATGCATGCCTAATGTAATCAAGAGAACCCGCTCCTCCTGGTCGCCATGGAGGACTGGAGTGTTTTGCAACTCGAACGGCGACCAGTCGTAGCCAGTTCAGCTTGGAGTGCTGGCAAACGACTGTTTACATGTCTGTTGCCAAACAAGCGACAACAAACCCTAATTTCCATCCGGCTGTGGGTCGAATGGCGACTGCAACGCCTCGACGTGTTTTCGTTGAGATTCCGTTTGATTCGGTTCGGAGAAATGCATCTCAGGCTTCTACTCCGCTGCGTTTGACATCACCGCTGAAACGGAAAGTCGATGTCTTCGGTATCACTAACGAGAATTTAGTGAGCGGTTCATCAAATTTTGCAAAACTCCCCAGCCAACCTGCAACAAAGAAGACCCGGCTTGATGCGCCCCCTGCTAAAAAGCGTGCGATTGACGCGCTTGACGCGTCCAATGAGGTAAGACCTTAACCGCACCTATTACGCGTGGCTAATATTGCTCAACCAATTTGGAAGGCAAAGACACGCCGCTCTACTCGCCCGAAAAAGGTTTTAAGCCCGTCATGTCCTCGTTGGATGCCTATGAACAAGTCCCTAAGCAGGGAGGCTGTTGAGGACCGCATCCAGGTCTGTTTTTATTCATGTGTTTGAGAATAGCTTGACTTCCCAGGTGACTTGATGTGCAGATCAGGGAATTTTGCTATCGCTTCTCTCTGGTTCTAGGGTTAGCTAAGAAGCATGTCGAATCACTTGACTACTTTGATACGTTCTCGGACCAAACCTGTAAAGCGATCGTGATCAGCCTTGTCACTCTAATCTCGCGAGACGAATCTGATCGTGAAACCAACTCAGTAAGAACAGGTCTGCCAAGATCCATCTGCCCTAGCTAATTGCCACTGCCTAGATTTTTAGAAACGTCTTGAAAACCATCAAGTCACCCCGCGCGAATCTTGAAGATGTATGGCGTGCGGTAGAATCGCTTAAGGACATCCTTTATTCACACCTAGAGACCCCTGCCCCAGTGTCTGCCCAATTAATTGAGCGCACAAGGCTAACTCGCCGCAGCGGCGAGACTCTTATAGATTCTTCACAGCTGATACCTGTGATATTATCCCTTATTGAAGAGACGGTGAAGACTCGGTTTATCCGCCAAGAATTCGATGATGGGTATGTCATCAATTAGAGACGACAGACCCCCAGTGCTCAAACTTTTCCTAGGATGGAGAAAGTAGCAGAAGTCAACAAAAAGAAGGCTACTGAGTTGAAGAACATCGCAGAACGCTGGAGTGTCACCCGGCAGGAATTACGCAAAGCGATTGAACAAGCGCCCAAACCTGAGCGACGGAATCTAAGTGAAAAAGTAAGCATGTGTGAGAGTTCCTTTGTTTGTCCCATTCACTTATGTGCTACCGACAAGTTGACGGCCGCCAGAGGGAAACATAAGATCGAGTTGCTTCAATCACGGGTGTCTCATGCAACTGGACTTCAGGCTTGCAGACTTCGGTATCAGCCTCTGGGTGTGGACTCATCGGGGCGAATCTATCACGCTCTATCTCATCCCAACAACCTTGCAACGGGTCCGAGGCGCAGTCGAGCCTCGTTATCGCACCGCACTCGTGAATCGATGAAGAATTGGGCATACTTCGTTTTCGTATGGGGGAAAAGGCCAGAAGATGCGCATCGTAGTGCTGAAGACGATGAAGAGGAAGATGAAGATGAGTCAGAACAATGGTGGATTTTCTCCGATGCCGCATCAATTCGACAGCTTGCGGATTGGCTTTCGTCCACCTCCATTCCTCCCGATACTGCATCCTCTACCGCTGTCTCGTCTGCCACTGGTTTTGCTAGGAACACCCCCAGATCTTCGGAATTGCAGGATCCTGATAATGGGGGAGATGACACGACTGAAACCAAGAATTCGGATCGACGTATTCCTCCCCATATACGCGACTTGTGCAAGGACCTCAACGAGTTCGCCGACTTTCTGGATGTGTGTTTTCCTCCTGAAAAGTAGGGAAGCACTTCCACGGACACGAGATCAAACTAGCGAAGACGAAAACGCTTTAGATACAGCTTCATATGTATCTCCCATTTACTTTACTCCTCCATTCAGATACCATCGTGCCTTATTGGCCCTGGCCGTTGTTGCACCCTCCACTCCACGTGGGCACAGTCTTAGCCTTACGAGTATAATTTTTTTCGTTATTTTATCCACCCATATACATTTCACGACTTGTCGATATGACCACAGATTTGTGAAATGATTCGAAAACCAGTGCTTATGTCGGAGATGCGAAAAGTTCAGTATATATTCCATCCAGTTCTTGGAAAGAGACTGTTCTCACGGTCCACTTATGTAGCCGCGATGCCAGCAGGACGGCAAGAACGTGCTTGCACTGTGGCCAAGCAAGCCACCAGGATCCAGAAATAGATAAGGATATCGCCAGTTGTGCACAAAAGCTTGTGGCATCAGTATGTTGGAAACATCGTCATTAAACCAGATAAGACGCGCACCACCAAAGGTGAAAGCTCTTCCTCTTCATCATCCAGAGGTGACCTTGGGCTTCGAAGGAGAACGGTGTAAGCAAACGCAGGACACGTGCAGAAATGACGAGGGGTTCTGAATAATCGGCTTTCGGTCGTAGTATATGAATCGTTTTCGAGCGCAGATGGTGGTGTGTTCCTGAATACGTCTATTTCCACGGCGTACGAGTCGGTGCTGCCGGACACGATGTAGGCTTTACGTCCCCCTGGTGTATCATATCTCGTCACTAGGTCATGCCAGTAGTTTAGTCGCGAACGAGTATCCGAGGACCCTGGATCACATACCGCACTTCTTATCTAGAAGGTCGAGAGCTGCTACGACAGTATGAGATACCAGTAAGTTGAGAGCGAGAATTGTATCTTCTGGCACTACGAAAAAATATTAACAAGCCACTCCTAGAGGAACGATAAATCTCAATCGTAGGGCAGACCATTATCTGGGGTGACTGTATCTAGCAGAGCATCAAGAACACGATCGAACTCGTCCATGGCACTAAGCGTAATTGACAATTGTCCCTGGCATTTTAAGAGTTACACGGTGACTCGATGAGTCTTCCCTCGAAGCGGAGTTAGCCGAATATAATAGTCGCGATTTATGTAAAGAGATTACATAAGACTTACCTATGCCAGCGCAGCATGCGCCACCTGCCAAAGTAAGAAACCAAGAAATAGTATGATACCGCGGAGTACAATATTGCCGGGTCAGTATTCCTTCGTAAATTACCCGGGAAACAATGTATGTATATGGCACGACATCTGGTACAGTTGATATCTTGGCCTGATATTCGGCAATTTTTACTAAGGGAAATCCGAGTTAAACGTTATAAACGATGACCTCTGTGTGACCAGTTACCGCCTTCCGATTGACTTATTCCCTTTGCTTGCACCATCGTGATGACTACAGACCAGGGGCTTCCCTTCCTTTTGTTCATCACTTCCAGATTTCTCTCTGCTGTCCGCTGTCTCAACCTCAGTTGTTTTAGGTTATTGAGAGTCGTTTAGAGGTATGTGCTTTCTCCACATCCATGTCCATCCACCCTGAAGCCATCCTTTCGCGAAATCGGCGTGCCCTTGAATCACCGATGATCGCTGCAAATCCGCGCCGCACACGAAATGCCATCTCTAACCGGCAATGACGACAGGGCACGAACCAACCTGCTCCTGTCTCTTCGGTCCTCTGTCCTACCCTATCCGGTGCTTCCTGCAGTCGGAGTGTGCACTGGCGCAGTTTTTCGTCTTTTCATCCCAACCTCCTTTGTATTACGATGGCGCCCAAACCCCTGTCAACATTGTGGTGCTCTTCTATCAGAGAGTGAACATTTGGGTTGATGTTGTCGAAATGGCTCCAAAGTTCTTTCCCCCCTACCACGTTTCTCGTGGCTCTTGCGAACAACTTCCCTATAGTTGCCGGGAACGGCACCCGTTCTCTCAACTACCTCTTCAACCTCGGTGCACAGGGAGTCTCTGGTGAACTACATTCATTCCAAGGTAAGTTCCTTTCAGCTAGGCCAGAGCCCTATTCCCACTCTCTTCTTTTAGGGTCTTATTCATTATGCATAACGGGTCAGATGTACTACCGTATCGTGCTGAGCCGTCGTTCTGGGCATCCTGCAAATTGGTTTCTATATGACCCTGCTGGAGCCACTGCTGTGGCACTGAAATCCAACGTATCACCCAGGATAAAGCGTTGCTCCGGTTCAAAGCGCGCCTTCACTTTGACGACTCAAATCGCCATTTCGACAAATTTCGCCTGCCTCGCCCAGGGTCCAATGTGGATATCCAAGCGAAATGGATGACAGACTCCGCCCTGAATGATTGAGAATAGTATGTATTTAGGTGCTCTACCTGCCGCGATGGCAGAATCTGATATCATGGCTCTACACCTTCCGCACCTGCTCCCAAAATGAAAGCGATTGTTGGGGGATGCTGCTGCGGCGCCCGGCACTGAAAGTGACAATAAGGACTTGATCAGCTGGTGGGTCCTCGCGCGGAAAAGGAAGGCGTCTGGGCAGGGTATAATTGACAATGCGGCGGTTAGGCCTTGAGAATCTAAATAATGAGGCGGGGGCGTCATGTGCTGGCCCAAGTGGCTGCTTGGTGAATGATGTCAATACTGATATTGTACATAACTGGACTCGATCGAGCCGAAGGCTGTCCACTTGTTTTATTAAACAATCCACGGAGATACATTCCGAGTATTTTTGCTGGCGTCCCCAACCATAATACGGGTACCAGGGTATCACACCATGATTTTCACTTGGGATTCCTGATTTTCCCGATTTTTTTTTTTTACTGCGATTTACTTCTTCATCCATTTCGTGGTGAGGTTCTCCAATAAAAATTGCATAAAATTACAAAGTTTATGAGCTCGCCGGATTTATTGTCGACATAGGTTTATTTTCTTTGTGGCTCCCCTTTGCATGGTTGACATAAATTCCGGATGCAGGCGCATTCTGCAATCCCTACCAAGGTGCCAGCTCCGCCAGATATTGACACTTAGCATATGTGCGGTGCTTCGCACCACATGTTATCGCGCCAAATCCAACCGGGGTTTTCTGTGCAGGCTGAGGCCTGTCCAACCAGATAGCAATATCCCCTCGTTCCATCCGACGCAATGAACCAAATATCACCGACGAACCAGCCCTTAACGGAAACAGTAACAGAATGGTCGCAAACTGTGCCGTTAATTACCCCGGGCGCAGCTTCCTCAATATTTTCGCCCTCGCCTTTCGAGTTGTCGACTACATTATCGCAGCTAGTGTCTGTGGTGCAAACACTAAGTAAGAGCAAATTTTACTTCAGATTTGATTTCGGTTCACCTGCTTGCGAAGCTGTTATAACAATTCGCTTGCCATAGGGGGAAGTGAGCGCGCCGACATGGAAATGGGCTGTGGCAACTTTGGGAAGTAGAGCGAGCATGATGATGGCACTCCAGACTCGCATTGTGATTTTTGGCGGAGTGCGTGCTACTGCTGATCGATAGCTAGTGCAGACGGCGTGAATCAGGGAGTAGTCTGGACCGTGGGTACTTGGAAGACTGGTGAGAGAAGGCTAGAGGAAAGGAAACCCATCGGAGGTACTTATATAGCAGTTGCATGAGGCATCCAATCAATCTTTGAAAAAGGAAAAGTGAAAGTAATCTGCACCCCAAAATGGCGCTTGACATTGTCGACTTTCCCAGAGGCGACCAGAGTGTACCCGTCTTCGCCCGGGTAGAACCCGCTCCGTTGGCAAGTCCCACTTTACGGATATTCCTACTGTTCAATCAATGAATACTTGCATGTTGATATCTCAACTCAGCGGATTTACATCTAACTAGCTTTATGTATGATCCTTTATTTAGAACTCTCGGCTATTACATTCCTTTTTCCCGGCTTCCCGCCACTCCGCAGCGGGTCCCGTAAATTTTCCCTCTGAGCAAGATGTACATCCTCTAGGAACCACCCTACGGGTCGGTGTCGAAACTGGGTCTTCAAATTCTACTGATTCTAAAGCCCAAAGTGCCTCAAGGCCTCAGGGTTGTCGTTCCCGCCGAGGCGCGGCGCGGCATAGATTGTGAAAACCGTCATCGACTAATTATTAGGAATTTGTATGTAGCAGCAGACATGATTACGACAACATCTCTGCATAGCTATATAGGATTTGCTAACTGCAATCCTGACTTGGCGAATCATTCAAAAAATCCCAAATATTGCAGAAATTACGATCGACTGGGAATGTGAATGCTTGTACATCCTAACCAAGTGTGGCTCCCAGGATATTATACTTGGCTACTGGCACCTTAACGACATCACAAAACCTTTAGCATTGGTTCAATGTGCGAGTCATTCCCATCGGATCCACAGCATCAATTGGTAGTTGATAGGTGGATCGGACGGAGTCACAGGACTTTCCGACAATCGGCGCTGCCACTGTCAGTTCCGTGGAAGCCAACGACCCTGCCTCATCATTCGGGGTTTGCGCGGATCTGGAGCGTTCAGCCTTCTTGGTAAGCAGTCACGATGCCAATGTGTAATAACGCTCAGAGCTGATCAGATTAATATTGAATGGTCAAGCTTGAGAGCGGCAGTGGGTTGCAGCGGTGGAATAATTTATCTCCATGACAAAAGCTCAGCCCTTCGCAGCGCCGACATTTTTCCAGACACTCCTTGCAATATCTGAGAGTACTCTCTTCACTTCATTTGAGGATTCCTCGCGTTCCGCGTCCTCAACATGTCCAACGATAGCAGGAATCCCACAGTCACCGCCGGTGCTCACCGAGCTCACAAGGGGCAGTTCGCCGAGGACTGGTATCCCCCTATCGGACGCCATGTTGTGGAATGAAGTTGTCGGTCCAAATATCTGATGTGCGTTCGAACACGATGGGCATACGAAATGCGACATATTTAGGACTACACCCAGTATCTAGAAGTGCGTTATCAGTGGGGTGTTCGCTTCTCCACATAGGATCACAGTGAACACTCACAGGGATGTCAACCTTTCGGAACATTGAAACACCTTTTGCTACATCAATCAATGCCACATCTTGTGGTGTTGAGACAATAACGGCGCCTACAATGCTCGATCAGAACATGTGCAGAGACATTGGGAGATCATTACCATCGACTTTCGCAAGTTGACCGAATGTCAATGCCACGTCCCCAGTCCCTGGAGGCATATCGACGACTAAGGCATCCAATCCCCGTCCGCCTTCATCTCGCCAGTCAACGTCAAACAAAAGTTGTTGAGTTGCCTTCTGAACCATAAGTCCCCTCCATACAACGGCAGGTGCATCGCCCGCCGTAGATCTTGGAAGGAGGAAACCCATCGACATACATGCTATGGAATGGTTGTGCAACGGCACTAGATGACCGTCTTTTTTGAGAATAGCACTTCAGTAGATAGTTGCCATCTATGGGGGCAGCCGGACTCGCCTTTGGTGAGTTCTGGCTCAGAGGAATTTTCAAGACCCATTAATTTGGGTATTGACGGCCCGAAGATATCCAAGTCCAACAACCCAACTCGAAGGCTGCGACCGTGACTGGTCTGCGCTGTCATGGCCAACGCCAATGCAAGATTCGCTATTTAACCGTCATAAAAAAATTAGTTTGTCGTATTAAGATGAAGAGATTTGAATATTACTTGCAACTGTGCTTTTTCCTACGCCACCCTTCCCACTAGCTACAGCTATTACACATCCAGCATTTGGGATCTGCCTCCTTGGTGCGCGAGTAGGAATCGTGGGTGGTGGCTGAGACCCAGATCGCGGAAGTCCCTAAGTTGCCAGTGTTCGACAGGCACGCATAGATTGGCAGGAGGACAGCAACACACCAACGGATTTTGATGAGAGGAAGGAAAAGAGGATCTGAATTGCCTTATATAAATTTGCACACATGAAGCCTTCTTGTGATAAGCTTCGGCTGCAGTCCGGCGGGCGATGCAGAAGAAGGACATGGATAGAAGAGCGTGGGAATGAGGTCGGGGCTAGTGCACGTGATGGATGCGTTGTCGTCGGTGACTTCCCCACTGACTCTGCACTGCCCCCTTATTTCGTTTTCATGTTCTTATGTCGCGAGAGGTAATCAAATTTGTTATTTTTCTCACACCAACACAAAAAAAATACAATAGGGGTGTTCACAGTAGCGAAAAGTACAACGCCCACAAGAGTTGCCAAAAGTTGGACTTTCCTAGCGACTTTTGAGCTTGACTTTTGACCTCTTTTGATCCACTTTTGAGGTCATTCATAGTTGCGTGCAAAAAAAGTGTGTCAAAACAGCCTCTCCGGTCATGAAGGATTTGAATGGATTACATAATGTTGTCATATCCGTGCATACCCGATCCCAACCCGACTTCCAGACCTCCTCCTTCCCCACCTTCTGGAGTCTTGTCCTACTGCTGTCCGTTCCGATACTCACCCTCGGTCCTGGCAACACACCTCCTTCTACCTCCCATGCCACCTCTACTCCTCCTTCCCTCTCCTCCCCTATCTCCGTCCACTCCGATACTCACCTCGGACCGAACACCGCCCCTCTCGCCACCCTCCTACTCCTCCGCTCCTCCTTCACAACGCCTCCACCCTTCTGTCATCCTCCTATGCTTCCCCCGTCCGCTCCGATACTCACCTTCAGACCTGACAACCCTCCTTTCTGCCACTCCTTCTCTCTTCCCTTTCTCCTCTCTCCTCCCTCTGGTACTCTTCCGCCGACCTCCCACCAGGTTGCGACCTTCCACCGCTGTCCCATACTTTGTACTCGGGCACCACTCGTACCTTTGCTCCGAGCCTCCGTCATAGTCCCTACCCCGGACTTTGACTCCACCTCGGTCTTAGTCCATTGCATTGGTGACCTCATACTACGTAAACACCATTGCCAATATTCCTCGGACTTTCAACCCCACCTCCGTAACCTCCGTAAGCTCCGCAACCTCTGAGCTTCGCGGATCGCCTTCGGCACTTTCGCCACTTGTAATGTATGTATCTCTCACGTTTTCCCCTCATCCCTATTTGGACTGCTGCTTCTTCCCATTCTAGCCAGTTAGTCATCATCCCCACTTCTCCTCATCCTCCTGCCCCTCTGGGCCTTGCCCTCCCTACCTCCTTTCAGACGTATCACAGGTCTTGCCTTATGACCTTCGGTACCGCTCCGCTTCTGTCTACCCTTTGTTCCTGTTTGGACATCTTTGTTCCGATTTGGATCCCCTTTGTTTCCTTGTGCTTTTGCCCCCTCCATTATATATATCGGCGCTTGTACATACTCGTTTTGGGCTCAGTCCGAAATCGACCTGAAATGCCCCCTAGAGACTTCCTGCTTGCCTACTGTGAAATTAAGGACCAAATGGACAAACAGCAATGGCACAGCGCTCCGCTTGAGTCGCTGAGGCCAAGGTCCCTCCACACTAAGTCTCCGGTTCCACTCTGGAGTCATCTGAATCCGCGACACATCTCTAACAAATGTTCACTCTGCATGCCCATTCTTAGTGAACATGAGCACTTAATCCATGCTGCTCTCAAGCATGCATCCAGCCTCCAAGCCCAGTACTGACATCAACGATGCAGTCTTCTCTGCAACCTTCACTCTATCGATGAGCTGAGTGATCTATCCATTTCCGATTTTGACACTGATGACGACTCCGAGTCCGAAACCTCATCTGACACTGATAGCACAAGTACAAGTTCCAGCAGCAGCAGCAGTAGCACCTCATCCTCCAAGTCCACTGGTAGCACTATAGAATTGCTATCTCATTCATCTATCCTTTCATCCCACTCAACCTATGAAGACCTTGTTGAAACCTACACGAGGCTCCATCACTCCCATGTTCAAGCCATCCGATGTGTCCAGCAGTTTCTTTAAAATGTTGTTACCACTAGAGTCCTCTTCCCGCATTCAGTTCCCAAGTGCAGCCAGCTTTCCTTTGTACTTCAGTGTTACAAAGAGGACGATGCATGGCACTTCCACCACAACCTACGTGTCTCACCTCATTCCTTTGATGTTCTTCTATCTCTTATCTGAGAACATCCAATATTTTACAACAGCTCTAATGCGGAACAAGCCCCCATATCACACCAGCTCGCGATAACTCTTTACTGCTTTGGTAAATTTGGGAACGGTGTATCAGTTGAAGCTGTCACGCAATGGGCAGGCTGCAGTGCTGGAGCAGTCATTAATTCTACAAGATGGATAATTGCGGCATTCCTCTCTCTTCATGACCAAGCAATCCACTGGCCAAGTGCATTGGAGAAGTGGGAAGCTTCTGATTGGGTGGAACGAGTCTCATGCCCCACTTGGAGACCAGGATTTTGTATGGTGGATGGCACACTAATACCACTCCATGCAAAGCCAGGACATTATGGTGAACAATTCTTTGACCGCTGAAGGAGAGAACAAAGGAAGGTCAGTTGGGAGGTTCAAACGAGACCACCACCAAGCTGTTCCCCAGTTCTTTAGTTAGGATGGGGAAGTGTAGTAGTAGTTTTTGTTGTAATTATAGTACCAATCTGAGTGTTTTGGCTAATTCTATTTTTATGGGTTAGTCTAAAAGTTTCTGGGAATTGACTTACAGATAAACCGAGCCCTGCAGAGCTGTTCCTTTATCGAAATTTCTTAATTTGTCTGGGTGTAATTCTGTGTAGCGTTGTTTAATTTGGAATTTAACTTGAATTAAATCTTCTACTGGGTGAAGTTTCAAAGATTCTACTCAGTTAATGGATTTAGATTGTGTCTGGAGTGTCCCTTGAGTTTGTTTTATTTTTGTCTTATTTTATTGCTTGTTTTAACAGTAGCAAAATAACTGTTTTGTGTTTACACTTTGAAATCTGGAGTGTTAACCAGCTCTCCTGTTGAAATATCTACTTAATATTTCTCTCCTTAATTGCTGCCTTTTACTACAGTGGCAATCTTAACTGTATATCACTTTTTCGCACTGGAGTGACAACCAGAAATGCTTGAGAAAAATAATACTCTATTTTCTTACTTTGAGGGGGGAAAAAAGTCGCAGAAAGGGTCTCCCTTTTATACTCCTTGGGTCGCCTTCCTTTTTCACACTCTACCTCATATTTACAGGATTTATTTACAGTGTATTTTTCTCAAACTGAATAAAAAATGAAATTTTCATGCTATAGTTCTACTGTGCTTTGCTGTGCTGAACTGTGGCTCTACTGTGGTCAGACTGCACCTAGAATCCTTATTGTCCTTCCTTGCCTAGGCTATTTTAATGGTTAATTAGAACTTGACTGCACTGCATTTGCCGCAGTTTCCTATTTCAAATTCCTCATATTTACCATTAAATTCGCTATGACTCGGTAATTCTGAATTCAAACTTTGCATTACTATGCGTACAGCTGCACTGAGACCTTCAGCTGATTTATTCCATTTTTGTTCAGCAACATTTAGTTAAAATGAGACTTGAAATGGTAAATGAATGAATTATTCAGGTTTAGAACTGAAAGAAAAAGTTGCTAGTAGTCAAGAATTACTCAAACAAATGTATTATAGCTCTCCACTTCATTAGAATATTGTTCCCTAAAATTCCTGCCATGGTCTGTCATAGTTTAGTGGATTTCGTGGATTTCGTTCATCTCCCCTGATTCCCCTTTGTATTATTGCATCCTAATCCTCCATATGTATTGTTCGTTGTTATAGTAGGTCGTCCTTGAAGATATCATGTTTTTATGTATCTTATTTAGGGCTCTGGACCTCTTGAAGCTGTCTTCCCATGTGTTTTCAGGTTTCTAACTTCATGTCCTTGTATCTTATTCATTTCTGGATGGTTTTTCATGTTCTTGGTATCATAAATTTTCATTTATTCCCACCTTTCCAATGGTACTAAAGTTGTGTTCTATTTCCTGGTATTCGTCAAGTTTGCAAAAGTTTGTGCACACATTCGGTAATCACGTGCGTCGTTCCCATAGTCATTTGTATGTGGGTGCCGTTTCTGTTTAAATGTTCAGGATTTATGGTATGCGCGGGTGTTTGTATCCTTCATATGGGCTTCCGTGATTTATTTCAGATTTTTCCCTCATGATCTAAGGTTGTTTTGCACTTTCTGTGCTTTGTTTTGACCGGGCTCTTCCTTATTTGGATGGAAATTGGTCTTTGCGATCTGCTGAAGTGCAGATCTCGGTTCTGATGGCCGGTTCCCTTTGCATTGCCACCCTCACGTGTCATTAAACATGATGTGGATTTCTATATTCCCGTCATTGGTATAGCTTCACAATGGCTGGACCGTTTGGGCTGAAAATTTGCATAACTATAGTTCCCTATTTTTCATAATTCCCGTGTAAATTTCGTTGTATGTTTTAATTATGGATCCTATGTAAACATTGTCTTTTCCCTGAGCCCGGACTTTTGATGTTGCTATTCCCATTATTGGATATCTCATTAATGCGTGATCCTTTTATTATGAAAATTTGGGTGGATTAAGATTAGATCCCTTCCTTTCTAATGGGCTATCAAGCTCGTCTCAGTCGTTACTGTTTGTTCTTCATGCTTGCTTTTTAAACATTGTCCTTGTTTTCTGGGAGTTTTAGTCATATCTCTGTCGTTTATAAACACGACTTTGAATTTTGCATTAGTTCCTAAGGAATCCTTGTTCCATGGTACTTCCATCCTTGGCTATGTGTGCAGACGTGGGAAAGTAGTTTCCGTGGAGGTTCTCTGGTTGTTTTTATAGTCAAATCTTGGTCGATTGTCCTAATTATTGGTTTAATATTTGCTATAAATTTACCCGAGAATTCCGTCTTGTTGATGCTAAGCTTGAAGTATTTTTGCTAATTTTCTTTCTTCCATTTTATCGTATGTAGTCGTAATAATTTGTAAAATTTCATAAAATTTCGTTAAAATTCAGGTTCTTCTATTTTCTCAGATCTACTTGTTGTATGGGGTTTTGTGATTTATCTGGCATATTTCCATAATGGGTTTCCATAGTGACCATTATTTCTCCTACACCGCAAATCCAATTACTCCCTTAGCCTAATGGTATGCCATTCCATTTTCATGAAGCTTTGACTCACTGCTTTTAGTTAGTGACACTTCAAAATCTACGCATAATTGACTATGTTCTTGGCCCACCAGGGAGTGTCCATGACTCCATGGCCTTTAAAGAGTCGTGTGCTTATAAGGAATCTGACCAATTGTTCTGAGATGGTGAGTGGCTATGGGGGGACTCTGCTTATGGTTTGACACCATGGTGCATGGTACCATACAAGAAGCCACAATCTCTTATACCAGCTAACCAACAGTTCAACTACCATCTTTCTGCCATAAGTCTAAATATTCAACTGATCCTCCCCTAGTGACTGATAATTGTCAATTCAGGTCCATATCCGGTCAGAGCATGCAGTAGGTTTCCTTAAAGGCCGATTCCAATCTCTTTGGGGGCTCTGTCAACAAATCAATAGTGTGCATGACTACAAACTTGCTCTTGAATGGGTCCGTGCCTGCCTTATCATTCACTCATTGGTAGCACATGAAGAGAACTTTGAGTCTGATGAGGATTTCTTGTGGTGGGTTGAAGATGGGTTGCATGGTCATGATGAGAGGGAAGATGATGAAGAAGTTGAAGGGTTTATTTGGGTGCCAACAGAACTGCAGATAGCAGGAGAAACAGAAGGTCAGCGGAAGCGCCAACATGTTCAAGAGGCTTTATTTTATCAGGTGTATGGACAACACTGAAAGCCATAGTACTAAATAGAAAAAAAAGAGTGTGCAACTAGAATTGATTAGGTGCCGAGTCAAGTCCAAGGAGGTTTTCGCCAAGGTCTATTTGTGGTGTGGCAAGTAACATTGGGGGTGTGAGTGGAAATCCAGTTGGCATGAAAGGGTTCTGCTGTGCCTCTTGCGACTCCAACTGCTGCTGTGCCTGGTGCACATCCAATTGCTGCTGTTGCTGCAGCTCTAGTTGGCGGATTTGTAACTTGGGCATTCTGTGTTCATGCTTATTTGCCTCACACTGTCTATGTGTAGCAATGTGTGCCATGTATTCTGCATGCCGCTGGTTTGACTCTCGCTCTGCGAGTTCAGACTCAAATTTGCTTGCTTCATGGAAATCAGCAAGTGAGTCTCGCTTTACCTTGATACCCTGTGCCATGGTATGGGCTGAAGATGTGCCTGGTGTCATAGATCTTGAGGTTGGTGTAATAGGAGCGGGGAGCTGCAAGTGCTGGGGTGCAAACCTTGGGTCAACCTTAGGTTTGGTATCAACACTCTGCAGCTGCTCATCGAGTAAGGTAGTATGGGGTGATGGAAGTGGGGAAGGGGAAGATGAAATTGGGAGTAGCGACACACTATTCTAATATCTTGGAGTCAGTAACTACTAACCGGTTTCATCCTTCCTTTACATACCAAGTCCATGCCATCTTCCAACACCTCAGCCAGAGTTGCATCCTGAGACTCCAGTACATTTGTATCCATAGTAGGCGAGGCTGAAGAAAGGTTTTCGGACCCTTGGGCTTGTCTCACAGTTGAATTTGAGATCAAGTCAATGGAATGTTTTGGAAGTGTGGACCAAATTCCATCCAAATCATCAAACCAAGGGAACTGTTAGAACTGGGCAAGGGTGGACGATTCTGGAGGGGAACCGGAGACTTAGCAAGGAGGGACCTTGGCCTCAGCGACTCAAGCAGAGTGCTGTGCCATTGCTGTTTGTCCATTTGGTCCTTAATTTCATAGGCGGCGAGCAGGAAGTCTCTAGGGGGCATTTCAGGTCAATTTTAGACTAAGGCCTAAAATGAGTATGTACAAGCGCCGATATATATAATGGAGAGGGCAAAAGCACAGGGAAACAAAGGGGGTCCGAATCGGAACGAAGGCATTGTAGGTGGGATAATTGCCCACATGCAGAGCCGACTCGGATACCCGATTCCACCATTCAGAAAACCCCTTCCATTCATGCGACAACTCGATACGAATTTGACATATAAAAATAGTGCTAATTCGTACGATTCTGACGATACCAAGAACGTTGCAAGAGGGCTAGCGGCTCTCTATGCCGACTAAGCTCGTGGGGCCAAACTCTCCTAAACTCTCTACTTTCTCTCTAAACTTCGCTTGACTCTCGATCCTTAAACTCCGTGTGGGTTCTCCGGGATTCCGCAAGGTCCGGGCTCAACTAATCTACTACCCACTCGTTGTGGGCTAGACAGTTGCCCTTATTCCTACTGTTGGATTCCACACACTCACTCCAACGCGTCCTAGAGAATTTTTGGGGGAGGGGAGAACTTCTTTTCCAAAATCCGGTATGTACAGGATTATAAGAAATAATTATTTTTAGAAATAATAGATGGGGAATATTGGTACCATATGGCACCTGGATACCTTATTAGGCGAAATAATAAAAAAGGGTAACAGTAACAATAAAAGAATATCAATCAATATCTGAAATGATGGCAAAATATGAAAATATAAGAAAATAAGCGATATCTCAATGGATTTACGGAATTATGAGCCGAAATTGGAAATGTGACTGAATAGAACTACTATGCAGCCAATGAGCATTTTTACCAATTTATTAGACGCCGTGGGAACGAGTGAGGCTGGAATTCTGGGTTGCTGCTTGAGATTCCCACGCCCGCACATACTCGTGACCTGCCGTGCCTAACTTGCCCTACACAGAACTCCGTCAATTCTCCACCGATTAGGACGTTCTTGGTATCGATGGGATCGTAGGAATTAGTACTATTTTTAGATACCAAACTTGTACCGAGTCGTCGCGTGAATGAAGGTCGTTTCCTAATCGTAGAATCGGATATCCGAGCCGAGTCTGTGCGTGGGCGATTATCCCGCCTACAACGTCCCAATCGGTGGAGAATTGACGGAGTTCTGCATTGGACAAGTTAGGCACGGGCATGTGCAGGCGTGGGAATCTCAAGCAGCAACCCAGAATTCCAGCCTCACACGTTCCCACGGCGTCTAATAAATTGGTAAAAATGCTTATCGGCTTATCGGCTGTGTAAAATTTATCTCCGGCTTCGTTTTTAATTTCGGCTCTTAATTCCATAAATCCGCTGAGAAATCGCTTATTTCCTTATATTTTCATATTTTGCCATCATTTCAGATATTGATTGATATTCTTTTATTGTTACTGTTACCCTTTTTTATTATTTCGCCTAATAAGGTATGCAGGTGCCATATGGTACCAATATTTCCCATCAATTATTCTAAAAATAATTGTTCCTTATATCCTGTACATACCGGATTTTGGAAAAGAAGTTCTCCCCTCCCCATTTTCTCTAAGGTGCTAGGATGCGCTAGAGAGGGTGTGAGTGTGTGGAATTCCAACAGTAGGAATAAGGGCAGTGATCTAGCTCACAATGAGTGAGTAGTGGACACTGAGCCCAGACCTTGCGGAATCCCGGAGAACCCACACCGGAGTTTAAGGATCGAGAGCGTACGAAGTCTAGTCAAGAAGTAGGAGTTTTGGAGAGTTTGGCCCCATGAGCTTAGTCGGCATAGAGAGCCGCGAGCCCTCTTTCAGCGTCCAAACGGGAACAAAGGGATGACAGAAGCAGAGCAGTACCGAAGGTCATAGGGCAGAACCTGTGGTACATCCAAAAGGAGGTAAGGAGGGTGAAGCCCAGAGGGGCAGGAGGATGAGGGGAAGTGGGGATGATGACTAACTGGCTAGAATGGGAAGAAGCAGCAGTCCAAATAGGGATGAGGGGAAAATGCGAAAGATACATTACAAGCGGTGAAAGTGCTGAAGGTGATCTGTGGAGCTCGGGGGTTATGGAGCTTATGGAGGTTATGGAGGCGGGGTTGAAAGTCTGAGGAATTTTGGCAATGGTGTTTATGTAGTATGAGGTCACCAATGCAATGGACTAAAGCCGAGGTGGAGTCAAAGTCCAAGGTAGGAACTATGATGGAGTCTTGGAGCAAAGGTATGAGTGGCATCTGAGTACAAGGTACAGGACAGTGGTGGAAGGTCGTAACTTGGTGGAAGGTCAGTGGAAGAGGGTTAGAGGGAAGAGAGAGGAGAGAGGAAAGGGGAGAGGAGTGGAGGAGAGGAAAGGTGTCAGGTCCGAAGGCGAGTATCGGAGTGGATGGGAGAAGGGTAGGAGAGTGACAGAAGGGTGGAGGTGTTGTGAGGAGTGAGAGGAGGGTGGTGAGAGGAATGGTGTCCGGTCCGAGGTGAGTATTGGAGTGGACAGAGATAGGGCAGGAGAAGGACGGAGAAGTGGAGGTGGCAAGAGGGGTGAGAGGAGGTGTGGTGTCAGGACCGAAGGTGAATATCGGAACAGACAGCAGTAGGGTAGGACTCCGGAGGTGGTGAATGTCAGAGACCAGGTTTGAGACGAAGGAAAGTCTCCATGGCGGAGGGCTTCGGCCTCAGCGACTTATGCCAAGAGCGCTGTGCCTAGTAACACGTCCGTGCCCTAACTTACTAACTGGCAACCAGATGAAGGGGGTTAACTCTAGTTGATTTTATTACTGAAGTGTAACCTATGTACAAGTTGGATATATATATGGTTACAGCGAAGACGGGTCCACAAATGGTGGAGCCGAACGGAGCGGAGCTAATGGGGTTAAACATTAGCCGACTGAATATTAACGACAAGTCGGGTTACGGGGTTAATGGAAAGGAGGGATAAGCCCGAAGGTGGACTCTGCAGGGTAGGCGAGTGTATTGCTTAGCAGAGGTGGGAGTGTGCTAGCGGATGTCGGAGCTGTCCGGAACTCTTCGGGGCTCCGTACTTAGGGAGGCATAGGTAATAAATTGAAAGGAGGGGGTGGTGACCATCGAGGGGTACCAAGGGGATTGCGGAATACGGGAGCTCCGAGGTTAGTGAAGAAGGAGCGGAGGTAGACCGGAGGGATTGGAGGGACCGGAAGTCGATGGCCGGGGATGGATATGACAGTGAAGATGGAGGTCCGGGAGTCGGGATCAGGTATGCACAGATATGACAGGGACCTCGAGTGTATCTCCGCTAATATTTAGGAATATTAGTGCATGAACATATGAGGAAATTTCTACATACCCATTTTATTTGTGTGGATTTCTTCAATTTCCTCATCTGTTTTAACACCCTGGCCTGTTTCCTTCAGGAACTTAAGGTACTTGTTGTACTGTGTTTCAAGCCTGTCGGATGAAGGTTGATGATTGAATTTGCGTGCTCAAAATACAACACACCAACTGATTTGCCCTTGAATTGCAGTGGTATAGTGGGCTAAGTCCTTGATGTAAAAAGCATGTTCAGGCTTGTCATCCCGATCCCAAATAGACTTGGTGTCAGAGACCAGGTTGAGATGAAGGAGTGTCTCCATGGCGGAGGGCTTCAGCCTCAGCGACTTGTGCCAGGAGCGCTGTGCCAAGTAACACGTCCATGCCCTAACTTACTAACTGGCAACCAGAACTGAAGGGGGTAAACTCTAGTCGATTTTATTACTGAAGTGTAACCTATGTACAAGTTGGGTATATGTCAGAGACCAGGTTGAGACGAAGGAAAGTCTCCATGGTGGAGGGCTTCGGCCTCAGCGACTTATGCCAGGAGTGCTGTGCCAAGTAACACGTCCTTGCCCTAACTATTAGAACGGGGGCTGATACAGACGACTCCGGAGTGGAATCGGAGACTTAGCGTGGAGGGACCTTGGCCTCAGCGACTCAAGTGGAGCGCTGTGCCATTGCTGTTTGTCCATTTGGTCCTTAATTTCACAGTAGGTGAGCAGGAAGTCTCTAGGGGGCATTTCAGGTCGATTTTGGACTGAACCAAAATGAGTATGTACAAGTGCCGATATATATAATGGAGGGGGCGAAATGTCAGGGGTCGACTCCCGGGTCCCCATGACCCTCCCCTATGGTCCACAGCCTCTGGTCTGGCCAGCCCTATCCAGGGCACAATCCTACTGTGGGTAAGGAGATGAGATAAAAGAAGGGCAAGTATATACACTTGCCTACTGTGGGTAAGGAGATGAGAAGGAAGCTAACTTCTCATCTTCCCACAGTGGCCACAATATCAGCAAAACTTCCGGGGATACCTGGAAGTCACATGAGGGGGTAGAAACCGGGTCCGGAGCATGCGGCGCGCGGAGCGTGCATGCATGCGGGAAGCACAGCGGGTGGAAGCGGGTCCGGAAGCGGGTCCGGAAGCGGGTCCGGGTCCGGGCTAGTCAGGGTGTGTGCCCTGACACGAAAGCACAAGGAAAACAAAGGGGAACCGAATCGGGATGAAGACGTCCAAACGGAAACAAAGGGTAGAAGAAGCGGAGCGGTACCGAAGGTCATAAGGCAGGACCTGTGATACGTCTGAAAGGAGGTAGGGAGGGCAAGGCCCAGAGGGCAGGAGGATGAGGAGAAGTGGGGGTGATGACTAACTGGCTAGAATGGGAAGAAGCTGTAGTCCAAATAGGGATGAGGGGAAAACACAGGAGATACATTACAAGCGGCGAAAGTGCCGAAGGCGATCCGTGAAGCTCGGGGGTTGTGGAGCTTACGGAGGTTATGGAGGCGGGGTTGAAAGTCCGAGGGATATTGGCAATGGTGTTTACGTAGTATGAGGTCACCAATGCAATGGACTAAGACTGAGGTGGAGTCAAAGTCCAAGGTAGGGACTATGACGGAGGCTCGGAGCAAAGGTACGAGCGGTGGAAGGTCGTAACTTGGCAGGAGGGTGGCAGAGGAGTACCAGAGGGAGGAGAGAGGGGAAAGGTAAGGGAGAAGGAGTGGTGGAAAGGAGAGTTGTCAGGTCCGAAGGTGAGTATCGGAGCGGACAGGGAAGCGTAGGAGGATGACGGGAGGGTGGAGGTGTTGTGAAGGAGGAGCGGAGTAGGAGGGTGGAGAAGTAGTAGGAGGGTGGCGAGAGGGGCGGTGTTCGGTCCGAGGTGAGTATCAGAGCGGACGGAGATAGGGGAGGAGGAGTAGAGGTGGTGTGAGGGGTAGAAGGAGGTGTGTTGCCAGGACCGGAGGTGAGTATTGGAACGGCAGTGGTAGGGTATGACTCCGGAGGTGAAGAGGGTGGAGGTCCGGAAGTCGGGTCGGGGTCGGGTATGCATGGATATGACACTAACTTACTAACTGGCAACCAGAACTGAAGGGGGGTAAACTCTAGTCGATTTTATTACTGAAGTGTGACCTATGTACAAGTTGGATATATATATAGTTACAGCGAAGATGGGTCCGCAAATGGTGGAGCCGAGCGGAGCGGAGATAACGGGGTTAAACATTAGCCGACTGAATATTACCGATGAGTTGGGTTATGGGGTTAACAGAAAGGCAGGCGATAACCCAGAAATGGAAAGGAGGGATAGGCCCGAAGGTGGGCTCTGCAGGGCAGGCGAGTGTATTGCCCAGCGGAGGTGGGAGTGTGCTAGCAGACGTCGGAGCTGTCCGGAAGTCTTCGGGGCTCTGTACTTAGGGAGGCATAGGTAATAAATTGAAAGGAGGGGGTGGTGACCATTGAGGGGTACCGAGGGGATTGCGGAATACAGGAGCTCCGAGGTTAGTGGAGAAGGAGCGGAGGTAGACCGGAGGGATCGGAGGTACTGGAAGTCGTTGGACGGGGATGGATATGACAGTATATATAGTTACAGCGAAGGCAGGTCCCCAAATGGCAGAGCCGAGTGGAGCGGAGCTAACGGGGTTAAACATTAGCCGATTGAATATCATCGATGAGTCGGGTTACAGGGTTAACGGAAAGGTAGGTGATAACCCAGAAACGGAAAGGAGGGATAGGCCCGAAGGTGGGCTCTGCAGGGCAAGCGAGTGTATTGCCCAGTGGAGGTGGGAGTGTGCTAGCGGACGTCGGAGCTGTCCGGAAGCCTTTGGGGCTCTGTACTTAGGGAGGCATAGGTAATAAATTGAAAGGAGGGGGTGGTGACCATTGAGGGGTACCGAGGGGATTGCGGAATATGGGAGCTCCAAGGTTAGTGAAGAAGGAGCGGAGGTAGACCAGAGGGATCAGAGGGATCGGAAGTCGATGGCCGGGGATGGATATGACACTTGGCAATGGTAGCCCAGTAGTCCTTCTTCTTCTCACCAGTAGAAACCTAAAAAAAACAAATCAAGTAAAAGTATGGACACTGAACTGGAACATAAATCAGTCAGACCCTTGACCGGCTCTCTGCCTTCGCTGTCTGGGAAGAATCTCCACATAGTTTGAGACGCACAGACGGGTTTTCAAGCAAGTAGGATACCAGCCGATCTGTCCATGCGGGGTTGGCAAGCCACTTGATGCGGCATGTGGTGGGGGTACTGATCTCCTCAGTTTTTAGACCAGTAGACTGGTTAGCATGCTTATTTGGTGTGGGTACCACTGTTGAAGGAGCTGCACGCTTGCATTGCATTGCAGCTACCCAATCAGGTGAGGAAGAAACTGTACAGTATAGGATAGTAGTACATGTGACTCAGCATGGGGTTTAATCAGCTTAAGGCCGAGTTTTGGAACCTGTTTTTAAACCAGTTTTGGCACTCTTGCAGCCCCAGAGCCCCAAGACAAAAGTGAGTCTTGTGACTGACTTGTCACAAGTTGGTGAGTCTTGCGGCTGACTTGTGACTTCGTCTTTTGATTAACTTTTGGCTGACTTGTGGTACTGTGAACGCCCCTAATCAAGAAATTACAAAAAAAGGCTGTGGCAGGTGTGATGTTAGCAATGACTTTGATGTATGTGTTGGAATTTGTACACATGGTCTCAGGAACCTTAATGCATAAAATATGGACATTCTGGGAGTCGAACTGCAGAGCCCTGCATAGGTACCTAGAGTGTGTTACCATTACACTAAATGCCTGCATTAGGTGGAGGTGGTTTCTAACAGTATGGTCATAGTTCTTGTTGGATATCATTGTGGTTAATGACAATCTATTTACCTTATTAGTTTGTCTGATGCAGTGTTGATGGGATCACTGCTGATACCCATTTCTGCCTACTCTTTCTGTTCTATGTATTAACCCTTACCAACAACCATGTGTTGGTACTGCAAGCGATATTAGTACACATTGTATAAATTGCACAGGGTGCTAGGTTTTTCTTTTCCCTCAGTTCTCAAGTCAGAGACTGAGGTGATATCCCTTCTTAGTGTCACGACTGACAAATCCCGGGGCTCCATCAGTGGCGAATCAATGCCGACAGGCAATTCCTCCGACCCGAACCCATCCATACCAGCCCCAACCCGATGTCTGTTCTATCGACCATGCACCGCTTCCGCACCTTCTGCAACCTCTGTCCATTTCTGGTTGTCCTTGACACCTCTGGTCAGGTTGACACTCCCCTCCGTATCTTGCTGGCCATCATGCTGTCCTTTTATGACAGCACTGACAGACCACCCTCTGTTGCGGACTCATCAGCACCATGCTGATTCCCGCATCCCTTTGCGGACTTGTGTCGGCATCGCACCGACCCCACATCCTGATTTGCAGACTTGTATCGGTGCCACGCGCTGACCTCCGCTTTTCCTCTGGCCATTTGTCACTTGGCAGCTTATCATTCATTCCTTGCCGAGTGCCATTTATTGTTTGCTTCCCTGCCAATATCGGCATTTGATCCCCTTTTTATTGGCACTAGGTTATTGATCTCATTCAGTTATTCATCAATAACCCTTGCCACTTATTGTTTATTGATCTGTTCCTTGTTTCCAGTTCCTGGGCTCTTGTCCTTATTTAGTTTGACAATCCCTGCTTATCTCCACGCCGGACTGACTGGCCTTTCTATATTCCCTCTTGCCTATTTATATACCTTGTAAATACTTTTGGGGACCTCAGTCTGAAATCAACTAGAGTACCCCCCCCTGTCTGATCTGAGTCCCTCCTTCTGCAAAGGGGGCTTCCCCCCTCTGAGTCCGTGCTCGCGGAGTCCGTGCTCCTCCTACAGGTCCGCTCCGCCTGCAAGTCTTGTTTGAAGTCCGCTGTAAGTGTCAGTTTGTAAATACGGGATCTCCCCCAAACGTCAAGCTCAGGGCACAGTGCTCCACCTGAGTCGCTGAGGCCGCGATCCCACTCTGCTAACCTTGAACAGTGCTTCTGGATGCGCTGCACATTTCCGTCCGCATATCCATGCGCGCACTCCAACAGACCTCTGCCACAATCTCCGACCCCAACTCAGACAGAACCCAATCCGCCTTCTGACAGTTTGTCCGACTCCGACAATATCCCAGTCTCTGACAGCAATCCAGATCTCTGACACTTAGCTACTTTAACTTTCGTATAACTGACTGTACTCTTGGTGTTATAGTCTGTGCATACAGGTAAAGAGTTACAATACTATTAGTTCTCAAGTCAGAGACTGAGTCCGTGCATACAGCTCTATTTATCATTCCAGGTTTTGAGCCCAGAACT